TGCAGTGTGGGGGCTGTCTGTGCTGTGCCAGGGTTTTTCGTGCTGTGTGGGGGCTGTCCGTGCCGTGCGGGGGCTTTTCATGCTGTGCGGTGTCTGTCCATGCCTTGTGGGGGCTTTTCATGCTGTGCGGGTGCTGTCAATGCCGTGTGGGGGCTATATATGTTGTGCGGGGGCCGTCCGTGCCGTGTGGAAGCTATTTGTGACGTGAGGGGGCTGTCCATGCCGTGCTTGGGCTTTTTGTGCCGTGCGAGAGATGTCCGTGCCGTGCGGGTACTGTCCATGCCATGAGGGGCCTTTCCGTGCTGTGCAGGGGCTGTTGGGGCCGGGCGAGAGCTGTTCATGCTGTGCGGGGGCTGTCCGTGGAATGCCGGGGCTGTCCGTGCCGTGCGGGGGCTGTTCGTGCTGTGTGGGGGCTGTCCGTGCCGTGCGGGGCCTTTTCGAGCCGTGCAGGGGCTGTCCTTGCCGTGTGGGGGCTGTCCGAGCCGAGCAGGGGCTGTTCGTGCTGTGCGGGGGCTGTCCATGCTGTGCGGGGGCTTTTCGTGTCGTGCGCGGGCTGTTCCTGCCGTGAGTGGGCTGTTCATGCCGTGCCAGGGCTGTCCGTGCTGTGTGGGGGCTTCCCTAGCCTTGTGAGGGCTGTCCGTGCTGTGTTGGGGCTGTCCGTGCCGTGGTGGGGGCTGTCCGTGCCGTGTGGGGGCTGTCCATGCCGTGTGGGGGCTATCTGTGCTGTGCGGGGGCTTTTCGTGTCGTGCGGGGGCTGTCCCTGCCGTGAGGGGGCTGTCCCTGCCGTGTCAGGGCTGTCCTTGCTGTGTGGGGGCTGTCCGTGCCGTGCGGGGGCTTTTCATGCTGTGCAGGGGCTGTCCGTGCCGTGCGGGAGCTATCCATGCTGTGCGTGGGCTGTTCGTGCCGTATGGGAGCTATTTGTGCTGTGCGGGGGCTGTCCGTGCCGTGCGGGGGCTGTTCGTGCCGTGCAGGGGCTGTCCGTGCTGTGCGGGGGCTGCTGTCCGTGGCGTGTGGGGGCTGTCCGTGCCGTGTAGGGGCTGTCTGTGCTGTGCGGGGGCTGTTCGTGCCGTGCGGGAGCTGTCCATGCCGTGTGGGGGCTGTCCGTGCCGTGCGGGAGCTATCCATGCTGTGCGGGGGCTGTTCGTGCCTTGTGGGAGCTGTTTGTGCCGTGCGGGGGCTGTCCGTGCCGTGCGGGGGTTGTCCGTGCCGAGCGGGGGCAGTTCATGTAGTGCGGGGGCTGTCCATGCCCTGCGGGGGCTTTTCGTGTCGTGCGAGGGCTGTCCATGCCGTGTTAGGGCTGTCCGTGCTGTGTGGGGGCTTCCCGTGCTGTTCGGAGGCTGTCCTTGCCGTGAGGGGGCTGTCCTTGCCGTGAGGGGGATGTCCATGCGTGCCAGGGCTGTCCGTGCCGTGTGGGGGCTGTCCGTGCCGTGCGGGGGCTATCCGTGCCGTGCGGGGGCTGTCCGTGCCGTGCGGGGGTTGTCCGTGCCGAGCGGGGGCAGTTCATGTAGTGCGGGGGCTGTCCATGCCCTGCGGGGGCTTTTCGTGTCGTGCAAGGGCTGTCCATGCCGTGTTAGGGCTGTCCGTGCTGTGTGGGGGCTTCCTGTGCTGTTCGGGGGCTGTCCTTGCCGTGAGGGGGCTGTCCTTGCCGTGAGGGGGATGTCCATGCGTGCCAGGGCTGTCCATGCCCTGCGGGGGCTTTTCGTGTCGTGCGAGGGCTGTCCATGCCGTGTTAGGGCTGTCCGTGCTGTGTGGGGGCTTCCCGTGCTGTTCGGGGGCTGTCCGTGCAGTGTGGGGGCTGTCCGTGCTGTGCCAGGGTTTTTCGTGCTGTGTGGGGGCTGTCCGTGCCGTGCGGGGGCTTTTCATGCTGTGCGGTGTCTATCCATGCCTTGTGGGGGCTTTTCATGCTGTGCGGGTGCTGTCAATGCCGTGTGGGGGCTATATATGTTGTGCGGGGGCCGTCCGTGCCATGTTGAAGCTATTTGTGACGTGTGGGGGCTGTCCATGCCGTGCTTTGGCTTTTTGTGCCGTGCGAGAGATGTCCGTGCCGTGCGGGTACTGTCCATGCCATGAGGGGCCTTTCCGTGCTGTGCAGGGGCTGTTGGGGCCGGGCGAGAGCTGTTCATGCTGTGCGGGGGCTGTCCGTGGAATGCCGGGGCTGTCCGTGCCGTGCGGGGGCTGTTCGTGCTGTGTGGGGGCTGTCCGTGCCGTGCGGGGCCTTTTCGAGCCGTGCAGGGGCTGTCCTTGCCGTGTGGGGGCTGCCCGAGCCGAGCAGGGGCTGTTCGTGCTGTGCGGGGGCTGTCCATGCTGTGCGGGGGCTTTTCGTGTCGTGCGCGGGCTGTTCCTGCCGTGAGTGGGCTGTTCATGCCGTGCCAGGGCTGTCCGTGCTGTGTGGGGGCTTCCCTAGCCTTGTGAGGGCTGTCCGTGCTGTGTTGGGGCTGTCCGTGCCGTGGTGGGGGCTGTCCGTGCCGTGTGGGGGCTGTCCATGCCGTGCGGGGGCTATCTGTGCTGTGCGGGGGCTTTTCGTGTCGTGCGGGGGCTGTCCCTGCCGTGAGGGGGCTGTCCCTGCCGTGTCAGGGCTGTCCGTGCTGTGTGGGGGCTGTCCGTGCTGTGTGGGGGCTGTCCGTGCCGTGTAGGGGCTGTCCGTGCCGTGTGGGGGTTGTCCGTGCTGTGTGGGGGCTGTCCGTGCTGTGTGGGGGCTGTCCGTGCCGTGTGGGAGCTATTTGTGCTGTGCGGGGGCTGTCCGTGCCGTGCGGGGGCTGTTCGTGCCGTGCAGGGGCTGTCCGTGCTGTGCGGGGGCTGCTGTCCGTGGCGTGTGGGGGCTGTCCGTGCCGTGTAGGGGCTGTCTGTGCTGTGCGGGGGCTGTTCGTGCCGTGCGGGAGCTGTCCATGCCGTGTGGGGGCTGTCCGTGCCGTGCGGGAGCTATCCGTGCTGTGCGGGGGCTGTTCGTGCCTTGTGGGAGCTGTTTGTGCCGTGCGGGGGCTGTCCGTGCCGTGCGGGGGTTGTCCGTGCCGAGCGGGGGCAGTTCATGTAGTGCGGGGGCTGTCCATGCCCTGCGGGGGCTTTTCGTGTCGTACGAGGGCTGTCCATGCCGTGTTAGGGCTGTCCGTGCTGTGTGGGGGCTTCCCGTGTTCTTCGGGGGCTGTCCGTGCAGTGTGGGGGCTGTCCGTGCTGTGCCAGGGCTTTTCGTGCTGTGTGGGGGCTGTCCGTGCTGTGCCAGGGCTTTTCGTGCTGTGTGGGAGCTGTCCATGCCGTGTGGGGGCTGTCCGTGCTGTGCGGGAGCTATTTGTGACGGGCGGGGGCGGCCCGTGCGGGGCTGGGGCTGTCAATGCCGTGTGGGGGCTATATATGTTGTGCAGGGGCCGTCCGTGCCGTGTTGAAGCTATTTGTGACGTGTGGGGGCTGTCCATGCTGTGCTTGGGCTTTTTGTGCCGTGCGGGGGCTGTCCGTGCCGTGCGGGAGCTGTCCATGCCGTGTGGGGGCTGTCCTTGCCGTGTGGAGGCTGTCCGTGCCGTGTGGGGACTGTCCGTGCCGTGCAGGGGCTGTCCGTGCCGTGTGGAAGCTATTTGTGCTGTGCGGAGGTTGTCATGCCGTGCTTGGGCTTTCTGTGCCGTGCGGGGGATGTTCGTGCCGTGCGGGGACTGTCCATGCCATGAGAGGGCTTTCCGTGCCGTACAGGGGCTGTTGGGGCCGGGCGAGAGCTGTTCATGCTGTACGGGGGCTGTCCGTGGAATGCCGGGGCTGTCCGTGCCGTGCGGGGGCTGTTCGTGCTGTGTGGGGGCTGTCCGTGCCGTGTGGGGGTTGTCCGAGCCGTGAAGGGATTGTCCCTGCCGTGCGTGGGCTGTCCGTGCCGTGCGGGAGCTATTTGTGCTCTGCGGAGGCTGTCCGTGCCGTGCGGGGACTGTCCGTACCGTGTGGGGTACACCATCGGCATGTTGACCAGGGAACGGCACCCCTGTCGCCATTGCGTTCTGATCCCCTGGCGCCCTCTCCCCCACCGTATCCCTCCCGGGCCCCCGGGCCCCCTGTCCCCCTCCTCGCCTCACCCCTCTCGCAGGCACCTGCCGCAGCCGGTGCGCCAGGCGGACCCACGGCTACCCGCCCTTGATCCTGCCCTCGCACCCAAGGGGCATCCATCCACCTTTCTACCCCTCCGCAAGCAACCTCACCCTCCCCCCACCCGCTCCGCTCCACTCACCCGCGGCGGGAGTGACGACCTCCACCCGCCGTATACGCCGCACCTCCCCAACCGCCCCTGACCTCCTCCCAGAAGCAGTAGCAGCAGCAGCGGACGAAGAAGGTGTCGCCCCCTCCTCCTCCTTCTGCTCCTCCGCCCGCCTGCGCAGGGGTTCCTCGAAACGCCCGCACCTTTTTGCCCGAGTGCAATCGTTTCAATGTAGAAACCGAGTACAAAGTGGGACTGGAGGGCAAGCCGATGGGCATCTAAGGGGCATCCTTCCAAGTAGAGTCCCTACTTACGCTAACATACGTAACTGTATAACGTCTGTACATGTGGATGTAAGGAGAGTTTGCTTGGCTAAAAACATTGCAGGCGGTCTGAGGCCACTATCAGCAACAGCTTGCCGCCTTCAAAGACCTGGACCTGAAGTTTATTTCTCCGGATTGCGTGCTGTGCTAATGAGGATTGCGGCGAGGGGTACTGATGTGTATTTCGAAAAGAATTACAGTAGCTGCTAGGCATCATTGTGTCGGTCTTCGTTTACCGCACTGTTAAGCGGTGATATGGTGCAGTACACCAGTTTACGGTGTTCCTTGCACGCCATAGTCGTCGTATGTTTTGGTGCATGTGTGCAAGCTGCATGTCTTGCGCAGCCACAGCCTTGAAGTTTTCTTGATTAAGACTGCACTTAATCCTTGATAAGCTTGTAAGCGTATATGTAATTGACAGCAGCATCGAACGGGCGAACGGCTTGATAACGACTTCGGAGCAGCAACTACCTCCAAGTTTCTACTCACTGTACTCAGGCGCGGTAGTAAATTCACACTTGTCTACACCCAAAGATTACGAGAGATATTGTTAAGCTTCAGGCCAGTAACCCGATAACAGCAGCAGCAAATTGGTCACCCTTCTAGAGGCGTCTTAAGCCTGGTGCGTTTGGCGTAATGCAAACTATGTTTAGTTCTTCCCAGAAACTGCGTCGACAATGCGCTTCGTCTTGCTCTACGAGCTATAACCAAGCGGTGAGGCACTGGTATGTGTAAGCCTATGTGCTCTCCCTGCAAACCGCAAATTTACACAGATATGTCAACTATATTGTCATCCAGCGCCCTCTGTGGCGAATACTGTGCGGGCGACCAAGGAATGTTACTAGGGCATCGCTGCCCGACGTCTTCAACCTCATGGACCGCGAGCTGATGGACTTTGACCGGCAGTTCGTAGCTATGCAACGACAAGTGGGTTTCAGTGGCGAACCGCTCTGACATGCTTTCCATACGCAACCGGCAAGCTCTCGTAAGCCGCCCCGCAGATGGACAGGGACATGGATATGGCACTGAGCCGTGCACGATTGATGGAACGGCAGGCGGAATCCATTAGGTCGTCGCTGCGGGAAGGTAGGCTGCCGTGGCCGTTGGCAGTTAATACGGAAGACTGCGCGCACACAAGTACAACGGTGCCACGAGTACAGTGTTGCACTCTCAGGGAATGCAACACATAGGTCCAGTTGCCCTGCATGCACCTTGCGTGCGTATTCCCTGCGCTTAAAGTGGTTCCTCTGCGCCTCATTAGCACCGTATTTGCTTGCCTACTTGCCGTGCTGCAAGGTCCATTAACTTGGGCCCGACACTTGGGCCGAAACGGTCTAATCCCCTCGACCTTGCTCGCTAAACCGTGGTTCCAGTTGGACAAGGTTAGCAAGCAGGGTTGACGATGATGGAGCGTATGCAAGCTAGTGCGGCTCAACTGGTTCCACGGTTTCCCGTGAAACACGCCTTGCATGTCTTACACTCCCAATCTGCATCCCACATTGTTTCACAGACCTTCGCCAAGCTCCCAACGTGGACATCCAACGACAGGAGGAGCGTGGACCGGGAATGTACCGCTATTACGAACGGATACAGATTACCAGCGGCGGCGGCAGGAGCCTGTCGTACGGCGCCCTTCCAGCGCCCGCCGTCAGCTCCGTCAGCACCACCACGGCCCCCTCCATCGCCACACCGTTGCTAGTTAGCGCCATGGTGACGGTTGGCGGCTACGCGGCGCTAACGACAGCCTTCAACCGAAACTACCAGCTCACCACCTATGCGGAGAGCAAGAGGTGGCTGTTGCTGCTGCTGTGGCCGCTCCTGGTGTTGTTTTCTCCCAAGTTCCGGGAGCAGTTCGTAGCGGCGGTGCAGGGGAGACGTGTGGAGCTTAAGCGGGACGGAAGCGATGGGGAGCGAAAGTGACGAAGGGGATTGAAATATGGATGGCTGTGAAAGTGACGAGTAAGATAGGGCCGGCTGGTGTGTGGCCAGGGGGAGGACATAGAAGGGAGTGTTAAAGAGGAAAAAGCCACTGACCGAGAGAGAGAGGGGGGCGGTGGAAAACCACGTAGAAGTGGTAGGGTGGTCGATTGAGAAAGGATTGAATAATTGGAAGAGCGTTTCGGGCCATCCCGTTTTCGCCACCATTGCGGTGTTGAAAGTTGCTCATTAGATCGTACATAGATATACAAGGTTAGGTTTGCAAAGTTGTTAAAATACGTATTAAATTAAAACGGGTCAGCGATTCTAGGTCACAGTGTAGCCTGGTGGGCAGCATGACGGAGGTTGGCACGTTGTTGGCGGGACATGGAACTCGCAAGATAACGAACTTTTTTGTCACAAGTTGGATCTGTACGACATTCCATTCTTCCGTATTACATGTCATGCCATGTAATTGGCGCAACCATTACATCACCCGTGCGAAGGCTTCCACAAAATGACATGCATTATTGAAACCACCTGTCACCGCCTGCCGAAGTACGAGCCACACTTGAGAACACCCTCTTCCATCTATTCAACATATATGCATTCTACCTAAGTAGAGGCGACAGTTGATACTGTGCCCAAGTACTACTCTTGTCCTCCTGCCAATGTAGAGTAGCATATCATTCGCTGCCGCCACAACATCACCGCGTAAAACATTGTTGGCTTCACATGCGCCGTCACAACAACTTTATAACCCCGCCAGTGCGGCCCAAGCTGGGTGTGCACTGCAACAGCTTTCTCGCCGAAAGCCACTTGCACTAGCACCCCGACCTGTTGGCATCAGCAGTCATGTCACAAAACAGCGCACCGAAGATTGCCAACACCTGCTTCCCGTCCATCAAACTTGTATTTCTCGACAACTAAACATGACATTTAGATGTCATCATATGCGGTGCACATTGTCATATGGAAGACGAGGCAGAAAACCCTCGTTCCTTAGCGGCCACAGCCTGCACTGTTTCCTACGTAAACGAAAGAAAACTGAAGTGTCTGCATCATGGGCAACGACCGATCTTTAGGCCGACGCTCTTGATCCCTGACACCATCACCACTTTTCGCACCAATGCGTAACCCACATCAACCAGGCAGACAGAAGGAACAATATGATGTGCAAAACATAATGTCAGTTCCACGCCCATCTCTTATAATCCTACTGCACAGGAAACTGCTCCTGGAATCCACTTGGCGCAATAATACCAACAGAACCGCTAAGCGATGTGAACGACTGGAAAGAACGAGCCCGGGCACCCGCCCATTGCAAATGGCGTATCCATAGCGCTATTGATACCAAGTGCCGCAACTGCCCGGGCCCTCCGTTATGAACGCCAGCCTCAACAACCGTACCGTTGATATCATACATAACAGTCCCCACGTACCAGAGCTGGTGCATTAGCCGGTTCCATCCCACTCACTAGGCACGATACTATGTGGACTCTTAAATGAACAAATACCTAACATGCTATGCCGTGGGCCAATATCTTCCGCCACCTAACTAGCGTCAACTAGGCTGTGCACCTGTTGCGGCCGCCCTTACCCCGGCCCATCCATCAAGCTTGCCACACATCGCTCTGCTTCTGCTAATGTGCTCGGCTGCCCCGGCCGCCGGCCCACCCCGCCGCAGGGCCAGCCCCGGGGGCCCCTCCTGGAGCCGCTCCACCGTCCCCGCCCCCTGCTGCCGCAGGCGCCGCTGCACCCGGCCCACCCGCAGTGCCTGCAGCCGCCGCACCGGCGGCCCCGTTGTGTGCAGTCGTGGAATTATCCCAGATGGGACCCGAGCCGCAGTACAGCGAGTCCTTGAGGCAGGGTACCATACGGCGCAGACAGTCAAAGTAGAAGGGGCGGTCCTTGGTGTTGTCGTACAGCTTGAATACGTCGTCATAGTGTTCCAAGACGAACAGCAGGCAGCGGCGGCCCAGCTGCGGCGCGGAGAACTGCTCGCTGTACTCAAAGGTTGACATGACGCTGTCCACCGTGAGCGACTGCGCTATGGCGTTCTCGCAGAGCCGCTTCAACCCCTCCAGGAGGTACTGGTCGGATGCCTGCAGGGCGTGGGAGCAGCAGTTGCTTAGGACAGTTCTGTACAGCTGAAGGAATAACCTGGGACCCCACAGGCAAGAAAACTGCTACAGGGCAACAGGATGTCGCTGCCCCATGTGTCGAAGTTTGGGACGACAGCGCACTGCATTCCCGCGTGGCTGTTGCGGCAGGCATGTGTCATTCCCTCGGCCCACCAATGCCACCTTCCCAACCCGCCTCACCTGCAGCAGCTCAAAGGCGATGTCTGGCGTGACGTCCAGCTGACCCGTGTACACGAAGCGCATCATGGCCTCAAACACCGACCAGCTGATGTTGGGAATGTCCACACTGTCCGCGTCCCGCTCCTGCGCAGAGGATAGAGGACAGGATGCGTTAATTGGACCCTTTTGCCGGGCTTGTGCAATTGCGGCAACATGCGGCAACTGCGGAACGTGCACGACAACGAAACTGCGTGTACCCATGAATATGGCATACCCGCATAGCCCCTCCGTGGCAAGCGACCATCTGTAATGCCTATCCTCCACCCCAGACCCCGCCCTCTCGCCCAGCGTCTCCCAGCACCGCAGCACTCACCCGATATCCACCGCTAAACATGGCCCGGAAGGCCTCCGACGAGGCTAGCAGCGCGATGCGGTGAGCATAGAAGCGGCGGCCCTCCACGTTGAAGGTGATGTCCGCCAGGGTGGGGTTGTTCACGTACTCGGCGCCCAGGTACACGGAGCGCTCGGCGCGGCCCGGCTGCTGCGGCAGCTGGTCCACTACTGCCAGGTGAGGCGGCGGAGTGGAAGGATAGGGTAGGGGTAATGCCGGTGTGAGTGGGCATCCAAGCAAAGGCGGTCGAGAGTTCGACTCCGGTTAACGCCGTTGGGCCTAGGCATGGCCATTGACCCCATGTTACAACAGCAACCGCACCATTGACCGTCGCGTTCTGCCCCATCCCAGCCACGTCCGGCCTCACCAGGCAGGTGCGCGTCCAGCTTCTTGGTGAGCTGCAGCAGCGCGGCCGCAGCCTCCCGGTGGGAGCGGTGCGACACGTTGGGGTCCATCAACATGTCCAGCAGGACATCGATACCGCGCTTGTCGATAAAGATGGACTGTTGCAAAGGGGGTTAGCGTAGACAGGATGAATGGTGTGGGAAGGTAGAAGGCGCAAAGTGCCCATAACCCAGTCTGCTCGGTAGCCGTCCCTACCTTGAGCTGCTCGTCTGGCGCCAGTCTAGCTAGGCTCATGGCTGCCCGCTGCTGCACGGTCTTGGTGTTGGAGCGCAGCAGGAAGACCATAGACTGCAGCGCGCGCTTGGCGGCAGCCAGGTTGGGCGCCGCGGTGTTGTCGGGCTTCAGCTTCTGCTCCAACCGGTTGATGGTCTTCTGTACGCAATCCTTGGAAGCCTGCGAGCAGGAAAGGGAGGAGATGGTTGGTAGGGCTAGACGAGCAGGTGCCCTGAAGAGAAGAAATAAAGGTAGTGCGGCGTTGGTGTGCATGGCAGTGCAGCACAAGCACATCTTACAGTGAGGCACAACCGGTTGCCAGGCTGCAGGGTTTGATCGGACCCTTGTTCTCTGTTCCGAGCGAGCCCGACCCAAATGGATTGGGACGGCTCAGCTCCTTAGAACAATACGCAGCTCCTCCTGCCCAGCCCCTCATTCCAGCCCAAGGCCATAGATTGCATGCTTCCCGCACTCAACCCTGCCTGTCCCAGCTCCCCTCCTCACCTGCACTTGCAGCTTCTCCTTGCAGTCCTCCAGACGCTGCAGCGCCCCCTCGCGGATGAGGTCGGGAATGTTGTCCTCGTTCTCCGCCAGTCCGTACAACGCAAACGCCGCGTTGTGCTGAAGGTTGTAGTGCTTCGACTCGAGCAGTTCGAGCAGCGGAGGTAGACCGCCCAGCTGCACGATGCCGGCCTGAGGGAGGTCGACAAGAGGTGGTAGTGCGCTTGGGATAAGGGCATGTAACTGTATAATGAGCAAATCAGTCTCAGGCAACAAAGCCCTATGCGAAGAAGTAACGCAACAGCAAGGTGGGGCCTGACCCCAATCGGAAAGGCCCTTACAACGCTTAAGGAGCGCATGGGATTCCCAGGAGACCCCGGCTCTACCTGGTTGTCTACGTTCTGCGCGAGGCGGCCCAGCGCGAAGGCGGCCATCTCCTTGAGGCTGACGTCGGGCATGCCCAGCATGCGGACGAGCGCCGGCACGGCGCCACGCTGCACAATCTTGGCCTTGGTGTCGGGGTCGGCGGTGGCGAACTGGCCCAGCAGCAGAGCCGACTCGCGCTGGCTGTCGGGGCAGTCAGAGTTAAGCAGGTTGATCACCGGTTGCAGCGCACCCTCCTCTAGTACCTGCAGGGGTGAGGAGGAACAAGGGATAAGAGGTGATACGCCTTCCGGGTAGGCAGCTCAAGATGGTACCCTAAACCCGCCACCCTACAGACCTAGCCGCGGTGGAGGTAACAGTGACAAGTGCCAAGTAATTGGGGTCGATGCCACAACCAAAGACGCCCATGCACCCGCAGCATGTCGTACATACCCGCAGCTTGACGTGCTGTGAAGAGTGCACGAGGTTGCCGATGACGCCCACCGCCTCGTAGTGCACCCCGCTGTCTTCGGAGCGGAGTAGCTGGATGAGGGTTGGCAGCGCGCCCTGCTCAACAATGACATTCTTGTTCTGCTCGTTCTTAAACGCAAGCGTGCGCAGCGCACTGCGGGACAGCAAGGGAGAAGCGGACGGGAGCCAGGGGAGCCACTCAAACAGGTGTTATAGGTGTTTTGCTAAGCAACCAGACAACGGAGGGCGGGCCCAGCTGTCAAGGTGTTGCCAAAGGCTAAGGGAGCCCGTTGCTCGGCGCGTGAGCTTACCCGCAGGCCGCTCGCTGAACCTTCACGTCCATGGCCTCCAGCAGGCCGACGAGCGGAGGAATGCCATCTTGCTCTCGAACCATGTTCTTGATTTCTACATTCTCGTGCGCTAGGTTCGTGATGGCATCTGCAGCCCGTCGTGCGACGCCACCGCTGCCTGGCTGGGGTTTTGTAATAGATGTAAGCTTGTGCTCTTTAAGTAAGCGAACAAGGCCTGTGAGAGCGCCTGACGAAGCAATGCGCGTCTGGTACTCCGGCTTGACAGCGAGCAAGCCCAGGATAAAGCATAACTCCTTGTCAAGTTCCTCCTGAAGTGTTGCTCCTGAAACGCCGGTATCTTCTTGATGCTGTTCCCGCATAGCTGAGCCTCCAGCGTTCAGCAATGGCACAACTACCTCGATAGCACCCTCGGCAACCACGTCATCGATAAACTCATCTTGCTTGCATAGCTCTGCTAGGGAGTGTGCCGCTTTACGAAGCGCGCCCTTATCTGGAGGAGCATAGGAGGTGCTGTTCAGGCCACTTCGCAGAGTCTCCAGCAACGCCGCTGCCGGCTGTCCCTGAAACATGGCGCAGGCGCGCTTGGAATCAATTTCTTCAAAATAATCCTCGTTGGCCCTTTTGCGAGACGAGCGGAACGATCCGGAGCAGGAACCCGAGTCTGAGCTCATACTATTGCAGAAGCATGCCGACCGGCGTAAGCAACAAACACGGCGCGCTGCCAACACGTAGCACTTATCCCTAACACGTACAAAGAAATAGTTTAACAACTAAACAAGGCGCAGGTGGTGTGGGAACTAGGCGATTTTAAAAAAGCCAGAGTGTTTACGTGCTAAGCGTTGATAATGGGGAAGTAACAAGCAGCCATAAAGGAAACGGCGCCGATAACCGCTTATATGATCGGCGCTTTTGGAAATGGCGGGTTACGACGCAGCCCATGCAAGCGCATTTTCTGTGTGAATTCATGCAACCGCAATTGTTTTGCTACCCATTGGAAAAACAGATAAAGGTTTCGGTATCCGGGGGCTTGTCTGTTGCATAAGAGTGGGAAGTAAGTGATGCAGCGGGGGCTACTGTAGTCTGCTTTTTGCGACGACTAGTAGCCATGACGAACCGCAGTTCATTCGCCTTCTCGTGAACTAATGTATCATTAAAATTGCCAGAGCAGATGGTTAAGTAGTTGTTAACAGAGGACCCAGCATGCCATCCATGACGGTTGGTTCTACACAGCTCTTCAGCAATTTGGGTCGTTATAGCTTTGTCGGAAACAATGTGCGTGTGTGAAGGGTTGCTGGGCAACCTGCTGGGCAACCGAAATGCGAAGCTTACGGTATTGCCTATTAGCTGTCCTTAGGCAGCGTGATGGACATGTAGCGTAGCATGCAAGGGAAAGGACACGGCTCTGTGCCCTTTGGCAATCGTTTATTCCTGAACGTAGACACTATGACGCCGCAAGACCGTCTTATTGTCCGGCTTCCCTAGTCCCCAGTCTCGTTACCCAAATCCGACAAGAACGCGTTGCTTTTACTGGACAGCGGCCTATACGTGCAATGGTTGCCGGAGGGAAATGGCTTAGGACCCCCACGCTTCATTGGACCAGTCACAAGGACACACGATCGGCCAGGCGTGTTCCGACGTGCGTGTCACAAGAGGTGTACGAGCTGTTGTTATGGTACGGCTGTCACTTGCGTGCTTGCATCCTTCCTTGCCTCTTATGAAGGGGACCGGGTCCAGCTGACATGACAAGGGATGTCAGATTCACGAAATGGAAAAGGGCGGAGCCCCTTGCTAAGGATATTAGGACCAACATGAAAACGTTTGGCATTGGAGTGCTTTCGGACGTCCACCTTTGGAATCCGGTTTTGCTTCATCAGCGGGTAAGGGTCTAATTTGGCGTGTGCCCGGTGGTGCATGGGGTGGAGCTCCGTATGAGTCCGGAGTGCAAGCAACAGTCATAATACGAATTGCCATGGCGTCGCAGTAGCTGTCTCGACATGAGTGTACACAGGACATGATGCAGGTCAGGGCCAGGAACAGACAAGTTGCGGGAGCGTTCGTACGGGTTGTGCAAGGGAGCCAAACTATAGTCACTTCGCAAGGGTGCATTGCCGGCATTATTAAGCAGGTCTGCCATGGGTGCCGGATGGTGCAGCAGGGTCTAGCGTAAATTGGAGGACCCAGATTGTCAACGCCTGCAGTTGGCCATTATATTGACAAGGGATTCGATACCAGGGAACACTGAGGAGTGCGGCAAATAGTACATGGAGATCACGCGATGTCGGCATATATGGATAGTAAGAACGGGGTTAGGCAGGGTCGTGTCAGTTAGTAACCGGGCTTCAAGGGCGCCATACAGCCTAGCGAAGCTGTGAGCCAAGGCAGACGCTTAATGGCGCTTATGCCAGACGCCAGAAGCACTTGGGTCGTGAGAATTAGCTCTTGAAGTGGGAAGGCGCTCGTCAAGAAGACATGGGGGCCTGCTAAGTAGAAAACTCTCGAGTTCTCCGCGGCTGACCTTTATTTGCGAAATATCGGAAAACAATGAGTATGTGTATCCCCCGTAATACGCTGGTTAAGCCTTGCAAACAAAAATTGTCTCCACGGCCAAAACGTGAAGCTCCGATTCCACAACAATATGTGGTCTTTTATAACCCGTCAACATCGCAAGTAGAACTTGCTATGGAGACGATGGTAACCTTTCTGGACACCCAGGCTCTCTAGAAGCATTCGTAAGGCCCACAACTACTTACACTTCCATTGCCACTCTACTGGCCAACTGTGGGTTTACTGTGGTCCAATTGTGCACTAGGCGCATTTTAGGATAATTAGCAACTATGGCACAGACTCAGCTTGCCCAGGTACGCTCTGTCGGCATGTGGTGCGTTAGCTTGCTCGCGGACATGACACGCCTTCTCCTTCATTCGCACAGGGCACCCGCGGCCAGGTCTCAGGCCGCCCCTTCCAGGCCCGACCTGTTCGTTCTGCGCGCCGCCTGGTAAGAAGTCAGGAAATAAGCGGTTGCGGCTGGCTGAAGGCCGACCCATATCTTGCTACGTGCCCGTCCTTTAACTGCCCGATCCCTACCACTGCAGGTCATCCGTGCTGCGGAAGCCAAGGAGATTGTTTTTGACCAGGAGTCCAGGCGGAAGCTTCAGATTGGCATTAACAAGGTTGCCGATGCAGTCGGCGTCACGCTTGGCCCTCGCGGTAGGGACATTTGAGCTTAAGCAACCGATCATTTCATAGTTCACGTTCATAGGTCCCAATTGCACTGAAGCCCCCGTTGTGGTCGCAACTTACCTTCCGACGCGCCGCCTAGGCTTCAGGAAGATACATTTAGCAATACCCTGACCTAGTGTTGTTTTGCTGTATAATTGAACAGGCCGCAACGTAGTGCTGGAGCAGAAGTTCGGTGTGCCCCAGGTCATTAACGATGGCGTTTCCATCGCCCGTGCTATCGAGCTGAAGGACCCCGTGGAAAATGCCGGCGCGCAGCTAATTAAGGAGGTAAGCATGTGTCTATGCAATTGGACCTTTTTTCTCTCGTATACCCCAGAGCATGACTGGATGCGTCAGGCGCCCCTAGCTTCAACCCACACCAACCAGGATACGCAACTCCCTCGCACACGCCCAAAGCGGCCATGCATGACACTGGCTTGCATCAGAAACTTATACCTCGTAACCCCGCTTCCTGAACCTCCAAGTGCCCTGATGCAGCCAAACCCCCCCCCTTCCTCCTCCCACCTCACCATGCTCTTGCTGCCGTCCTCCCCCGCTGCCGGCCCCTCCCCTGCTTCCCCGCCCCCAGGTTGCTGGCCGCACCAACGACGCCGCTGGCGACGGCACCACCACCGCCTCCGTGCTGGCCCGGGAGATGATCCACTTCGGCCTGCAGGTGCGGGTGGAGGGGGGGCACCCGGAGGGGTTGGAGAGGGGCTGCGAGGGGACATAAGGAAAGCCAAAGCCAAGTGGTGTGCGCGGAGGTGCGGCAGGCGGCAGGGGGGCGGTGCGGGGCTGTGGTGGGTTAGTAGCCCGAGTGGGGGGTTAGAAGGTGACGGCGGCAGCTGCAGCAGGTCGGGATGGGGTGGGGGCCTACGTGTTCCTGCGGCGCCTGGCGGCCGGGAGCTGCAGCTGCCTGCCTGCCTGCGGGAGGTGTATTGGAGCGCTGCAGCGGCAGCAGGCGGAGGAGGGGCAGCAGCAGCAACGGCAGGCAGCAGCAACTGCAGGCAGCAAGCAAGTGCAGCAGCAGCTGTAGCAGCGGCAGGGTGCTGCACAGCGTCCTAGCTGCCAGCGGGTTGCGCAGCCGCGCCCACAGCCGCGCTGCCATATGAATGCTGGCTGCCGCCGCCTGGGAAAGCAGCAGCAGCAACAGCAGCAGGGGGAGCAGCAGGGGGAGCGGTGGCGGGGTCCATGGCTGCGGCAGTGGTGGCTTCCATACCCCATGTGCCCCTAAATCCGCGGCCTCACCCACATAACCCAACCCTACCGCGACACACAACCCACCGCACCCCCCCCTCCTCTCCCCCTCCCTCCCGCTCTCCGCTTTACCAGCACCAGACCTCACCCCTCACCCATCTCGTCCCTTTCTTGCCACCCTCACCTCTCTCGTCCCCCCACCTGTTTGCCCCCTCCTTGCCCCCCCTCCCCCTTCCTCCCTCCCTCCCCCCAGTCCGTGACCGCCGGCGCCAACCCCATCGCGGTGAAGCGGGGTCTGGAGCGCACCTCGGAGTACCTGGTGGCCAAGATGAAGGAGCACGCCAAGCCAGTCAAGGGGCGGGAGGACATCAAGGTGAGGGGGGGGGAAGAGGAGGAGGGGGTTGCAAGGCAACAGGAGGAGAGGTGCGGTGGGGAGGAGGGCGCGGTGGGTCGTATGGGCCCTACAGCGGGCTCCCGTTGGGCGGGTTGGGGAGCAGTAGGCGCTAGGCGGCGGCGGGGATGGTCAGGGGTGGTAGTTGAGGGGACGGTGGATGCTGCTGCGCCAGCCACACCCGTTCGCCTGCTTCTTGCATGCTGCTAACTGCCGCTTACTAACTTTCTCGTCCTTTGCGCCCCCTCCTTCTCCCCTTTCCTTGTTTCCCCCTCCCGTCATCAGAACGTCGCCGCCATCTCGGCTGGCAACGACAACTTCATTGGTGATATGATCGCTGATGCGCTGGACAAGGTGGGAAGAGGGGGGGGAAGGGGAGGGGAACAGGGGGTGGGTGGAGGGGAGGGTTTGAGGGAGAAGAAGGAGAGGATGTGACAGGAGAGATGGGGATACTGTAGGGTTGTAGTTGCGAGGCGGGATGGGGGATGGTGACGCCGTGCGCGCTGCTGTGGAGGGGTGCAGGGCGGGGGGCGTTTCTTGGGGGGGGGTGCACAACGGGCGGGCGGGAGGGAGGGTTGGCGTTATGCAGCAGGTTTCTAGTCCACAATCCACAATTCGCTACATCCAATTCTGCCCGTCTTCCCCCCTATTAGTTACCCCCGCCCTCCCTCCTACCCCCCCCTCCTACCCCTCCCAGGTCGGCTCCAACGGCGTGCTGTCCATCGAGACCAGCAACAGCACGGAGACGGTGGTGGAGGTGCAGGAGGGCATGGAGATCGACCGCGGCTACATCTCGCCCCAGTTCGTGACCAACCAGGAGCGCCTGCTGGTGGAGTACGACAACTGCAGGGTGCTGGTGACCGACCAGAAGGTGGGGGGGAGAGGGTAAAAATAAAGAAACACTGACAAACTGGATGTCGAGGCTCTTCCATGGGTTGCTAATTGGGTTGCTAGTGGGGGGCGAGGGGGGGAAATGGACCCGCATCTTGTTACCGGTACTGCTGCATGTTCTGGTCTTAGCCGCTCGCTTAGCTACCCCATTACCGTATGTATGAACCCCCGTGTCCACCCCTTTTCGTAACCATCCACCTCCCCTCTCCCCTCCCCCTCCTCCCTTCCCCCCCGCTCCCCCTCCCCCCCAGATCGAGTCCATCCGCGACATCGTCCCCATCCTGGAGCAGGTGACACGGCTCAACCAGCCGCTGCTCATCATCGCGGAGGATGTGGCGGGTGAGGGGCGGGGGGGAGGGCAGGGGTGTAACAATAAATGGGAAGTGGTACGCAGCTGGTATTCAAATCCCAGGGGGAGGGGGAGGGAAAGGGAGGGGGGAGAAACCTAGCCGCACCTATGGAAACCGGCTGTCACGGCAGGGCGGGGAGGGGCGCTGCGCGGATTTTGAGGGAAAACCAAGGAGATGGGGGAGTGGACGGCATTTGGCGGGATGGGGGTGCAAGTGTGTAAGAAGAGATGGGAGAGGGAGAGGGATTCGGAAAGCACAACACATCGAACATTCTTTCTTCCTACCCGCCCTCCCCAGGCGAGGCTCTGGCCACTCTGGTAGTGAACAAGCTGCGCGGGGTGCTCAACGTGGCGGCCATCAAGGCGCCCGGCTTCGGGGAGCGGCGCAAGGCGCTGCTGCAGGACATCGCCATCGTGACGGGCGCGGAGTTCATCGCAAAGGACCTGGGCATGAAGGTGGGGAGGGGGGGTTGTATTGGGGTGGGGTGGGGGTGGCGGCCCTCCTGTCTTCCTCCTTCTCCTTCGTCTCCTCTTGAGCCGCACACCCCGACATGCAGCCCTGTACCCCACCTACCCACTCCCGCTCTTCCACTTCCTCTCCCACACCCACTCCTGCCCAGCCACAACTTCACACATCCTCCTCATCCTCCTCCTCATTCTTCCTTCCCCACTGCTTCCCCAGTCAGTATTTCTCGCGGCTCAGTTCTCCTCCCCCTCCTCGTCTCTTTAGTGTTTTACCCCCCCACCCCTCTTCCTTACTTTTACATCCCCCCCCCAGGTTGAGTCCGCTGTGATCGAGCAGCTGGGTGTTGCTCGCAAGGCCACCATCGGCAACAACTCCACCACCCTCATCGCCGACGCGGGCAGCCGCGAGGAGATCGAGATGCGCATTGCGCAGCTGAAGAAGGAGCTGGCGGAGACCGACAGCGTGTACGACACGGAGAAGCTCAGCGAGCGCATCGCCAAGCTGAGCGGGGGGGTGGCGGTAATCAAGGTGGGGTGGGGGGGGGGGGGGAAGGGACGGGGGGGGAGTGAAGGGATGGGGGGAGGAGGGGAGGGGGTTTTGTGCTGGGTTTGGAGCAGTAGGGGAAGGTGAGGGGCGGGGTCACTGACAGCAGTACCGACAGCTTGAACATCCTGACGCCCAGTGTGGAAGGATAACCCATCCCCCTCTCGCCCCCTCTCGCCCCCCTCTCCTCTAGGTGGGTGCCGCCACGGAGGCCGAGCTGGAGGACCGCAAGCTGCGTGTGGAGGACGCCAAGAACGCCACCTTCGCGGCGGTGGAGGAGGGCATCGTGCCGGGAGGCGGGGCGGCGCTGCTGCACCTGTGGGTGAAGGGGGGGGGGGGGAGGGGAGGGAGGGGGTAAAATGGAGGACACTGACGAAGTGTATGACGAGGATTCACCGTAGAGGGAGTGGAGAGAGGGAGGGGTAAAGAGGAGACAACTGAGGGAAGGGGGGGAGGGAGGGGGAGGAGGGGACACATGGGGCCCGATGTTGCTGAACTTGCGCGGTGATGTATGGGCTACACATATGAGCCTCCTCTGTGTCAACCCATATCCCCTAACCCCCCTCCCCTCCCCCCCTAACCCCCGTTCCCGCCCCAACCCCCCCTCCCCAGTTCCGAGCTGGTTCCCGCCTTCAAGGAGACGCTGTCGGACCCCGAGGAGCGGCTGGGCGCCGACATCGTGATGAAGGCGCTGCGGGCGCCCTGCCGCCTCATCGCGGACAACGCGGGGGTGGAGGGCGAGGTGGTGGTGCAGCGGCTGCTGGGCAAGCCATTCGAGGTGGGGGAGGGGGGGAGGGGAAGAGGAGGGTGAGAGGGAGAGGGGGAGAGGAGGAAAGGCTGGTAGAAGGGGGAGCTGAGGGGAGGAGGGGAGGAGGAACTAGGGTTTGACTGGTTGGCTTCAGGCTCCATATAGCAGGCTCCATCCACCCTCAAGCGCTGCGCTACAGTGCCAGGGCACGGTACCCCCACGATTCTCGTCTTCCCTCGGCCGCTAATCTTCCCCCCTCCCCTCCTCCCCTCCCCCCCAGGTGGGCTACAACGCCATGATCGACAAGGTTGAGAACCTGCTTGACGCGGGTGTGATCGACCCCGCCAAGGTCACCCGCAACGGCCTGCTCAACGCGGTGTCCATCGCGGGCATCATGCTCACCACGCAGGTGGGGAGGGGAGGGGGGAAAAGGGAGGAAATCAAATGAGAAGTGAAGCAACGGAGTCCCAATCCCATATCCCAGCTCATGCATTTTTAGTGCATACTGAGACACTATTCCTGAAACACGCAACTCATAAGAGGGGCGGGGAAGGAGCGGGAGGAGTGGCAAGGATGGAGACAAAGGGTTGGGAGGTGAGGTACAGGTGTCCTGTCCTGGAGTGGCGGGCCGCAACGGGTACTGGCTTCGTGCTACGTCTCACCGACTCCCTTGCCCCTTCCCTCCCCCGCCTCCCCGCTTCCCCGGTGCCCAGGCTGTCATGGTTGAGAAGAGCAAGCCCAAGGAGGCGCCGGGCGGCATGGGCGCTGGCGGCATGCCCGCCGGCATGACCATCTAAGCAGCCGCTGCAGCGCTTGCTAGGAGTGGGTAGCAGGAGGAGGAGGGTTGACAGCGGCTGCTGTAACAGCAGCAGCGGTTGGAGCGGCAGCGGCAGCGGAGTTGGCTGCGGGTGTAGAAGTAGCAGCAGCAGCAGGAGCTGGGGCCGGGGGCATAGCAGAGGAGAGCAGAGATGGAGCAGCCGCGGCAGGGAGCGCAAGAGGAGCCCTTGGGCGGCTGCTTGCTTGGCTGGGTGTGGGTGGCTGGGGAGCGGAGCACAGGGCAGCAGGGGGCTCCTGGCGGGTCAGAGCAGCCTGGCTGCAGGCGGTGATGGAGTCGGAGGCTGGGGGAGGCGGAGCAGGAGGCAGGAGGCAGCAAGCCGCGGCGGTGCAGGGGTAGGTGCGACAGGGAACACCGGCAGCAGCAGCAGCAGCAGCGGCGGCGGGTTCAGGAGCTGCTGGCGGCGACTCTGCTGCGCGGACCGGCTGGGTTACAGCCCCTGTAGCGCTAGCTGCCGCTGGTGTCGCGCGGCCGCTTTTGTGCATGCGGGGGGCCCGCGGCGGGTGGTGGCCGCCTACAGTTACTCTGCGTTTGTGCTGTATCCGATGCAGCAACCGAAACCGTGTGGTGTAGAGGCTGTGGTGTAGTGGCGTGTGGTATCATGCGGTCGCGGGCCGCCATACTTGGGGGAGGAGGATTAAAATGTGATGTGGTGAGGGTCCCGTGTTTGGGCTCCCTTGCGTGGGAACAAGGCGGGAAGCGTTGTAGGCGCGGGCATTGCATGTGCTACACGGAGGAACTTTGCGGTGTTTTCATGGCAGCGCTCGGCAGCGCGTTTTGCTTTGCGTAGTAACCCAGCCGTTCAATGAGGAGGCAGCAGTTCCGGTTGTCTTGGTTTTTGGTTTTCACAGCTTGCGGCCTTGCGATGAGGGGAGGACGGGGATACAGCTGGACAACGGGACCACCTGCACGCAGCAGCCCAGCAGCCGCATGCCACCACCGCGGCCGCACCTTTCCCAGTTTTGATTCATTTTTGGGGGCCGGCCTCTGCGTTGTGTTGTGCAAGTGGGTCCGGTTGGGCGGCTCGCGGTGCTGAGGCTAGCTGGAGTGGGCTGAGGGACGGGAAACCCGCCAGCTGTAAGGGGCAGGTTGGGATTGTGTGGAGCGAGGCAGGGTTCGAAGGGGCAATGCAGGAGTGGGGCGTATGTTGGTTGGGATGGTCCTGTTGGCTGTTCGGGCAAACATGTTGTTCGGACTTGCTTGCCCTGGGGCTGCTACACATGTAGTCAACTAGACCGTTATGCATGTAAGGTGTAAGCGTGCAGCTCATGTCTAATGTGTCTGGGATATTATCATAGTGTATGCACAGCCGCCCATGTCGCATCATTGAGTGAGGGAGACTCTACAGGCTACTCGGAACAAGGGGATCCGCAGCCCTATATCCCGTGGTCCTCGTGAAACATACTCAATGCGGTAACCTTTCACGGCCTAACCAGGCCAAAGTCACCAGCGGAAGCTCTTTATGCAAGGCACATCGCCAGCAGCCGGGCCATAGTTGAGTAGGCCAATAGGCACAGACAGGTCCGTGGGCCTTGACACAAGCCCCGCGAGGGTTTGGGCCAAGTCCATTTTCCACTATAGCAGTTAACAATTAGTCGACCGTGCCTCGTTCCACTTGCTAACTGCACTTCTAGATCCTGGCACCTGCTATGTTTGGCACCAGCATTGCAACAAAATGTGTTCCACAACAGCATCGTTTTCACAACTAGGCACTGATGTGAGCTTGCTTACTTGCTTTTGCAGATTTGCACGCAGGATACGTTTGTGGGTACAACCAAGTTCAGCAGCAAGCAAAACAGTAAACCTTCATGGGAAAACAATTCGTTAACAAAAGGTATCCCAACATGACCCATAAAGCTTTTGAAGACGCGGATTGCGTGTAAGTTCGGTCCAATTGTACGGCGCGTTCGTCTGTACTCGCTGCTCTCTTCGGACCGCACCCTTATGACTTGTTTTAACAGAGAGCTACTGTTAGGTTCATAAATAGGAGTTATAGCTTTAGGCTATAGGGTGGGACTTTTTCCTATAGTTCAATCGCTTTCGCGCCTTTGCTTCCCCACCAAGCAAGCTAGTCTTAGAAATCCCTAGCTCGACAGATGGACGGCGCATTCCCTAGCAGGACAGGGGAGCCGTTTCAAGATTCTGGCGACGGCCAGGGACCTAAGCCTCGGGGCTTTAGGGGCACTGCTGAAAACGCCAAGACCAAGGTTTGCACACGGTGAGAGTTGTATAGGGCAGAGACCAGTCCGGGTCAATTTATCATACTCCGAGACAACCTTGACCCAGCAAAGTATTGCGTTCCGGGCTGCAGGTGGTTGCAGGGCGATTGCCGGTTCGGTGCTCGCTGCAACTTCGCACATGGCGAACACGAACTGCGGAAGCTGCCTGAGCGGCAAGGTGGCCGTGGTGGTGGCCGTGGCGGTGGATACAACAACTATGGCGGGCCTGGGCGGGTGAGCTACCGGTTCAGCCGATCATGTCTAGTGGGAAGGTCCCCACCTCCTTTTGCTCACTGTTAAACTATTTTCTTGCAGGGAGGTTACGGTGGTCGTGGCCAGGGCGGCTATCCAGGCCAGGGCTACGAAGGCGTAGGCTACGGGCAACCCCAAGCCGGTGGGCCGGGCGTCGCCGAGGACGTTTGGGCCGCGCAGGGATTCCCCGTCCAGGGTGAGTTCAATTAACAACATAAATACAGAAGGGGTATCGACGGGCTTTGCACCGATTTATGAGCATTGTGAATGCATCTCAACATATATGTGCCCACTTTGCAGGGCCCAACGGATGGACCATGTATCGCACACGCGATACCGGGGAGCCCTATTACCATAACCACCGGTCTAATGAGACAACATGGGACCGGCCCGCGGACTGGCCCATCACAATGTGACAAGCTTGACGGTAACAGCAGTATTAGTGCGGATAATTATCTGCGCTTCATAATAGACTGACGACGTCGTTGCTGGAATGGAAATCTTGTGGAGCAGTATAAGGAGACTGCATGTGAAACAGAGTATTGGCCTCGGCTCCTTCTAATTGCTTTTGCGCTTTTACCACTTAGCCCGCGACTTGCGCCTGCTTATTGCGGCCCCAGCGTTAGCACTATAGAGCTGAGGGTGTTGTGTAGCAGCGCGGCGCCTTCTTGGTCGTCCTGGAATAGCCTTGACTAGCCTTGATTAGTTCTAGCAACCTCCGCTGCTTGTGCGGTAGTGGCATCATGGCGTAAGACACTTAGCCATTCGCGTTAATCGTGGCCTCCGTTGCGGGCAACAGCTCATGCTCTTGAAGTTAGTGGGGATTACTTGACAGACCACCTGAGACTTTACGGCGGACCTTGTAGCTTCGGAAGGCGAGCAACGCAACTCGTGTGTATGATGTATTGTTCAGCACCTTAATGGCAATGATGTGTTTGCCACGGCATTTTGCATGCACCGTACAGTATGGGACTGTCTGTATGAGCCCAGGCACTGTTGGTGTAGTTCTGTGGGTGGTCGGTATCTTTCTTGAGGTTGCAACGTGCAAACCTGGCGTGCCGCGGACAAACAGCAATGACTCCTCGTTGCTTGGTATCCAGGGCCAGTGCACAGTGGTTACATGGCCTCACAACCATGCGTGCATGGAAGCCGTTGAGGCGCATTTGTTGTAGTGGTTACGGGGCATGATGGGAGATACCAGATGTCACTGGCCTTCCCCTGTACCAAGCAGATGTAAACACCCTGAATCTGCGGTGGCACGACCTGTTTTGCCAATCCTTCTTGCTATGTCCGTCATTTTGGGCTATGGGTGCGGACCGCTCACCCTTAACAGTCATCCCTTAATACAGGTCCCTCAGCTGCACAGCAACCGTTTGGCTGCCTACTCTGTGTCGTCCGAGCGTATCTGTATGTACGGCGCGGACCCTCAATGCTCCAGCAGTGAGAGCTTCGGGCAGCAACATACTCGCGGCCTGTTACAACACGAGTCCTCCCACAGCAGCGCTAGCCAGCGTGTTCCGTCATGAGGGATTATAACCCGTCAATTTCGGCAATCGGCATCAAAATTGCAGGACTTCACATGACAACACCGCCCCAGAGTCCAACCGTTGTCCGGCTCAACCTCCATCCCGCTATCTTCTCTCGTGCGCACACGACACCCAGTCCTTTGCAGCACCCAACTTGCCTACCGTCACATCCCTGGCGACCAACTCTGGTTAATATTCCAGTACGATGGTATGGAAGACCTCCTAAATCCGTACTACACTACGATCCATGCTACTCTACGAGCTCCTGTGCTCTGACGCAGCACTTGGCAGTGCTCACCAACCCCTCAATGCCTAGCATGTCCACGGGCATGGGCACTGCGGTCTGTGCAGCCGCTCATCACCACCACACCGAGTCGCATAACACACCCTCCGCTATCACACCTTGCCCCTCAATCTCATCCCATCTCTATTCTTTTATTCCCTAGCCCCAACACCCCATGCATCCGACTTTTCCCTACCTTCTACCTCGCTGAACCCACCGTCTCCCGCTGCTGATCCGGCAACACCCGCAGCTGCTGAGGTAACCCTCTTATCCCATCCCCGTTTCCACCCTCGCCTCCCAAGCCCTCCAAGCTCCCTGATTGCTGCTCCTCCGCGTCTTTCGCCGCCGCCCCGCGACCGTACGCCAGCGGTGTGGCTTGCGTCTGGTACTCCCCCTCCCCCGCTCCCTCCCCCTCCGCCCCCGCCTGCCCCTCCAGCTGCTCCCAGCCGCCCGCTGCCTCCGCGCGCGCCGCTGCCTCCGCACTGGTCCGCTGGCTGAAGAGCTGCGGCTGCTGCGAGGCGAAGAGCGCGATCAGCTCGGGCGGCACGTGCTCCTCGGGCTCCCAGGAGGTCTGGAGGAGGAGGAGAAAAGGTGGAGAGGGGGGGAGGGTGTGCAGGAGGAGGAGCGGGGTTAATGGGTTGTACACAGCGGCTCTGGGGAGCAGGGACAGGGAAACTGCTTCTGTTACCACCTCGCTGCAGGCTTTGCACCACCAGCGTATGACGCCGCATGACACACAGTTGCAATTGCCCCTTTCGGACCGTTTCCGGATGTCATATCCCACAACCTATTCCCTCTTCACATGCCTGCCTCGCGGCTCCGTGTACCTAACCCCCCTCACCGGGTAGCCATCCGCCCACTTAATTTTGAAGCGCCGCTCGGTGCCGACCTGCGTGGGAGGGGGGAGCGGGGGTAGCAGTGAGCAAAGGGGTGCGGGCGGGGTGTATGGAACAGCGCAGTGAGGGGGTGACGTGCTGGAGGTGTTGTGGGTCTGGGGAGGGATGTGGGTTGCGGCAGCATGGCGGCATCACACCTGCCCTGCAGCTCGGATCCCCCAGCCCCCCTCCTTACCCCCTCACCCTCAACCCAGTGGCATTCCACAAGAGCTACCGCTGTTCCCAACACCAGGGTATCCTTCTATGGTTTACCACCCACCCCCTTCCCCCCACCCCTGCCTACTCGGGCTAGGCGGGACGCGTCGGCCCCCCATGGTGCACCCCCCATGCTGGAGCCTGTAACACTTCGTCTCTTCCTCTGTACCACCCCCTCACCTCCCCCTCCTGAAATTGCAACATCAAACCCACCAGTGTTACCCCGTCCGTTTCCTTACTTCTATCCCCAACTACGGTCAGGGTCGGTGTTTCCGTGGCTCAGCTTATCTACCCCCCCCCCACCTGCACCCATGGTGAAGCCTCGCCATCCACTTCGTCAGTTTCCCTTATCCCCCCCCACCCCCCCCCACCTGCACCACATCCAGCACCTCCTCCGCGCTCGCGTACTCCAGCCCCGCCAGGAAGTCCCCCAGCACCTCCGACCCCACCCGGCTCTCAGGCACCCACTCGTCGTCGCGGCCGTCGGAAGCGGGGAAGGCAACCAGGAACTCGCGGCTGCCGTCGGGGCCGGTGCGCATGTTGAGTACGGCAGCGGGGGTCACCTCGTCGTACAGCCTGGGGGGGAGGGGGGGAAGAGGGGAGGGGGGCGTGGAGGGGGATGGGAGACGGGTATGGGTGAGGGAGGGGCAATATGTGCATGGGGTGCTGATACCTGGGTTGTGGCATGCATAGGGGTTCAGGGGCAGGAAGGGTTGGGCTGTTGCGGAAGGGTGCTGGCAGCCCCCAACCCCACCTCGTGATCTCTGTTGTCCTAGTTGGTAGTCGTTTCCTCGCACCCATCCCCACCTATCCCTCCCTCCACCCCCGCACCCCCTCCCCCCACCTGTCCGTGAGGCAGTTTGCCACCTCCTCCAGCGCCAGCCTGCGCTGCACGCTGCCCATGCTGAGCGGCATGCTGCCCCGCAGCCCCTCCACCAGCCGCACCACGTCCCGCCCGCTGCTGTCGCGCAGCTCGGGGTTGGCGCCGCCCTCCAGCAGCACCGCGCAGCTCGAGGTGTGCATGTAGCCGGCGGCCATGTGGAGGGGCGTGAAGCCTGCGGGGGGGGGAGAGGGGGGGAAAGGGAGGGGAGTGGGGAGGGGGGAAAGGGAGGGGAGTGGGGAGGGGGGAAGGGGCGAGTAGGGGAGGGGGCAGGAGAGAGAGGGAGGTACTAGAGGGTTTCATTGGGGGGGCGGGTAGGGTGGGTAGGAGCTAGCGAGTACGCAGCCGGGTATGCACCAATGACATGTGAGGGGTGGGACAGGGGTGTGAAGGGGGTGGGTCAGGAAAGGAGGTAGGGGAGGTTCCTGATCCGGGCCCGGCCAGAACGCCGCATCCCGGTAACACCCCTCACGGAGGGCCCGGCCCATGGCCACCAAGCCGTCCAGCCTTTCACAGTGATGAGTGATGTCCACCCAGCGCTCTGGCTTGGCCAACAAGGGTTGGGCTCCGCGTGTCGGCGACCATGATGCAACACCTTCTCACCCTGTTGTTTCTACAGTTCCTCCTTACCCCTGTCTCTTTCCCCTCGGCCGGTTCCTTCCTCTTCACCCCTGCCTCACCTCCCCCCCAACACCCCTGCCCCGCTCACCCTCCTTGTCCTGCAGGTCCACGTCCGCCCCCGCCTCCAGCAGCAGCCGGCAGCAGTCCGCGTTGCCCAGTGCAGCGGCGAAGTGGAGCGCACTGGGGCGTGTGGGGGGTGGGGGAAGAGTTGGCGGCTCTGTTCTATTCATGTGGACGGTAGACAGTGGACGGTAGACAGAGAAGGGAAAAGGAGGTCCTCTCCCCTCCCAACCACACCGGCTCCACCGCCATGCTTCCCCTCCTCTCTAACCCACCCGCTGTCCGCCCCTCGCCTCGCCCCCTATTCCCCGGCCCCCGGCAGAATGCAGCTCTAACGCCGAACTGCCTCCCTCCCTCCCCCTCCCTCCTGCTTCGTCAGTGTCTCATTATATATATTTTTTATCCCCCTCCCTCCCCCGGCCCCCACCTCCTGCCGTTCTCATCCACTGCGTTGGCCAGCAGCTCCCGCGCCCCACCCAGCATGTGGATCATGGTGTCCAGGTCGGCCTGGGTGAGGGGGAGGAGGGGATTAATTTGGAGACATAATCCGCATTAGGCTGGATTACGGAGGAGGGGGGGGGGGAAGAGAGGGGAGGGGCTGAAGGGAAAGAAGGAGAACCATGGGAGGGCTGAGGGAAGGGAGAGAGCAGCACGGAGTCAGGGCCATGCTCCCGACCGCGCCATGCAACCGCCGCAGCGGGTACTGCTCACGCAGGACATGCGCAGCTGATGCGATAAGGAGCCGCACGAAAGGGGGGCGGGAGGGGTGCCTTCCCCTGCTGGCGTTCCCTGCCAGCACGGCGGCGCTATAGAAAGAGCAACACCCGGCAGCAATACCCGGTTGGAGCGGTGGGAACCGATGAGGCGTCGGAGCAGCAGCACCAGTCCCGGCCGCTTGGGGCCGCAACCCATATGTAACCCTACCCCTACCCTCCGGCCACCCACCCATGGTGCCGGGCGTCCACCCGCCCTCACACGCACCTACTCTACCCTCCCATGCGGCCCCATGCTCGCTCCCCCCAGATGCGCCCCAAGGGCGGGCTCCGACATGCGCTGTAGCCCCACGCGCCCCCCCTCCTGACCGCCCTGACGCCAACCCTACACCCCCCGCCCCCCGGGCCCCCCCACCTTCCTGGCCGCCGCCCACCACTTCTCCTCAAAGTCCCGCACCAGGTCCTCCGACAGGTCCGCACCCACCTCCCTGGCGAGGGTGGGGCAGGGGGGGTTGGGTAGGAGTTGCGCATGCGGGTCGGGAGCAAGCGGGAATGAAGCAGGAACGCAGGATGCTGGACGTAAGCGAGATGGCGTGGGGCCGGCCGGGTACAGCCGAGCGAGGGCGGGAGGATTGCAGCCAATCGTGCGCAAGGGTGGTGGTATGCGGGAAAGCAGCACGCGGGCAAGGCAGGGGGGGGGCCTGGGCGGCATGGCAGCCGGCTCAGCAGCCAGCGCAGCACAGCATGACCCGGATGCTTAGCCCATTCCGCGAGGCCTGCCTCACTGCTTTTCTCCTCCCCCCCCGGGCTGCTCCCCCGGTTCACCAGGCTCTACTCGACCCCCATCCCGACCCCATCCCCCGCAACAGTAGATGTGCATGGGATGGAGCAGGAGTTTGCCGATTGTACGAATGAGAAAGGCCCTCCCTCACCATGTGTCCTCCGATCCGTCCTGTGTGGCGGTCGGGGTCAGGGTTAAAAGGGACAGCAGGGTCAGGAATAGGTGCGAGCACAGGCTGGGGTCGTCGATGAAAGCAAGAAAGGGTCCGCGAGTGTGAGGTTCGGGAAATGTTGCGTCCATCTCGATGCTTCGTGCGGGGCCTTGCGTTGGTTGGGCACTTCAGTGATGCGGCAAGCTGATTATCACCGTAAGCTTACCTTCCATTTAATGAGGTATTCGACACGCGGTGTGTCAGAATCGACGACAAGGCGCGCACCGGCAACCTCCTCGACCTCCTTGTAGCCCTCCACGTATACTAGGGGCGCAGGGCCCGAAGCCTGCAGCAATTGCCGCCTGTAATGTTGAATAGGTGGTCTGATAGCTGTAAATGGTTTGAAGCTATGCGTCCTAGCTGGAGCCGGACTGTGCCGGTGGGGCGAGCGTGCTGGGAGCTGCGCTCTTGAGAACATTGGATTATTTGTGCGAAGGGAATAGAACTGTTGTAACTAAAGAGTTTTTAATTCGGATCCACGTTAGGTAAAAGCAAAGCGTATCGTCTTAAGGAAAACGTATACCCTAGATCCTAACAAACACAGAGAGGTAACAGCATGGCTTGAACACAGCCTTGCTCCAAAGGAAGCGATAGAGCAAGATTACGGAGAAGTTTGCCACAGATTTAGGGAGTACGGGAAGAGTACGGATGTTGGTCGACAGCTTCACTACTGCAGTCGGCATTTGCAATAGGAAAATATGACGATCACGATGACATGATGGCATCGTTACATACGCCAGCTTTGCCGGCAATTTTCGCAACGCTCTTTGTTTTGCCGTTGCTGCTACCGCTGGCAAGCTCGGGGCATGCCCCAGCTGTTTTCGAGCCATCACATGCAGCTGCACAATTAGGAGAAACTAACTTTACGGCCACGCTTGGTGTTAAGGATACAAACCAGCCATGCCTCGTAGAGTTCTACGCATCGTGGTGCCCTGCCTGTAAGCACTTTGCACCAACGTTCGAGAAGCTCGCCTCATTTTTAAAAGGGCAGTCGTTCGGCGGGCGTCCACTCTACATCGCTCGCGTGGATTGCGCTACCGAGGTCCGTCTGCAGCACTCCCTGTCCAAAATGCCGCTGCTTACATTAACGGTAGCTCGTAACTTGTTTGATTGAACGGCGCACGTATCGGAAACTGGTATCGGTACCGTGGTTGTTGTGCGTCTGTCCAAGTTCCGTTGCGGTGACCATCTGTCAAGGCTTGGTGGCGCACGCAGCAATACTGTTGGATCAATAAGCATGCTATGAAGGCTGGTCATTGTCCACATCACTCTATGTTACGGTTCTGCTTATACTGCCATCCCCAGGTGAAACTATGCGGCGAATTCGAGCTGACGGGCTACCCGTCGCTTCTCATGGGACAAGCGCAGGACTTTGCTACCAAGCAGCATAAAAAGCTTTCCCTGTTTCAAGGACCGCGCGACCTTCCGGTTTTGACGGCCTGGGTGGGCCGTTACTTCAACATGTGAGTGAGCATCAGCCTGGGTGTTTGGGCGAATGCGTTACGATTTTGTGGCGATGGCAGGAGAGATACGTCAAGTGGCTCGACGGCACGGCTTAAGTTGCCTTGCTTATATTTCACTCCACGCCATGTCGCTGTCCCCGTGCGCCTCTTCAGCGTTCACAACCCCGACCTCCCCCGTCGCCCCCTAGGACGTTGACCTACTCGGCAGTGCCCACCACATCTACGACGGGACCAGCAGAAACCTCAAGCAGCAGCAACAGCCGCGGCAGTGAAGGGGCTCCCGCGGAAAACACCAAGCGGCGTCCGCTGCCGCAGGGCCCGGTGTGGTCGGTAGCCGATGTGGAGGGCGCCACGTTGCAGCTCTGGCGCATTGTGGTGACCACCCCGCTGCTGCACCGCGGGCCGGAGAAGCGCACGGCGCTGCAAGAGGTGCTGTCGGTGTGGGCGGCGGCGCACCCCAGCAGCAGGTGTGTGCGGACAGGAGGAGTGAGGTGGGATTCCATCGCATTGACTTGGACTGACGGGATAGGACAGAAGGGGCCGTTTGGGGATGTGGGTTAAGGCAAGGTCCACAGCAGGGTGAGGTTCGGCGGTGCATCCATGACTTGTTGCTCCTCTCCGGGAGATGCGTACGCGAGGTGTTGGCACGGTCACTTGGCCTCTTGTTTTCCTAGCCCCGCTGACCCGCTTCCCGTGTCCCTACTCCATCTCTCCCCCTTCTCCAGCTGCAAGACGCACGCTGCCCGCCTGCTGGGTTCGTACGACACGTTGTGGCCGCCGGCCGAGCAGGAGGCGCCGGCGGCGCTGCTGATGGCGGAGCCGTGCGGCCCTGCGGCGGGCCTGGCCTACCGCGGGGAGTGGGAGAGCTGCCGCGGGTCGCAGCCGGACAGCCGAGGCTACTCGTGCGGGCTGTGGGAGATGCTGCACACCCTGGCGCTGCGGTGAGCGGCAGGGCGGAGCAGGCGAAGGGGGGAGCAGGGCAGGGGAGGATTGTACGGCCAGGGAAGGGCAGCGATGTGGGGGGAGGTGGGCTGGGGACTGGATACATTGGATTACGCCGATACAGAACTCAACATCGTAGCCATGCCCGAACGTAAAGCCAATCCGCGGGTTGCAACACCGCCCAAGCAGCAGCTCTCCCATCACTTCCTGTTATCACCCTCCCCGCCATCCTCCTTCTTCCTCCTGCGCCCTAGTCTGCCCGAGCAGGGCGGCCGCGGCGGCCCAGCTGCCACCATGATGGCCTTCCTGCTGCAGTTCAACAAGCATTTCTTCCTCTGCGAGCCCTGCCAGAAGCACTTTGGCCGCATCCTCACCTCCCCGGAGGCGGCCGCTGTGAGGGACCGACGCTCGCTGGTGATGTGGCTCTGGCGGGTGCACAACGAGGTGGGTGGGGGCGTATGGAGGCGAGTGCGGTACCCTGGGTGGAGGGGGTCCGGGTGGGGGCGGTGGAGGGGGAGGGGAGTGGACGGAAGCTGGTGAGAGATGCGCCGTAAGGGCTGTCCCCGCATGTCGTCTGTGAGCTGGAGGGCTGTCGCCCGCAGTAGGCCCTCTTATTTCAGGTCAAGCTTCTAACGTGCCGTGCGCGCACAGCTTTCGGCAGCAATTACAGGCGCCGTGGCTTGCATGTATCGGTCAACTTTTCTCACGCGACTAAGCGCAGCTGTTGGAAGTAAGCAGCGTCACAGTTGTGGTACGATACTGTGTGGTATGCCCCTACGGTATGCCCTTACTGGTACCACCACGGGCCCCACCCCACCTCCTCTGTGCCTTCCTTCAGGTGAACCAGCGGCTGCGCGGAGTGGAGTCAAAGTACGGCCACAGCACCACCGGCGACCCCGAGTTCCCCAAGGAGCAGTGGCCGGCTCCAGAGACCTGCCCCACCTGCCGCAACGCGGACGGCGTGTGGGTGGAGGAGCAGGTGTGGGCCTACCTGCAGCGGGCGTATGGACCCGGCAGCGCGCCAGGAGCCGACTCGACAGCGGCAGGGAGACCTGGTCAGCTGCTGCATGCCAGGTGGGTCGAGGAAGGGGGCGGTGCGGAGTGAAAGCCCGGAGAGGGCACTTTGGATGTGACGGGGCGTAGCAGGCAGGTCTCGTTGGCTGCCTAGCCATCAAGCCGCCGTGGCCATTGGTTTCTTATTGCCGACTAAAGACAGGGCGTGCTTTGCATCGATTTCCTCGTTGGCTTTTCTGCGCAGCTGGTTGTGCCAACACGTCCCACGACCCCTCATTTTCCATGCGCCAGGACGACTTTTGTCGCTGCGTCCTGGGTCTACAGCGCTCTCCCGGTGGCCGGCGTGCTAGCTTCGGTGGCGGTGCTGTATGTGGTGCTCCGCGGGAGGGCGGGCCGGCGGCGAGGGTACTTTGGTGGGATCGCTAAATGACGGGGCGGCCCACGAGCGGACGAAGGGTCCCCTCGTGGGCGATTGGCGTCTGGCTCCAGCGCCTATGTGGACGTAAAAACGTCGTCTCCGCTCTCCTCTTATGGTGACAAGCTGGCGTAGTTTGGGGATGAGCCATGGCCTATAGTCGCTGTGAGCGTCACACTTTAGCATTATTGGGGTCTGAATGGTGCTTCGTACTGATCCTCTGATCCACACACATTTGCACCAAATTTACATCCTACTGCTGTAGGATAGCCGTACGCACGCTTTATTAAGATATGGGCCGACGCAACAAGACGAGGCAAAGCGATACCTTCATTTGCATATGCCCTGTGTTCCTAGTCCCATGAAAGTCACCTAGTCAACGTGATCCTGCAACACGTGTAACGCCCCTCGTACCCTCAAAATCCGTCTGCATCCGTAATACATAACCTCTACCCGCCTTCCCTCACGATGAGCACCTATCGAAAAGCTGCAATTCGCAGGCTGCACGCCGTATGAAACCGTAGTTCCAAGCTGTGAAATTATGCACGCCACATGAATAGGTTTAGTCCGCAAGCTGCTCCAACTCATTATAAGACTCCTCGAGTCGCCCGCTGTCAGTACAAAATCCACGAACACATGCGCACCCTCAGTGCCGCGCGGCCCCAATAGTTCGGACACAGGAACTTCCACTGGGCCAGAGCGCTTTTATTGGGTGCACTGCGCGGCCCCACTACCACGAGTTTATGTCCCAGAACCGCCATGCATTACGAGCAACCTCTCCCACTGGAAACCCGCCTGCGGGCACATTAATGTGCAAGGACTGGAAGACTAGGCGGTCACCAGCACACTGTTAAACAAGCACGCATCTCAGCATACGTCCTGACCCTGCATCCATATGTGTGTAATGTACCGTAGCGCCATAAAAGGTAAGCAATAAAAACACGCGGGCTGCCGCGCTGGACTGTCGCTCGTGCCACCCGCTCAGCTGCCCGCAGCTTGCTCTCATGCGTCCGTGGCCATCCCTGGCCCCACAGTCGCTCCTGTCCCCAAGAGTGTTACGGCCGGAGCTTGCGTTTTCCCCGACATGCCCGTCAATAGCGGGCCCGGAGTGTCGACGACGTCCGCGACCCCGGTTGCTGCAACGACGGGGTCCTCCGCTGAAGACAGGCATACCCCTGGTGCCTGGCAGCATTTATCAGCTTCCTGCTGTTGCGGGCGGCTCTCCTCCTGCTGCTCCGGCCGCTTCTCCGTCCCTCGCCCGGGCAACTCCTGCTGCACCGCTGGCACCACCTGGGGCCCCGACCTAGGGGACGGCGGCTGCACCACAGTGCCGGCGCCGCGGAACTGCTCCGGCACTAGCACCGCTAGAAAGGAGTCGACGCGCCTGGACAGTGCGAGCGGACGGACAGGAAGAGGACGTGAGCGAAACGCCCCCGGGTTGAATGGGGTTTGCAGTGTCCTAAAGATAGCCTTCCATAGTGACAAACAGGCAGCAGCTCTTCAATTCATAACTAGGAGGCACATCAAAGACCGCTTTTGCCATGGCGCCAATGTGGCCCCATCCACTCACAATCGCTTGAGCTCTGTGAGCTGGCTGAAGGTCTCCGGCAGCTCAGTCAGTTTGTTGTTGTCGAGCCACCTGTGTGGAAAGGGAACGTCGTTGGTTAGCCTCGTTACCACACAGTGCATGGCTGCTGACCCTCCCAGCCAAAAGCGGCGAGCCCGGCACTCACAGCGAGGTCAGGCATTTGAGCTCCCCAATGCTCTGAGGCAGCTGCTCCAACGCATTGTCGTTGGCGATCCTGCGTTGGAGCACTCTCGTCAGTACACGGCCCCCAAACGCATCGTGGTGGCCCCTGGACGTTGCTACGGCAGTCCAACTTACAGCTGGCGTAGGTTGGTCAATTTGCCCAACGCATGCGGAAGGCATGCCAGCTGGTTGTCGTGCAACCACCTACAAACCGCGCAATTTAGCGGGGTGTTAGCAAAACAAATGATGGGTACACACACGTGGTGTGATGCGTAGTTAAAACAAGCCAACAGAGCCCGCGTAAGCCTCACTTACAGCGTCTGCAGCTGCGTAAGGTCACAAAGCTCCGCAGGGAGCTGTTTCAGGTTGTTACCGTCCAACATCCTGTTGGGGAAGGAAGGTGTAAGGCAACCGGAGCGGCATTGCAGCATTCCCCCGCCCAGCCCATAATACTACTTACAAGGAAGTAAGGCTGGTGAGCTGGCCGAGTGTCGGTGGCAGTTGTGTAAGGCCATTGTTGCTAAGCAACCTGTGCACATGGGACGTAAGAGTGTCGATTTCGTGGGCATACTCCCCAGGCGCATAATCGACACCAAACTTACAAAGCAGTCAAGCTTGTAAGCTGTCCGACCTCCGACGGCAGGACCGTCAAGTGCATGCTGCTCAAAGCCCTGCAAACATGTGATACAACGTCAGAAACTCGTTGTAGAAGCAAGCTTGCTTCGCCAGAAAGGCTTACAGGCCAGTAACCTCCCCGTTGGCCGTGCGCACGCCCTGCCAACGCCTGAAGTCGGTGGACCGCCAGAAGGCCACGCTGATCTTGCTGTTAGGATTGCTGTCCCGAATCTTAGCTAGCACGAGACGGTTGCCCTCATCCGCTGCAGTGCAAGGCTGAGAAAGAAAACAGTCGTTGGCATTAGCCGAACGGCCGTAGGAAGTTCTCGCCATTGATGCATTTACCTGCTCTGGCGCAGGCAGGGCCACCGGCGGCTCAGCGTGCCCCGTTGCAAGGTCTGATACTCTCCGCCGCAGTTGGTTGTTCATGCTTTTGAGCTCCGAATACTGTTTCTGCACCTCTGCTAGCTTGCGCTCGGCCTCTGCTCGCGCCTCCAGTTGGGCCTGCAGCCCAGCCCCAGCAAGCTGCTGCCGAGCCGACTCAAACTCCCGTTGCAATCCATCATGCTCCGTCTGCAGCTCCTGGTGCTTGGACTGCAGCTCTGCGTAAGAGCGGGCTGTATCCTTTGCTGCTGAAAGCTCCTTTTGCAAAGCTGAATTACGATCCTGGAGCTGCTGCAGCTGCGCCTTCAACGCAAGAAGCTCGCTAGCTGTATCTGTGGACTCTAGAGGTTGGGGCTGTGCACCAGAAGCTACATTGTTATCAGCGTTGGGCTTTTGTCCGGGGTTGTTCCTCGATTTATCGTCGTCGAACGGTGCAGACTCCTCCCGCGAGCACAGCCCGCCCATGGCCCGCGAGAAAGCCTTAAGAAGTCGTTGGTGCCCTGAAGGCAGCGAACGCAACTAACAATAGGAGCGAAACATCCGTTTTGTCTACAGTATCCTTCAGCATAGGTCTCGGCATGGAAATTAAAAACTCGAGATTCCGCTGTGCATGTTCTTTAGAAGATGGTACCAGAAAACAAGGTACAGGAAAAGTTTTGGCTTGTATACTACTGTACGACATATGACCCTGAGGACCATTGAAACACAGCCACATCCCTTTAGGACTAGTGATAGTTATAGGTCAAGGTGCTGTCTGCTGCAGAGCCAAAGGCAATGACCAATCAGTCACTGGCCTTAAGTGCATACTTCTTAGGCTATGCATAAGGTCACACTGTAAGAGGAAGCACAATAGTTAGAAGATGAAGTACCGATAAACAATCAGTGGGGTTTCTCACCCCTTGATTACCCCTTGCAGCAGTTGATTGAAGGGCGGTGACCTATACAAGCCTTACGCACTCCATACCCTGCCATAACCCTGTAGACCTTACTAGCATTTTGTGGAAGAAGCTTTACAAGGGTTGCTACACCTGATACCGTGGCCGAACCGAACCGAACCCGAAGTGTACCGTGCAGGCCGTACCCAATGCGTACCTGTTGCTGGATCGTTGGGGTATCACTGTGGCATATGCCAGTGGGGTGGTGTGCGCGTGCGGTCTTCCTCACAACCATGGCCTTAATCATGCATTCTGCCCGCATGCCGTTCAATCTCCACAGTACCACGCAATGCTGCATCTAGCGGCCCTCGGCTCATAACATGGAACGTAGCTTGGCTGGAGCAGGAAAGCGGAGTGGAAGATGTTTAAAACGCACATATTCATAAGAATTCCTGGGCCTGGTTGTAAGTAGGCCGCAACCGTGCTTAGCATACTATACAAGCAAAACCCCCGGGCGTCTGTCAAATGGGTTTTAGCCCTTCCAAGCTCCACAAGACGCGCCCTATTCTAGATCTATATGCACGCGTCAAAGAACAATAACACAACACCATGACAGTAACCCTCAGTAAGGCCATATCATGCCACCCGGGGCGTGTCTAGCTGCCGTTGCCGCATGCATCACGCCCCGTCAAACTGTCTGCAAACATAAGGACATATGCCCAGTCATAGGGCATTTAGCATTACCGGTATTACCAAGGCAAGCTGATACCAGTAGTATGGTTTTGGAACACAAGAAACACACACATAAATACGTCACTCCCTCTCCCCTCACACAAGGTCTACTCACGTGGCAAGTCTCTCTCCCCTCCTCTCATGCCATCTACCCCACACGCATGCTTCGACATGACCCCAGTGTACCCACAACACAAAGCCCTCAGCAGAAATGAATGAATTGTCCTACTACCGTACCCCGTACATTGCCGCCGCTTTTCGCATAGCTCTTCACTTGCCGTACCCACCTACACTTCGAGGAAGGTAAGGGAGCCCCATCCGTACACCGAGCAGTCAAAGCATGCATGCAAGTCCGTACACTACACACCGGTTACGTACGGCCGCCTCGACTCAGCATCCACCACGGCACGTCCAGAAAGACAGCATCAGATGCAGGGCCCCCGCAGCCCAGCAGCAAGTGTACGGTGCGGAGGAACACCCTCTGCATGCAACACCTGGGCAATTAAGTGTCACGTCCAAGCCCTGCCATGCCCGGCCTCCGTACATTCCCATCCAGCCATGTGTGATGCTATTGCCAGGTCTCCCTGTATCCCTCGGTTCAGTGCTACCGTTACAGCATTGTTACTGTCGGCATTGTGGTACGACACACCCATACATGCGGCTCTTCCCGTCCCTTCTACGTCACCCGTTTCCCTGCTTTCCACCTTGCCTTCTCCCCTCATCCTGCCTCCCTCTTCCTTGCCAGTCACCCGAAGCTTAGCGCGCATGTCGCCACGGCGGCGGTGGAGGTAACAGTGCTATCTTAGCTAGCAAAAGCGTCCCGCCTCCGCTCCTGTACATAAAAGTCCCCTCCACCGGACAGTATGGAATTGGACTGCATGTTGTTGAAAGGCACCGCACTGCGTTGCACGGCTCAGCACAGCACCGTGTAGCACAGGGAGGCAAGGCATCGCGCAGCATGCCAAATCACAGCATTGCATGGCACATCACAGCGCTGCAGGGAAGCAAAGTCCTGCACCGCACCGCACTTCCTTGCACAGCACATCACAGCACAGCAGTGCACTGCAGCGCACATCACAGCTCTACATAGCAGAGCGCAGCATGTGCAGCACTGCCTCCTTACGGCTGTACTTCCACCACCACTTCTACTCCCATCACTGCCGCCCCTTATAGCCCGTTGCCTGCTGCCAGCCGTACCCACCCACCCCGCCACTGCTGTGGTGGCTCCCAGCCGGACCCCCCGCCCCCGCCCCCGCCTCCGCCAAGGCTGCTGCTGCCGCGGCGCCCCCCGCGGCGCCCGTGAAGCCCGAGGGCAGCAGCGAAGCCGCATGTGCAGGAGGGGGAGCGGCAGCGGCACCTGCGGCCACTGCCACACCGCGACCGGGACCAGCAGCCCCCCCTTCCCCCACCGCTCCCTGCCGCACGCCTGGCGCCTCCAACCCGCTGGCAGCCGGGCCCCCTGAGGGCCACGCGGGCCGCAGCAGCGCCCTGCCCTCGCGGCCACAGCCGCCTAACCCGCGGCTGCTGTTGGGTGCCGAGACCGCCTTGACCCCCCTGGTAGGGGCGGCAGCACCCGTCTTGGACACCGTTACACTGCCTGCCATGCCGCCCCCGACGGTACTGCTGTTGCTGCTGTCGCTGCTACCGACCGTCCGTGCTAGCCTTGTTGCTGTCCCCGCCTTTGCCGGCTGCTGTTGATGATTGGGTGGCTGCGGGTGGTGATGACTGGAGGAGGAGACGGACGAGCAGGAAGGCGAAGAAGACGAGTGCGGTGGCATCATCCCCACTGGCGGTGGCGGCAGCATGACGCTCTTGATGCTGCCGTCCGGTGCCGCCTGGGGCGCCGTGGGGGCTGGTGCTGCTGCAGTGCTGGACGCGACAGTGGCAGCAGCAGCACCTGCAGCAGGTAATGCGGTTGCTGCGAGCGTCTGCTCGTGCCGGCGGTGCTGCTGCTGCTGCGCGGCCTTGGCGAACTGAGGGAGGGCACGTGCGACACGGGAGGGAGTGTGGGCAGTGAGAAAGGGAAGCCGGGCTATGTGCCGTACTCTCCCCGGCTTTACCCTAGACGCGTGCGTGTACCTGGACCAACCCAGACCGGCGCATGTATGGCTCCAGCTGAGTGATCATGGCACGCCCAGGTGACTGCAATCCCCCTCCCCGGAGTCAGCGCCGGCTCACAACAATCACATACGCCTAGCGTTGCCTCTCCTCGCCACGCATACCCCTGAAACCACCTTTCCATCACTCCTAGCAAACAGAAACACGGCTTGAGCGCCCCTCCCCAACCCCTACTGGCTACTGCACACCCCCCTAGCCGCCAGCCACCCCTCACCAGGTTCTCCGCAGCCTCCTCGTCCGCCCTGCGCCCGCGACCCGTGTGGTAGCACACGCAGCAGTCCCGCCAGCAGGCCCTCCAGCAGCCGCCCCGCTGCAGCCGCTGCTGAGCCCCCTGCTGGTAGGCCTGCTGGCGGCGGCGGCTGCGGCCCAGGGAGTCCATGCGGGACAGCAGGTAGGCGGCCGCAGCCAGGGCGGTGAACGACAGGGCGGCTGGGTGGGGGTGGGGGTGGGGGCGGGGGCGGGGTGGACAGGGGGGTCAATTTATATCAATTAAATCAACGATATAAAAACAAAAAAGAAAAAGCAGGGACCCGGTCAGGCGCTTGGGTGGGTGCCCAGCCTGCTCGTGATGTTATAAAAGGGCGATGCGACTTCATCGACCTCGAAAGCGCCAGTTCGAACAGCGGCGTGGAGTGAGGTATGCGGTGGGTGGAGGGGAGTCGCGGAAGCCCTCAAACAGTAAGACAACATGGAGCGGGTACAGCCACAAAGCTACTACACAGGTGGGCCCAACAACCCGTCGGGTCACTCATTAGCCCATCACACCCTTCAAACACGAAAGTAGCAGGCAGGGAGGGCGGCAGCGACCTGCTGCCTCTCCCTCCCTCCCTCTCTTCCTCCCGCCTCACCCGCTGCCGTCAGCGCGCACCACTGCTGGTAGGCCAGGCTGCCCAGGCTGCAGCAGCCCACCGCCTTGAGGTTGACGTACAGGGGGTGCACCTTGTCGTACGACACCTGCCCGGCGTGCGTACCGTACACACGTACGTGCGTCACACGCAATGGTTAGGTGAAGGAAGTAGGCAGGGTGGGTAGGGTAGTCGAGCCGGCAAGGTGGGAGCTGCACAGAGGGACCCCAGGCCACCACACATTGCCTCGAGGCCACGTTCCTATTCACCAAAGACACCCCGCACCACACGCACCACTCCCCCACCTTTGTCAACACGTCCTCAAAGCTGCCGTACAGCTCCCCGGCGAGGGACCCCAGGTCCGCAAGCTGCGCCCGGAACTGTACGACGGCGGGTGCGGTGGGAGGGGAGGAGAGGGGGGGCGTTAGGGGTGTAGTAACATGAGTGTACCGACCGGGCCAGGGAGAGGGGGCGGCGGGATAGGACGGAGGAGCTGCAGGGGGCAGTACCAGCAGGGGCCTTCCCCTTCCTCGTCCCAGCCGGGTCGCCCACTGTCGACAGAGCTACTGGAGCGGCAGCAGGGCGGCACCTCCCTCTCAGCACATGCTCCGAATCCTCCCTTTCCTCCCTTCCCGCGCATTCCGCATTCCGCGCCCCGCATGAACCCTGCTTCGCTCCCTACAGAGCCCCCTCGTCCCCAAACACCATCCTGCTACTTCATGTCTACTGCAGTGCGCAGCAGTGTTCCCAACCCCATTACCCAGAACATCCGATCCACCGCCCCTCGCTTCCCGCCCGCCCTCTCACCGTGCCCCGCACCCCCAGCCCCCCGCCCTCCGGCCCCCCCAGCAGCCCGCTGCTGGCATTGGCCGCCCCCAGCTGCGCCCGCAGCAGCGTCACGTTCAGTCCCAACGCGGACTGCAGCATGGCGTCCCGGGAGAGGAGCGGCTGCGGCTGCTGCTGGGGGAAGGAGGAGGAGGAGGTGCCGTACAAGTAGTACGACAGCATGACGGGAACTCGGATGTCGGATACGGCCTGTTGTACGGCATTGATGAGGTTGCAACGGGGTGGCGGTAGGGGGGTGGAAGACCATACCGAACCATAAGTTGGGGCAAGACAATGGGGACGGTGGGGGTGGGGGGGATCCGGTTACCTCCGTGAAGCAAGCGACCTCGGAGGAGGAGAAGGGCAGGCTGTTGCCAACAATCCAAGCAGCGCGCTTGGTTCCGTCCCACCCGCCACCACCCGCCTCGCCCGCCCCCCAACGTTGCTGCACCCCACCCCACCCTGCCCCAACCAACCAACCAACACCCTCGGCCCCGCAGGCGCCAGATAACGTACCCATGCAGAGGCAGCTGCGCGGCCCCTCTCCTGTCCCCTCCTCCCTGTTCCTTCCCACCCTCCCGCCCCCCCCACCTGCACCGCCTCCTGCACTGCCAGCCTCTCCGCGGCCCCGCACCCCTCCCGCAGCACCGCTAGCAGCACCGCCAGCAACACACACAGCAGCTTGGGGAGGGAGGCAGGAGAGGGCAGGGCAGGGTGGGGCGGGGAAGGACGGAGGGGGGGGAGAGCGGAATGGAGGAGGCTCATGCACCGGCCTGGGAAGAGAAAGCATCAGTACATCCCGGCAGTGCGAAGGGAGGCAGCGGAGGCGGAGTGGAAGGCGGTGGAAGGTACAGACGACACAGGGCACAGGGCACAGGTCCACAGTAAGGCCTGTGGAGGAGGGCATGTGCGTCGCTGCCTATTGGCCACTTAAGGCTCACCTCGTCTGCGCACCCCTCCCTCCTACCCCCATGCGCACATGCAGCCGCACCGCGCACGGTCCCCGCCTGCCGCCCCTGCGTCCTCCCGCCTTCTCCCCGCCCTTCCTCACGCACCCTCTACACCCTCACCCCCCGCTGCTCCCACCTGCCCCGCTGTGGCCACCCCCAGCAGCGCGCCTCCCCCCGCCAGCAGCCCCCCCGGCCAGTTGGCCCACACCGCCACCGCCAGCAGCACCAGCAGAGCCACCAGCAGACCCCAGCAGCCCATCCACACCTAGGTGCAGGGAGGTGGAGGGGAGGAGGGGGGCGGCAGGGGGGTGGGAGCTTCAGCAAGGGGGGGGGGGGGCGGCGTTACAGGGGGGGTAAAGCAGGTATCAGTAGCATTGTGTCAGCTGCCAGGCTTCTTCCCCTCCCCCTCCCTCCCCCTTCACCGCATACGCCACATGCGCCCAGTGTATGCTGGGGCCCTGGTAGCGCTCCGTGAAGGAGTCCACTCGGGCCAGCAGCTCGGACTGGGGGGGGGAGGGAAGAGGGTGGCAGGAGGAGGGACTGCAAGTGGCATATGCATGCGGCCGCTCCGCCAAGCCAACCGCCACACCCCCACACGGCTTACGGCGCCACGAGAAGGAGGCAGGTTGCTCATCCCGCATTCAGAATGGCACGTCAAGGCTCGGTACGGCGCATGCGGTCGTAGCACGTACCAGGGTACCACCACCACCCTAACCCACATCACATGACCACATGACATCACATGGCCACCGTTTTCCCTCTCTATCCCTGGGCCCCCCCCGCCCCTTCTCAGCACCTGTATTGTGTCGCTGGCCTGCTTCAGCTCGTCCCCCGCCTGGGCCGCGGAGTCCAACACCAGGTCCGACAGCTGGGATACCTGGGGGCGGGGGGGAGGGGCGGGGGAGGAGGGGTGTGATGGAGGGGGGAGGGGGGAGGCGAGGGGACACCCGGATGGGCTGTACGGCAGCAGGGGACAACCCGGGGGCATGAGGGGCGGTGAGGCTGTGGTGATACGTGGAGGTGATGAGGGTGGGGCTGTGAGGTCGAGGGGCTCCCTGCCTGCTACCTTCCTGCCCCCTGCCCCCCTGCTCCCCTCTCCCTGCCCCCCTGCTCCCCTCTTCCTGCCCCCCTGCTCCCCACCTGCGCTATCACGCCCTCCGCTGCCTCCCGCAGCGAGGTAGCGCACACGCCTCCACTGGGCAGCTGCGGGGAGGAGAGGGGAGGGGGGGAGGGAGGGAGGGAGGTTACAGAGCGGGGTGGTGGAGGGTGGGGTAAGCGCGCCCCTACCGCGCCCCTACCGCGCCAAACGGCATCTCACGGGCTGGTGGTCTGACTGGGTGCGAGGGCTGAACTGGGCGGCGGAGGCCAGGTCAGTGCAACCCAAGCAAGTGAGCAGCAACGGACGTTGGAGGAGGGCAAGCAGGTGGCAGCGCCCCACACATGCGCAGATGTGCCCTACCTCCTACCTCCTACCGCCGGTCTGGTGGCTGACCTGAACCTCATCTCCCCCACGGCACCCCAGCCGCCGAGCCCCCAGGATTGGGGACGGTGTCCCCCCTGACCCCCAGGAACCCTCCCCTCCCCTGCCGCACCCACCACCCCTCCCGCGCTCACCGCCGCAGACAGCAGCTGATAACTTCTCAGACCGCTGGTATAGTACGGCAGGTACGAACTGTTGATGCTGCTCAGAGTGCCGTACAACTGCCCTGCTCCTCCTCCTCCTCCCGTTCCAAGCGCTGCAAGGGACAAGGTAGCCGACGCAGCCGACCCAAGGGTCACCACAAGCGGCTGCAAGTTGCTTGCCGTACTGGCCAGTGCGGCCGAATCTGGAATTACCGTACTGAAGGCGCTAACCGCCGCCCCCACCGGCCCTAGCGTTGCTGACACTGCGGCCTGCAGGTCTGAAGCGGCTTGGGACAGGGTAGTGGTGGCGGTGATGGAGGGGGATGCTGCAGCGGACTCGTAGGCGGCGAGGGCGGCTGCCAAGGAGGCTAGAGGGGTGGAGAGGGCGTTGAGGCTGGGGAGGAGGAGGGAGTCGAGGGTGGCAGTGGCGGCGGAGGAGGAGGGGCCGGCAGCGGCGGTGGAGCGGGTGGAGAGGGCGGCGGTGGACAGGGTGGCGGCGGCGGAGGAGAAGGTGGAGAGCGGGGCGGAGGCGTTGAGGAGGGCCTGCGGGGCAGTGTGAGAGGGGGGTTCCCGACCCGGGGAGGGTGCGTCAGGAGGCCGTGTTGAGGCACCCCCACCCGCTACCCCTTCCCCTTCACCCATACCCTGCAGGATTACCCCTAACCGCCAACCACCCCCACCTGGACAAGGAGTGATACCGTTAGCGACGGTTGCAGTTGACCGTTGCCGTCCGTCAGTTGCAGTACAGATCTCCGCCGGCCGTTGGTGCTGGCGGTTGGGGCCATGGCCGACGACGTGGCGTCCCCATCCCCCGCAACAATGTACTGCTTGATCAAGGCAAGCAGGGTGTTGGACAACTCCAGCACCTGCACAGCAGCAACCACCAACCACCACCAACCGACCTTCGTGGTGAAGCAGAACGCAGCAACGAGCCCGACACCGGCAGCGTTCCCCCACCCAGCCAACTCCCATGGTAAAGCCTTGTCATACAGCTCTTGTCAGTTTCCTCCCTTGTACCCAGCCAACCCCTCTTCCCTGTCCGCTGAAGCCTCCTAGTCCTCATCAGCAACCTGCGCCACCTTGCAGCCCCCCTATAGCCCATTAAAAACAACACGCACAACGACATGCATGCATGCAGCGGATGATGCGTGTGCACCCAACCAACCTACTCGACACCGTGTAGTGCGCCATCATGCCACCTTGCAGCCCTCGCCCGGTGCCCCACCGCCCCCCCCCCTGCCGCCTCCTACCCCCATTGCTTTGCCCTAACCTGTGGTCTCCTATGGTTTGGTACGGTCTTTGACCCCCCCCTCGGCCCACACCTGCACGCTGCTGCCGTTCCTGAGCCCCAGCCTCCAGCCCGACACGTCCGCCACCTCAGCGTTGATGACGGCGAGGCGGGAGTGCAGGGACTGGGGGGGGTGGTAAGAAGTGCGGGCGGGAGCGAAGGGCGGGCAGGACAGGGGCGGGCTGTATTGTAAGCTGGGTGACGCCGTTTGCAGCCTACAGCACACACGCGCGCGCGTGCCCCATGCCCCAGACCATCCCCTTCCTTGGACTGCACACCCGGCGCACGCGCGTGCCCCTGCTCGGCATTTCCATGCAGCACTCAGTAACACCCCCTCCTCCCCTCCACCCCTCCATCCCACTCCACCTGCGCCGCCTGCAGTGCTCCGCTGCCCGGCCCCTGCGCCAGGCCGCCCATCTGCGCCCTCAGCTGCGTCACACGGGACTGCGACAACGGGGCCGCACCTGGGGGGGTGAGGGGGCCGGGCGGAGGATGGAGGAGGGGGCGGGTGGGGGTTGGTGAGAAGGGCCAGGGGAGCAGCTAGATCAGCAGCGGGATAAGGTGGTGTGCTTGGCGAGAGAGGGGCTCTCTGTTCTACCCATGCGGCAGGCGGGGCCTCCGACTGCTCCCCTCCTCCCACGTCCCCCCGCGTACTCCGGCCCCCTCACCCCATCGCCCACTCCCCAGCCACCGCCGCCCCGCGTTCCCACCACCCCTCTTCCCTCCCGACCCCCTCACACCTGCCACCACACTTTGCGCTGCCGCCGCTGCTGAGGTCAGGGCCGCCCCGCCGCGGCTCGCGGTGTAGGCCTGTCAAGGGTGGTGTGGAACGGTACGGCGCTCACATCCCAAACCGGATCGTGGAATGTGGGACGGGCACGGGAGCACGGGGCCAGCGCCCTCCCACGCGCCCAACGTTCTCCTCGCACTGCTTGACTAGCAGTTGCAACATCCCCACCCTCAGTGCCCCCTCCTTCTTTCCTCCCTCCCTCACACCCAGGAAGTTGCAAAACCATGCTCCAACCAACACCCACTGCACACCCCTCCTTGGATGCGCTCGGTGCCTACCTACACGCTCTCCTCCACCTCTTCCCATAACCCCTCCTCTCTCCCAGCACCCTCCTACTGCTCTTCTCCCCTTCTCCCCTCAACCTCACCTCAAGTGCCTCCCGTGTCTGCCCCCACTGCGTCCCCCACTGTGGCAGGCGGGTGCCGCCAAGCGCTGCCCTCAGCGCCGCCAGCGCCGCAGGGGCGGGCAGGGCGGGCTGCATGGAGGTGGAGCCCGACTGCTGCTGCTGCTGCTGGGACAGCTGCTGCAGGGAGGCCTGCAGGGCTGTCAGACTGGCCAGGGCGGCGGTGCGTGCCGCCTCCGCGCCCGCTAGCAGCGGCAGGCCCCAGGTGAGGGCGGGGAGCAGGCTGCCCAGTGTGCCGTACGAGGAGGAGGAGGAGGCGGGTGGCGCTGTGCTGCTGCTGCTGTTCGTGGTGGTGGTGGTGGTGGTGGTGGTTAGCTGTGCTGAGAGGTTGGCTAGCCCCGGGAGCAGCTGGCTGGCCAGGGCGGACTGGAGGGCGGTGGCGGTGGAGAGCAGGCTGCGTGTTTAGGGGGGGAAGGGCCAAAGACCATACCAAACCATAGGAGGGAGGGTTGGAGGGAGGGAAGAGGGATGGCGAGGGCGGCCAGAGGGACACGTCATACATGGGTTTGGAGGACGTGGGTTGGAGAGGGCTTTGTTCCGTAGGACCACAACACTCGCACACGGTCTACTCGCGTCACGGTATCTACACACACACCCCCCACACGCACACACAATACGTTCCTACTCGCGGCCAGCTTCCTGAACACACCCACCCACCTGGCCACAGCTGGCTGGCTGGAGGAGGTGTAGTTGGCGACGGCCTGCGGGCGAGATGAAGGGGGGAGGTGAGGGACGGAGCAAACACACGGCCCGGGCCTCGTGGCGCCTCACGCTACATCGCCATGCAGGCACTTCCCCTCCCTTCCCACTCCACACCCCCCCCTTTGTCGCCCGCAGCTTGACCCGCTTATCTTCTTTACCCCTCCTCCCGCCTCTCCCTGTCATCACCCTTCCTCTTTACCTCCCCCCCCACCCTGCCCTCCCCCCCCCACCTCCGCACTCCCCGCCAGCTCCCCCGGCGCCAGCAGCCCCGCCAGTGAGGTCAGGCTGGTGTTCAGCTGCTGCGGCAGGGCGCGACTCAGGTTGCCCTGGGGGCAGGACCAGGAGCGGGACGCAGGCAGGGGCGGGGCAGGGGGAGGTGTACGGATGCAGGTGGTGAGTGGAAGAAGAAGGCAGGTCGGGAGCCGCCGGGACCGTTGTCAGCCATGCCTCCTCCTACCCCTCCGCATGTCCCTGTCTGGTCCTGGAGATTGTGTCCTTCACTCACGCCCTCAACTATGCCCCCCGGCTCAGCCCTCCTCCACCACCCCCTCCCAGCCTCAACCTCACCCCCTCCCACCCCACCACCCCCTCCCACCCCGCCCCTCCGCCCCTCCTCATTCCCCACCCGTATGTCCTCCAGCCCGTCCACCACCGCCTGTCCGTGCGCCCTCAGCTGCCCCAGCGCCCCCCAGCCCGCCGCCACCAGCTGCTCGTCCAGCGCCAGCATGCCCCACACCGCCATGCCGGCGGACACGGCCAGCAGCAGGCAGCAGGCGGACTGAGGGGGAGGGGAGGGGAGGGGAGGAGAGGACAGGCAAACAGCGGCGGAAGGAGGAAAGGTAAGAGGAGACGGTACAGGGGTTGTCATGGGGTTTCGTCATGGGGTTTCAGCATGGGCGAAGGACGGAGGTGTTGATAGGCTTTTCGCCAAGCGTCCATGCTTCAGTGCCCCTCCCCTCCGCCCGGCCCCTCACCTTGATCCACTTGTGTCTGCGGTCCCCCAGGAAGTCCGCCCGCCGCTCCAGGGGGCCCCCCACCCCGCCGCCACCCCCCCTGCAGCAGCGCTGGCAGCGGCCGCACCCCACGCAGCACAGCACGGTGCGCCTGGCGGCCGGTCAAAGGAGGGGCAGAAGGGATGGGGGCGCGGAGGGAGGGGTGTATGGGGGGTCGGTGAAGGAGGGAAACGAAGGCTTCAGTAAAATAGGTAAGGAGGCCCTGTGGCAGGTCACGGCGGCCGAACGAGCAGCAGCGCTGATGGCCACATTAGCCACCGACCCAAGCACGAGTCACAGGCACCCCCTCCCCGCTGCCTCCCTGCTGCTGCCTCCCCAGTCCTTCCCCGCTCCCTCCCCCCTCCCAAGAGCCGCCATGTGCCGCTGCTGCACCCACCACACCAGGCCAGCCGCTAGTGCGATGAGGCCCAGCAGGAGCAGGGCGAGGGAGAGGCCGGCGGACCTAGCTGGGTAGCGCTAGAAGAGGGATGAGGGGATACATGGGGGGGTATTGCAGCCGGGGGGGGGGGGCGGCAGGGACTTAAGTGTGGAGATCCATGTACGCCGAACGGCGAGGGCTGTCCTACATAAGAAGCCGGCGTCTATGGGTTTCAGAGCAAGGATTGTGATCTGCGTCGTGGAGAGCGGGTGGGTTGCGAGCTGGTGGCATGCAGCCGTTTCCAAGAGGTCCTGGGCCGCCTGATGGCCAGGGGCCCAGGGCAGTGGGAGGGGGCCCCGGGACCGGTACGTTGCCGGGCCATGCACAGCGAATGAGGTTGTGGCTCTAGGTACGGTATGAGGTGCATGCGGCGTGGTGGTGATGGTGCACCAGCAGGTTGGTAGATTATCATGGATGGAGCAATACAGAGTGTGTAGGAAGCGTCGTGCAGGGCCTACCGTCAGGTATTGTCGCCACTCGCTGCGGGTCCACTGGAGCGGCTCGAAGTTGGGGGAGGGGTGGTGGAGCCGCCAGCGCTGTAAGTGGAGGAGGGAAGGGGGAAAGAAGAGAATGAAAGGAAGGACGTAGTGGGTGGGCCAAAGTCGGGCATTTATAGATTATATCCCATACCAACACTTGTACTTGACACAGCATTGGTCAACCGCATTTGCAAAATGCAAGCACATTCCAATATCTCTGAGATGCACCTAAAACCGCGGCACCGGCGCCAGTAAGGTGTACCAGCGACCGCGTTTGAAGGTAACTTGTTACTGTAACCGTGGCATGCGTGCTGCCCTTACCTTCCAGGCGGAATCTGGGCAGCTGTCGGTAGTTGAAACGTTTTCCGGCGGGTAAACTTGCACCAACGTACCATTCTCGGTAGGAATATATATTGAGCCGTTCAAAATTTGTTGTATGTTTGTGGCTGTTGACTTATGTGCAGAGCAAGACAACGCTATGACAAGCAAAGCTGTCAACAGGGGCTTCATTTCCCGACGGCTGCAAGGGAAATTCTTGCACGTAATATAACAAGGCCGAGCCTCCTTACTCAGCGCGTGACAGTACAATTGGCTACACCTGCTTCTTGGAAGTAACTATGCTTTGGCAGAGTAAGAGCATTGGTCGGTTTTGCCAAGTTCCTTACGGGTCATATTATACTTTAAGAGTAGCTTTGATGTACCATGCTGGGCTGGAAAAAGTATACTTCTGGGAAGACCGCAGCAAAAGGGTACGGCAACTGCTGGACCAACAGGTTTGCTCAAGCCGCAAGCCCTGGCCGTGAGCGAAGTTGACACAGATAAGCATTTCACTCTCCTACAACTGATACCTGTTATCGTGAGCGTTGGCGAACCAATACTCTGGTGACTCCTCGCCTTCTCAGCCAGCTGGGCCGTCGCTGGGCCGTCGAGCATGCGATCGGGTCCGTGAATACAAGGATCAAGGCACCATAGAAGGGAATAGCATATCATCGTTATTGTCCTTTTGGAGTACGTTCAGCACCCACAACGCTTCTTGGTTGGCAGGAGCCGGACGCCTGAAACTAGCGGAAAAGGATGTTACAGAGAAATGCGAAAGCGTAGCTCCGAGTGTCTAAGTGATTGGCGCTTAGCAGTAAGACCTACAGTCGCCACTCGGTGCCATGTGGATGGCCTTCAACCGTCAGGCCAGCGATCGCGCACCAGATCACCAGCTGCGCCCTTCCTATCCCCTATGCCTTCCTCTCGCGAACATGCACCAACACACCGTTTGCTGCACCTGAACAGGGACGCACGCACGCAGAGACAGGGGGGTAACCCCGGCACCCGGGGTTTGAAGTCCCCGATGTCGCTTCACGGGGAGGAGCTCCGCCCCAATCCTCAATACCGTACGAACCCAGCCTCCTCGCAACACGTAAGATCCCATGTGTTAAACATCCCATTGTGGAAGAAAACAAGAAAGCCGCGGCTAACCCCATGGGCAACAGACAACAACCAGCACCAAAGCCGACGAAAGGTGCCACAGCAGGGCCGCTCTAGGGCCGCCGCCAGACGTACTACAGGGCACACGTCATCCATCCATGCCTGTGCTGGCCTATGCTACATGTCTCATAGTGTCCTTGACCCCCCTGGCTTAAGACACACTGTACGCGCATACAGACTGGAACTGTAACTATAATACAAACGGGCACAAACGCTCAAAGATACACATCAGGTGCAGGAGCAGGACGTCGATCGATGGGTACCGGTTCTCAATCATGCGGTGCTCGGTGCCACCCCTGCAACCACGTCACAGTACGCTGTCACAGCTCCCTGCTAAAGAAACACCATGACGACCAGCATGCTGCACGACACATCCTGCCGTACGAAGCACAGTTCAAAGATGAAATACACGCCGTTAACAACGCCAACTTGGACGGCAGTGTATGTTTACTGTGCTGCGCGCCTCACGCTTCACCAGACCTCATGGGTCATGGATGTGCTAATCTTGTCTTAAGGCGCCGTAACCTCCTAACAGCCCCAATGTACACCACCACTCTGTACAAGGGAGCGCCCCTTGCTCGATGGTCTTGTTTCAGCCACCGCTTCCCCACACGCAGAACGCCGTACACCCTCTCCCTCATGTCGGAGCATTGCTACCGCACCACCGGGAACGAGTGGCTGTACGGGTGTTCCGGGATGGTCCATCCTGCTTGGACACACATGCGCCGTACTAACTCGCGGGCACTCCGTACTCCTGCCAGTCCTGCAGTGCAACAGCCGCCGCAGCTCCTATGCACTCCTGCTGCGCTCCCTCCGCGCTCCCCTCCTCACGTGCCCGTACACCCCCCCTCGCTCCCCGCCTGCTGTCCAGTGCGCAGCCCTCACGGCCCTCACAGCCCCCGCAGCATCCGGCGGCCCTCCGGGTTGGCCGTGAAGTGGTCGGGGTCAACCTGTGTGCGGGGCCCAACCCCCTGATGGAGCATGCTGCATGCAACAGAGATGCAAGCATGCAGACATGCGCTGGCACGCGCAGCTCCTTAGCATGCAGTATACACGCAACACGTCATGCCAGACTGCTGCGTTCGCCACCAGCCAGGGCTCTGGCTTGCATGCGGCCTTCGTAACTTCCCCTCGCCAAGTAAGGGAGGACCCCAGCGCGCACGCATGCATGCATGCAACGCGAGCTGTGCACAAGACGTGCATGCCTGCCTACCTGCATACGTGTTTGTGAACTTGCCGTACGGGTTTCGTTTATCCCTCGTTTACCACTCCCACCACACACCCCTACCTGCATGTAGAGGTGCGCTCGGTCGCGCATGAAGCCGAAGGGCCTGCCGCCTCGCAGCAGCGCAGGCGGGATGGGCAGCTGCTTCCTGATCTGCGCCATCGTGAGGCCGCAGGGGTGCGCGGCCAGCAGCCGGTACAGAGCCGACTCGTACTCGGACATGGGGCTGCGGCCGCCGCTGCCGCGACCCACGGGTCCCACCGATCCCATCTGACCCATGGGTCGCGGGCTCGGCATGCCACGGCTTCGTTCCTCGTGCCCGGTGCCATGAGGCTCGTCATGGCCACGGGGACGTTCGGGGCTGCGGTTGTCCTGCCGGCGGCGGCGAATGATGACGTCCGGACTCCTGCGGGGGCTGCGGCTGCGAACCCTGCGAGTCGTACGGCGGTGGGCGGGACGCGGGCTGCGGCCAGGGCTGGCTTCTCCCTCCTCGCTGGCCTCGCCGCTGCCACCTGCTGCTGCACCCCCACCCGCAACCGCAACCGCCCCCGGTGGAGGCGCCTCACACACGCTCCCAACGGGGCTGCACGCGGCGCTTGCCAGGGCGCTGAGAGCCCCTGCGCCCGTGTCTTCCCCTTCTTCCTCTTCACCCTCTTCCGCAGCTGCCACAGCCGCAGTTGCGGCGCCGGCTGCCGTCAGCGGCGGTGGCGGTGGCGGAGGTAGCCGCTCCGGCTGCGGTGCCAGCAGCGCCTCCACAGCAGCCAACACCGGCCGTGCGCCGCGTGGGATGCCCATTCCGACACCCCTTGCCGCCGACGGCGCCGTCGGCGCCACCTTTCTGCGGCCGCCACCTAGCGAAGCTGGACCCAGCGGCTCACGTGTTGCCTCGAGCCCAGCAGCCGTCGTCAGGGGTGTTTCCAGCGGCGGTGGCGATACCGGGGACATAACTGGCGAAACCGGGGACGGTATCGGCGACACTGGAGAAGGCACCGGAGATACTGGGGACGGTATCGGAGAGACTGGGGAAGGGACAGGAGATACTGGGGACGGTATCGGTGAAACCAGGGAAGGGACCGGAGATACTGGGGACGGCAGGGGCGTCATCGTTGCCGCCAGCGCCAGGCCCGTCGCCACTGCCGGCAGCCCAACAGGTGACCCCAGCAGCGGTGGCAACGGTGACATGCAGCCGGTGCCCACAGCATCTGTGACACCTGCCGTACCCCCACGCAAGGGTACCGACTTGAGGATGCTGCCCTGGGGACTGAACCGCAGTCGCCGCAGCGCGCGTCGCACGTCCCTTGAGGACTGCTGCGGTGAGGCTGCGGTGCCCATGCGTGGCTCCTGCTGCTGCTGCTGCTGCGGCTGTGGTGTTAACAGCGGTACTTGGTGCTGTTCCTGCTGCTCCTGCGGCTGTTCCATCTGCTGCTCCAGCTGTCGCTGCTCCCGCTCCCTCCGCTCCTGGGCACCAGGAAGCAGCTCTGGAACCGCGGGATGCTGGAGCTGCTTGGGGCGCTGCTGCTCCTGCTGCTGTGGCGGCGGCAGTGGGCCAGGGGCCGCCGCAGCTGCTGCTTCTGCGCCCGCCATGCCTGCAGTCGCGGGCAGGTGCTGCGACCCATGGGTCACTCCGGCCGGCCCCCTAACCGGTGCCTCCAGCTGCACTTGGGCGGGCCGCCCCGCGGCCCCCACCTCGCCGCCAGGCCCCTGCTCCCGCCTCCCCTCCTGCCCCTCCCGCCTCCGCCGCCTCCGCGGCCCCTCCTCCCTCCCCCACTGCTCCCCATCTTCCTCCTCCCGCCGCCTCCGCCTCCGCTGCCGCTGCCACCTCGCCGCCCGCTGCGCCGCCTTCGCCGCCCGCGCCTGCGTCCGCAGCTGCGGCCTGATTCGCTCCCCCAGCCGCCGCACCTCCGGCCAGGCGGACAGCGGCCGCTGCAGCAGCTCCCGCAGCGCCGCGCAGTGGACCTGCAGGGACCCCTCAGGGGGGTGCTGCGGCTGCTGCGGCTGCCCCTGTCCCGCGGCGGGGCCCTGCTGCTGCGGCTGCGGCCCCTGGGACTGCTGCTGCTGACGTTGCTGCTGCTGCGGCGGCGGAGGGTGTGCGGGAGAGGTCTGCCCCTGCTGCAGTGCCCTTATGGCCCGCACGTGCGGCAGGCAGGCGGCCAGCAGCGACCGGCGGCCTACAGCACCCACCAGCTGAGGGGGGGCATGATGGGGGGTAGGGGAGAGGAGTAAGGAGGAAGGAAGGAGGACGGAGATGGCAGCCGAAGCGGGCTCGGCAACCAGCAGCGCGGGCTGGAACCTCCCAGCAGCAAGGGGCATGGTCCACAGTGCATGCAAGCCACCGCGGCAACCGCTCTGACAGGCGGGTAACTTGAAGCGCATCCAGGAGCCGTGCGCGACAGGAAGTACACCGTCGGCATGTTGTGAGCAACAGGAAAACGCCACCCTTGCCGCCATCGTGTTTCGCCCCCCCCCCCCCACAGTACTCCCCCCTCCCCTCGCCTCACCTCTCCCGCAGGCAGCTGCCGCAGCCGGTGCGCCAGACGGCCCCACAGCTCCCCACCCTCACACCCGCCCTCGCACCCGCCCTCGCACCCCTCCCGAACAACCGCCTCCTCTTCCGCCGCCGCCCCGCCCGCCCCGCCTGCTGCGCCGCCCCCAGCGCCCCCACACCCGGGCCCAGAGCCGACGTTGGAGCCCTCACGGCCCGGCTGGGGGCCAGATGCACCCGGGGCCCTGGGGGCAGCAGGGGGGTCCGGCCCGGAGCATGTGGCCGCAGCGGCAGACTGCTGGCGGAGGTGGGGTATGCGGGAAGGCGGCTCGTCCCCCTCGTCCTCCTCCTCCTCCTCGCCCCCCAGCTGCCCCTCGTCCCCCGCGGCCCCCAGGTCGGCTCCGGCGGGGCACAGCGGCTCCAGGACCAGGTGGGGGTGCGGGGGGCCTGGGGGGGATTGTCCGGGATACATATTCCGCATTACCGGTAGGATGGATAGTTAGATTACATTAGTTAGCAGGGGGGAGGGGGTTACGGGGTAATGCCATGGGGTGCCCTAACTGAAAGGGGGCAGAGAACGCGTCACCAGGTGCTGCAGGGGAGGGTGACAAGGGCCGCAGGAGGTGCCGCTGGCCCCCTCCGCAATCACCCCAGCAGTCATACACACACACCGCTGTACGTCCTCTTCTCCAACACCGCCCAGTTTGCGAAAACCCTGACGTCCGAGACGTACCAAGCCCTCCAGTCCACCCCCTGCCGCTGCCACCTCCACCCCTCCATGTGCCCGCCTGGTAGCGCCCACGTCATGACAACCACGCCCTCCGATGACGTCCTTCCGCCCCGCCTCCGCGAGCTTTGGAACGCCGGCGCCCGCCACCGCCCCCACCTCCCCTCCCCACCCTTCGATGAGGTCCTCGCCGACGTTCACGCCCACATCCTGCGGTTGTTTTTCCTGTCCTGCTTTGCTTTGCTCGAGCATGCACTGCGACGTCTTGGCATCACCCCTGCTTTTACCCGTGTTCAGCGACAGCTACAGCTTCTCTGTCGTGTGTAAACTGGACAGTGACGGTTACTTATACCTACCAACTTACTACTCCGGTCCTTAGGTCCGGTCGCGTTACGACATTGCTCTTACTGCTTTACACTGATTCCGATACTACTCGATAGCTCTATTACAACATAGCCAACGGACTTCACTTCACCTGTGGCGTTTTCGGTGGGAGGACTTCATCTTTCGGCAATCACAGTACGTTTCGCCTCGCGGCCAGTTATTTTAACACCCCCAGCACAGCCCCTCCTCCCGACACCCCGCCACACACGGGTAGCACCAGCCTGCCCACAGTTAGTTAGTTAGGTTCTTCCTCTTAACCCCTCCCCCCCCTTCTTTTTTTTCCCTACTCCCCACTCCTCGGCAGCAGGCAACCTCGCCCTCATCCCTCCCCCCACCCGCTCCGCTCCACTCACCCGCGGCGGGAGTGACGACCTCCACCCGCCGTATACGCCGCACCTCCCCAACCGCCCCTGACCTCCTCCCAGAAGCAGTAGCAGCAGCAGCGGACGAAGAAGGTGTCGCCCCCTCCTCCTCCTCCTTCTGCTCCTCCGCCCGCCTGTGCAGCCGCAGCACCAGCCCCCGCAGCGGCTGCAGCTCCCCCCCGCAGCCCAGCTGCTGCCGCCAGAAGGCCACCACCTCCCACGCCTCCGCCAGCCGCCGGTACGGCAGGTAGAGCGGCCGCAGCAGCCCGGGGTGCAGCGTGACGGGCTGCGGGGGGGAGGGAGGGGAAAGAAGAATACCAAGGGTGTTGAGCGAGGCAGGGAGGGAGGGGTGCAGCATGGCGCGGAGGGAGACATAGCGGGGAGGGGGGAAGTGGGGTCTTTGGTGGGAGCCCGACGTAAGGCTGAGGTAGAGGGGAACGTGCGGTAGCAACGGCAGGCGCCGGAAGTTCCAAAGATACAGTGCCTCCAAGCAGGTGGTGCGGAAGGTAGGTGTGACAAAGCAGGCAGGCTGGGCAGCCCAGGAGCCGCGACCCGCCACCTAACACCCAGACTTCAGATGCCTCCGCTGTCAGCTAGGGGATGACAGCCAGGGGGTGTGTCAGCTAGGGGGTGCGCTTTGGTTTCGCAGGGCGGCAGCAGTCATCCACACACGCGCCCCTCACCCCGCCCCACCTGCTCCCCTCCCGGACCCCGCCAGTCCCGGTCACGCTCCTCCACCAGCGCCCGCAACTCCGCCACCAGGCAGGCGGGTAGTGCTGCCGCTGCTGCTGCGGCTGGGGTTGGGGGTGATGCTGCTGACGGAGGTAGGGACGGCCGCAATGCAGGTGGCGGGGGCGCCGCTGCTGTCGGCGGCAGCGGCGGTAGCGACGTGGGCTCCTCTTGCTGCTGTGCCGTCGGTAGTGGTGGCGGTGCGGTTTCAGGCAGCGGAGGCGGTGGAAGCGCCGCAGTTGTAAACGGCGACGGCTCAGGACCTGGCAGCGGCGGCGGTGGCGGATCCGTACCTGGCAGCGGCAGCGAGGGATCCGGGTCTGGCTGCAGCGGCGGTGCTGCCGCCTCCGTGACTGCTGGGGCCACCCCACCTCGTCCTGCGGTTCGCGCCGTATCCGGATCTAGCAGCGGCGGCGGCCACGAGGGGGGCGCTAGCTGCTGGTGCTGGTGCTGCTGCTGCGGTGGTAGTGGTAGTGGTGGTGGTGGTGGTGACAACTCTTGCTGCCGTACAGGTGGCTGCTGGGATGCTGCCTGCTGCTGCAACGGCGGCATCAGCCAAGTTGACTCTGGCGGTTGCAGCTGCTGCTGCTGCTGCTGCTGTGGAAACAGTGTGTTGTTTGGGTGCGGGAGGAAGGGCAGCAGGGGCATCGTGGATGGAGGAGGTAGCGGCGGGAAGCCTTGCGGCGCGTAGGGAAGCAGCTGGTGCGGAGCGGATTGCTGTGGCATCATCATCACATTCGTTGGTGGTGCAGCTGTGGGCAGGAAGGCGGCAGCTGGGTGGTGCAGCTGGGCAAGCTGGGGCGGCAGGTGGGGCGCATCGCCCCTGCTGTAGAGGTCGCCCAGGAAGGGATGACCCAGCATGAAAGCTGCCTGAGCCCCTGGATGATACATCCCGTCTGCTTGGTCTGTGACGAGGATGTTGGAGAAGCATGCGGGGCAAGGCGGGGCGTCAAAGAAGCAAATGACTCAAGGATGAAGCCAGTGTTGCTTGTGCTATTTTGCGGCAGCAGTAGCTGGCCCGCGCAAGTTTGTTGCGAGGTGGGCGTGCCGCGCATGCTTTGGTCCAGCAGGCTACATATTTCATAATTACAGTAGAGCGTGGCGCGGACCGTCGCGGAATTATCCCAGTCTATGAGACTTTTGTAAGAGACAGTGAAGCGTCCGGAGGTGCAGCACGTTTGTGACAAGGTGTGCGTCTATCCGATTAGCAACCTATGTACCAGTAGGCGCCGATATATGACAAACGACACACTCTCTTTAATTTGGCACTTACCGGGATTTCAAAAGTTTATCAAAGAGGGACCTCTTGGCTAGCCATAATCCTACCAACCGCTGCGCAAGAAGGCAACAGTCGCCAACAAACGAGACCGGTGATGCATGAAACGCAGAGGAAACAAATAAGGTGTTGCAGCAGAGGAATGATGCGAAGCTGTATAGCTTCTTAGGCCCTGTCAGATAACAAGGTGTTCCAATGGAGAGCTTGAGCGACACGCCTTGATCTGTTCGACAAATTACTTGCTGTCCACTGTTCCGTGTTGGCTAAGATGGCCTCACAAATGCCGCTACCTCTGCACTTTGGTTCTCAGCGCAGCCTACTGACGACATGTCGTACCGGCCGCGAACAAAGCCCTCAGCATCGTGGTAGGCTGTAAAAAGCTACCTGTTTTACTTCTTTAATGGAATGCATTATAATACGCGATCTAGACTAAGGGGGAATTAAGCTGGGTACCCTGGAAGTGCAAAACTGGTGCGCTGGCTGTCAGTACAACGCAGCACAAGTCCCTCTTCTCCGCCAGGTGACTGAGCTTGTTCTCCTGCACCCTGCCGTTATGCCAGTTCTTCCTTTGTGGGATTGAGACACGATCGAACGGCAACACCACCCAATCAGCACGTTCACAGTTATGCGTGTACCGGTACCGCGTGTACCGCGGTACCGCGTGACGTCTTACAGACAAAGGAATTGCCTCGCTCGCCAGCTGACTTCGCCCAGGTGTAGGCGGAAACAACTCGCACTCTAGCAGTCCTAGCTCAATCACCCGTACGGCAAGCTGTGTCAGCCAATCCGGTTATTTGCTTATTTCCACATTCAACCAGGAATCCACACGTTGCTAACTTAGCTGAAATCGCTCGTTTCATTGTCTTGTGCAAAGCATGTCGCTTATACCTATGAAGCACTTTGACGTATCGGATTCTCGACTCGTGGAACGGGCCACTTGTCCTGTGCACTGTAGTCGTGCTTTTTGGCAAGCACCGTTGAGAAGCAGAACAGGTGGGGGGGGTCTGTGTCGCGTACCCGTGGCGTTCTTCTCAGTTCCCGCATGACTTTGTCGTGGATGGGCCCTTGCAGCGTCTTCGAATTTTGTTAAGGCAACAGCAATGGCTACAGTTGGCTCGTCTCTTCCGACGGCGTTGTGCGGTCGGCCAATCTTTCTTCAGGCAAACTTCGTTCCAGGACCCCTAGCTACTTACCAGGGAAGCGCTCAGGTGCGCTCGTGTCTCGTCGGATTCCTGCAAGTTGTAATTGGTTTCTAGCTTTATGGCTGTTGGAGCTTCGCTGAAGGTATCGCATGTCCTGTTACATGACATCCGGTACACGCAGATAACGGGTCTGTTAAAGGAAGCCAGTCAGGACTACTTTCTGGCTGCTAACGACATCACCGTTGACAGCGGAGTATGTTGTGTAGGGCCAGCAGGCGCAGCGAACTGCGATGCATTCCGACTGTCTTCCACAAATAACGGACCTAGCAGCGACGTCGCCAGCGTTGCTGGGTGCAGTAGGCCGTGTAGAAGTACCGGCATCGTCTCTAGTCCTGCTGCAACGGGAACCCCTTCCATCGTCGTGACGGGCGTCTTTGATGGCCATGGGTACGCACGGGATGGCGGTGTGCAGGGGCTGAAGTGCACAAGGCACCACAACATGAATACCTGATGCACTAAGTGAACGTTTTCTATCCTGACAGACAATGGTTATGCCGAGCCAACCCCCGCCATACTTCCGGTAACATGCTACAAGGCTAAGCCATCCTCTTAACCCTTGTCGCGATGCCTCACGCCCCGCCTCTCCACCCCACCCCACCCCATGCCACCCCCCCTCAGCGGCCACACCTCAGCCCGCTACGCGCAGGAGGCCATCCTGTCGCACATCGTGAACGACAAGCAGCTGCACCGCTCGCTAGGTGGGGCGGGGGGCCGGGGCGGGTAATGAGGAAAGAACTGGCTGTGGGGTTGCGGCTCGGGTGTCCAATACACGCTGCTAGGAGTCCTAGGACCTGCTACTGCTGCCCTACAACTCGCACATGTGGACGCATGCTGGCACCCCGCCCACGGCTCCCCTCTGTTTCCCCCTCCCCCCGGCGTGTGATGCGTGTGTGTTTCAGGCTCGGGAGATGAGCAGGCCACGTGTGCGGCGCTGAAGGCGGCATTCCGGTGAGCCCTGCCTGCATGGGGGCGATTGAAACTTGGCAAGCGGGTGGTGTCCTGTTGGACGTCCTGGCACGCACTTGGCCTTGCCTGAAGCGGCTCTCGTTGGTCACTTCCTCCGTACCCATCATCCCCACCCCTGCCCGTCTCTCTTCGTCCTCCCCACCCCCATCCGCAGCAAGGTGGATGGCGACCTGCTCGCACTGGCAGCAGCCCCGGACACCTCCTCCCACCCCTCCTCCTCGCCCGCCTCCTCCTCGCCCGCCTCCTCGCAACATACATCCTCGTCCCCCTCTTCCTCCTGCTCCTCGCCACACGCCTCCTCGCCCTCCTCGTCACCCCCGCTGTCGTCTGCCTCCTCCTCCTCGGCCTCCCATCACCACCCTCCCACCGCCTCCTCCCCACCTCCGTCGCCCTCCACCTCGCCCCACCCAGCAGCACCCTCTTGCTCCACCCCTACTCCCCCCCAACACCACCACACCCGCCACGCCCCCACCCCCCACCCCCACCACTCCTCTCGGCATCATCATGCCTCCTCCTGCACCTCCTCCTCCTCCATATCCCGCTCTCCCTCATCGTCTCCCTTGTCTTCCTGCTGCGGAGCGCCCTCCTCCCCCTCCCCCACCTCCTCCCCCTGCTCCCCCTGCTCCGCCCCCCACGACGGCACCACTGCCCTAGTGACGGTGCAGCTGGGCGGGCTGCTGGCGGTGGCCAACGCGGGCGACAGCCGGGCGGTGCTGTGCAGGGGCGGCCAGGTGGGGGGCGGGCGGGTGTGGGTACTGCAGTTGGGTGGAGAAAGAGGGAGAGGCAACAACTAGGACAGTGTAACGAGCCGTCCATCAGTCCTCCGAAACACAGCCGGTCTGACCCTGCCCTGCCTCCTGGCCCCTCCTCCTCCCCCTGCCCCCCCCCCCTGCCCCCCCGTGCCTCAGGCGCTGCGTCTGTCCCGGGACCACACGCCCGCCTGCCGCTCGGAGCGGGAGCGGGTGGAGGCTGCGGGGGGGCAGGTGGTGGTGGCGCGGGGGGCGCCGAGGGTGGTGGTGCCGCTGCCGGGGAGCAGGGACGTGATGCAGGTGGGGGGAGGGAGGGAGGAGGTGCCGGGGAGCAGGGACGTGATGCAGGTGGGGGGAGGTAGGGAGGAGGTGCCCGGGAGCAGGGACGTGATGCAGGTGGGGGAAGGGAGGGAGGAGGTGCCGGCGGGCACTCAGCTCTGCGGGACTGACGAGAGGGGCTGCTCGAACTAGCTGTGCCCGCGTGTCCAACAGCTAGTCCCGCCAAGCGCCCCCGCACCCAGTCCTCCATCCCCTCCCCCCGCCCTCCCCCCGCCCTCCCCCGCCCTCAGGCGCTGTCCGTGACTCGTTCCCTGGGCGATCCCGACTTCAAGGTAAGGGGGGCGGAGGGGGAGACAGGCGGGGGCGAGGGGAGAGGGGGAAGGGTTGGCGCGCTAGGGGCTGTAGAGCAAATTAGGGGCGAACGTCAACCTCAACCCTGCTCCTCACCTCCTCGCCCCTACCGGGTTCGGTCGTACCTTCCCGTCACCCCCTCCCTCCCTCTCCCTCCCACGCCCCCCTCCCCCAGGCTACCGGCCTGGTCATCTGCGAGCCCGACGTGGCGCTGGTGCCGCTGCAGCCGGGTGCCGACTCCTTCCTCATCGCCGCCAGCGACGGGCTGTGGGGGCGGGTGGGCGACCAACAGGCGGTGGACTGCGTGGCGGGGGTGCTGGCGGAGGTGAGGGGGGTGTGGCGGGGGGGGAAGGTGGGGGTGGTACATAATTGAGAACTGCATCAGCGGGGAGCGGGGGAGGGTACTTGGACGACCTCTAGCTGTATATAGGGGAGAGATGCAAGGTGCGCGTGTGTGCACGTGTACGTGTATGCATAACGCTCCAACACCCCTGCGCCTTCTCCGTCCTCCACCCACCTCACCCCCGCCCCCTCCACCCACCTCACCCCCCCAGTTCGCCTCCATGTCCTCCTCGCACCGCCCCTCCGCCGCCAAGGAGGCGGCTCGGCGGCTGCTGCGACTGGCTCTGGACTGCGGTAGTGTGGACGACGTGACGGTGGTGGTCAGCGTGTTCGCGTGGGAGGGGGGGCAGGGGGCAGCAGGGGCGGAGGGAGCAGCAGCAGGGGCGGCAGGAGCGGCGGCGGGGGCGGCGGCGCAGGCAGGGGTTCGGTAGGTAGACGGGCGGTGCAGGAGGCCAGGAGCGGCGGGCAGGGCGGGGTTGGTGTTGCTGCGTGCGGGAGGCGGGAAATGCGGCGGACAGGGGGAACATCAGCAGCAGGATGCTCAGTCCAGCCCCGCGGGAGGATGCACAGTCAGGGCCTGCGGAGTGATTGCCACATTGCTCTGTCACATGCACACGTTGCATGGAGGCAGGGTGGCTGGGAGGGGACATAGGAACTAGGCGATTGCAGTTAGGAAGAAATGAGGGACACCGCAGCTTCCACAGGGCCGGTAGTGACTTGGTTTGGAGATAGTGCTTGGTTCCCAAGGGAGAGGAAGGATGCCGGCGGCGTCGTGTGGACGTGTGACAAGGTGGATAGGGTTGAAGATTTACAATGAAGAGGGTAACAAGAAGAAGTGAGGGGGCATGATGAGGAGGTTTGCCGTACCAATTTTCCGGCCCGCACCAATTTTCTCAAATAAGCCAACTGCTAAGGAGGCTTGCCTAATAAGGCACTGGGCTGTTATTGGCGCTCTGTGCAGACGTGTCTACGTTTGTGCGTATACCTCCGCGGATATATTCTGAACCCTAATTATTCGCGGGTTGTATGCATGTATATGGTGCCTATGGTTGGTGTAAGGTGTTGTACGGCATATGGTTGTACGGAGGAGCTGTACCGCGCACGCATTTTTAGAAAGCAATGAAGTTCAAGAAGTCGCGATTCGGAAATGGAGGATGCAGCAAACATGCAGTCTCTGTTTGCAATGTTGGTGGAATAAGCCGCAATCACGCATATGAATTTGAGGTGCATGCGCATGGCAATATGCACATGCTCATAAACGGCGGCCTCATTGTGACAAGGAGGTTGGGTGCCTCGGTGCTTTTGCTCGGTGTGCTTGTAAGGAAGATGGTATATGGAGGATTAGATACGAATAGGACCAGGGCGGTGCTGGCAGTGGCAGTGGCGGTCTGCTGGTTCCAACCCGTTGTTGTTGCTGGCTCTTGTTGGAGTACGGTAATGCGGTTGGAGGTTTGGAGGTGCTGTATCGAATGTTTGCGGGGAAAGCGTGAACATATGTTAAGGAAACTTGACATGCGTGGACGTGTGTTTGAGGGAGGTGATGTTGCTGCTGGTTTTGTACAGCCCGGCTGCGGCTTTAGGTGTTGGTGGTGTATTGGGTTCGTGTACGGCTGCTATACAGTGATACCGTGCAGGAATGCTGTACACTCATGCCGTACAGTAATACTGCTTCTGCATGTAACTCGTGACCGCGTCCTTTGCAACCAAACAATTACAGAGTGCGCTGCACCCCACGTACGATGCATTGCGGGGCCTCACAGAACGCAACAGGGGGGTGGCAACTGGGTTTATGCAGCTACATAATCCCCTGTGCCCTGGAGGACACCTGTCATCGCTTCCGCTGGGGACATCAAGCGCCCCCAGCACGTCGCTGGAGGCACAGACACGTCCACACGCAGAGCACTTCTAGGTCGCCTGCCACCGGGGTCAGCGCCGGTACAGCACACAGCGTACACACACTCTGCGACTGGCGGCCAGGGTTCTCAACACTCGGTGCCCTGCATCCTGCGCGCGTACGGATTGACCAGAGCGGCCACGTACGATGACACACATCGCCATCCCCCTCACACATCTCCATCCTGCCCTCACACCGCTCTCGCCTCAGACCCAACCCCCTCCAGAAGTGCCCTCGCGTGCCCCCTCATGCCCCTCCTCCCTCAGTGCCAGTCATGTGCCTCCTGCTCACCCCGTCGACCCCCCTAACCCCACCAAACCCATTCCCCCCCCCTTCCCGCCCCTATGAATGCATGCCCCCGCCCCCTCACGCCACATCCATGCGGTGCAGCATCTCGTTGATGGAGCTGCCCAGCTCCCCGGCAGCCCGCATCTCCGTCACGATGTCGCACCCGCCCACCAGCTCGCCGCGCACGTACAGCTGTGGGGGCATGTGCATGCGTGCATGCATGCAGGCAGGGGGGTGGCGGCATGAGGGGAGGTGCTGGAGGTGCATGGAATAGTATCATGGTGGGAGGGGTCATTGCAAGAGGTGTGTGTCTTCTGCTCAAGAAGTGCGGAAGTATTGCTGTACAAGCGCCCCTCGCTTTGCGTTTCGCCCACCCGCCCCACTCTCCAGCGGGTATACAACAACGACCCTGCCCTCCTCCCCCCTCGCCCCCCTCGCCACCCCCCCACCTGCGGGTATGTCGGCCAGTTGCTGTACTCCTTGAGCCCCTGCCGGATCGCCTCGTCCTGCAGGATGTCGAAGCTGCCAAACTCCACACCCTCCGCCTGTGCGGGTGCCCGCACGTGTGGGTCAGGTGTGTCAGCAAGTCAGGGACCAAGTGGAACCCCATGCGGCTGCCGCCACTGCCACCACCCATCAGCTACACCACCACCCATCACCCAACAACCGCTCCCCCCCTGTGGGTTGCTTCGGTACACCTCCGACCCCCCCCCCACCCCCACCTTGAGCGCCTCCACCACCCGCCTGCTGAAGCCGCAGCGGGGGGCGTCCGGGGTGCCCTTCATGAACAGCATCACGGGCTGCGGACCGCCCAGCAGCGAGCGGATGCGCTCGCGGACTGCCTCGGAGGACTCCGGGGCGGCGGCGGCGGCGGGGTTGGTGGTGGTGGCGGCGGGAGGAGGCGGGGCGGAGGTGGAGGTGGGGGGAGGTGGTGCTGCAGGGGAGGGCGAAGGAGGATGGGGGGCGGTAAGCGGTTGCAGATGTTGTGCGGGGTTTCTTGGCAGTGGTGGTGTTGGGGTTTAGGGTTACAGCGGCGGAGGTGGGTCACATGATGGTGGGTGCAGCCGGGTATGAGGTGTGCAGCCGGGAAGCCAGCTATGGGCGACGAATGACGGGCGGTCAGCAGCAGCAACAACAACAACAAAGCGGGACTCTTAAGAAGCTGCCCAAGAGAAGATCGGAGACGGGCCATCAACCCATCGGCCCACCCCACTCCGGCACTCAGCTCCCTGCCACCCACCCTGCCACCCACCCACCCCCACCTGTCCCCGCTGCCCCCGCCACCGCCGCCGCCGCCACCCCTCGGAAGTCCGCTCCCAGCTTCTCCCTCAGCAGCGCCTCCAGCTCGCCGCTGGCCGCCATCTCAGTCACGATGTCGCAACCGCCAACCAACTCGCCCTTGACGTACAACTGTACGGAGTAGGGTGTGCGACAAAGAGTGCAGATGACGTGTAAGAGTACAACACGCAGACATGCAGCACATGCAGAAGACCAAACAGCGGCGCGGTGGGTCAGGCGCGGTAGGGTCTCTCGGCATCCTCCTCCCTCCAACGATACCCCTGTCCACATGCCTCCCAGCTTCATGTGTGCCTCGTTAATGTGGCAAGCTGGGACCCTGGCTGCAGCGTGTAGCGGTGGGGGCATGTGGGCACGTGTTTTGTGACCTCCCTCCCCCCACTCTCATGTTTCTTCTCCCGTACACCTCCACCCTTTCTTCCCCCGCACCCCCGCATCACCCCCCCGGCCCCCACCTGCGGGTATGTCGGCCAGTTGCTGTACTCCTTGAGCCCTTGCCGGATCGCCTCGTCCTGCAGGATGTCCACACTCTTGAACGCCACCTGCATCAGGGAGGGGAGAAGGAGAATATCCTATGTGTGGTGTGAAATTGGTAAACTAGCTGACACGCCCTGACACGGGGGAGGAGACGTTTCGCTGCGGGGAACCGGAAGTACGGTGCGGTGGGCGGCCGCTGGTCGTCCTGCCCCACAGTGGGCCGCGACACCAGCTGGGCAGCGCTCGGCTTTCAGGCTTCCATGCACGCCGTTGACAGGCGGTTAGAACTTCCTGGCATCATGGCGTTGCCTTCCAAGCGGTTGGCGCTGCTGTGGTGTGGGCCCTGGTGCGGGGCGACCCGAGAGGTATAGGTCCCGCTACCCCCTCCCACCCACCCACCGGTGAACCAACTCGCAACCCCACCCAGCCATCACAGCAGCACGACCCACGCAGCAGCCACCCCGCCCCTTTGCGCACTCGGGTTCGGTGGGCTTGCCTACCTAGCCATCATTCGATCGGCATTCACTCTTCCTCCTCCAGCCCCCTCCCCTCCCTCTCTCCCCCCTCCCTTCCTCTCACCCCCAGCTTCCGCAGCGCCTCCACCACCCGCCCGCTGAAGCCGCAGCGGGGCGCCTCCGCGACCCCCTTCATGAACACCACCACCGGCCAGCTGGACAGCAGGTACTTGATGCGGCCGAACACGGCGGCAGACGACCCGGGGTCTGCTGCAGGGGCTGGTGCTGCTGCTGGTGCTGCACCACCCGTTGCTGCTGTTACCGCTGGTGGTGGTGGTGGTGCGGGTGCGGGGGGTGTGCTGGTAGAGGTGGCTGCGCCGGTTCGCGCCAGTGCGGTCGCCTTGGCGGTGAGGGCGGGTGGGTCGGCGCCCTCTAGCCGGTCTGACACCTCGCCGGACTGGCAACAGGGGAGGGAGGGGAGGGAGGGGGGTTGTTGAGGGGCGGGAGGGCAGGAAGGGAGGAAGGGGGGAGGGTGTTGCGAGCAGGGCTTGCATGGCAGAGCTCTGTGTGTATGGCACCGCTGGCTAGCGGGGAGTGCATGAAAAGCGAGGAGAGGAGAGGAGAGGGGAGGAGGAGAAAGGGAAGAGGGCAGCGCGGGAGGCCGGATTCGCACGAGAGAGTGGGTGGGGGCGGCAAAGGAGGGAGGGGGCGGCGGGGGTGAGGCGCAAGGACGAGGGCATTCTACAAGGGGGCTGCTCTTAAGGAAGTGAGGTCGAGGTTACGGTATGTCCCGTGGGTCGGCCACCGCTGCACTACCCTAGCACCTCGCGATGCAGTGGAAGCAGATGTTGGGGACGGCGCGCAGGCAGGCGTTCAGGACTGGTGGTGGCTTGTGCACTCAAGCACGGTGCATTCCTACTCTTACGGCAAGTTGCTGCCGTTCTCATCCCGCGTGACCCTTACCCGCAAAAAGACAAAGTACGGCACCGTTGTAACATCGAACTTGACTGTGAGCTCGTCCACAACCTCAGCCTCCACCTATGGGGCGGAGAGGAAAGGAAGAAGGAGCGGATAGACCCTTACATGCGGTATGTAGTTAGAGCGCTTGATCTGCGGTCCATCCATGATGTCAGAGATTACCAATACCACTCCCGCTGCACCAGCATCACTGCTATGCTCCCAATCTAGCGTATCTTACAAGTCTGAACGCAGAGATTACTTATCGCTTACTGCGAGCAGTGCTCACCCTCGCGCATGTAATGCCGGGCAGGTCGGATGCTAGCTGCGTCAGCACACTGTCCATGTGTGAGCATGGCTCGCACCAACGGGCCCAGAAGTGTAGGACAATCTGTATTAATAAGAGGGGGATGGTGCCAGATGATACACAAACTCGTCGGCTTGAAATACTGCCTGGCCTTGTCAGGTGTGCAACGATATGACGGTAGGTTGTGTTAACAGCCGAATCCCAATTAACTGGAAGAGCGGAACTGTGATATTAAAACCCTATCCGGGATTACCCCTTAGCCCAGCAAAGGAGTGCCAAAACTTACACTGCACGCGAGATGCATGCACAGATCTTGGAAAGCGGCATATGGCTCTTCCCTATCGGTATTGCGTGTCTTGCAATCCTTGTCACGACTTAACTGTGGTGCACGGCCTCACCGGTTTGTCGTTCGCAATAGCCGCTTGTAGGTCTTTCGAAGAGCGAACATCGACGACAGCACCCATTCTGTTCCCTGTTGCAGCGTAGCCCTACCTACCAAACGCCTGGAGTTCTATGAAGGATAATTGAGTATAGAATAGTCCAGAATCCACAACCGAGAATTTACAGGTGTTTTCGTGATACCCGAACAAATCAATTTGTAAACGTGAAGCGGAAAGTGTATATTCTGTGTGACGGTGTGGGCAGCAGGTCTCACGGCCTGAGTTGTACGGTGGCGGTACCGTGAGATGCTATGTTGCTATCCCAGGGCAATTTTTACATGCTATGCTTGCTGTAATTTTAGATTGACAGCACTTAGCTTTCTATTAGGTGTTTAATTTTACCAGGCATCTACATAGCTATTTGGCTGTCGGGAGCTTAGGGGCTAGGGCCCGCAGACGACACAGCGTTATCATCATGAGCTTATTGCATAGGAAGTGTAGGCACTTCCGGTATAACTTTTTTTTAGCGCAGGCACTGTAGACATGGTCGACGCTGCGGTTCGTCGGCTCCTCAGCGGGGTGGCAATCCTGCTGGTAGCCGCATGTGTTGGGCATTTCTGGCTGGGCAAGTCCTTTGCCGCGAAAGTATGGGATGACGCGTGCCAGGTGGGAAGTCCTGAGGGTTCTGCTGGTACACGTGACCTAACTCATCGTAGCCACCATACCTTGTCGCTTGCCTTTACCATCTAGGCTTGGTACACAAGGTGTTGTATTGACTGTACGCAGGCTGGGGCACTTGTATTCGTGCTGAAGTTCGGCGAAAGCCGGAGTACAGCCACCACGTCAACAGAGGCAATTCTCAGCACGGCGCTGGGTAAGAGATATTTCCTTCAGTGTATGTCATGCCTCTTTACGCTTTACCTTTTGCCGTGTCAACAAGCTCTCCCGCTTCCTGGTCATTATGCCGGCATAATTGCCCTATCTAGGAGCAACACCCTCGCACCACAGCATATTCCCACCACATTCCGGTATCAGTTACCTCCTCAACTTCTCTTTCTTTTATGTATCAACCACGTTACCTTTAAGCAAACGTTCCAAAACCCTTTTGTACGCAGGCGCCTCGTTTGGCGCGCTGAGCGCCTGGCTGAGTGCCTGCAATGCCATCCTGCTGTTGGTGGCTGTCTCCATGCTACTCATCCACCATCCCTGCCCCAGCAAAGCGCTGGCGGCGGAAAAGCTGAAGGCACTGGGGGCCGCTGCCGCTGCTGACGGCGGTCAGTACCTGCCCTCCGTCGGCTTCTGGCAGCTGCTGCTCTCCACCTTTTGGTTTGGTGAGTGCCGAGATGTGCGCGCTGCCGCACACTGGCGGCCCGGACTCACAGTCTCGCAGCAACTGAACGGCTACCGGCGCCGTTTGGCTGCACGTGCGTCACATGTCTCCTTTCAGACACAACTGCCGCCCCACATGGCAAACGGAGACACCTAGACACACTCCAAACCACCCAGCACCCTCCTCACCCCTGCTACCCAGCACCCCACCTGTTCGTCCCTCGCCACCCACCTCCCACTCCATTCCCAACGTGCCCCCCCCCCGCCCCCGCCCCGCTTCCCTGCAGTGCACCGCGCCGCTGCCGGCTGCGGGCTGCTGGGCTGCCTCTCCGCGGCGTTGTGCCACGTGGCGCTGCTGGTGGCGGCCACCGAGCTGGTGGCCTGGCTGCCGGGAAGGGGAGCAGGAGGGGGAGGGGGAGGGGGACAGGTCGGGGGGCTGCAGCAGGGCGGAGGCAGCGGGGCCAGCAGCGCCAGAGGCGAGGAGGTGGGAGCAGCAGCAACAGGAGCGGGAACAGTAGGGTCGACGGCAGCAGCAGCAGCAGGCGGGGCTGAGGCTGCAGTGGTGGAGGGAGGCTCGCCTTCGGACTGGGGGAGCTCCCCCATCTCTCCTGCTGCCGCCGGTGCGGCGGTTGGTGCGGCGGCGGCTGCTGGCGGGTTCCTGCGTTGCTCTAGCAGCAGTGCGGCGATGGGACAGGTGGGGTGGGGGTGGAGGTGGGGCTAAATTAAGAAAACTGAGAAGCTGTATGACGAGGCTTCCCAGGTGGGGGTGGAGATGGAGATGGTGCAATGAGAGAGTCCTCCGTTAAGGTCCGTTAAGTTCGACAGTGCGTCATAGCAACATACTTGACGTGCGCTGCCGTCCGTCTAGTCCCATTCTTTATACAGCGCCTTTCCGCCTCCCGCCCTCCGTCCCGTCCCTCACCCCACCCCACCTCGCCCTCGCAGGCGCTGCTGGCAGACAGCAGCCACCTCCTCTCCGCCTCCGCTACCGGCTTCCGGCCCCACCAGCCCTCCTCCTGCGCGCCCCCAGCCGCCCTGCGCCGCTCCTCCTCCGCCGCTGCCACCGCTGCCGCCTCCATGCATGGCAGCAGCACCACGCACGACACCCCGGCTGCCGCATCCCTTGCGTCATCCTTTGCTGCTGCGGCTGCTGCTGCCATGGGGGCTGGGTGCGGCTCCCAACCGCCTCCGCAACCGCCGCTGCCGGCTGCAGTTGCTGCTGCTGCTGGTGCTGCTGCTGTCGGCCGGCTGTCCCTTGACCAGCGGTTCGGCCTGCACCACCAACGCCTCTTAAACCCGCACCGCCTGCACCGGCAGCAGCAGCAGCAGCAACACCACCACCCGCTATCGGGAGCGGGAGCGGGAGCAGCAGTGTCAGCAGCGGGGGTGCGGAAGAGCGCCAGCCCGGAGCCGTGTGTGGGCGTAGCGGTGGCGGCAGCGGTGGTAGCAGCGGTGGCAGCGGAGGTCGAGGGCGCTCAGGGGGCGGTGGGGTTGGGGGCGGAATCACGCATCAGCGGTGTGGCGCCGGTGCTGGTGCATGAGGTTTGCGACGGGGAAAGGCCGGGAGAGGCGGATGTGGGAGGAAGAGGAGGGGCGGAGGAGGAGGAGGAGGGCTTACCACATGCGGAGGACAGCTCCGAGGCGGCCGCAGTGGCGGGCATCTACTCTGTCTGCAGCCTCCCTTCCCATCCCCAGCAAACAGATCAACAGCAGGAGCAGCCGGTGATGATGGCGATGCTGCAGGGCTCAGGATGGGGGCCAGGGCAGCCACACCTGATGCCGCTAGAGCACCACCATCAGCCCGAGCCGCCCCTGCCAACGCGGCCTCCTCCCGGTCCCAGACCCCATCATCATCATCAGCCGCCGGGTCAGGAGCCCCTCGTCCGGCACCACCGGGTGACGGGCAGCACACACGACTACATCCTGCTGGCCTCCACGCTACCGGGGGCGGCGGGGTACGGCAGCGGGTACGATGAAGACGACGAGTACGACAGTGACGTGTACGATGATGAGGACGATGATGAGGAGGAGGATGGGGGTGTTGGTTGCGATGATGGGTATGATAGCGATGGCTGCTTTTCGCTGGCTCTTGCGGAGGGAGGGGTCAGCAGTAATAACAACAATACGAGTCACGCCGCAGCGGTCGTCACGGGCGGAACTATTACGACTGCCGCCGCCCCTGCTGCTGCTGCTGCTGCTACAGCTGCTCCTGCATGGGGCGGTGCTGATGCCGGGGTAAGCAAGGAGGACGGCTGCCGGAACAGCGGGGCGGGTGCGGCGGGTGTGCGAGCGGAAGCGCTGGAGGTCAGCACCGCCGTCGCCGTGGCGATGCAGGAGCTGGCGGCGGAGAGCTTGTCCTCGAGCTATCCGTACGGCAGCGCGGGTACGACAGGGGCCGCCGCCGGACTGGCGGCTGCGGTTGCGGCAGCGGCAGCAGCAGGAGGAGCAGGAGGCGGCCGAGGAGAACGGGGGGCGTCAGTGCAGGGGGGTGGTATGCAGGGTGCCAGCGGCACTACCTCTGTTCGAGGGGGTGTCTTAATGGCGTTGCCTAACTGCCCCTCCATGCGGTGTGCTGCTGCTGGTGGTGGTGGTGTCGCGGACGATGGCGATCAGGAGGAGGGTGCTGTTGCTATTGGTGCTGCTGCTTTGCAGCACGCGCTGCGAGCATGCGATAACGGTGACGAGGACGATGATGAGTATACCGATGAGGAGGAGGAGGAGGAGGAGGAGGAAGCATGCTTGGTTGTGCATGGCGACGAAGCGGAGGAGGAGGACCTTATGTCGCTGGGAGAGGTGGAGGCGGCAGCAACGGCTGCAGCAGGAGCAGCCGTTGATCCCGTGGGCACGACAACCGCTGCCGCCTCCGTTGCGGAATGTACGACACCCACCCGGGCTAGAAGAACTGCCACCGCTGCTTTTGCCGCAAGCACAGCACCAGCAGCGACGGTGGGCCTTCAGGTCATGGGCGCTGCTGCAGCTGGTGGCGGCGGCGGCATGCAGCAGCAGCGTCAGCAACTGCTGCTGGACGGCTTTGTCGCCCCCGAGGACTCCTGCATGGCCTGCTGGCCGCACAGCCCCGGTCCCGCTGCGGGCCTCACCCGCCACCCCTCTCAGCAGCTGCCGGCCCCCCTCCTGCAGCAGCAGCAGCACCTGCATGACCCGCGGGGCGCCTGGGAGCAGGCACATCGCGGTTGGGAGGGGGGCTGCTCGGGAGGAGGAGATGGAGGCGGAGTGGTGGTTCCTCTGCAGGTGAGAGCCGAGCGCTGGGACAGGAGGATATCCTGCAGCTGCACATGCAGCTGCTCATGCGTTGTGTGCACTGGTGCGCCGGTGTTGAATGCTCCCGTTACATTGCTTTTGGTTCGCTTCTTTAAGGCAACACCGTCCCTCTACAGTGCTGCTGATGCATGGTCGATGACTGCCCCTGATCATCCCGCGATCAGCAACATGCTCCTCTTACCTTCCCCGTCCTCCCCCGACCCGAAGGAGGACACCCTGGCGCGCCACACCGCCGCCTCCTACCTCCTGCAGGAGCAGCAGCAACTGCTGGCGCTGCTGCAAACTGGACACGCTGCTGCTGCTGCTGCGGAGGCCTCCGGCGCACCCGAACCCGCATACGCCCCAGCTGCGCGGGCCTCCGCAGCAGCAGCAGCAGCGTACGCCCCAGCTGCGCGGGATTTGTGGGGCCCTGCAGGAGGCGGCGCCGGCGGAATGCATGCGGCAGCCGGTGCTGGCACAGCATCCCTCCCAGCGGAGCTACTGTTGCTGCGGGGCGCTGCTGCTGCTGCTGCACCCGCCTCGCCCTCCCCTGCACTGGACCTGCTAGACTGCTTCCTGCGTGACTCTGTCATGCTGGCCAGCGGAGGGTACGGCAGGATTGAAGAGTACGACATGACGTACGAGTACGGAGCTGATGCGGCAGCAGCAGCTGCATCAGTGGTGGGGGCGGTGGAGGGTGAGAGCAGCATGGGCTGCTGTGCGGTGCGGGCGGAGTGCAGGCTGGCGGACCAGCAGTACTACCCGCAGCAATACCGCAGCAGCAAACAGCAGAAGCAGCAACGGCAGCAGCGGCAGCGAAGGCTGTCTGCGGGGCAGTTGCTGGCGCGTGCGGTGTACGGAGGTGCGCAACCGCATACGGCGCCGCTGCCGGATCCAAATCTGTCGTACCCGCATGAGCACCATCCGCCGCCCCCGCCGCAGCAGCAGCAGCAACTGAAGCATGAGCCATACCAGCCTCCCCACTGCTATGGCGAGTACCACGAGCAGCTGCAGCAGCTACAACAGCAGCTACAGGAGCAGCAGAGGAGCAGCCGGCAGCTTGCTGGGGGGCTTGAGGGGGCAGACAGGCTACGAGACCCTAGTGCAGGGGCCCATGCTCTGGGCGGTCGGGGGGAGACGACGAGGCTGGAGACAGCGACAGAGTCCGGAGGCGCTACCCATGAGGCTGCTGCAGCAACCGCGTTTGTGCACGATGGCAGTCAGTGGCAGTGCATGACAGGTGACGGTCGTGCTGATGACCCATGGGTCATGAAGGCTTCAATTGCAGGTAGGCACGTGTCGGCGCGGGTTTGCCCGCAGCCCCTGAAGAACCGCTATGCGGCGGTTGAGGATCGGTTGCGGCATGCGGCGACGGATGATGATGGTGCGGAAGGAGATGCAATGGACGGGCCCTACGTGACGTCGGCGAACGCTGTTGCAGAGCGCGACATGACAGCGGGAAGGGCAGCGGCTCTGGGGCCGCACCCTGGCCCGATGCTGGTAGTGGGTCGGGGAGTAGTAGGAGAAGCAGGAGCAGCGCGGGGGCTGGCGGCCAGCAGCAGCAGCAGGGGCGCGGGGTATGAGGCAGCGGCTCAGGACTGCTGCAGGTGGGAAGACGAGGAGACGTTTGGGCTGGAGGATGATTTCAGCTGCGGCGGGAAGGACAGCCCTTCGCAGCTGCGTCCCTCCCCAACCTCGCGACTGCAGTCCCCACGCGGCGTTCAAGGGGGCCTTCATGAGCAGCACCCGCTGCACCAACTGCAGTTCTACCGCCTTGAGCAGCAGCGGCAGCAGCAGCAACAGCAGCGGCAACAGCCGGCTGCTGCCCCGGGCTTGCGGCGGCTCACGGACGGGGGCGTCACGGGGGCAGCTGCCCAGTCGCCGCCCGCAGCCTCCAGTCCGCTGCAGATCGCCGCGGACCGCCCTGCAGCGGGTGGCGGCGGCGGCGGCGGCGGCGGGGGTCGTGGGAGCGCCGGCGGAAGCCTTCCAGACAGAGCCGCCACCGCCGCGGGGGCGTCAGCGTCTCTCGCCGCTGCAGCCACGTCGTGTGGGAGCGGTACGCTTGTGCAACCGTTTGTGGCGGTTGGTACGTTGTACCGCTCGTTGTCGTTGCAGCACCGGCCCACATACGGCTCGCAGCGGCGCTCATTCGACACGCGAATCAGTCGCATGGGCAGCATTGCCAGGGTGCAGCACCCGCCGGGGGCAGCAGCGGTGGCGGCGGCTGGGGTGGAGGTGGAGATGGCGACGGGGCTACCCCTCACGCCCCGGACAATGCCGTCGGCTTCACCGCAGACGTCGCCACCACAGCTGCTGCCGGCGAGCGAGGGTTGCGGCGCAACCGGGGGAGGAGCACTCTCCTCCGCAACCCCCTCGTGCCTCACATCTCCGAGGCCAGAGCTGCCGCAGCCGCCTCACCTGCCGGCGCAGTCCTTGTCACCTTTTGCCAGGCACGCCGCAGCGGCAGCTGCTGCCGTTGCCGCCGCCACAGCTGCCGAGGATGCTGCATCGCCACATCATCTCGCCGACAAGCTGCGACAGAGCAGCTCCGCTCCCAAAGCAGGGACGCAGTTGCCGCCGCTGGCGACGACGGCGGCTATGGGCGCCCTGGGTCTGACGTCAGCATGCGCTGCTGCTGCTGCTGCTACAGCGGCGGCACCCTCGGACCCTCCGCTCGAGCTGCTGCCCGCTGCGTCCGGTTCGACCAGCCTTGCAACGCGTCTGACACTGCCCTCGGACGGCTGCGGCATGCGGCTGTGCAGCGGTGGTGGGGGCATCACGAGTCCGCCGACCCATGGGTCATGGGGCCGGGCGTCCAGCAGCGATGAGGAAGGCGGAGAGCTGCCGACGGCTGGCTCTGCTGTTGCGGAAGCGAAACGTCAGCCGTCGCTGCGCGGTTAGCCTGGCTGCTTGCTATTGTGAGAAAGGGAACCGAAGACGAACAAGAGGATCAGGGACTGAGATTACCGTTGGCCGCGCTGTCGTTCGTACGGACACCTAGTTGCGTTGGCTTGAGGCGCCCCAGCGGCTGATGAGAGCCTCGTGACGTTTCCCTTGGCGAGGTCCGTTGCTGCGGCCTTGCATGTGCACATCACCGGAAGCGTAAGGTTTTGGGTGGGGTGGGGTGAGCAACCGTCCAGCATTGACGGGAGGATATAGATGTACCGGTATCGTACTACTAATTGTTCGTTGGGGGGTTTTAGGCGTCCTTTTTGTTATGAAGCCAGACGGTGTGGTGCCACACCTGCTGTCACACGCTTAGCTGGCACATGTTAGCAGGTAGCAGGAGCTACTACTAGCAGCGCCGTAGGGCCTGGTAGATGTTGTAGGGGATGCAGCACATCCAGACAGTCGGCACCAGTTTGCTGCATCTGCAAGCGTACGGGCTTATTTTGATCCGGGTTGCGGTTCTTGTATTTGTGCCGCCAACTTCGGCGACTGAACTCCCAGGATGTGGAAGGGTGCCAACAGCCCACGTGTCCAAAGGCACTGCTCATCAAGTGTCCGTACTTCTGCCTGGGGTTGACGTGTATTGCGTGCGGCCAGGGGGTGTGGACAGGCTTGGGGGCACCGGGAGGGAGGCGAGCGCCTGTAGGGGGGGCTGGGATCACCCGTGAGAGGGCGCCCTACTCACGTCGTGTCTTGACTTAGCTCCGCTGCTGAGCTACCCGGCTCTGTGGGAGCCCCTAACAGCGGCGTCAGAAGACGGAGGCATGCCGCCGGTGTGGGGCCGCACTGTTGTGGGTCTGCGCCCCCCGCATCACCTAGCGCGCTGGTTCTGCTATAGCTTAGGTCTTCGGTATGCGTGTAGCGCTTGCTAGTAGTGGTGCGGCTTGTACTTGTTAGGGGTGTCGCCTGCGGTTGAATGTGTGCCTGCCCAGGAAGTGTGCGGGGTAGGTCTTAGCCCTGCCCGAGAGCACGTCAGCTGCGTGCCCCGGTGCGCTGATGAGTTGCGGTCTTGTGGCGCCTGGTGCCGCCGTGGGGCTGAGCTGCGCTGAGCTGCACTGCCGCCGCCAGGAGCCCTTGTCCTTGCTGAGCTCCTGATTGTCCTGATTGTGTGCTGTGTCTGTGTTGTCGTGCCTGCGAGTGGCAGTAGGCTGCCCTGCCAGTCCTGGGCGTCGCGTGTGTTTGTGTGCAGGCGGTTCTTGTTCCTCAGGGAGAGTCAGGCGTCGCCGTTGTGCACAAACCATTGCGGAAATTAGCCCTACTTTCTTGATATGCGTTGTGAAGGAGGCAGTATAGGCGTAGGAAGGCAGGCAATTCAGGAGCTATGTGCGGGCGGGAAGGCCGGTGCGGTTGATTGGAAAACCTTGCGCCGGAATGCTCAGGGAGTTGCTAGCTGAGATAGCTGAGCGCCGTTCTCCTTTGTCGTGTGCGTGTGCGAGTTAGGTGCGGTAGATCAGCGGCGGCTGCAAGGTAGGCATCCTGTCTTCGGTAGCGTAGGAGGCCTTACGTCTTGATGGGCGGGAACGCGGGATATGTGTGCGTGGGGAGCAGGTGGCTTGCAGGCCCGCTGCGCTGCGCTGCTGCACGTGCTCGGGTTTTATACGGTACATGAAGCGGTGCCGCTAGCAGTGCAGCAACTGCGGCCGCTAGCATTAGCTGGTGGTGGTGTGGAGCAATCTCCACGCGTGCGTTGTTTGGTGGCGTGAAGGCCGTTGTTGCGGGTGTGGTGCGAATGCTGCTGAAGAGTTTAGGGCACAGTGGAGGCCTAGAGTGTAGGGTCGCGCGTGTGTGTTGGGCCGTGTTGGGCCAGTATGATCCTGCAGCCATGAAGGACGGAGAGGCAGAGCGTGCGGGCGCGCGTGTGCGCGATGGTAGTGGCGCGGATGAGGTTGGGAGAGGTGTCATGCGAGGACTGGGCTGGGTGGGCAGGAGGTACTTGGAAGCCGGAGACGGCCGCGAGCACTGATGCGGGTTATAGGCGGGCTATACTTGGAACGCGTATGGATTACTTGTTGTTGATCACTTGATATTGTCGTGCGAGCGTTGGACAGGCGGTAACAGGGCTCATGCGGCGTGTATTTATAGCGGAGGTCCGGTCGTGCCATATGCCGAAATGCGGCCAGCGAGGACTTACATGTAAAGGTCACGGTATGTGTGAACAACGCATCCACAGCCGGGTGACTGCTTGTAGGGAGTAACTCTTCCTGTCCTTATCCTGGCGCCGCTAGCTGATTCCGCCCTTTCCCTCCTCGCGTTGCCCCTGCCAAGCACGACAACCCATCCAGGCACACTTGCAAGCCCACACACAATGTCCCCATCCAACCTCCAGGGGGCCCCCCTCCTCCCAAACCTCTCCCCCGCCTAACCCTCAGCCCCCCACCCCTACACCGCACCCGCCACTCCCCCACCTGCGACCGCCCGTCTCCTCCGCCCCTTCCCCTACTCCTGCCCCTCCTCCCCTGCCCCTCCCGCCCCCGCCCCCGCTGCTGCTGTGAGGTACTCCAGGACGTACATGTTGCCCTCACACGCCGCCGCCAGGTCCCCGTGCAGCCGCCCCATCACCTTCTGCAGCGCCCGCAGAGCCGGCAGCACCGCACCGCTACCCAGCCCGCCCGCCGCCGCGCCCGCCACCCTAGCCGCCGCCAGCGCGCCCCCACCCACACCCCCGCTGCCCGCCGCCTTCAGCAGCCCCCCCTGCGCCGTACACAGCGCCCGAACCCACATCAACACAAACTCCAAATGCGGGCAGTCCGCCGCATACTCTGCCAGGGCCGACAGCACCGCCGGCACAAACACCGCCGGCACGCCCGCCACCGTCGTCGCCACCGCTGCCGGCGGCGTCGCCAGCACGACATGTCGTACCAGCGCGGGGTCTCCCAGCCGCAGCGCGATGAGCAGCGCGCGGAGGAAGGACCGTGACGCCAGTGCCGCCTGCGCCGCCGCGGGTGTGAGCTCCTCCGTGAGGTCCGTGGGGTCGAACAGGAGCCCCTCGTCCAGGCTGTACAGCATGAGCCCCTCGGTGGTGGCGGCGGCCCACACGCGGCCAGTGGGGGAGAGCGCCACGCTGCGGCAGCGAACCATGGGTCGCTTGCCGGCCGAGGTGCCGGGCACGTCCGCCGAGGCGGCTAGGTCGGTGGAGGGCGGCAGCAGCTCCACCATGTCATCCTCCTGGAGGGGTGGTGGTGGGGGTGGTGTCGGGCGGTGGGGGGGTGGTTGTGGGGGTGAAGAGGGAGAGGGCGGGGGAGAGGAGTGCTCGCGCGGGTAGGAGGAGGAATGTGCGGCCGACCTTGGTTGTGAGGAGGTAGGCAGGTAAAATAGGCATGGTGTGAGCAGAGAGAGGGGTGGGCACGGCCTTCAAAGCGCACAAGGTGTCCAGGAATCCCCCTGGCGTGCCTGTGCGGGCCCTGCGTCCCACCAACCATGTACACTCCTCCCTCGCTAAACACGCAACCTCTACCCCACCATACCCCACATCACCGCAACACAGCCCATCGACGTTTTGCGCTCTTCCCAACCCACCCATCCACTCGCCCGCCAGCACACCGACATGCGCCCACACCCACACCCCCATCAGCTTCCTCTTTACCCCATGCCTTACCACACAGTCAGCTAGTTGTTTCCTCTTTGCCCCCCCTTTGCCTCACCTGGTCATCCGTGTTGAGCAGCTGCAGCGGCCCCGCGTCCGTCATGTGCTTCGAGTTCAGCTGGTCCAGCACGCCGTCCAGCCCCCGGTTGTACGACAACTGAAACCGCCGCAACATCAGCCGCTCCGCCACGTCGTACACGCACACGTACTTGGACTTCCCGCCCGCAAGCAGCAGCGCACCGTCCGCGGAGTACGCCAGCGAGGTGAATGCAGCCCCCGAGGCGGAGTTCCCCGCCGCCCGGCGATCCGACTGCAGTCTCCCGCCCTTGATGTCTCGGCGCCCCTCAATGGTCCCCTGCAGCTCCCCCTCCACCGGGTCCCACAGGTAGATGCTGCCGTCCAGGGTGGCAGCCGCCAGCTGCCGCCCGTCGGGCCGCATGGCCACCGTCAACACGTCGTGTCGGTGCTCCAATACCTCCGTGGCTCCGGAACCGCCGCTGTCGTACACGTCCCAGGTACGAACCGTACGGTCCCAGGAGCAGGACGCCAGGAGCGAGGTCACCGGTGAGAAGGCGAGCCCCGACACCGGCCCCTCGTGCCCCGCTAGGACGTCGGTGAGCCTGCCCGTCTTGAGCGACCACACGTAGATCTGGAAGGTATCCACGGTGCCCGCCACCACCACCTCCCCGCCCGGGTCGACCGCCAGGCAGCCGAACTGCACGGGTGTGGGCGAGGTGAGGGTGCGGAAGTTGCGGTAGCGCACCAGGTCCCAGGCGCGCACGGTGCCGTCCAGCGAGGCGGACAGCAGCGCGTGTCCCGAGGGCAGGAAGGCGACGGCGGTGACAGGGGCGGTGTGTTCGGAGAAGGTGACGAAGCAGAAGCCGGAGGACTGCTGGAAGACCTTGACCTGGGGGGGGGGCGGAGCGGAAGGGGAGGAGGGGTAAGAGGAACAGTAAAGGACGAAGAAGATGCAAGCATGACGGTACGATCCCTCCTATCGCAATCGCATTCATTGCTCCGCCCCCTTGCACCCACCCCTTACCTTGCAGTCGTCCGCGCCCGTCGCAATGAGCGCCCCATCCGGCGAGAACGCCGTGGCAGCAATGTCATGGTAGTGCCCCTGCTGCTTCAGCACATACGTCTCGCTGCGCCACTCCCACACCAGCAGCTGCCCCAGCGCCGCGCACCCCACCGCCAGCCAGTCGCCACCACCGTTGAACGCCAGGCTGCTGATGCGCTCGCGGCTCACGCTGAGCGTGTGCAGGTTGTCAAAATCGGGCAGCTGGTAGAGGTCAAACACGCCGTTGCTGAAGCCCACCGCCAGTAGTCCGGAAGGCGAGTGGTGGTCGTAGGAGCTCACTCGGGCGCCGCGTTGGTGGAAGTAATGCTTGCGGGAGAGGTACCACTTGCCGCCGGCTAGGGATGGGAAGGGTGAGGAGGAGGTGGTGGCGCCGTCTTGTTGCCGGGCTGTAGCTGCGGCGTCCTTAACGCCGTCTTGCTGTTGTTGCTGCTGCTGCGGCTGGTCATCCTGGGCCTGCTCCGCCTGTTCCTCCTGCTGCTGCTGCTCCTCTTGCTCCAGTTTCCGCTGCTCCTCGGCTTCCTGCATTTCCTTCCGCTTGCGCTTGGCGACGGGCGGTGCCAGGTTGTCAAGCGTGTAGGCTGCGGAGGCGTCGTAGGTCCAGCCGTGCAGGGCCCCGTCGGCTGACAGAGAGTACATAACCGGCGCCTCGCCTCCATCGGAGGTCCCTTTGGCAATGGTAGCTGGGCTGGAGAAGAACACGCCGATAATGGCGTCCTTGTGGCCAGCCAGGGTTGGGGGCTCATAGCCGGGAATGGGGTTGAGCGAGAAGACTCGCACTGTGATGTCCTTGGATGCGGCAGCAATGAAGTTGCCATCCGGGCTCCATGCAACGTCCAGCACGTCAGTGTGGCAGTGGCCATAGGTGCGGTGCAGCTGCATGGGATTCATCTGCTTTTCCGCAGAAGGACAAAGCCAGACTTGCACCAGGTGGCCGACCGCCACCGCAACGTAGCGACCATCTGGGCTGAAGCGCGCACAGGCGACGGGGCCCTTGAATGAAAAGTGGTGAAGCAGCACTTGACGCTTACGATTAATCAGCAGCGCACGCCCGTCCTTGTCGACAGACATCAGTAGGGCGCCGTCGGGGCTGACGCATAGTACGCGGATTTGTGTCAAGTTCTCAAATGGAAGACATTTGCTGGTCGATTCAGTCAGGCTGACCTGGCCTACCCGGTTGCCAACAGGTGTGAGAAGCTCATTGTTGCAAATTAGCAAGGTGCCCCCACGGTAAGGGGCACCTATAAGATTGGAGAAAGTAAAATTCATTTTTACACCAACATTTCCCAACCGTGCCTTCGGTGAGCATCGGCAGGCCTTGCTCTTTGCCTTCGGCGGCTCCGCATGCTCGTCCCGTGTACGGGATCAACAAGGAGCTTCAGCCAACAGGTCTTCGGCGTTTTTCCTTCTCTATTTTGGCATTTTAGTTCTTCATAGACCTACTTGATTGCGTAATTCTCCACTAAACTACTCTCCAAGCTTACGCACCGCATGCGAATCCTGAAAACATGCGACACCTTCACCTTTGAAGCAATGCTTTTCAAAACCTTTCGGGTATGTCCCAATGCCTCCTTCAAACTTGTTGCAAACTGCCGCGGTAAGCAGAGTACGTACTGTGCAACACCCCTTACTCGCTGCATCGACTCCCCTAGCAGGTTCTGCAGGCCGTCCAGACGGGAATGCAGGACACATAAGTGTATTCTGCCCTTCCAATTGCTGGGTTGAAAAGGCAAAAGCATGAACGGCGGCGGGCGGCCCAAGCTATCCGCTCGCACGGGGCATACAAGTATTCTAGCCGGATGGAATCTGCTCGTGTGATGCTGGGCGCATGTAGGTGTGTGCTTATGATGCAGTTTCAATGCTTACACACTTTATAGCCAATGCTTGCAGTGCGGTTTAGTTGCTAACCGGTACCATGTGCTCGTAGGGCTCGAGGCTCAGCTGATGTCAACACATGCACACACCCACTCGCGTCTCTCCTGTCTGGCGTCACGTGCTCTTCCCTCCTGAGCCCCTTCCTCCACCTCCTCTCCTATACAGCCAGGCAGCCGCCACTCCAGGTTTCTTCCTCCATCCAATGCATGCGCCTTTCCTTCCAGCCACATACATATGCATGCACAGAACAACCCCCCAACATGGCTACCGCATCAAAAGCTGGTACGATTGCATTACTTTCTTCGTGTTGCGTTGAAGGAAAGTGAAACTGCTCTGTGAGGCGAAGGCAGAACGAACGCACCCACCCACCCACTGGGACAACCGTCGTGAGCTCGTAACACCCACTGCTGCTGCCCACCACTCTCAAACAATTTAGCAGCATAAATTTTTGGCCATGTAACACACACACACACTTGCACTTGTTTCCGCTCAACTACACACAAACACACACAGGACACGCGCATGCTAAGATTGCTAACTGAAGACACGCGTGCCAGGAACCGAAGCGCGGAGGAAACGAGCTAGTTGACCAGAGGTGGAGCTTTGAGGAGTCACTTGACATCTTGGTACGATACCACGTAAGACAACCATCCCCTGCTTTTGACATCTGGCCTCAAACACGCCCTCCGACATTCTCACATTCCTTCACCCCTCCGAACGACATGGCTCCTGACCTCTTGCCGTACACACACGTAACGACTCGCCACAATGCACATTTTACACACTTGAGCAGTGCCGCATGATGCCACCCACCGGCATCTTCAGCCCAGTACGGTATCCCCGCTTGGGGGCTGCGATTGCATGGACACAGCCCGCACCTCCCGCTCCCCCCGTCGGGCCTATCTGCCTCATCAGGGCCTCCCTTACTGCATGCTGGTCCGCAGCTCCCACACCCCCACCAGCTGCCAGCGCACCCCGACGCACACCGCCCCGACGTGTTGGCAGGAACAGGACCGGGGACTGCTGTCCGTTGCAGCGGTGAGACCTTCCAGCGCTAAACAACACATCACCAACACTGGTGCCAGCAACAATGCGCGGAGGAGCTGGAGCCAGCGCGCAGACTATCAATGCCTACCTCTTCCGGTCTACTACACTTGATGCTTCAGTAAACCCCATCCGCCCCCTTCTAGCAACGATCCTTTGGCGCCTTGAAAAGATTATCTTTTACACGAATAACACCCGTGACACATTGCTCCGTGATGCGCGCGTTCACTGTTAGCGTTGAGGCACCAAACGATATTCCACGATTGATCTTTGCAAGGCCAAATGCACAGCAGTGAGGACGACAAGGGCCCGCAATTACAAAACGTCCAACCAGGGTTGCAACTGCAAATGCCACCAGCATAGGAGTAAAGTCCCTATGTACGCTGTAACAGCGGCAACAGCTGAGCCAAAACGATAAAACGCTGATCCTGACGCTGGCTGAACGATAAAAATGCTGATCCGAACCGATATGTTGCGCGACATCTGACGACCATCAGCACAATTGCATGACAATAACGAACACGTGCCGGGGGCTGCGTATCGTCTGCGGGGGTGTCAATTGGTACCTGCAATGTCCTGCCCTGCCGTACAACCCCACAGCAGCAGCCGACATGAGTTGTCTGCCCTCCATCTCTGTGTCACCTAAGTTGCTCCTTTCTCGTGCCGCTGCAAAAACGTATATACTAAAACATCACCCACCTCCCAACAGCCTTCAACCAACAAGCGCTACTGAACGAGCGCCAACCACCACAACCACCCAACGACCAACACCAACAAACTGCCGCGCCGCTAACGACCCCCCCCCGGGCGGCTCACATCCCCCTTGCAGGACGGTCGGCGGCCTGTGCCTATGCTGCACACACACGCATGTAAAACCACGCAAGGAACGGGCTATCCGGTAGCTAACGCTGAAGTACAGCAGATGTGATTAGTATTTGGCTCAAAACAAAATGCCTGGCCCCCTTCCCCGAATTGCTGCCCCCCCACAAACACTCAACTACGCTGCATAGCAGGCCAGCCAGCCAGCAAGCGCCACACATAAAAGGATTTAGGCCATTCAGGCCCATTACTGACTACATGCTGTCATGACAGACCCGTCTTTCTACTACACCCCGGGGTCAGATGTGTCAGCTCTGCAGGTCGTCAAGTGGGCACACAGGTGGCCTGGGTTGCGCACACACCCGCCTGCCGCCCGTCAGGTGGACAGCTGCAGTGCTGCTCACAGGTAACGTATGGCTACCTCTTGTCCGCACACATAGAATGAAACATCCACCCCCCAGAATCCACCAAACCATCACCACCAAGGCCGCCGCCCCTACCGGCAGCGCAGCGCCGCCGCTCCTTCAAACAACTTTACCAACGGAAAACGGAAAACGGCAACAGAACAATGTGAAACAGGCAGTACCTGTACCTCACCTGCCAAAACAAACAGTCCACAGCACCCTAGCTAGCCGCACCAACTTACCCCTCCACAGACCTCTCTACTCATATCCACTCTGACACAACCCCACAACTCCATATCCCCTGATGCCGCCTGAGGAGCTTTCGCCCCTTGCATGCCGGCAAACCCACCATGCTCTGCACACTCTACAGCCGGTAGGGTCCGTAGCCGCAATCGCTGCCTGCTGAAGACCCACATACCCCGCCCCCGCCCCCGCCCCCAGTACCCTCTGAGCCAGCAACCCCAAATGCATGATGACCGCCCCTGCAACTGACGGGCACTTTACGGGACGGTCCGCCCGCCTGCCCGCCTCCACCCACATCACAACCAGCAGCCGATAAGCCATTACACCACCAACCACCACCACCACCACCGCATACACACACACCAGCCAGTTCTACGCCGCCATCCAGTTGGCGAGAGAGTCAATCCATCATCACCTAACCCCCCACCACAGCACACCAACCCTAACCCCGGAACCCCCCAGGCGACCTGCCCCCTCCCCCCGCCGCTGGCCCCGCCGGCGCCGCCGCCGCCCCCCTCTGCTGCTGCTGCTGCATGGCCTGCTGCAGGTGCTGCTGCTGCCGGCTCTCCGCCTGCAGCAGGCTCAGCTGCGCCTTCACCGCCGCCACCAGCTCCACCGCGGAGGGGCGCCGGTGCGGCTCGGCGGCCCAACACTGCTGAGCCAGCGACCTGTGGGCGGTGGGGTGGGGGGTGGGGCGGGGTGGGGTGGGGTCGCACCCAGAGATATATCAAAACCACATATTAGGGAAAAGCACAGGTGGGGTGGTGGGGTGTGAGCAGCAGCACCAGGGTAGCGGTCAATAGTGTCCAGTCAAAGTGGCAGGGAGCGGCTACCAGTGGCGGTCGTGGTAGAGCACCGTGTGAGCATTACAAGCAGCGGCGGCGTTGTCAGCGGCGTCATCGCCCTTTACGGCAGCATCGCCCTTGTCACCCTCCATCCGCAACCCCTGGCACTGGACATCTGTGCTTCTTAACCGCCCCTTACCACCAGCACTCTCCCCTCTCTCCTTCCCCCACCTCCCCCCCCCCCCACCTGTACGCCTGCGGCACGTCACTGGTAAAGGCCGGCCTCAGCCCGCCCCGCACCGCCGCGCCGATCTGCTCGGGGGCCAGCTCCTTGTACGGCCTGTAGCCCCGCCCGCTGGCGATCTCCCACATCACAATACCCAGCGCGAATATGTCGCTGGAGGCGTCCACGCGGGAATCTGGGGGGGGGCGGGGGGGGGGGGGGGAGGGGCGGGGAGGGGGGGGGGAGGAGGTCACATGGACTGCCCTCAGCCTTGCAACTATCCTGTAGCACCAACAGTGGTGTGGCATATCCTACTACGGTGATACCTTCCACCTCATGCATCCCCGCCCGCACCCCCACACACCCCACCCCACCCCACCCCACCCAGCCCCCCAACTCACTGTTGTCCATGCTCTCGGGGCTCATGTGCGTGATGCTGCAGCCAGGAGGGGGGCGGCGGGAGGGGGGAGGGGGGCGGAGGGAGGGGCAAGGGGGGCGGAGGGAGGGGCAAGGGGGGCGGAGGGAGGGGCAAGGGGGGCGGAGGGAGGGGGAGGGGGGCGGAGGGAGGGGCAAGGGGGGCGGCGGGAGGGGGAGGGGGGGCGGAGGGAGGGGCAAGGGGGGCGGCGGGAGGGGCAAGGGGGGCGGAGGGAGGGGCAAGGGGGGCGGAGGGAGGGGCAAGGGGGGCGGCGAGAGGGGCAAGGGGGGCGGAGGGAGGGGCAAGGGGGGCGGAGGGAGGGGCAAGGGGGGCGGAGGGAGGGGCAAGGGGGGCGGAGGGAGGGGCAAGGGGGGCGGAGGGAGGGGCAAGGGGGGCGGCGGGAGGGGCAAGGGGGGCGGAGGGAGGGGCAAGGGGGGCGGCGGGAGGGGCAAGGGGGGCGGAGGGAGGGGCAAGGGGGGCGGAGGGAGGGGCAAGGGGGGCGGAGGGAGGGGCAAGGGGGGCGGAGGGAGGGGCAAGGGGGGCGGAGGGAGGGGCAAGGGGGGCGGAGGGAGGGGCAAGGGGGGCGGAGGGAGGGGCAAGGGGGGCGGAGGGAGGGGCAAGGGGGGCGGAGGGAGGGGCAAGGGGGGCGGCGGGAGGGGCAAGGGGGGCGGAGGGAGGGGCAAGGGGGGCGGAGGGAGGGGCAAGGGGGGCGGAGGGAGGGGCAAGGGGGGCGGAGGGAGGGGCAAGGGGGGCGGAGGGAGGGGCAAGGGGGGCGGCGGGAGGGGCAAGGGGGGCGGAGGGAGGGGCAAGGGGGGCGGCGGGAGGGGCAAGGGGGGCGGAGGGAGGGGCAAGGGGGGCGGAGGGAGGGGCAAGGGGGGCGGAGGGAGGGGCAAGGGGGGCGGCGGGAGGGGCAAGGGGGGCGGAGGGAGGGGCAAGGGGGGCGGCGGGAGGGGCAAGGGGGGCGGAGGGAGGGGCAAGGGGGGCGGAGGGAGGGGCAAGGGGGGCGGAGGGAGGGGCAAGGGGGGCGGAGGGAGGGGCAAGGGGGGCGGAGGGAGGGGCAAGGGGGGCGGAGGGAGGGGCAAGGGGGGCGGAGGGAGGGGCAAGGGGGGCGGAGGGAGGGGCAAGGGGGGCGGCGGGAGGGGCAAGGGGGGCGGAGGGAGGGGCAAGGGGGGCGGCGGGAGGGGCAAGGGGGGCGGAGGGAGGGGCAAGGGGGGCGGAGGGAGGGGCAAGGGGGGCGGAGGGAGGGGCAAGGGGGGCGGAGGGAGGGGCAAGGGGGGCGGAGGGAGGGGCAAGGGGGGCGGCGGGAGGGGCAAGGGGGGCGGAGGGAGGGGCAAGGGGGGCGGAGGGAGGGGCAAGGGGGGCGGAGGGAGGGGCAAGGGGGGCGGAGGGAGGGGCAAGGGGGGCGGAGGGAGGGGCAAGGGGGGCGGAGGGAGGGGCAAGGGGGGCGGAGGGAGGGGCAAGGGGGGCGGAGGGAGGGGCAAGGGGGGCGGAGGGAGGGGCAAGGGGGGCGGAGGGAGGGGCAAGGGGGGCGGAGGGAGGGGCAAGGGGGGCGGCGGGAGGGGCAAGGGGGGCGGAGGGAGGGGCAAGGGGGGCGGAGGGAGGGGAAGGGGGGCAGAGGGAGGGGGAAGGGGGGGAGATATAAGCATGTCCGGAGTTTAAAGCAACCCAAGGCAGGTAGTAGTTTCAAAAAAGGGGGGCATTAAGAGACCGGAGGAGGCCCCCCCCTTCTCACTCAACTCCTTATGGCTTCCTCTCCCCCGGTACACAACCCTCTCCGTCATCCCACCCCTCTCTCCCCACTCACGTGCCCCACGACTGCTCCTGCACCGCGAACCACCGGCCACCGGGGCCGCCACCGCCACCGCCACCCGCCCCCGGCCCGCCCGCCACCCCCGCCTCGGGCCCCGCGTGCCCCCCGGCACCCTCCTCCTCCTCCATGTCCTCGGGGGGCTGGAACTGAGGGGCAGGGGAGGGGGGAAGGAAAGGAAGGGGGGAAAAATTAAATATGTGAAACAACGAGTCCCAATCCCAAGGGAGGGACGGATGGAACCGGAAAGCAGGCAGAGCAGGAGGAAGCGGGCAGCAGGTGAGGCGCGGAAGCAGGGGGCAGGCCGGGGGACCGGCAGGCGGTCAAGGAGGGAGCGAGAAGGAGAGAGGCGGATGGAGGGACATTCAGTGACTTCAGTTCTCTAGCCCCCACCCCCGCTGTCACCCACACCGCTTCCCCTGGCCTCTACCGCGTCGGCCCCCAACATGGGGCTTTGTTTCTCCTCTTCTCCCTCCCCCCCGCCCCCCTCCCACCTGGTCCAGCACAATGGCCGACCCAAAGTCCGCGAGCTTGCATGTCCAGCCGCGGGGGTCGGTGGGGCTGGCCTTGAGCAGAATGTTGGCGGACTTGATGTCTGGAGGGGAGGAGGGGAGGAGGGAGGGGGGAGGGGGTGAACGAGGAGTCGTCACGTCATAGCTGGGGTCCTCCACTCATGTGCTCCCCTCCCTGCCCCCCTGCCCTCCTCCCTGCCTGCCTCCCTGCCCCCTCCCGCCCCCCTTGTCATACGGCTCGTTCCCTCCTCTTTTCCCGCCCCTCCCCCCCCGCCACCCACCCCTGTGCAGCAGCCTCCGTGCATGCAGATACCGCAGCGCGCATGCCACCTCCAGCACCGTCAGATAGATCCCCACCATGTCCAACACGCGACCCGACCGGGAGACCGGGCCCCCCTGCAGGCCCGCAGCCCCCGCCCCTCCGAACTGCATGACGGAGGGGGAGATGGAGGCGGAGGGTGGCGGGGGTGCGGGCAGCAGTCGCGGGAAGGAGCGCTCTTCCAGCTTGGACGCCAGGCTGCCGCTGTCGCAGAGCTCCATGCAGAGCGCCACGAAGACGGGTTTGGAACCTTTGGGGGGGGGCGCATGGAGGGGGAGTTGTGTTAAGAAAACTGGCCGCGAGCAGGGGGGTTGTGTGTGCGCTGGGAAGGGCGAAGCCGTACGGCCGCGGGGAAGGTGTGTGGAGGGGCCCCTCCCCGCAACACCCATCCCCATCCCGTGCCCCTCGTACCGCGTACCCGCTCCCTCCCTCCTCCTCACACACGCAGACTCGCGACCAGTTTTCTTACCACATAGACGCCCTCGCGGCAGGCTTCCACCACACCCTCCACCACACCCCCACATCCCCCTACACCCCCCACCCGGCTTACCCAGCTGCATGTCCTGAGGCCCCTGCCGCCGCAGGGCATATGCCGTACCGCCGCCCTCGCGCTTCAACCGCTCCAGAATCACATTGTCGTACACCGCATACACCGTGGCGATGTTGACATGACTGATGCTGCGCATAACCGCCAGCTCCATGGCGTTCCGGAGCATGTCTCGGCGGGCCTGCTTGAGCTTGGAGGTGCTTAGCGCCGCGGCAGGGGATGTACGACCGTTATTGTTGCTGTTACCGTTGTTACCGTTGGCATCGCCTTGCTGAGAGCCCTGTTGCTGCTGGGGTGCTTTTGGCTGCGGCTGCTGCTGCTGTTTTGGGTGGGACTGAGGTGGTTGGGGTTGTTGGTTGGGGTTGGATCCAGCGGGGGGCTTACTGCCGTTAGCCGGTGCCGTACTCCCACCGTTAGCCGCGGGGGCCTTATGCTGCGCTCCTGCTCCTCCCCCTGCTGCCTCCTGCGGGTTATTGCTGCCGTTGTCGTGTGCTAGCGCCGCCAGCAGCAGCTGGTCTACCTCGGGCATCTGAATGATCTTGACCGCAACCTGAAAAAAGGGGTATAAAAGGGATATGTTTCCCGCATTAGGGGGGGGGAAAGAGGGGTAAAGGGCCCTCACTCGCCCCACCTACCCACCCCCAACCATCAACCACGATGCAGCGCATGGCGGATTGCCTACAAAGCCACACCGCCCTCCTGTCACCACGCCTCTCCCCTCTCCCTCCTGCTCCCCCAAACCCCTCTCCCTCCCCCAACCCGGGGGACTCACCGGCACCGTCCCCAGCATGCCGCACAGCACCACCCCCGAGCCCCCGTCCCCAAGCACCCCAGACAGCCGCAGGTCCTCCAACTCCAGGTCCAGGGAGCGCCGGGTGGATGCGAGCACGCTGGCGGGACAGGGGGGGAGGAGGGAGAGGGGGCAGCATAGGAAAGAGATGACGGGAAGGGCGAGAAACAGACACGCCCCGGCCACGAGAGGGCACCCATCGGGATGCCGGAATCAGGATAGGGCTCGTTTCTTTATTCCTTTCCACCATGTGCTCACCCCCCCCCCCTCAACCCCTCAACCCCCACCTATCAAACGGGTCGTCCACCTGCGCGGTGCTCCTCAGGCTGGTCATCAGCGACTCCACCAGCAGGCCTGGGAGGCCGGGGGGGGGGAGGGAGGGGGAGGGAGGACCGACAATGGACCGCTCCGTTAAGTGGATGGCGCCCACGCTTGTCAGACACGCGGTGCTGCCGGCCTATGTCCCCCCCCCCCACCACCAACCAACTCCTACCCCCATTGCTTTGCCCTAACTTGTGGTCTCCTATGGTTTGGTATGGTCTTTGTCCCCCCCCACCCTCCCCCCCACCCTCCCCCACCCACCCATGTGCTGCCGCATGCTGCTGGTCCCATCCGCCTCCGACACCTCCAGCACCGCAGCAGGAGGTGGGGGCGGACCCGCAGCCCCCACCCCGCCCTCCTGCTGCTGCTGCTGCCCTGCCGCCGCCGCCACTCCCCCCGCAAAGCTCCCCTCTACTGCTCCTCCTCCGCCCTCCCCCTCCTCGTCGTCCTCCTCCTCCTCCCCCTGCGGGTCGCTGCTTAGCATGACGTCCCCCTCGTCGTGCGGCTCCGTACTCTCCCCCTCGGCCTCCCCCTCCCCCTCCGCGGGGACACCCAGTGGTACTGGCCCCTGTGTGGGGTGAGGGGCGGAGAAGAGGCGTTCAAATGGAACGTCAACCGAGGGGGGGGGATTCGCATGCAATACCAGGCAAACAGCATGTCACACCACACCTGCAGCCCCCCCGCTTTCCAGCCATCCCTGCAGCTCTCCAGCACACCCCTTTTGCGCATTGCCGCCACCGTGTCTTGGCGGCTGTACGGGTGCGAGCTGCGCACTCCCGCTCCCTGCGCGCGGGTCACCCGGGGCAGCCGCCCTCCACCGCACCACCCCGCCGCCCGCCACCCTCTATCCCACTACCCCGCCACCCCATCGCACGACGCCCCACCTGTTGGCTGCTCCTAGCTGCGGCCCCGGCGGCAGTGGCGGAGGGCTCGCCCACGGCGGCCTTGGGCCTCGCTGCAGGGAGGGGGGAGGGGGGAGGGGGGAGACCCAATGTGTTGAAGGATAGTTGGCATGGGGCAGGGTGGGGGGTAATGGGGGAGGTGGGGGGGATGATACGGGGCGGGAAGAGCGGGACATGTGTTGGCGTAGTGACCCGGTTTGCGGTACCTTAGTCCCTGAGGGAGCACGGGGCACACAAGGAGGCCACTCGCCACAGCTCCCCCGCGCCCGCCCGCCCCCTGCAACCCTCTTGGCCTACATCCTGTAATAGTTATCCCCACTTCGGGCGCCCATCTCGGGCTGTCAACTTACCCCCCTGCACGCTCCCTCCTCCCTCCCTCCCTCCCCAACTCACTCGACCCATCCTGCGCAAACGCCCGAGCCGCCGACGCAGCCGGCGGCGCTCCCGGCCCTCCTCGCTGCGCCTCCAACCCCCCCACCGACCCCTGGGTCGCTCCCCCTCCCCCTCCTCCTCCTCCTCTGCACCCCGCATCCGTGAACGCTGCCAACAAGTGCGCACTCGCCCCCAGACTCAGCCCCAGTCCCGGCCCTCTGCTGGCGCCCAGGCTCGCCCCCCCCAGCGGCCCCCCCAGCGGCACCAGCTTGCTGCCGGGTGCACCCCCCATGTGGGACCCGATGGAGGGCTCCAGAGGCACCGTAGCACCGCCTCCTGCCCCTCCTCCCCCTCCAGCAGCAGCAGCAGCAGCGGCAGCAGCGGCACCGCCGAATCCCGATCTCCCCGCAGCAGACAGGTCGGACACCAGGGCGGAGTGGCTGAAGAAGCCGCCGCCCGGGGACTGCAGCAGCGGGGGGATGGCGGAGCCGTCGGCTCGGTGGGAGGCGGAGGCGCCGGCGGCTGCGGAGGGGGTGTAGGGTGCTGCATGGGGCGGGGGGGTGCTGCTGGGGAGCACTGCGTAGGCGCCCGGCACGCCGGAGCAGAGGGTGGAGAACTCGGCTGCCAGCTCGGTGGAGACCTTGCGACGGACGAGGCGGGCCAGCATCTGGTAGGGGGGGGGAATGGGAGGGAGTGGGAGGGAGGACACACTAGCACCATTCCCAATACCCAGTATCACCACGCTATGTACTGCAGCATCCCGCGACTCGCACTAACCCACTCCTCTTCTCTCACCTCTCACCCCCCTCCTTCCAACCCTTTCCCTTCCCCCTCAAACCCCTAAAGCCCTCCTCCTCTCGCTTTCCGTCCCTCCCCACCCCCTCCCCCACCCACCAGGCTCAGCAGCTGCCGACAGCTCGCATGCGCACTCGCCACCAGCAGCGGCGGCAGCTTGGTGGGGAACGCCAGGTACAGCGCCAGGATAGCTCCGCCCCCGCCTCCACCCTCCTGCTGCTGCCCCCCTTGCTGTCCCTGCCCCTGCTGCCCCTGCCCCTGCTGCTGCTGTGAGGTGGGCGCCACATGCCCCACATCCACCCCCACCAGCACCAGCGACTGCATCGCAATCCGCCCCGTGGACCGCTCACTCGCAAAGATGTTGCTGTCCGAGGCGTCCGCTGTCATGTCCGCCCCGCGCACCCCCCCCGCCATCAGCATGCACACGTCGCGGGAGGGCTGGTGCACGTCCTGCACGTGACGGCCGCAATCCGCAACCGTCAGACCGCCGTACACGCCCTCCTGCCCCCGGCCCGCCTCCGCCGCGGGCGCTGTTACCATGCGTTGCAGCAGCGTGTGGGACAACTGGAAGCCCTTGGCGCGGAGGGAGGGTACGGCACCCAGGCCGGCGGCGGCGGCGGCATCACCGCCGGTGCCCAGGCGGGCTGAGGCGCCTCGGAGGAGGTCCCTGGCGGCGTCAGGGTAGGGCGGCGGGCGGCCGACGGAGGGTCCGGTGGCGCCGCCGGCTGATGCGGGTGTGGCGGGTGAGGGCGCGTGCTCGGCCCATGGTGTCATGGGTCGGCGGTTCTGGGAGGTGGGTGTGCGCAGGGCGGAGTGGGAGAGGCCGGGGGGGCGGGGCAGGGCGCCCATGGAGCCGCCGCCCACGGGACTGGACATGTCGTCGCTGCGGCGCAGGCTGGGGGGGGGGGGAGGGGAGGGGAGGGACCATGGGTGAGGGCATGATGTGCTGCGGTGCTCGGTTGGACGGGTGGGTGGTTGGGGTGAGTGAGGGTGTGATGCGTACGTGCCCATTCCACGTTAGGTTCCTAACAGGAACAAAGATGGATGCTCCCAGGAGGATGCTACCACGCATACAAAGCGCGACCCAGCCCAGCCCACCAGGCTCCTCTCTTCCTTCTTCCTCCATCGCCGACACTGCCCCCTTCCCGAGCAGCTGTACGCACCCGCCGGAAGTCCACCCATCCACCCACCCACCCGCCCACCCATGCATGCAAGCCTTCAACCCCTTCCCTCCCGCTTCACCCGCCCCCCCTCCCCCCCACCTCTGCTGCCCCAGCGCTCCTCGCGGCATCGCTCCAATGCTCCCTCCGCCACCCCCCGCCCGCCCCGCCGCAGCAGCCGCCGCCGCCCACCTCGCCACCCCGCCCGGCCCCCCCGGCAGCGGCCGGTGGTCCAACATGAACCCCACCGTCGACCGCGCATCCGGCACCACCGCCGCATGCGCCACCGCATCCAGGAAGAACCTCCGCCGTACATGCTGCGACACCGCCTCGCACAGCTCCCCCACCAGCGCCTGCAGGGTGGCGCTGCCGGCCACCCGCCGCAGACTGCCCGCCAGCCAGGACAGGTATTCCGGGTCCACTGCGCCCAGCAGGCACATGCAGACAGAGGTGCACACGTGGCGGCAGAGGGGAAGCGGGGGGAGGACGGGGGGGCAGAGGAGGACGGGCCCGGGGCTGGAGGTGGGGGAGGGGGGTGGCGGCGGGGGTGAGGTGGCGATCCAGAGGACGCCCAAGAGGCGGTCGCCGCTGCAGAGGGGCAGCGCGGCGAAGCTGGTGGCGCCGTGGGTGGCGTGGTCGGAGGCGCAGTCGCATGGGGCCAGGGGGGAGGCGGGGGAGGTGGCGGAGCGGAGGGGGGAGGGGTACTGGAAGATGACGGGCGTCTGCGGGTGGGGTTGGGGGTGGGCGGAACAGGGTGCGCTTGGAGGCCCGTACCTTCCTTTGTTGGAGCTTGAGGCGCAAGGCAAGGTGTGTGGCGGCTTGCCTGCATATCCCCTGTCCTTCCCCGCTCACCCCCGCCCGCCTGCACCTCGCGTCACGGGTCTCCCTGGCACTATTCGCATGATCGTACTACATCCTACTCAAGTAACCCCGCAGCCCGTACTACACCCCACTCCCCTCAGCCTGATTCTGCTCTCCCCGAACCCACCCCTTGCCCCCAACCTCCCTCTTCCCACCCCTCCACCCACTCCCCAACCACCAGCACCGCCCCCCACCTTGCCATGCACCGCCTGCTGCAGCAGCGGCTCCGGCGCGCTGAGGGCTGCTGCTGCTGCGCCGCCGCCCCCCGCACCAGCACCCTGAGCACCCGCGGGTGGCGCCGCGGGGGCCTTGGCGGGTGTGGGGATGGTCACCCGCTGCCCGGGTACGTCCGCCGGCTCCGAAACCACGGAGGAGGCGGAGTCCGAGGTGGCGGGGCGCTGCCAGTCCACCGCCAGCAGCACCAGGTTGCCGGCGGTGCCCTCCTCCACCTCCTCGGGAGTCCAGCCGTACAGCCTGTGCGGGTGGGGCGAGAGGGTGGTGGGTGGTGGGTGGAGAAGAAGAATACCCAATGTGTGGCGTGATAGTGGTAAACTGGGTGATGGGTGCGGGGGGAGAGGGAGTGGAGGAGGGAGGGTGCGGGGTTGCGATGGGTGCGGTTGGGCATGGGAGCTGGGAGTGGGGTGCGGTGGTGTTTATGTGGTTGCGATGATCTCAGGACAGCGGACCCGAATGGTGAAAGAGTAGAGGGGGCTAAGCGCGTGGAGGAGGGGTGCGCGGTGAAAGAGGGGCGGGCGGCGGTTTCAACGGGCGAGTTCCTCCGAGTACGAAGGACTTTGGACTTTGGACGAAAGCCCTGGCGGCAACCCATATATAAATCTGGATACCCCACACCGTTGTAAGGCACCGGAGCAATTGTTATTAGCCTTGTACTGCGTAGGGCAGCGCGTTTGCAACAAGTCGCGCCGGCAGGGTGTCATAAAGCGCTGGATTTCAGTTAAAGCGTAAGTTAGCCCTCGTCATGACTAGAAACATGCATATAGACCTTACCTCACAACTCGGGCGCGTAGATGTTGAAGAACCTGGGCGACAACGTGGGCAATGCGCACTTCCGCGCCATCGGTGGGCGCTTTAGAAAGAGCGCCTTGCAAGTCGTGGAGGAAAGTGTCATCGTATTGAGGTTCCTACAAGGACGATAAGCAGCACCTTTGGTAGGGAGAGCAACGGAACAGGCGCATGCTGCGCTGCAAAATTCATATACCTGAGCCACGCAGACCTTCTCCTCGATATATACTGTCTCTGGTTGCCGCTTGGGGGCCCCAAAGCACGATAAACAACCGAGTGGCATTGCTACACGTAAGGAAGTCAGGCAAAGTTATTTGGGTAATAACAAGGCATAGTACATCCTTTCCGTATCTTAGACGCGTCAGCAGAGTTTGACCGATTTGCGTGGAGTTGTGATTTCCAACCTAGTTGCGGTCAAGAATTGGTTCCGGAGCCGAAGAGTAGAAAGTGCATTTCCGACATGGTCGACGCGATAAAGGAAAGCGGCAGCAATTTCTTGCTGCTAAATAAGCATCTATTATCCTGTTTACTGGCCTCCTGCGGAATACCGGAAGCAAGGGTTAAACATAAAAGCCGTACCAAAGAGAATGACAGCTAAACGTTTTCTAAGGAGGCTCGATGGTAGTAGGTTTCCTAGACCGATGAATAGCTGGATCTCCCTCACACAGTGGCAGCCCCCTACACAGGGTGGACAACATGCCCGCGGTTCAGTTGGATTATCCCCAACGGCAGTTGCAAGCCGCCGGCGTAGCCGGCTACAGATCTGCATTCTTGACCTGGCCTGGCACACTATCTGGAATGGGGCCATGGGGTTGGTCCGTTGTGGCACAGTAACCCGCTGTACACGACACGTGCACTCGGTGCAGCCAGCCGGCACAAGCCACCATACAATATGCGAACTCGGCACTTCAAGTTCACATGTGACAGTTATGCCGCACGCACCAAGCCCGAGAGCACGCCCTGCCAGCACAACTGCGGCACCCTCCACGTCTTGGGCGGATTGCCGCCGGTATCAAGCTCTGTTGCGGGCGGGTGGGCGGATTATCAGTTTATCACTGGGGCGGGTGGGCCCCAATACACCAATATCATCGTCCCTAAAAGAGCAACTTGCCCCCACAGACCGCACCTGAACCCAGCGACGCTTGATATATACGCAACACGCTACCTCTTGACGCCCCACACTGAAGCCGACCTTTCCCCCAGCCATCAGCAGCCCCCACCTGTCCCTTTCCCCGGCAGCAAGTGCCTGCACAGCTTCCACTTCAGCGCCCCTCTCAAGCCGTCCAACCCGTCAGTGCTCCCAGCAGCCATAACCCTCCACTTAAAACATACCAGCAGCTAACACCAGCCTACCACCCGTATTACCCCCGTGGCCAACCCTCCAATCCGGTTGCCCCCATGCTGCCCGGTACGGCCGGGGCATGGCCGCCGTACGGCTGCTGCTGCTGCGGCTGTTGCAGTTGGTGGTGCTGCTGCTGTACTCCCCACGAGGCATGCTGCCCTTGGGGCCCCGGTTGCTGCTGGTACTGAGGCTCGGGAAACGCCTGGGGTGTTGCTTGCATCGGCATCGGGGCTTGCAGCAGCTGCTGATGCGGTTGCTGCTGCTGCTGCTGCGGTTGGTGCTGCTGCTGCTGCGGTTGCTGATGTAATACGTGTTGTTGTTGGTTGTACATGGGTGGTAATGCGTGGTTGTATTGCGGTGCAAGAAGCGGTTGGTGTAGCATGTGCGACAGCAGCTGCTGTGGCTGCTGTTGCAGCTGCGGCGGCTGCGGCTGCGGCTGCACCTGCGGCTGCCCTCCTTGCTGCTCCCATGGGGTCTGTTGTGCAGCCGCCTGTTGGGCCAGCGACTGAAGGCCGCCGCCAGCAGCAGAAGCGGCAGCCGCTGCAGCAGCCCCCTCCCTGCCGCTGCCGTGCACCTGCCGCGCATGGTAAGCCATGGCGTGCTGCTGCTGCAGCTCCTGCGCCGTCAGATGTGCCCCCACAGCGCCCCCGCCTGGCGCCGGGGGCAGCGCCTGATCCCCTGCTGGCAGCTCCCCTGGGGGGACGTGCTGCGGCGCCTGCTGCTGCTGTTGCTGCGGCAGCTGCTGTAGCGTATGATGCTGGTGAGGCTGTGCCTGTTGCTGCTGTTGCTGCTGCTGCTGAGCTCCAGGGGAGGCCGGCGACGCTAGCGCTGTATCCACTGCCCCCTGCTGCGTCACCTGCTGCTCCGCTACACCCACCCCCACTGCTCCTCCTCCTCCTCCTCCATTACCTCCCTGCTGTTGCTGCGGCGGCTGTGCTTGCTGCTGCTGCTGCTGCTGACCCCCCGCCCCCGCCACACCCCCCGCCCCCAGCAACCTATCCAGCGGCACGCCCAGCGTCTGCAGCACCGACCGCAGCACGCACGGCACGTCATGCCGGCTGAACCCCATGTGACAGTCCCGCACCCAGCGACTGCCGCCCGCGCCGCTGCCCGCCGCCGCGCCCGTGGGCTGCACCACCCCCTCCACGTCCGTGCGCCCGTCGCGGATGAGCACCAGCACCCGGTGCCGCCCGCCCCCCAGTCGGATCTCCATGGCTGACGTCAGCAGGGAGCTGCTGCAGGGCCGCCAGCGGAGGGTGACGTACGGCAGGGAGTGGGCCTGGGGGCGGGGAGAGGGGAGGGGAGAGGGGTGGGCGGGAGGGGGGTAAGGAGGGGGGGTGATGCGGGGTTATAGGCCGAGGAGGCAAGCGGAAGTCCCCGGAGGCCCGGTGCGGTTGTGCTAGGATCTGATCGAAGGGGTTGTGCAGCACGAGAAAGGGACGTTCAGGGGACTAGCGATGTGCGGTAGTGACATGCACTGTGACATGTACGAGGGAGAGCGCGTGCCGTGCCGTTGCAAGCGGCATGCGGCAAGTGGGCCCCAGGCACCCAGCAGCAGCGGTCACCCAGGCAGCCCCCTCCCTCCCTCCCTCCCTCCCTGCCTCCCCCCTCCCTCCTCCTTATCCCTCAGTCAGTTAGTTGTTTTCTCTTTACCCTCCCTCCCTCCCCCCCTCCCTCCTCCTTATCCCTCAGTCAGTTAGTTGTTTTCTCTTTACCCTCCCTCCCTCCCCCCCCTCCCTCCTCCTTATCCCTCAGTCAGTTAGTTGTTTTCTCTTTACCCTCCCTCCCTCCCCCCCTCCCTCCTCCTTATCCCTCAGTCAGTTAGTTGTTTTCTCTTTACCCTCCCTCCCTCCCCCCCCAACCTCCAGGTCTAGGTGGTAGCGCTGGTGGTCCCTGAACACCAGCTGGTTCAGCAGCGCCGCCAGGTCGGGCAGCAGCGGCAGCCCCGCCAGCCCGCCGGGGGGCAGCAGACGCGGGCCGCAGCCGGGGCGCGGCGGGGGCGGGGGCGGCGGCTTGTAGGGCGGCGGCAGGCGGCAAGTGAGCAGGTGTTCCAGCATGAGGGGGCGCAAGGCGGCCAGGGAGGGGTCGGGGGTGCGCAGGACGTTCTGGGAGGCCTGGGTGAGGTGGGGTGGGGTCGGGGGATCAGGGTTACATGGGTGCGGTGGGCGGTTCGCGTGTGGCGCGTGAAGGGATTGCAGGACCTGCCAGCCTTGGAGAACGGCGGCGACAGGTGGGGGCGGCACAGCAGCACACGTACCAGTCTCGCCAGGCTGACATGCACCGGGTGGCCTCCCCCGCCTCCGCCTCCTCCGCTGCCGCCGCCTCCCCCCGTCCCAGGCCCCGCCAGCCCCAGCCCCGCCGCGTCCCGCTCCAGTCCCCCCGCCACCAGGCGCCACAGCTGGCGGCGCTGCAGCTGCAGCAGCAGCGCGTGCACCCGCCGGGAGCCCCCCACCAGCTGCGTGCGGGCGCCTGCAGGGGGGGAGGAGGAGGAGGGGGAGGGGGAGGAGGAGGAGGAGGAGGAGGAGGAGGAGGAGGGGGAGGGGGAGATCCATGCGGGGCCATGATAGGGGTGGGCACAAACTGGGATCAGGGCTGCAGGAGAGGGGAAGCGAGGGGTATGAGAGAGCGAGAGGGAAGCACATGGCACCCCTACTCCTCGGCTCCCGTGGCGTTTTGGTGGGGACATCGTCTTCCGGTAATCACAGTCCTTAACACCACATGGCAGGCGGCGCGTGCGGCTCATGCGGCGCGTGCGGCTCATGCACTTGCCTTTCGCATTGAGGCGCGTGTTGCCTACTCGGGTGGTGTCGTTCACATCGGGCCTCTCCGCGGGGAGCTCGAGCTGGGGGGGAGGGGGAGGGAAGGGGGAGGGGGTTGAAAGAAAAGGCAAACCAACAAGCGAGGGCAAGACACAAGGGGATAGGAGGGCGGCAAGGGTGCCACAAGACAAGGGCAGGGGAAAGGAGAGACAGGAGAGCTGGTAGCAGCGGTTCAGCAGGGTTTGGGTGGGGGGGAGGTGTCGTAGGTGGTGCGGCCTCATACCGGTATCGAGGGAGGAGGAGGACACAGAAAGGGCCAGGCTACACACACCTCAGCCCAACACGCCCCCCCCCCGCGAACTGCAACATGTCGGTGTCCCCTTGTGCACACTGCAGTGCAACATTGCCGCCAGAACCACCCACACCAACAACAACCCAAAGCGCCTGCACCCTCCCCTCTCCAGCTTGTCGTCTGGTTTGGTTATTCTTCTTTTCTCCCTTCCCAGCACCACCCCGCCCCCCACCTGCACCCTCAGCGCACCCCCCTTATCCTTCATCAGCGGCACCAGCAGCGACCCCCCGCCCAGCTCGTACGTGTTGCCCGTCAGCGACTGCCCCGCAGCCAGCTGGCTGGCGGTGGCAGCCGCGGCGGAGGCGGCGGCGGAGGAGGAGCCGGCGGCGCCACCGCCTGCCCCGCCGCCGTCTGCGGCGCCCGCGCCTGCACCCCCCGCAGCGCCTGCAGCTGCTGCTGCCGCAGGTGCCATGGCGGCGGGTTCGGGTAGCGACAGGTCGACCATGAAGGGGCAGTCGATGACACGGGGATTGAGGTGAATCTGGAGGAGGGGGTGGGAGGGTAAAGAGGAAACGACTAACGAACCGTGCGATCAGGCGTGGGGTGGGAAGGAGGGGGAAACAGGGAGGGTGGTAAGGAGAGGAAAAGGGAGTAGCAAGAGGAAGCCTTGTGGCTAAGGGAAGAGGAGGCCGTGTGTGTCCCCCCCACCCTCCCTTCATCCCCGCAGCCAATTCCCTTGCATCCTCCCACCCACCCCCCCCCCCCCACCTACTCCCCGGTCCCCCTCCCCCCCCCGCATGAAGCGTGCACCCGGCCCCCCGCCCGCCCCCCCCCTCACCTTCCAGAACATCTGCAGCTGCCGCAGCTGGCAGTAGAACCGGTCCTCCCGGTCCACATGGGCCTGAGGGGGGGGGGGGGGAGGGGAGAGAGGCGCGGAGGGGAGAGGGGAGCGGAGGGGAAGGGAGGAGGAGTCACTCGCGAGGAGCGCCAGCGGGTGATGCGGAGATGAGGACGAGGGCTGCGACACACCCAACACGCCCCTAGCAGCCCCCCCTGAGCCGCCCCGTCCAACCTGCAGCTGACCCTCAGTCCCGCACCCTCCATCGGGCACCGTGAACCAACCCCGTGCACCCCCGGCCCCCTCCAGGACCCTCACCCCTCCCCACCCACCCCCCCATGGTGGAGCCTGGTCACACGGTTTCCCTCTGTCCACCCCCCCTACCTCCACTCCCCCTACCTCCACCCCCTCTCCCCTCCACTCCCCCGCACCTGCAGCCTCTCCGCCCCCGCCGCCAGCCTGGCCGCCACCCTGCCCAGGCTGCCCGCGGTGGCCGCCACGCGCGACTGCAGACTGTTGGCCACCGCGTCCTCGCGCCGGACACCGGGGCGCCTGGGGAGGGAGGCGGTGGAGTGGGATGGGAGTGGGGAGAGAGGGAGGGGGAGAGAGGGAGGGGGGAGAGAGGGAGAGGGGGAGAGAGGGAGAGGGAAGAGTGGGAGTGGGGAGGTAGGGTCGTGAGGAGGAGGGGAGGAGGGGCGCAGGCAGGAGGTAGGAAGACACAGCATGGCAGTAGGGACTGCGCGTAAGGCCCGTTGCTCCGTTGCTTCCGGGCCCCCCGTTGCTCCGTCCGCCCATGCTTCCGTCTTGTAGCCTGTACAGCTCCACATCAGGCCTTGCATGCTGCTTTGGACTTCCATGGGCCACTTCTTGCTGCGCTCCTGTAGCCCTCCTTGCGACCCCCCCCCCCTCCTTGCCCCAGCCCCCAGCTGGTGATGCAAACACGCCCCACACCTGCCACCCCCCACCTTCCCGCGCTGAAGGGCTTTGCCTCCAGGAAGGACCTCTCCAGGTTGGTGACCACATCCACCAGGATGTCTAGGTTGCCCTGGGGAGGCGGATGTTGGGGTGGGGAAAAAGGGTGTAGGCAAGGGAACCGTTGGAGAGATGCGCTGGGGGTGCTGGTGTCATCTAGCACCCATGCTCCTTGTCCTGCTGTAGTCAGGCTGGCACATAGGCACCGCGTTGCGATGGCAGCGGTGCCTTCCGTACCTTGGCGTCCTCGAACACCTTGATGACTTCGCCGGGATCAGGAGGTGCTTCCTCCTCTTTCTGTTAGTCCAGCAGCGTGAACGTACAGTTTGTTGTTGGTGGAATTTGCTCAACACTTCGCACGATGGCAGTACAATGCGTCCCAATGTCGCATTAGCAGCCTGCGCACCTCTGCCGCCGTGTTTTCTGTTTGTCCAGTTGAATCTAGAAGCTGCATGTAGGACATATCCATAGGATCCCATCCCTCCCTGATTTCCTTGCCGCTGGGCTCCATGACCTTAAGGCGCTTACAGACTGGTTGAGGAACAGCAAACGCCATCCTGGCTAAGATCAACGATAATAGTTATGGCCCCCGGGCGAGGCGTACGCATCCTATGCCCGGCTTTCAACTACAGGCGGTATGGTATACAGGATCGGTCATGTAACAGTTATTTGTTCAATTGCAATGCAACTGTTGTATTCGTCATTGCATGTGCTTCTTCTCGTTCCCAGGTACACAAAAGCATTGCCAAGTTTCGGAGCGAGCCGCGAAGTGTGTCAGCAGCTCAGCACTCAGCAGAGCTGTTTCTTTGTTCCAGCTTCATAAAGGTCTTGTAAACGCACCCATATAAGGTTGATGTCTCTGTTAAAGCCTTACACGTGTCAGCTGCGCCCAGCCGTGGCATCGGTGCGGTCAGGCGTTTCAACCGCTTGCATACGCCCTCGTCGGAGACGTTCCTATGCCATCCGTGCCGTCGATCCAAGCTCTGAAGAGGGTAAGGAAGACGTCAAGGTGCCTGCTTGCGGTTGGCAATGGGTCACAAAGAACCATCCAATCCACCATTCGCGCCGGGCATGCCAAGCCGAGCTTGGGGAGGCAAAGTCATACGGATTGGCCCAACAGCTGCAACCCTTGTGGTTGCTTCGCCGGGCTGTCTGGGGCTCCAAAATATCAAGGTCCCCTGACCTGGGCTGGACACTGAAAGGTCGCCCTCATCATCCTTATAGTTGTCTTTGCTCGAGAGGCCACGGGGAATGGCCAGATGGTTCGCTCGAACCGAGGTGCCTACCTGTGAAGACTAACCGCAACAGGCGGTCCGCCACCTCGGCGGAAACAGAGGAAGCAACCAACCATACGACAGGGGGAGGGCAGGGATTTCACCGCGGCACTGTTCCGTACCTGTACAGTTTCACCAACGCCCTCTACCGTATTGACTTCTGAAGCAGGAAGTGCTGCAGGAACCCTGCTTACCGCACCCGGCTGCTGCGGCACCGTGTGATCCGCTGCGTTCCCTCCCAGCCCCCCAACCGCTTCCCGGTCCCGCTGTCGCCCCCAGTGTACGAAGGGCGGTTCGGGCAGTGGCGAGTGACAACCGCAGACCGACTGGAGGTGGCGGGCTACCGCGCGGGCATCAGCGTCACCGCACTGGGTGGGTGGGTGGGTGGGTGGGCCTGGGCCTGGGCCTGGGCCTGGGCCTGGGCCTGGGCCTGGGCCTGGGCCTGGGCCTGGGCCTGTGGTGGTGCGGCCGGGAACCAGCAAGGGGAGGGACTGACGGCCCTAGGCTTCGCAGCCCAAGCGGCGTGCATGCGTGCATGCAGCTATCAACAGCGACCACGTGCGGCACTAGCGCCCTGCCGCTCATCCTGTTCCCCCCCTTCCAGTGTCTAGTACACTCTAGTACAGCCATTTCCGCCCGCACCTCAATACCTTACTGCCGGCCCACATCACGTCTCGAACACATCGCATCACGCGGCCCGCAGCGTTCCTGTTGGAGGGGGTGTTCGCGCTGCTGCCAGCCGACCAGCAGGCGGCCCGGAGCTCCATGCAGGCAGGTGCAGGGGGGCAGGGGCAGGGGCAGGGTTGCAGGCTCACCAGCCGCCCGGGGAGGTGGGGTGGGGGGGCCAGGCTAGGGAGCATGCAAGCGCCATGTTGACGCAGGCGCTGCAGCAGGCGGTCCTTACACGCCGCAGGGCTGCATGGCACTGCGCGGGGGCGAGCAAGGCGCCTGCAATGGAGCTATGACATCCAAGCCATTAACCCCAATGCTAAGCGGCTTCCGGGGGCAGCATGGCGTCCTTTGGCCGTCCTCCCACGTTAGCCTTGAACGAAAGCACCCGCCTGTCCGCTCGCCCTCATCCTGCATCTGTTTCATCCATCCTCTCGAACCGGGACTCGCGTATGCTTCACTTTCGCCTTCCCTCCTCCAACCCCCTCCCAACCGCACCACACATCACAGCACACGTTGGGTATCCTTATTTTCCCAACCGCCGCCCACATGGTGCCACAGGGCCTGCTGGACCCGGTGGCGCTGGCGGGCGCTGCGGGCCTTGGCGCCTCGCTGCAGCTCATCCACATCTACATGGCGCCACTCAAGCGGGCGCTGCAGGTGTGTAGTTGAGTAGGACAAGAGCAAGCAATTGGGAGAGGTTCGCATGTGAACCGCGAGTACAGGCAGAACAGAGGTGACCAAACCTGAATCGTAAAGCAAAACTATTGAAAAGCTGTTGCTGGATGTAAGAAGAGTGACGTGTGACGAGTGACGGCGCATGTCGGTGATGCTGATGGTGTCGGAACTGAAATACTACGGGCGCTGCAGGTGTGTGTTAAGAAAACTGGCGGGGATGCGTTGTGGTTGAGCTCAGCCTGGGCGAGCGGCGCGGGTAGTTGGTGTGGGGGCGAGGAGCCAGCGCAGGCTGCTGGTATGGGAAATCCTGCTTGTGGAGGATGTGTATGTAGTTAGAGCCCTGGCTTGCCTGCTTGCGTGCTGGGGTGCCGGGTGGGGGTTTGCGCAGGGTCTGTGTCCCATGGGTCGTGAGTTGGGTCCAGGAACGCCATTTGCAGGGGATGCAGGTGCCATTTATGCTGACGTGTCTATTGCCATTGCCCTGCAGGTGTTTTGGGCGATGGGGGTCGCCGGCATGCTCTACATCATGGCGACGCAGGTCAGAGGCAAGGCGTTCTTCCTATGAGAATGGCTTGACCGCTTGCGGGTGTAACCCAACCATTTGCCTAACCACTCGCACTACCTTTACTGGGTGCCGGTATGTGCTAGCATGCGTTGAAGTGTACGGCAACCATACTCGGCCGTACTCACTCGCGGCTCGTGCTGCTCCATACCCCTGCAGGATGTTCCCGCAGCGGTCTTTGTGTACGAGAACCCCAACTGGGTGTGGGCGGTGGGACCACTCTTCGCTGCCTTGACCGGTGCGTGCTCCGGTGCAAGACATGCATGGTGCCGGCCCCCCTGCTCGCGCGTGCCGTCTTGGTCACAGGCGTGCAGTTTTGTTAAGGCTTGATTGCCTCGACCCGATCATTTCAGGTGTTGCATTTAAGGAGGGCCTGTGCTACGGCAAGTGGGAGGCCGCAGGGCTATTTGGGGCGATCCCCTTGACGATTGGCGGACACCTACTGCAACGGTATCCTCACGACGTAAGTGCCCTGAGAGGCTGCGGAGCCTGGTGCGTTCTGACATGAGGGCTTCACTCGACGGTGCATGGTCGGTTTCGCAGGTTGAACGCGGCTTGCTGGCTACGTGCATAATCTTGCTAAGCATCTTCGCCGGCCGCAAGTACACCCAGGCTGTCAAAGACGACATTGGCGACAAGTCTATCTTCGAGTAAGTGGGTTCCGGAGCGGGTGGGAGAGCTACACGGTGCGCAGGATTCGGGTACTTCTAAGCAGATGGTTGCAATGAACTTGCACTGAAGAATCTGTGTATCGTGGAATCTAGCGTTTACGTACCGGTGTTGTCTTGTAACTTGTGCACACGCCGACGCTTTCCTTGACTAGCTAACTGCACCACAGGCAATAGACATGCTACATACTGCAGCTAGGCTCGAACCACCAGGTTTCGATGGCGTTATTTCTGTACAACAAATTAACATTCCCTTTTGCCCCTTTCTGTTTACAACCTCGTAATGCAGGTTCCAGAAGCTTTCCCCAGAGCAGCAACGCACTTTGCTAAGCAAGCTTTCAGGGCAAGACTGAGGCCAATGACGTTGTCTTGGGAGAACATCCAATGTCCAGAATAAAGAAGCATATCCGTAGACGGTATCTATCTATGTGAATTCATCTATTTTGCTAAGAAGCCTGTGGCGTCTATGGACGTATTATAAAACTCCGTTACGGGAGGCGCACGAGCGCCTCCTTCGATACCTGCGCCTCTACTTGTATGGATGTTCACGAATCGTTGTAAATTACTTTATGTTGGCGACAGATTTGTCCTTCCACATAATTGTACGGCAGCATTGCTCTTGACCTGATGTCTCTGCACTCTGCTTCGGCGCAGTTTTCATAGCTAGCACCCACCATGGACACAAGCTTACCCGCTGTTCGCGCTAATAGCACACGAGGGGGGATTGGGGGCGTTCCTTGTGCAACTCCGTCCCAGCTTAATCCGCTTCAAGCCTTGGCGCACTTGGTGAACCCTCTCGGCGCTACCCACGACTCGCCAGTGCTATTGCCATTATTGCAGGTTAGTGCTTTTGGCATATACTAGCTCTAACGGTTCAGCAGTTCAGGGGACAATGCCTAGTTGCTTTGACCGCAAAACAACTAGTGAAAGCGGACCCCCCGCATCCTTGCAGCAGGTCGAGGCCTCTCCTACAACAGGGATACATCAGCTGTGCCCTCCGCTCTTCCAGTCGCAGTCGCAGCCAGCTCGCCTGCCCCTGCCGATTCCAGTCCGAACGGAGGCCGCCGCGGTGCCAGAGACGAACCGGGTTAGTTAGACCTCTCTTTCAATTGCCTAAAAACGTTTCTGGTATTTTGGACACCTAAGCCTAAGCCAGACTGGGCGGAACGGCTGCCGGACGTGTTGACTTGACTCGCAATGCCGGGGCGTGTGGCTTCTGTGTCACATCTGCTTCCAGTTGTGACACGCAGACATGCTTCCTTCTAAGTATGCAGAACTATACCATGAGGGTTAGCAGTATGCTTGTGCGGGCCGTTGAGCCCTTTGGCATAATCTTCTGCCCCCTCCCCTGCAGGGCATCAAACGCGAGTATGAGGCTCGCATAGGCAACGGCAAGCAATCTGTTGCAAACTCAGATGGATGGCAGTGGCGAAAGTAAGCTTTGCCTGCCCTAGGTACCTTCGGGAGTGCTCGCATCCTAACTAATGTCCGGGTGCAGGTATGGCGAGAAGCTTGTAAAGGGAAGCCAGCATCCGTGGAGTTACTACAAATGCAGTCACCCGGGCTGCACTGCAAAAAAGAAAGTATGGCGCTCGAAGGACGACGGTGCGGTGCTCACAACCGAGTACAAGGTGGGGTCCGCACCAGCGCTTCTGGCCTCCCTGCATCCGTTGCTAACGGCGTCCTTGTACAGGGAGAGCACTGTCACGCCGCTCCACTGACGTGCAAGCCGTCACGCTTCAAGCCAAAGCCTAAAGCGGAGCCGGTTGCAGCGGTGGGTTCGTTGTTGCAGCAGGGCATTTTGGTGACCAATTGGGTTGCAGTACCTTATCTCCCGCTTTTCCCAACATGTGCTCAGGCATTCCAGCGGGGGCAAGTTCCGGAGGCGTCGGCACTGTCCCAATTCCCGTCAGGCATGCTTGGCATGCCGGCATTGGGCATGCAAACCATATGCGGTGGAGGGATGCTGCCCATTCCGGATACCCTCCAAAGCGACTTTCCAGGTAAACCAGTTACAATTGGGACCGATATGGGTGCGCATGCTAGGTTGCGCGGTTCTCAACGTCACCTTCCCCCTTCCCCCACAGCGGTAACCCACGCCGCGGCGAGCATGGCGGTTGAGCCCGAGGATGACACGGACGCCAGCGACCCGGAACCAGCAATGGTACTACGCGCTGCGCCGCAGGATGCACGAGCGGCGCATGCGGCAGCTGCAGCTTTCCGGAGCATGCGTGAGGCTCAGGACTCACCCAGCAAACGCTTGGACATGCTTGCGGGTATGTCGGGGGCCCAAGGCGGCTTCGGTTAAGGGTGGCTTGGTTGCCTGACTCGGGGAAATTATCATTTCGGGGACATTGGGGTACCGGAAGAGTCGGAACCATAACCCCCGTCCCCGCCTGCAGCGTATGCCGAGGAGGCTCAGCGGGAGTACTTGTCGCATAGCAACAGCCCGGACCTAGGGCCCAGCTCAAAGCGGCAGCGGACGGAGGGGTCAGCGTCGCGGAACAGGTTAATCGGGGACGAAGATGAGGACCCATCGGTTGTCTCGGGCGTGCAGCACCTTGTCGACGGTTCCGACTTGGACGATGGATTCAGGTGCGAGCAGGGTCAGGCTAGCAGGGCGAAAAAGGGAAAGCCCACGTGGCTTGGAGGATGGGAGAAATGGAAAGATGCTTTCCTCGCCACTGGCAACGTACGGCAATAGTGATGCGTGCTGTGCGGAGCGTCACTCAAAAGGCATGCCACGGTTTGGTGTGCAGGTGGCGCAAGTACGGGGAGAAGAAGGTAAAGGGCAACGAGTTTCCCCGGGCCTACTACAAGTGCACGCAGCCCGGGTGCCCGGTGCGCAAGCATGTGGAACGGCACCCCACGGAGGAGGCCAAGTTCATCGTGACGTACGAGGGACAGCACACCCACGCAGCTCCAGACGCCTACCGTCGGCGCGGAATGAAAGGTGCAGGGGACGCAGGCAGGGCTGGTTGGGGGGAAACCAGTACATTATTGGTTCATCTGGATCATCCACGCGAATCAGGTGATTGGCAAGCCTGTCATGTGAGGGCCTCTAGTTACGCCCTAAACAAGTTGGCTTGCGCCTTTGCAGATGGGGAGGGCTACGAGTTGGGCGACGCAAGGGAGGACAGCTCGCAGCCCATGAGCCCGCGTTTCGGGGCCCCGGGCACGCAGCCCGCACCGCCGCTGCCGCTGCCGGGACCCCAGCCTGGAGCTGCTGCTGACGCAACCCAGCAGGCGCAGCAGCAGGGCAACGAGTTGCAGCCGGCCATGCTTCAGCACGCGGTGGTGACTAACGCCATGCCGATGTTGCCGTACAATGCCCTAACGAGCGAGGCGCTCGCAAGCCTGGGCCTGAGCGTGGATGCACTGCAGGGCATGGAGACGTTGGGCGCTTTGAACGGCAACCTGGCCGACCTAGCAACCCTGCTGAGGCAGCACACGCAGGTGCGCGTGCTGTGCAATGGCGGAATGCGCATGACCGGTTCGGGGCATGTATGATTGAATGACCTTTATAATGGCTCCCCAAAAGGGAACACGGGTGGCAATCCTAGTCCTACATGGAAGCAGAAGCGGCATGATTGTCGAGTTATCGACATGCGAGCGATGCCTTTGTCCTTGCGCATGTTTCCGGTCCTTGACAGTACCCATTTGCCACGTGTCCTTCCCTCACCTTTCTAGGCCGACATGGCGATTGCGGCGCAGGCGCAAGCCATGGAGGCCGGCTGGGACCCGCTTGCATGCCTGATCACACCCCGGCCCAACGTGTCACCGGCGGGGCTTCCTTTCGGACACACAGGGCCTTCGGGCGGGACGGGGAAACAGGGCAAGCCAGCGGCTCAGGCCAGGCAGCAGGTGGCGACGACAGATGCATAAGCACCCGGCGAGGGATACTCGTGGTTGGAACTTAATGCAGCGGTGAGGCCGACCGCAACACTGCGGCTGGCGTGTTGAGCAGGATGTGAGAAGGGGGCTCGGTTTAACCGACTTTGGGGCATATTTGGGTAGTGTGCCTCCATTTAAGCAGTGGGTTGGGAGGGTATCGTTATCTCCAAGTGCAGGGTGACTCGCTGCTGAGCTTTGACGCCATGTTTCGAAAGGCAGCATGACATGATCTGCAGACTTCTTTTCCGAGAGACACCCATGACATTTGCGTGGTGCATAGGCGGCGCTTGTCCCTGTTAGTGATGTCGATGTCGAGTTGTTGACCCGGTGCAGGGGAAAACCGCGGTCGTGGAGTAGCCCGTGTTGTTGTGCAGGAGCGATGGTTTGTAGTGTAGCCTTTAGGAAGCGCTTATCAATGTAGGGCATCGCTGCACAACTCATGCGAATTAGGAGGGACCTGGTCATACTAGGCCTCAACACAATTGTTCCTTAATATAACTTACCACAAGCTGAAAATGCCTTCGCACGCCGTAGACACACACGGGCTGCGTGCTTGTGTCAACATCACGCAACTCCCGAGGCTCTCCGGAACCGTTTTCGGAGGAAAATGGGCCTGAAGGCCCTGAAATGCGGCACTCATTTTTTGTAACTTATTGATGCATAGTTGGTTGCATACCATAGTCTAAAATAGTTTTAGGTGCCTACAAATCACTTGTTCCTGCTAACTGCCCGCCAATGCCGTACCATGCAATTATTCTCGCTTGCAACAGGCGTTGCGCGAGTAATTGCTCTGTTGTTATAGCCTCAGTTATGATTAAGGCCCACGTCCCGCAAATTTCTGTTTTATAGGACTGCTACACCGCAATGTTCCTTCTAGCCAGTAACCTTGGCCGACGAACCCCGCAACTTCTCCGCAGAAGATTATTAGGAGGTTGCCATTCGGCTCGGCAATCCTGGGTTTTTCCTGTCGCTGAAGCTGGTGCAAGCCTGAACGCGTCTCGATTCTATGCCAAGCTTGTTTCCTTCCCGCTCGCTCAGACCGGGGAAGGGATTAGTGAGTGCGAGCTGGTGGCCTGGGCAGTGAAGGTAAACGCGAGTATTGTTGCAACTGCTGACAGCATGATGCCGTGGGTGCTGACTGTGCTTGCACCTTTTTCCAGTCTCCATTGACTTATGCATACACACATCAATACGATGCTTTGCAGCTTCGGGTTTGGGGCAAAAGCATAAGGCACAACCAACCGCTAGGCCATCCGAATACGGACATGCCTGCGTTTGCAGGTTGGAGACGTTGTCTCGCCGTTTGAGAAGCTCTGTGACGTGCAGAGCGACAAAGCCTCGATTGAAATAACAAGTCGCTATGCTGGTCGCGTGGTAGCGCTCCATCACTCGGCGGGAGCGATGGTGAAGGTACTAGCCTTATCGAACTTCGCTTATTCTGTTATAAAACAATAGAGCTCCTTAGCACTTTTGCACTTGCCACAAGGTCACTTCTCAGCCCTTTTTGCCCCCCCGATGTCTTTCGCTCATCCATGCGGTCGCACACCCGCATCCCCGCACCTCCTAGGTGGGCGCGGCGCTGGTGGACCTGGAGGTGGCGGATGAGGAGCAGGTGGCAGCTGAGCACCTGATGACGCCATCGCACCCCGGAACCACTAAAAGTACTACAAGCAGTACGGTGACAGCCTCCGCCACGACTTCAGCTGATGCTGCGCACGACGCCGCGCTTGCAGGCGGCCTGGCAGCAGCCAGCAGCAGCGGCAGTGCCAATAACTCTACCGTCGGTATTACAACCGGCTTGGATCGCAACGCCAGCGACAAACAGCCCGCTCAGCCTTCATCTTCGTTTTCCTCACCAACAGCCGCGGTGGCAGCTGCGACACCCCTGCGGCCCCCTGCGGCCGCTTCCTCTCCCTTCTTCGAGGCACCTGCCGCCGCCCCGCCGCCTCCCTCCTTCCAGCCCGGTGGAGCTGCTGCGGCTGCTGCTGCTCAGGTGCATGCCTCCCCGGCGGTACGAGCTTTGGCCAGGTACGGCGCAGTACGGTACTGCAGTACGGGATTGCCTTCCCCTCAGCTACTCGCCTCCATGCTACGCTCATGTGACTTCAACTTCTCCTCCTCACCCTAGTCGACTCATCACCAGGCTGGGTCGTACCTTGCCATCACCCTGACCCTCTCCCTCCCTCCCCTTCAGAGAGGCGGGTGTGGACATCTCAGCGGTAGTGGGCACTGGCCCCGGAGGACGCATCACCAAACCAGATCTCCTGTCGTACATCGCCTCCAAACAGCAGCACCAGCACCAGCGGGCAGCGGGGTCCGACTGGACGGGACAACAACCCCATGCAGCGGCGCATGGCGGCGGCAGACCCACGGGTCACCACCTCCCCGCGGGTCTCACTGTAGAGGCGGCGCTGGCGGTGTACCAGCAGCTGAACGCTGCGGGCGGGGGCGCAGCCGTCTCGGCTGCCTCCCCGCATGTGTCGGCTACTCCCACCACCACCACAGCCGCAGCAGCAACAGCTGCTTGGACGGGAGGGGCTGCTGCCGCTGCGGGAGGTGTTGCTGGCGGCGGTGGCGGTGGAGGTGGAGGGATTACGGCAGCGCAGGAGGGTTCGCAGGTGGTGCCGCTGCGGGGCTACCGCAGGTGTGTGAGGGGGTGCCAGACGTGGAGACGTCCGAGCGTGTGTGTTTATGTGTTTGTGTGTTAAATAAACTGGCCACTTCTGCACACCCCCATACGCGTACCTCCGTGCACGCAGGAACATGTTTGCCCAGTAATATACTGCTTCACTGCCTCTCCCCCGCCTCACCTGCACATACACACACACACGCGCACAGGGCCATGGTCCGCTCCATGACCGCCGCCAGCTCCGTCCCCGTGTTCCATCTGCATGAGGAGGTTCGGGTGGACCGACTGATGGGGGTGCGGGCGGCGCTGAGAGATGACCCACGGGTCAGGGAGCAGGTGGGTGGGGCGGCGTAAGGAGGGAGCGGAGGCAACGAGTGTGCTGGAGCGGATGTGTATTATGTGGATATGAACGAGCGAGGCCGACGGGGTGAGATCTGGTTGTGGAGAGATGTTGTGTATTCATTGCATAATCGGTGCGACAGCTACGGTGTTATGTTGGCATCCGCGCAGTTTCTTCTGCTGTCAGGGTCTGCTCTCCATTTCCCACCAGGGCCCTATCAGTAAGCTTCCCGCAATCCACCTCGGTCCCTGCCCCCGCCCTGCCTTGCTGCCTATTGCTACTTGTAACTTATTCGTGTTTTGCCTGCCTGCCTGCCCGCCCGCGTCCCTCCCTCCCCCCCGCCTGCCAGGGTCTGCGGCTCACCGTGCTTCCTCTGCTGCTGAAGGCGCTGTCTGCGGCTCTGTTGCAGCATCCGCAACTGAATGCCAGCCTGGCACCCAGTGAGGGGGCGGGGGGGGGATGGAGGGGGCGAGAAAGGCCTTGTGATTGATCGGGGAGGGGGCCTTAAGGCTGAAGTAGGAAGGGAAAGAATGGGTGCCGGGAAGGACGGCGGGACGGACGAGCGGGCAAGGGGGGAGGAAGATGGAGGAGCAGAAGGAGGAGAAGGAGGTTGACGAAAGCGGCTCTGCTGGAACGGTCACGTCGCAATCGCGGCCCGCGTGTTCGACTCCGCTTCCCCACTCCGCCCTTACCCGCTGCTGCTGCTCCTCTCCTCCTCCTCCTCCTCCTCTCCTCCTCCTCCTCCTCCTCTCCCCCCACTCCGGGGGCCAGGCGGCACGGAGCTGCTCCTGCACCAGCACCACCACATCGGAGTCGCCATGGCCACCCCCGGCGGCCTGGTGGTGCCAGTGCTGCGGCACGTGCAGCGCAAGTCGCTGGGGGTGCTGGCGGCGGAGCTGGCGGCGCTGCAGCAGCTGGCGGCGGCGGGGCGACTGCCGGCGGAGGCGCTGACGGGGGGGACGGTGACGGTGTCCAACATTGGTGAGCCGGTGCGGGGGGGTAGGTGGGGAGGTGGGGAAAGAGGGTTAGAGGAAGACATGTTGGGAGAGTGTGGAGTAAGTAGGGCTCTGGTATCCTCCGCATCCCTATCCATCCCCCCCCGCCGCACCCCCTCCCCTCCCCCGCAGGCAGTGTTGGCGGCACCTACGCCGCCCCCCTGGTGACGCCCCCCGAGTCGCTCATCCTTGCCCTGGGTCGCGTGCAGGTGCTGCCCAGGTACCTGCCCCCCGCCTCCGGGGCAGCTGATGGGAGGGCGGCAGGGGGCGGAGGACACCACCACCACCACCAACAACAACAACAACAACAACAACAGTACGGCAGCCAGCAGGGGTGGTACGGCGGGGCACAACAGCTGCAGCTCATGCCGCCCCCACCCCCGCCGCTTCCTGTCCCTGTTTCGATCATGCCGGTGGGTGTGGCTGCAGGTAGCGGCGGGCGCTGCAACACAGCAGGTAGCAACCAGAAGAGGAATGCGCGCATGTAGCAGCGCGTAACGGCAACTAAAGCTTGGTGTGAATGACACGGAGGAGGGGTGATGTCGGCCGTGACGCACGCATGTCGCCACCTTCAGACAGCACCCAACCGGCGGGTTGCCGCTCCCTTCCCCTTCCCCATTTGAGGAGCTTTGAAACGGCCCTACTCCGTCCCCTCCTCCTTCCCTCCCCCTCCCTGCTCCTTCCCTTACCCCCCCGCAGGTCAGCTGGGGTGCCGACCACCGGCTGGTGGACGGAGCTGCACTTGCCGCCCTGTCCAACACATGGAGGGGGCTGGTGGAGCAGCCGGAGAGGTTGATGCTGGAGCTGGTGTGAGGGCCGGGGGGTGGTGGTGGTGGTGCAGCTGCTGTTGCGGTGGAGGGTGGAGGTGGAGGGTGGTGGGTTGAGGGTGGCGGGTGACAAGGGGGGGGGGGGAGGCAGCCGGGTTCACCGGGGTGTGTTGGATGAGAGGGATTTGCTACTGGTGGTGGTGCCGGTTGTTCTTGAAGGTTTTCATGGAGAGAGAATGATGAGATGTGTTTTTGACGAGAAACCTGTGCTGCAGCGGAAGATTTGATGTTGTTGCTGTAAGTGACAGGCACTGGGGTAACAGATGTGCCATGGTTCATGTATGCTGCTGCTGCTGCAGCTGTTGTTGCCTGCGGCTTTTTGCTTTTCCGTAGCTATGGAGATCCTCTGCTCGATGTTGCGCTCCCAGGGATGTTTCGTAACACACTGCTGTCATTTTATTCGTACACACGTGGTTTGGTGCTGTCCTGCCTTGCCCCGGGAAGATGTGGGCTTGAAACGGTTGTGTGTGTGTCTGCCCCGGTCGCCCGCGGGTTTAGCTTTGAAGCTTCTTCCTCCTAATGATTTGCTATGCTGCTGGCTCTAACAGATGTTGGACCTTTTAAAGCCCAGCGGGCATGTACTTTCAAGTTTGCTTCTCCCCTGCTTCTCCCCTGCTTGTATCATAACGTTCTGTCCCCTAGCTGTGCTGATAGCCCCTAGCTGTGTTTCTTAACGATCGTATCATATTGTGCCATCATTATGTACACTAAGGGCGGCCACCAGTGCCGCTGATACCTGTGTAGCTTAGATGGGAGGCAGCTGTTGCTGTTCGTTGTCGTCGTTGTTCTAATTGTCCGTTGCTATTGAGTCACCTGAATGGCACCATGTTACCTTCCAACAATGTACATCACATGTTGAGCTGCAGCTGCAGCTGCTGTTGCTAGTTGTCTGGTTCGTACGGCACGTTTGAAAGATGCCAAATTGCTGGCCTTTTGCTTTGTTGTCATAGTTGACGTTGCTTTGAGAGGTGTTCAGTTGAGAGTTTGCATGCTTGTTTGCTTGCCTTTCATGCAAGACTACTGGTATAGGAAGAATGGAGCGACAGCGCCGTTTCATGACCCGCGGGTCACCTGCTGGCTTATAGTTAATGGACTTGGGAATGTGTGCTACCACTGCGATGAGCAACTCTCCGTGTTACATACATACATTAATGGGCGCTCAACTGCTTTCCGTACACCGCATAACTTCAAAACATTATAGCCATCAGTGCAACCAGGGCACCGCGACCCCGAACAAGTACTGAACCGCTTGCGCAGCTCACAGCAGCTCCTCCAGGGCGGCAGCAACGTGCACAGCGCAGCAGTTGGCGCACGGGGAAAAGACAAAAGGCACGTTGCCTGAAAACCGATTCCAAACCCACATGCCTTTCCTTACTGCTGCTGCAGTGAGAGTCCTCGGCAAATCCGCAATCAGATCCAGCAGGCAGCAAAACAATGCACAACACCCTTTCTGCACCTTCCGTTATAGTCGGTAGAGTAGGTAGTTCGTTAGGAACCATTGGGGATGACGAAAGAAACGGCACGCACACACTTATATCCAAAACTTACGCACAAATCCACGCAAGTTTGCACTAGGGATGGCCCGGTATCACAACCGCAGCAGCGCCCGTTGCTTTCCAAAACAGAACAGCAGCGCGAAAAAAAGGAGGGAGTATCGCGCCGAGAGCCACACTCAGCCCGCTTGACCCTTTTAGCCAATGAGAAGGAAGGGTTAACGACGGAACGTTGTCTTCCGTACAAAACCGTAACGGTTTGAGGGTTTGTCATACGAGCAACAAACCGATCTCCACGCATAAATCTCCTCCACGTGGGGTCATTTTTGCAGGTCGACAAAGGCAAGGCGTGCAGGTAACGGCCATCATCCCGTGCAACACACGTAGCGCAACACTGCGCGGCCAAAGGGCGCTAAAATACGCAAAAGTGACACTGTAACGTCCGTAACTAGGAAAGAACGCCTCGCGAGCTCTCTCGCACAGCTGGCAACAGTTCGCGTGACCATTGGGCCACATGCGGCTCCAAATCCTTTGCTCCATCCCTCCTACTATCTAACACCACCCAGTACAATGTACAGTGATACAATGCATCGCACCCTGCCTCATATTCCTAGATCTTTTCTTATGTAGGTCCAAGGCAAGTAAGCAATAACAAGGTGCAAGATGGCCTCCCCACTGCAGGCTAATGGCTGCGGCACCTAATCCCACATACTCTACCAAAGCGACATTTCGTCGCCCCTCCCCACCACGCCTCCACCACCTCCAGTGCACAGTCAGACCTTCATGCAATAATCCTTCCCTTCCCGCCACGCATTTGCACCGCTGTAGAAACTCTATGTGTATCCCACCACCATCACATCATGGACACAGGCATAAGCACATAAGGAAAAGAAATCACCACATATATGTACAACACCTACCGGCAATGTCGAATCCTTCAGCATTCAACACATCTTATAACGTTCAACACAACATCCCTAACAACCGCACGTCACCGGCTGAAAGATGTGTGTATGCCCGGGAGCGCATCCACCCTCCCCGCAAACCCGACAACACCCGCAAGCCTCCAAAACACCTTACCAGCCGTAACACCGCACAGCTCCTGCAACCTAATACAAGCCACTCACGCTAGCTTGCTGTGTCAGCAGAAACGTCAGCCCAGGGTCTGTTTCCCGCCGCCGCAGCAGCTGTGGCGGAATCCTTGCCCGCCTCTGCTGCTGCTGGGGCTGCTGCTGCTGCGGCGGCTCTTGCAACTGCTTTGACTGCTGCTCTTCCTGTTGCTGCTGCTGCGGGGCAGGAGGCGACGCCGGCTGTTGCTGCTGCTGCTGTGATGCGGTCAGTCGTGCTAGGTGCCCCTCCAGTCGGGCCCGTTGGACCGCCAGCCAGGACCTCCACACGCCTCCGCCCCAGGCACCGCCAGCAGCCCCAGCAGCCCCAGCAGCCGGTTTCTGCGCCGTGACTGCCTCGGCTTCCTCCGCCGCCTCCTGCATTCACAGGGCACAGAGCACAGAAGATGCGGTGGTGTCAGTGTCGTTACCCTCATGCACAGCACACGCCTACACCGGGGCACACTGGGCACTCACGACAACACGTTGTGGGTGGGGAGCAGCTGCAAGGGTTGCAAGCCCCAGGAAGGCCTCACTGGGGGTAGGGTTGCTGCTCAGCGGCGGAGACATGGTATGTTTTGCGTGCCCAGCTGCCTCCATCCAACCACCCCATGCCGAGTTGCTTGGCCCAGGGGGGCCCTGCGGCCAAGCCATAACCCGGCCCCCCCGCCCCAGCAGTCCACCACACCCCAGCAACCCCAGTCCGATGCCCCCACGCCCTTCCCCCTCCCCAACACCCTCACCACTGGCGCCTCCAGCCAGCGAAGAACCTCCGCCAGCAGAACTGCCAGCAGCACATCTGCAGCCGCAGCAGGTGCGGAGAAGGAGGAGGACGACGACAATGCAGAACCGCCATCCGCCGCCGTGGCAGCGGCAGCAGCAGCAGCAGCCGTCGATGTGCCGCGACTTGAACCGCCGCCGCCCCCAGGAGCAGCCGCAGCGCCCCCAGCGCCCTCCCCGCCCATGCGTCCCCGACCAGGCGAGTTGCTGGCGACTGTGAGAGCTGCTGCCGCTGGCCCGGGGTGCTCGGCTACAGCTGCGGCAGGAGGAGCTGACGGGGCATCAGCCCCCTGTGGCATGGTTGTTGACGAGACGGCAGGAGGAGCTGCAGCAGCAGGAGCAGCCACGCCGGCTACCGCGGGTAGGATTGCCGTGGCGCAGGAGGAGGGTGTCGCAACCCGGCTGCTGCTGGGTTGTGGTGCGGGGGAGGCGCTGCCGAGCCCGGTGGATCTACGGTGGCTCAGGACGGAGAGGCTTGGAGAGGCCATATCGCCGTCACCGGTGCGCGTGTTGCTGGGAGTCCTGAAGACACCGGGTGGGGTGGGAAGGAGGGAAGGAAAGGAGGGGAGGGATGGAGGGAAGGGAAGGGGAAAGGGAAGGAGGGAATGCGTGAGTATAGGTACCGTCGAAAAATGCCTCAGCGCAGTACGAAGAGAATATGCGGTAACAAGGTGATTTGCTTGTTGTTGTGGTTCCGGACGTACGGATTACGTCTCGTCAGTATTCACGTCTCGTCAACAGCAGGCACCACGACCATGTCCCCAACAGATGTACGACAAAATGACAAACAAGGCACGTAAGGCTACCGGATACTGATGCCGCAAACCCTCCTCTCTGAACTCGCACCTGATCTGCAAGGCAGGCAGCCGCGTCACGACCTCCTCTGGCCCCCCTCCAGAAGCACCACCCCCGCCGCTACCACCTCCTCCGCTAGACCCCAGCGCGCGAAGGCGTGCCGGCGGCAGCAGCCCCTGCCCGCTGCCACTGCCGCCACTGCTGCCGACCCTGGGGTTGGCGCCGCCGCCGCCTTCCGAGCCGGCGTGATGCTGCTGATGGTGGTGGTGCTGCTGATGGTGGTGCTGGTGCTGCGGCTGCTGCAAGTAAGGTGAAACTTGCGAATGCTGCTGCTGGTGGTTGTGGTGGTGATTGTGGTGATGGTGGCTGTGCAAGCCAGGCGAGGACGCAGGTGAGCCGAGCCCCCAGGTGTGGGGTGACGCGCATGGAGACACCCCACCACCCACCACCAGACCACTGCAGTCCACACTTAACCGCCGACCGCCCGCATTCACACCGCCACCACCGCCGCCGCCGCCGCCGCCAACGACACCGCCCGCACTCCAAACCGCCGACGCCGTCGCCGCCACCACTGAGGTCACGCTGGTGGGGTGCGGCGGCAGGAAAGCTCGCTGCAGCGGCCAGGGGGGCAGCGTCTCCCGGGGGCTGCCCGCCCTAGCGGCGGAGGGGGAGGGGTTCACACGCGGCGGCAGGGTGCGGTACACGAGCGGTGCGGAGGTAGTTGACCCCAGGGAGGTGCAGCTGTTGAAACGGCCGCCGGCGGCGACGTCAAGCAAGCTACCGCCGGGGCCGCCGCCGCCGCCGCTGCCGGTGCTGCCGGGAGAACGGCAACCGGTACGACTGGCGGCGCCGTCGCTTCCCCAGTAGCGCACGTAGCCCGGCGGCAGCGCGCGGAGGAGGGAGCCGCCAGAGGTCTCTGGCATGGCCTGTCTTCGCACGGAAGCGGTACCCGCGGCGGCGGCGGGGGAGTTGTGTTCGGAGCTGAATTGCCGCTGGGGTGGTGACTGCGGCTGCTGCGGCGGGGAATTGCGTGAGAGCTGGGGCTGGGACTGCGGCTGCTGCGGCTGGGGTGGTACGGCAGGGTGCGGTGATGCTAGGGGCGGCGGTGGCGGCGGCGGCGGGGGCGGTGGGGGGACTTCCGGGGGCTCGGACTCGGATAGCAGGCCCAGTCGGGTTGCATGGACAACGAGGAAGCGGAGGAGGGAGGCCGCGACGCTGTCAGGACCCAAGCCGCCGCCACAGCCTCCTGCTCCTTTGGTACGAGGGGGGCAGAGGCGGTGGTTGGGCGGTGAGGGTGAGGAAGGACGAACAACGAGTACGGAGTACGAGTTCGGTAACAGCAGGGGGTTGGGCCCGTGTGTGTGAAGCGCAGGAGCCAAGGATGGGATACGCAGGTGCCATCCCCGCTCGGAGCCGGTGCTGCTTGGGCGCTTACGGAAACATCACGCAGCCCACATCCCTACACCCCTTGTGCCATGCGGTTTGTTCGACAGGCGCGTCAAAGCCGTCTGAATGTAAGATGACTCCTTGTCCTGTTACCTGCGCCCAGCTACTACCATACACATCCCTCCCTCCCTCCTCGCTTGGCTCACCAGGTCTGTGCACCACCGCCGACAACACTGCAGCCGCCACCGCCGGAGGTAGCCCCGCGCCAACGCCCCGAGCCTCATCCGAAGCAGCGGTAGCAGCAGCTGCAGCATCGGCAGCAGCAGCGCCAGTAGCACCTCCGCTGCTGCTGCCCGGGTCGGCCCTGCCGCCCTCCTCCTCCGCCACCGACGGCAGCCCACCAGTCTGCTGCACCGGCGGCCCCGGCAGTGACCCACGTATCCGCCGCAGCAGCCGCCCCAGCGACACCTCCAGCTGCCCCAGGAGGGGAGGCGGCAGCAGCGGCACGGGCAGCGGTGAGGGCGGCGGTGGCGGCGGCGGAGGAAACATGGCGGAGGCGGGCGGAGAGGAGGTCCGGCCTGGCATGGCGAATACCGTCATGGAGGCTCGGAAGGAGGGGTGGGGAGGTGCCGGTGCCTCGGGGCTGCTGCCCAACCCGGTGGCGCCTCCAGCGGAGCTGTTGGCAGCAGCCGCAATTGCAACAGCCGCCGCTGCTGCGGCCCCTGATGCTGTGGCCTCGGCGGCTGTCGCTGCTTGTGCAGACGCAGTGTCGCCGTTTCCGCTGCTGCTCGATGCACGCATGTGCGCCGCTGCGGTCCCTCCCGTCGCCGCCCTCAACTGCGCCTCCCCAACCAGCCGCACGAGCACTCGGTAGACGTAACTGCGGGCGAAGAGCGGGGAGGGGGGCGGGGAAGGGCGGGGTTAGGTGAGGGGGTACACGCTGCGCAGGACGGTGTGCACATACCCTGCCCCCCGCCCCCTGAGGGCGCACAAGCAACCGTGTACGGCACCGGTCACGTTCCGCATCAGACTTCTCCTCCCAACGCACATGGTCCCTGCTTGTTTCCTATCTAGCCCTGGTCGTACGGCGCTTTATATACCGGTGCGGCATCACACCATTCGTACACCAACACAGACCCCCTCCCCCTCCCCCATGCAGCTCGCAACTCACATGGCCAGCTGGGACTCCAGGCCCGAGGGCAGCAGGCCGTCGGAGGAGTCCTGGGGGTGGGGGGCGGCAAGGGGGGGGGGGCAATGATAGCTTTAGGTGCAAGGGGGGGACCAGGAGAGAGGAGGAAGAGAAGGGAAGCTTTCATGGTGCAGAAATGCGATTTACGTTGCTGCTGCACGAAGCTGGACCAAGGACAGTAGGCCGAGGGGCAGTATAGCCTCTTCAAGCATGTGGACTCAAAGCTGCACTAAGGGCGCTACCGGTACTGCAAGGTACGAGGCTCACTGCCATCCATCTCGGCATCCCACCAACCCTGCAGCCGCCGCCCTACCAACTAACCCCATGCAGTTACCGCCGTACCTGCAGCTGCCGTACTCCCGTCAACCACCCAAGCAGCTGATCCGCTGACGCAGTGGCCGTCACCGTCGTCACCGTAGCGGTGGCGGCAGCGGCGGCGGTGGGTGGGGACGTCACAGCGGCCTTCACCGCAGCAACAGCTGTTGGCGCCACCGCCACCCCAGCAGCACCAGCACCAGCACCAGCACCAGCACCAGCACCAGCACCAGCACCAGCACCAGCACCAGCACCAGCACCAGCACCAGCACCAGCACCAGCACCAGCACCAGCACCAGCACCAGCACCAGCACCAGCACCAGCACCAGCACCAGCACCAGCACCAGCACCAGCACCAGCACCAGCACCAGCACCAGCACCAGCACCAGTTGGCGAAACAGACCTGGGCGACGATACCGATACCGCCGCTACTGCTGCCGCCGCTGCCGCCGCCGCTCGTGCCCCTCCCAGATGGAATTCAAAATCCGGCCATGCGACGCCTCCGCCTCCGCTTCCACCGCCACCTGCATCTCCACCACCCGTTCCTGTCTGCCTGCGTCCGCTCCCTCGCACCTCTAGCGGCAGGGCGGCAGTGGTGGTACCTAGGGGACTGCGGGAACTACTGCCGCGACCGTCTCCTCCTCCTCCTCCTCCTCCTCCCGCCGCCGGACTGGGAGATTCACTCCGTTGCCTGGCTCCGCTGCCGTCAGGGGGGTTGCTGCTGTTGGTGGCGGGGTCACACGGCGCGACACTGCTGATGGAGAGGGCGCTGCTGAGCAGTGCGCTGCCGCCGGCCGCCAGCACGGAGATGAGCCGTGCGCTGGAGCGTTCCTGCAGTAGGGGGGTGGGGGTGAGGTTGCGGGCGGAGGGGAGGAGCGGGCTGGCGGGTGGTACGCGGTCCTGGGGGGAGGTGGAGGGGGCAGGGCGAGGAGGGGGGCGAGGAGGGGGGCGAGGAGGGGGGCGAGGAGGGGGGCGAGGAGGGGGGCGAGGAGGGGGGCGAGGAGGGGGGCGAGGAGGGGGGCGAGGAGGAACGGGGGAGGGAGGAGGGGGGAGGAAGTGTCGACGTTAGTTGTGCAGGGAGGGGTCGAAAACTTGAGATGGGCACACTACAGCCACACCACTTGAACACCGGCAGTAGTAGTTGTGGGAGCATGCTAGGCGTGGGACAGGCGGACAGCATTCACCATCCAACTCGCTCGCAGCGCGCCCCCCTCACCCTCATTGTGTTGCTGCGGGACAGCCCGGGGTCGCTGCGCCGCTGAGCCCGCATGGCGCCCACCGTCAGGGGTCCGCCCAGGCCGCCCAGACCCGCTCCCGGGGCCGCTGCGGCGGTGGCGGTGTTGGCTGCCGAGCCGCCGCCCACTGCGCCACCCAGGAAGGAGGGGAAGTTGGGCGCTGCCAGGATCCGAGGGTCCATACTGTGATGGGTGGGGGTGGGGGGTGGGGAGGGTGGCGGTGGTTAAAATAAGGAAATTGACGAGGCAACGTGACGAGGGATCCGGTGGGGGCGGTGGGTAGGGTGGAGGTGGTGGCGAGGGGTTGGAGGAGAGGGGGGACGCAAGCGGACTAGGGCAGGGATGAAGGCGGTGGAGGACCGAGGGACGAGGGCGGTGTGCCACAGACAATGAAGGTGCGCATGGAAGGGAGACACGCGTGCCCAAAACACGTTTTTTATCGCCCCCCCGCTCCCCAGACCCTTAGCCCCCTCATCAGCCGCACCTGAGGAAGGCCCGGATGTCCTCCGCTGAGAAGCCCGCTTGCGCCAGCAGCACGATCATCTTGGGAGGGGAGGGGGCAAAGAGAAAGAGAAAGAGAAAGAGGGCGAGGGGTAAGGAGGGTTGGTTGTGGAGAGACAGGGAAAGGAGGGTAGGCTGAGGAACAGGTGAGTGGCAAAGGCACGCTGGGGTTCACCGGTAGCGTGGGGTATCCTCCGTGCAGCTGAAAGACCCCGCCAGTCCTCACAACAGGTGCATCCGTGCGCGCAGCCAGCACGTGTCGTCATGCTCCCTTACATTGGAAAGGGGCGGCTTCCTTCCCGGACCAGGCAACACCCACCCTTCACCCACCCACACACTTCAAGTCAAACCCTGGGGCCCCCCTTGCAACTAGCCGCGCCCCCCCCCTACCTTGGCCGTGTCATGCACATCAAACGCTTCCAGATGCTTCACGTTCGCAACCGCCGGAAGCGCCGTGGCGGAGGAGCGACCCTCGGGTCGGCCCTGCGCGCCCACAATCGCCTCCTTCATAGCCGCCAGCTTCGCCAGCAGCTGCGGAGGGAATCCGCCGCCGCCGCCAGCCGCATTGTGTCCGCTCGCATGCATGCTGCCGCCGCGCCGTGCCCCCGCACCGCCGCCGCCGCCAATCGCCAAGCCAGTGGACCCGGTGGCCGGCTCCGGCAGAGTGCCGCCGCCGATCGCGACGCCGCTTAGGACCGAAGGAACGCTGCCGACGGAACTAATGGGCATCGATGACACCGTTCCTATCGCAGCCCCTCCAGCAGCAGCACCGGCTGTTCCTGCCCCCGCCGCTGACAGGGCCCAAGGCGGTTGATGTTGTTGTTGCTGCAATGATTGCAACTGCTGTTGTTGTTGTTGTTGCTCGGGTGACGGGGCTGCTAGCGCTGCCGTACCGCCAGCCAGCGCAAAGAGCTGTCGGATGATGTCTCCGTTCACCCCTGCTGAGGAGAGCTCCAGAGCCACCTCAGCTAGGGTCGCCGGATCTGAAGCAGGAGGGAGGTGAGGAGAGGAGGTGAAGGAGGGGAGAGGTGAGACAGTTGGGGGGGGAGAGGTGGGGAGTGGTGCGGGTGCGGGGTGGGGGCATGCCAAGGGTGTGTAGGGGTATGCCACTTCCTCGCCCCTCGCCCCTTCCCCCGCTCATCCCTACCGATATCGGGCCTCAGCTCGTTCCCATCCGCGCTGAAGGCCTCCATGATGCGTTCCCGGCTCCACCCCACCCGCTCCAGGGCAGCACGCAGGGAGAGCGCCATGGAGGGGGACACACCGCCCAGGGGCCTGGGGGGGTGGAGGGGGGGATGGGTGTTCATGGACCTTACGATACCATAGGAAACCACATGTAAGGGCGGATGGGGGCGGGGAGGTTTGAAAGGGTATGCCTGCCCGCCTGCCTGCTAATGATTTGCTAATTCCCGACCTACCCCTGTTCATTAGTGTAACTTGGCTTTGAGTTGCTGCCCACTGTTTCCTCTTTACCCCCCCTCACCTGACGAACACCCGAATGGCAGCCGCCGACACCTCAGCCGCAGCCAGCGCAGCCACCACCTGCGCAAGCCTCAACGGTCCGGTATCCGCACGTAGAGCCGTACCGTCCTGCCGTACAATCCGTACCAACTGCTCCGCTGCGTACCCACTCGCAGTCAGCGCCTCCCGGACCTGCGCCGCCAGTACGGCGGCGGGAGGTACGGCACCCATGCCGGCGGAGGCGGCGGCTGGCGGCGGGCGAAGGAAGTGCCGTATCTGGTCCGCCGTGGCGCCGGCGGCTGCGAGGGCGTACGACATGGCGGCGAGGGTGCCGGGCGGTACGGCGGGGTTGAGGGTGGTGCTGGAGGAGGCGAGGGAGGCCTGCAGGGGGGTGGGGGAGGAGTGGGAGGAGGGCAGGGGGGGTGGGGGTTAGGCATTTAGATTCGAGGAGAGGGGGAGGCAGGATGTTGGCGGTGGAAAAAGGTCCTGCATGACTTGCTCCTGCTCAGTGCCAGGAAAACACGGTACCACACCACACCACACCGCACCTCGGGGCACCCAGCCCCACCCAGCCAGGAGCCCCACCTTGAGGTCTGCTGGTGTGAATCCCGCCGCCAGCAGCACCGCGCGTACGGCAGCTGCGGTGGGGTGGTCAAAGCTGCCGTACCCGCAGCCGCCGTGGGGCAGCAGGAAGCGCTGGACCTGCGGAGAGGAGATGAGGAAGCGGAGGACGAAGTGGAGGACATGAGGCAGCAGGGTGATACCGAATGTTGGGGGGATTGCAGCCAGCGAAGGGGACCTAACCCCCGACCTCTCATGCATGCAACCCCAACGCAAGCCCCCCCCCAACCCCCTTCACCCCCCTCGCACCTGGGAGGGCGTGAAGCCCTGGTTGGCCATGTGCTGACCCACGCGCTCAATGACCCGTGGGTCGGCATGCGGCAGCAGCCCCCGCCCGTCCGGCCGCACCATCTCCACCAGTGTACGGCTGCTGATGCCGCAGCTGGCAGCAACATTGCGGATGTCCATCATGCTTCGGACGTCGAGCAGGCTGACACCCCCGCTGGCAGCGCTAGCACCCGCCGCGGAGGCAGCCGCAGCCATGCTCATGCCGCCGGCACCGGGGCCCTGCAGGGCACCCCAGCCGGAGCCCGCAGCCCCGCCGCCAACGGTATTGGCGGTTAGCGATCCGTTACCGTTACCGTTACCGTTAGAAGTGTTTGCAGGTGCGGTGCTGTTGCCGCCAGCGGCGGTGTTAGAGGCGGCGTTGTTTGCGGAGGAGGAGGCGGTGATGTTGGTTGCGTTGAGGGCAGCTAGGAGGGGTGAGAGCAGCGGTGGCGGCGGGGGCGCGGCGGGTGCGTTGGCGGCTGCGGAGGTGGGCGGCGGGCCCAGGAACTGGCACAGCTGGCCGGCTGTGAAGTTAGCCTACGAGGGGAGGCAGGGTTGGCAGGGCACACGCGGGAGGAGGTAAGGTAACGGTAAGGGTAAGGGTAACAGGAGAAGCGCCACTGCCCCGAATACACGCCCCACAGCGACCCTCCCCTCTTCAGCAACCCGCATGTCGCTCGCTTCCAGCTCCCTCGTTGTAACTCCCTCCCGCCCCTAGAAACCCGCCGCTGCCCCCCCCCCCCGCCCCGGATGCCGCCCCCCCCCCGCCCCGCTCTCCCCCACCTGCGCCAGCGCTGCCGCCATCTGGGCCAGGCACGTGGAGTCCAGCTCGGCCCCCGGACCCGAGCAGTCGGTCCGCAGCAGCAGCCGCAGCTGACGCCGGGAGAAGCCGGCGTCCAGCAGCGCGTCGTTCAGCGAGCCCAGCTCGTTGGGCGTGAGGGCGGGAACCGGGGGACCTGAGGGGGAGGGGGGTGAAGGGTGGGGGGAGGGAGGAGGGAGGGGGGGTATGTACATGGGAGGCAGGAGGAGGAGACGTGGGAAGGACGTGCCGTAAGTAGTGCCCCACGTCAGGGGGGGGGTGCGGGCGCTGTGGCGCATGATTGCGGATAACGCGGCAGGTGGTGCTGTGTTAACAGCAGCTATCGTGCTCCAACCCCCCGCTCGGCATAGCACCACCCTACTTCCTGCCCCATCTCCATCTCCCCTCCAGTTGCTTTCCAGTAAGTTATCATTAACTTTGTTCCCCCCCCGCCCCCACCCGTTGTCAGCATGAGCCGAATGAACCGCGCCGACCACCCTCCCGCCGCCAGCGCCGCCACCAGCATCGCGGCGCTCTCCGCGTCCCAGTCGGGGTCCAACCGGCGGCGGTCGGCGGAGAGCAGGTTGGATAGGTGCTGGGCGGTGAAGCCGGAGGACTGGGGGGAGGGGGGCATCAACAGGGGTACATATTCCGCGTTAGGCTGGATAGTGGGTTGGTGCGGGGTGCGAGGGGGGCAGGAAGAGAAGGGGAGGGGGTAGCGTTGCAGGTGCGCAGGTAGTGAAGTAGCAAAGAAGGTTAACATGGCGAGAGAGGGAAGCAGCAATGCCGTACATGCCAGTGCCCTGCCGTACATGTCGTACTTGGTTCTTAGATACGTACGGCGCCCTACCTTCAACAGCGCCTTGATCAGCACCAGCAGCGGAGGCGTCACGTGATCCAGGCTCTCAATCATGGCCGCAAGGGCATCGTCCACGAACGCCGCCACCTCCGCCGCCGCAAAGTACTCATCGTCGATCTCAGGCGGCAGCGCCGCCGCCACCGCCACCTCCGCCGCCGCCACGGCCGCCGTGACGGCGGGTTGCAGGAAGAACCGCCGGATGTGATCCGGCGAGAATCCCTCCGCGGACAGCGCTCGTACGACCCGTGTCGTTACCTCAGGGTCGCTTGGGAGCCAGGAAGAAGCAGCAGCGGGTGGAGGAGGAGGTGGAGGTGGCGGCGGCGGAGCCGTTACTGACTCGCCTGCGTCGCCAGCCGCCGCCGCCGCCGCCGTCAATGCATCCGTAACCGGCTTTGCTGTTGCCGCCGCGGCCGCTGCAGCCGCTGCCTTTGCCGCCGCCCCCGACGTGGCATGCTTCCCCAGGTGCGGAGCAATCTGCCGCATCTGCTTCACACTCAGCGCCTTGCACCGCCGACTGACGGCAGCTCGCATCGCCGCCAGCGTCGCCGGCGGCAGCGACAGACGCGACAGCGGTCCGTCCCGCGCCGCCGACACCGCCGATATCGACGGCGGCGGCGGCGGCAGCAGCGACAGCGAAGGCGCGGCGTAGGGCCCATTATCGCCCACCTCGTCCCGCATGCTGAAGCCCGAGGGCTCCATTCCGGGCGCCAGCTGGGAGTCCTCCCGCCCCGCTGTTGCCGCACAGGAGGCGTCGGAGCTGCGGGGCGGGATGTCGCTTACGGACTCACTGGCGATGGGTCGGAGGGTGCTGCTGCTGCTTTCGGTGGGCAGCTCGTAGCGCCTGGTGCGGGGGGCGGGGGGAGGGGGGAAGGGGGGTAATGTTTATGGGGTTGGTCGTCATACCGGAGGGGGGAACGAAGGGCGAATTGCTGTGATTGGTGGCGGTGAGGAGGAAAGGAGGCGACAGCGGTATAGTGGAGGACAGCGACACTTCGCACATGATACCGGTATCGTGGCTGCTCCTGCAGACCACCCCGTCCCAGACTGCACCGCTATACACCTCACTTTCCGCGCCGCCTGGTTTCCTAACACCAACCCATGAGGTTGCAACATGTGCGCCCCCTCATGCGCCTCCCACGCGCCCCCTCCCGCCCTACCCACCCACCCACCCCACCCCCCCACCCCTCACCTGCCCACCGCCACGATATGCGGCGGCAGCGGCGGCAGCTTGGGACTCAGGTACTGGCAGATGTGGAAGGCGGGGAAGCCAGCGCCCGCCAGCACCACCGCCACCTGGGCCATCACATGCGGGGAGGGAGCCGCACCCCCCAACCCCGCACCACCCGCACCCTCCATCTCCACCTGCGAGGCGGACAGCTGCTGCTGCTGCTGCTGCTGCCGCTGCTCCGACACCAGCCCCAGCCCGTCCCAGCGCAGCAGCGACTCCAGCTGCAGCTGCGTGAAGCCGCCCGAGGCCAGCGCGGCCCGTGCGGCGGCTGCCTCGGCGGGGGTGAGGGCGGGCGCGGGGTCGCGCAACTCCAGGAAGAGCTGGACCTCGCTGCCTCTGGGGGGGGGGGACGGTGTGTGTGGGGGGGGTGCGGTTGGGAGGGTGAGGGTGTGTGGTGGTGGGGTGTGGGGGAATGGGAGGCGGTGTCATCACAACCGCATGTCCTACCCGCCCGTGCATGACCTGCACTCCTGCGTGCACCGGCGCATGCCCATGCTCGTTGTGCGCATTTCATCCTGCACCCCTCCAAGCCCTCCCCATGCCCTCCCTCCACCTCCCCCCCTGACTAATGGCGGGGTGGGAGGGGCCGGCTCCAATGCAGCAACCCACCCAGGGTGAAGCCCCCTCGTCATGCAGCTCGTGCGTTTCACCTTTTACCCCCTCCCCCTTACCCCACCCCCCTTTACCCCACCCCCGGCCCCACCTGAACCCCGCTGCCGCCAGCGCCGCCACCGCCCTCGCCACCAGCTCCGCTTCCGCCTCCGGGTCCACCCCTCGCCCGTCCGCCCGCACCAGCTCCATCAGCTCCTGCGCGCTGAAGCCGCTTGCCGCCAACACGGCACGAAACACAACCACGTCACGTGGGGAGAGGTGGGAGCGGGCGCCAAGGGGCGGGTGGCGGGACGAGGGCTGCGTGCCATCGCCGGTACCGGCGGGGGTGGGGATGGCGGAGGAGGAGGAGGCGGGGTCTGGGAGGTGGTGGTGGGGTGCTGATGCGGAGAAGGAGGCGGCGGGCGGCATGAGGAAGGCGCGGATCTGCGCGGGTTTGAACATGGCCTCCACCAGCGCACTGCCGATCTGCGCCGAGCCAAGGGGGGAGGGAAGAGGGGAAAGGGGAAAAGAGGAAAGACATGGAAAAGGAAAGGTGACGGGATGGGGTGGGAGGGGAGGGGAGAAAGGGTTTGGGAGCCAAGGGGGGTGCCCAATGACGTCATCAGACCCCACCCAGCAGCCAGCCTGGTCGATCCCAACACCGATACAGCCCCAGGCGACCCCTCCCTTCAGGCAACCCACCGGTCCTGGAACCACTATACTCCCTTACCTCCCCCTCCCGCGCCTACCCCCCCCACCTCTTCCCCTCCCGCGCTACCCCCCTCCCTCCCCACCCACCTGCGCCACCAGCCCCGGCCCCGCCTCAGGTGACACCCCCGACCCGTCCGGCAGCAGCACCGGGGGCGGCGGGGGGGCGGCGAGGGGCACGGAGGCACTCGCCTCCCGCCGCACCCCCCCGCCCAGCACCCGCCCACTGACCCCCCGCATCCCGCCCGCTGCTGCTGCTGCCGCTGCGGGGCCCACTGCCGCGGCAGCAGCTCGAGCCATGGCTGCAGCCGCCACCGCCGCGGCAGCTGCGGTGGCGGAGGCGGCCTCCTCCTCCGCCCCGCCCCCGCCTGCAGCCGCCTTGGAGCCGCCGCCCTCACCAGCAGCAGGTGCAGCAGCTGCGGCACCCTCCTCCCCGGCTGCTTCTCCCTGCTGCTGCTGCGGTCCCTCAGGCGCCACCGCCTCTCCCTGCTGCTGTGCTGGTGCCGCAGCTGGTGCAGCACCAGGAGCAGCAGCAACAGCAGCAGCAGCCCCCCTCGCTGACACCCCGCGTCCTTCAGGCCCTCCCGCCCCCGCCCCCGCTCCCTCCCCCGCCTCCCCCAGCAGCCCCGCCCCCTGCACCACCGCCTGCATGGCCGTGAGGGCCGCGGGCTGCAGGGGCGCCCGCGCCGCCCGCACCACGTCATAGCGCAGGAAGCGGCGGATGGCGTCGCTGTCCAGCCCGCCCTGCGCCAGGGCCGCTACAACCCGGGCTACCTGGGGGGGAGGAGGGGTGGGGGGAAAAAATTATATAAGTGAAACAACAAGTCCTAATCCCATACCCATATAGGGGAGGAGGAGTGGGAGGGGGGGAAGGGAAGGAAAGTGGAGAAGGGGAGGGTAAAGCAAGGGGTCGCAAGGCCAAACAAGGAGACGGAAGAGAGGGGAGGCGCGGTCTGTGCAGAGAGAGAAGCGATGAGGGGCGGCTAGGGCGCAGGAAGTGACGGCCCCGCCAGCCTCCGGTGCCGGGGGGGGGTTCCAATCCCTCAACCCAAAGCTTTAATGATAACGTGCACTCCTCTCCGTTAGCTCGGCATGAAACCCATTCCCATACATACTCCTGCATCCTTCCCTCTCCCTCTTCCCCTCCCCCTCCCACCCTCCCAACCCCCCCTCCCCCTCACCGTCCCCGCGCCAATCTCGTCCCGCACCCCCGCGCCCCCCTCCGCCAGGACCGCCTCCGCCAGCTCGTCGGGGCTGAAGCCCTCCGCCAGCAGCGCCTCATGACAGGAGGACAGGCCGGCTGGGGGGAGGGGGTGAGGGCGGAGGGGAGGTGGGTCAGATGTGTACCAAAACCACAGGTTAGGGCAGAACAATGAGGGGAGGGGAGCGGGAGGGGGAGGAAGAGCAGGGTTTTTGTGGGTAAGAAGTGAGATCGAGGAGGAATCCTCCAAGTAAGTAAACCCCAACCTACTCCCACAGCCTGTCATCCTCCCCCTCCGACCACATCCCACCACCCCACCACCCACTCCCTTACGCATGCTACCCGATTCCCGAAACCGCAGCAGCCCACTTCCTTCCGCCACCACCCTTCCCTCCCCTCCCCTCCCTCTTGTTTGCTATCATTATTCGACACCTTGGGATTCTTCTTTTCTCACCTCCCTTCCCTCCCCCCCCACCTGGTTCCAGCGGTGGCAGCGCCGCCTCATCCGCCCCGATGGCCCGAACCATCTGAGGTGCGGTGAAGCCGGCTGTGGCCATGGCAGCTGCGGCGTCCGCCAGCTCCTGGGGGGGTGGGGGAAGGAGGGGAAGGGGCAGGGAAAGGGGAGTTAAAGGGCGGGGACGCGAGAGGTGGGATTCTCTAGAGGAAGGATGAGAGGGGACGGACCTGCAGCCCCCACCCCAGCAGCACCCCCGCATGCAACACCCGAATACCACCACACGCCCCACATCACCCCACTCCGGCAGCGCACCGCATGCACCCCAGCAACTACACATCCAACCGACTTGTGGCGGGCGGCAGCATGCGGCCGGGAGCCAGCACGCAGCCAGCCGCTGTGCCGCGCTAGCCGGGGCCCTCATGACTCCGCCACCCCTCTAGACGGGTACCGCGTGCTCCTGACACGCCGTCACCCCAACCCCCCTCCCTCCCCTTCCTACTCCCTAAGGCGGAACATGTATCCTTATTACCCCCCCCCCTCCCCCCCCCCCTCCCCCGCCCACCTGCGGGTCCAGGTCCCGGGCCAGTCCGCACCCGTCCGGTCGCAGCAGCGCCGCCGCGGCAGCCGGGGTGATGCCCCGCCGCCCCAGCGCGTCGATCAGGGCGGCGGAGGCGGCGGGCGCGATGAAGCGAGCCACCTCCAGCGGGGTGAAGCCGCCAGCCTCCAGGGCGGAGGAGACGGTCTGGGGGAGGGGGGAGAGAGGTGGGGAGAGGGGAGTAAAAAGAGAGGAAACTGACGAGCTGTATGCCGAGGCGAGGGAAAGGGAGTGGAGGGGAAGGGGAAATGTGCATGTAAGGGTAAACTCGAAACAAGCTATACCTGTGGGATATACACGTAGGAGGGAGTGGAGTGGAGTAGGCCGCACGCCTACCCCCCAAACCACAGCCCATCGCAGATCTCTCAAACGACATAATAGCCTCACTCAGCTACATAGGTCACAACCCTGATCGGCTCCCAGCCTGCAGCTGGCCATATACCCCCATACACACTTGAACCCCGACTCAGCATCCACCCGCCACTCCTCTGCCCCCCACCCCTCTCACCGCGGACTCGGTATCGGTAGGGGCAACTGACCCTCTTCTGTTTCGCGACAAACTGCTCCCTCTGTCCCCATTGCTTTGCCCTAACCTGTGCTTTTGGTATACCTCTGACCCCCCACCTCACCTCACCCCCCCCACCCCTCTACCCCACCCCACCCCCCCTCCCACCCCTACCTGTATCGCCCGCACATCCGCACTCCACGTGTGCACCGCCGCCACCGCCTCCTCCTCCACCCCCGCAGCAGCCAGCGCCACCCGCATCGCCTCCAGCTGCACCTCACTCAGCGGAGTAGCGGAGGGGCCGGGACGACCCAGCAACAGACCGCCGGCTGCTGCAGCTGCCGCGGTTGCAGCTGCTGCTGCTGCTGCTGCTGGCGACCCCGCACCAACGCTGCCCCCGCTGCCAGCGGATAGCAGCCAGCCGCCCGCACCCCCTGTGGTGCTCGTATCGCCTCCTCCCGCCGCCATCGCCGCCGCCAGGGCCGCCAGCTCCTCCCAGTCGGGCGGGAAGAGGAAGGACACGATGACACCCGTGTCGAACCCGGCGGAGGCGAGGGCCTGGAGGAGATGGGGGTGGAGGAGGAGTGGGTGGGGGGTGGGGGGTGGAGGAGGTGGGTTTGGTAGGCAGGGGGGGGCCCACGCACCGCCGGTAGGTGGGGGGCTCCAAGGGGACAGTGCCAGGTAGGCTGGGTTTCACACAAACGGGAGGAGGGGGTCGCAGTCCCCCCACTCCTGCTCGGCCCCTCAGCGCACCAGTGTGCCGCTATCATGCTGCTATCCCCGCCTTCGCCCTTCGGCACACCCCTTCCGGCCCACCAGCCTTCCGCCTCATTCCCCCCTTATCCTGACCTAATTTGTTGTTTCCTGGTATCTGGTCTTATTTGACGCACCCGACGCACCCCGAACCCCCTTCATGGGACCCCCCCACCTCCCCACCCCCACCCCCATTTCCAGTTAACACCCCCTTTGGGGCACGGGGATGGGCGCGTGGGAAAGTATAGGATAGCTGAGACTGTAGAGGGCAGGCTTGCAGGCGAGCTAAAGCATGTAGGATGTTGGGACTTGACACATGATTGGATGCGAGTTATGGTTGGAAGAGAGTTTGGTTTAGGGCTCCGGTTCATCCGGCACACGTGCGTGTAAGTTGCTATAAGTGGGTTACTTCGCGCCGTGCATCCAGGGAGGGCAGGCGAAACAAAAATTATATGCGTGTTGCTTTGCATTTCGTGACCGGCGGCGCGGCGCATGTCTCCCTAGTGTTACCACGCAAGGCGGCTTCTTCCTCAAGTCGTCTCGGTTTACGGTAAGCAACGATTCGGTAAGTAATTTGCGATGCGTATTATTAGTGCCTCCGAATGCGCTCACTGCATGAGTCGGGATATGGGATTGGGATTCGTTGTTTCACTTATATAATTTTTTACCCCCACCTGCGCCACCCCCCCACCTCCCCACCTTCCCCCCCCACCTGCGCCACCCTGCACACCACCTCCGGCTCCACATCGCTCGCCAGCCCCAGTCCATGCGAGGCAAGCAGGTCAGACATGTGGGCGGGGTTCAGACCGGCACGCTGTACGGCAGGGGGGAGGGAGGGGAGGGGAGGGGGGAAAGGGGGAGGGTAAAGAGGAAACAACTAACTGACTGAGGGATAAGGCGTCAACATGGGTTGCAACACAGAGCCAGCCCGGAGGGAGGGGGAGGGGGAGGGGTAAAGCGGGAGGTTTGGGGGAAGGCGGGAGGGACACGTCCGTCCCCAGCAGCATCGCGCGCACTGGCAGGGCGACACGTGTGTGCTCCAAGGTACGTGTGCTCCAAGGTACTCATTACATTACCAATACCTCTTAACGTCTTACCTCTCACCTCCCCCCCCAACCCCCGCCAGTTGCCTCGTCAGTTTCCTTATTTTTCCCCCTCCCCCCTCCCCCCCCCCTCCCCCACCTGCAGGGTAGCTCGTATGGCGCACAGGGTGGCGGGGTCCAGCATCAGAGGCACCACGGAACCACCACCTTCGCCTCCTGCAGCCCCCTCACCACCGCCCTCACCACCCGCACCCGCCGCAGCAGCGGTGCCTTCCTGCCCGCTGCCGGCACCGCTGTTGTTACCCGCAGTTGCCGCCGCCGCAGCAGCAGGACCCGCAGCAGGACCCCCAGCAGCAGCAGCGCTGTCACCCCCCGCCGGGCCGCCACCAGGCGCCTCAGTAGCGGCGGTGGCAGCGGTGGCGGCAGGTGCCCCCTCCGTAGTGGCAGCACCACCACCAGCACCACCCACCCCAGCACCACCCCCTTCCCCTTCCACAGGCGGGGCGCCGCCGCCGCTGTCACCAGCAGCAGCAGCAGGGGGAGCAGGGGGAGCAGGGGAAGCAGCAGCAGCAGGCGCCCCATCCCCGGTGCTGCTGCGGGAGGCGCCATTGGTGCGGGGGGCAGCGAACCTCCGGCTGACGGGCTTACTACCTCCTCCCCCTCCCCCTCCTGCCCCTGCCCCTTCTCCAGGGCTGGCCTGGCTGTCTGCACGGCTGACACCAGCGGCGCTGTTGTTGTTGTTGTTGTTGTTGTTGCCGCCGCCCCCCAGGTAGTTTTGCGGGTTGTTGTAGCTGAAGCTGCCCAGCAGCGAGCGCAGGTGCCGCGTGTTCATGCGCTTGGCGGTCACCAGCACGCCCAGCAGGGCGCACAGGGAGTGGGGGCCCACCTGGGGGGTGGGGCACGAGGGATGGACCCATGGGTCACCGGACAGGGTAAGGTGCCGGACGTTGACGTTGGCGTTATTGTACAAGGTCTACTCGTGGCAGCAGTGTCACAGAGTGTCACGCATGGCGAGGCCGGTTTCGCATAGTGCCGTACTATTTATTATTACGGAACGGCAACATATGCCGACACAGAGTGTGCATGCGGCAATCTAATGGCAGCAGCAGTCCCCTCCCCCCCAAGCCCTCCCCTAGTACCGGTAGGGGCCGCTAACCAACACTCTACATTGAGGCACCCTGCCGCCTCCTATTCCCATTGAGTTGTCCTAACCTGCGGCTTCCTATGGCATGGTCCTATGGTCTTTGAATACCACCCCCCATCCCCCCCGCCCAAACCCCAACCTGTGGTTTCCTATAGTTCGGTATGGTCTCCGGCCCCCCCCCTAAACCCACCTGCTCCAGCCCCCTCCCCCTCCAGCCCTCCCCCCGCCCTCCCCCCGCCCCGTACCTGATCCATCCCCCGCCCCATCCGCCCCCTTACCGCCCTCACCTGCTCCAGTGCAATGGTTCCCTGCGGTGTGATTGCCGCCTCCGCCGCCGCCCGGTCCGCCCCCAGCCCCGACTCCAACAGCGCGTCCGTCACCGCCTCACGCAGGGTGGCCACCAGGGCGGGGGAGACCACGGGGGGAGGGGGGGCGTGGGGGGCAGGGCGCTGCGAGGGGGGAAGGGAGAGAGGGGGGATGGGGGGGGGAGGGGAGGAGGTGACAGCACAATAGGTTGAAGGGTACCTGGGTAGGGACAGGGGTTTCCGTGATAGGGCATGGTTCCTGGCAAGACGTGAGCGCAGCTACAGGGTGTGGGGTGCTGGGTGCGTCGCACAGGAGGCGCGGGGAACCACCGCCACGACACCACCCCCGCAGCTGGTCGAAACACAGTGCCAGCAACCCTCCCGGCACGACGCCAACCCCCCCTCCCCCCTCCATCCACATGCCTTCCCTGTGTTGCCTGCAGCTGCTGCTTACCCCCCTCCCCACTCTGGTTAGTTCGTTCCTCCCCCTTTCCCTCCCTCTACCTCCCCCTCCCTCTAGTCCCTATTACCCCCCCTCCTCACCTGCGCCCGCTGCCCCTTCCCCCACCGCGCAGGCGGGGCCGCCTTCTCCCCCTTGTCCAACTCCCGGGGTAGGCGATGAGGGGAGCGGGGAGGCGAGGAGGCACCCCCACCCCCCCTGCCCCCCCTGCCGACAACACGACCACCACCGCCGCCGCCGCCGCCTGCTGCTCCTGCTCCGTTACCGTTGCCGTTACCGTTAGCCTGCGGATCTCCGGACGGTGGTTCGGATTCAGCTTCATCAGCCTCATCATCATCAGCAGCGGTAACAGCAGGATGTGGGGGTTGGGGAGGAGGAGGAGGAGGAGGGGGCTGGGGAGGGAGAGGAGGAGGAGGAGGTAGGGCAAAGAGGGTGCTTAGGAGGTTCATGGGGAAGGGTAGGGGGGTGGCTGGTCTTGAGGGGGAGTGGTGGGGGCCTGCGGAAGCAGCTGGGGAGCAGCAGGAGGAGTGCGAGGCAGCGGCCTGTGCGGCGGCGTCGGCCAGACCTGACACCCGCGCCTGGTGGGGTGGGGCGAGGCGGGGTGGAGGGTCCGCCATGCAGCCCGCCAGCAGCAGCGGTGGAGGCGGTAGAGGGCCACCGGGGAGGGAGGGGAGGGAGGGGCAGGGGGAGGGAGGGGGAGGAGGGAGCGAGGGGGGTAAAAGAGGTGACATGGGGGATAGGGAGGAGCGGAGGCGGGGAGGAGGCGGTAGACAAGGACAGCGAAGGCCATTCGGGTGTGGGGAACCAGGAAGAAGGGCATGGCTAGGACTGTAGGAGTGTAGGAGGCAGGGCTAGAGAGGGGAACAGCGCAGCGGCGGGCACCTGCAGGTACCGCATACCGACAGCAGCAGCTCCGAACTGATGTCCTAGCAGCCAAGCAGCCAGGTAGGGGCCGACGGGGGCTTCGGGGTTCGCAGCGGCTACCGCCCACCTCCCTCTCCTCTCTCCCACCCTTCCACACCTCCATCCCTCATGCGCCTTTGTTTAGGGGCATCCAACCCCCTCCTCCTCCCCCTCCTCCTCAAGGTCAGCCCCTTCCTCGCGCATATCCGTACAACACCCATATCCCTCCTCGCCTTCCCACAAACTCTCCTTCCCCCTTCCTTTCACTGTTCTTCCACACACGGCTCCTTCCTTCTTCCCCTCCCCTCCCCTCCCTCACGGCCAGTTTTCTTACCCCCCCACCCTCCCCCCACCCTCCCCCCACCCTCCCCCCACCCTCCCCCCACCCTCCCCTCCCCTCCCCTCCCCCCTCCCCACCCACCTGCATGTAGCGCCTGTTCCGCTCCATCACCTTGGCCCACCAGTCGGTGGTGGCGCGGTGGTCCTCGCTGTCGTCGTCCTCCTGGGGGGGGGGAGGGGGGGAGGGGAGGGGGCAGCGGAGGGGTAAAGGGGGGGGTATCCAACCCGGGGTGGAATGCCGATGTGTGGTGTGCATCATGGCCTACCGGGGGGGGCGGGAGGGAGGGGAATGTAACTCCGCACGGGGGAGGCATGGTGTTGCGCAAAACACCCCCCCCCCCACACACACCTCGTTAACTCCATATCATCATGCCATTGCCCCCATTGCCCACTACCTCCAAGACCACCCCCTCCCCCCTCCACCCCCCCCTCCCCCTCCACCCCCCCCCTCCACCCTCCCCCTCCCCCCTCCCACTCACCGACAGCGCCTTCATCACCGCATCCGCCTCGTCCCCCGCCGCCGCACCCCCGCCACTGCCACCTCCCCCTCCACCTCCACCCCCTCCCCCGGGTACCATTTGCATGGCCCCCAACCCTCCCCCTCCCCCTCCTCCCCCTCCCCCTCCTCCCCCTCCCCCTCCTCCCCCTCCCTGCAGCGCCCGCCCGGCGCTGCTGTCGTACTCGCTCACGTAGCCCCCGCTGATGGGCAGCAGGTGCTCCTCCCGCGCGCCGTACCGCAGCTGGTACTTGCGGAGCAGCTTGGAGAACAGGCCGTGACGTGCCTCCAGGACCTGGGGGGGACAATATACGGTAGACCAAACCATAGGAAACCGCAAATTAGGGCAGAGGAATGGAGGAATGAGACGGCAGGGTGCAGACAAAGGCGGGCTAGCGGCCCCTACCCAAACTGAGTCCTGGAGGGGGAAGAGGGGGAGGAGGACATGAGAGACCCAAGGTACTCACTTCGGGTACATGACCTTAGAGGTATTTGAGGTTTGCATGGCATCACTTTCCCCTCCCCCCCTCTCGCCCCGTCCTTCTTCCCTCCCCCTTCCTCCCCTTCCTCCCTCCCCCCGTGGTTTCCTATGGTTCGGTATGGTCTTTGACCCCCCCGCCGCCCTACCCTGCGGCGGGATGGGCCGGCTCCCATGCACACCCCCATGCCTGCAGCCTACAACAGAGCTCACACAGCTCTTCCGTTTCCCTCCCCTCCACCGCCACCGCTGCCTCCGCCCCTCCGCTGCTGCTGCCGTTGACCCACTACTCCCGCTCCTGCTCCTCCCCGTCCCCCTCCCTTTCCTCCCCCGGCCACCCTCCACCTTGCACTGCTCCCCCCCCTACCTTGCAGCCCCCCTGCCCCCCCCCATCTTGCACTGCTTCCCCCCCCTACCTTGCACCCCCCCCGCCCCCCCCTGCCCCCCCCCACCTTGCACTGCTCCAGCAGCTCCAGCAGGATAACGCAGTAGTCCTCCGCCCCCGTGGTAGGACACCACATGTCCGCCAGCTCGAACAGCGCCGCATGCAGCTGCGGGAACAGCAGGAAGCGCCGACCCTTGCAGTCGTAGCTCCAGTCCTCCTCAGGCTCGTAGCTGGGGTTGGGCTTCAGGCCGAAGCGGGGGAGCAGGGCCTGGTGGGGGAGGGGAGGGGGGGAGGAGAGAAATACCCAATGTGCAGTTTGACAGGGGTAAATTCCCGGTAGGTGACAAGCGAAGGGGGAAGGGGGAAGGGTGGAGGAGGGGGTGAGGACGTCGGAGAGAGGGGATGCTATATGCGAGCCATAACGGCGAGGGGTCCGGCTACGCCACTCTAGCCCTACCGCCCCTCCGCCGGAATGTGCCTCCTACCTACCTATCTACCCACCAGGCCCTCGCTCACCCCTCCACCCCAAGCACCCCCTCCCCGTCCCCTCCTCACGCACAGGTACGCTCCCACACCGCTCCTCCACCCCGCTCCAAATCGTCCTTCACATGCTGGCACCCACACGCCAGCCAGTTGCCAGCTGACACACTACCCCCGCCCCCTCCCCCCTCCCCTCCCCTCCCCCCTAATGCCTAATGCGGAATATGTATCCCCATTAATCCCCTCCCCCCCCTCCCCCTCCCCTCCGCTGTCTCCCCCCCTCCCCCCTCACCCGCTGTATGATTGCCGCCATGGCGCAGTACACGGGCTTGGTCATGCCCCGCTGGTCCACCGGCATCACCCGCTCGTCGTCCGACACGCGCCTGAACGGGTCGGCAGGCGCGAAGGGGGAGGAGGAGGCGGCAGGGGGCGGGGGGGCGGCAGGGGGGGCAGCAGGGGCCCTGCAGGTCAGCAGACACCCCCAGCAGCGGCAAAAGGAAGGTTAGCGATACATGTAATGGAGAGAAACGAAAGTGGTGGTGGTGGCGGGAAGACCGCTGCGGGTCGTCATCTGGTGATGTAGGAGGAGGGAAGAGGAAGGGTGTCCCGATACGCGGGACAGGTTCCAGCCAGGACCAGGTTGGGGGTGATGGGGTTGTCAGCTGGGGCCCTGGGGGTGCCGGGGAACTCTTCCGGAGGGGAATTAGGTAGGAGGGAGGTAAAAGAAGACTTGACTCACGTTTTTGTTCCGCCTGCAAGTCCTGCGTCTTTGTCAGCTACTGGGAAACCAGGAGGAGGGGAGAGGTGTGTGCTTGTGTCGTTTAGGAGGGGGGAGGGCGGTGATGCGGGGCAGTTGGCTAGCAGAGGAGGAGCGGGGATGAGCAGTACCGATGACGTTGACTTCAAATCCCGCCCGTCTCCCTGCGCGCCCCATCCCCCCCTTCCCGCGCCCTGGCTTGACTAATTCGGGATGGGCCGGGTCCCATGTCTACACCCTCCCCTCCCCTGGTGCAGCCCCCTCGTCACACAGCTCCCGTCAGTTCCCTCCTTTCATCCCTTCACCCCCCCCGCCCCCTAACTTGTGGTAACATATGGTTTGGTATGGTCTTTGACCCCCCCCTCCCCCACCCCTCCCCCCCCCTGCCGACTCACTCCTCGGGCGGCAGGTTGCACAGCGGCAGCCAGGACCACCACGCGCGCACCGCGTCACGGAACCGCGGGTCGGCGCGCACCGCCATGCGCTGCGAGAGCGCCTCGGGGGTGTAGAGGGAGGCGTCGCCCTGGGGGGGGGAGGGAGGGAGGGGGGGAAGGGAGGGGGCGGGGAGGTAGTGTGTTTAGGGTTAATAACCACCATGGAGGGTGGGACGAGGTGGGCAGGGTGGAGGAAGAGGCAGGGGTGAGGAGGGATGTAAGAGAGAGGGAGGAGCGACGTGCTCACACTGCAAGTGTGTCACATCTTGTCACCAGCCGTCACCAGCCTTGACCAGTCCTTAACTACAATTTTTGGTTGTACGACATACTTGCCTGTGTTGCCTTTCATATATCATCCCAGTCGCGTTGTGCTCTGCCTAAGCGTATATGTAAGGATCTATCTGCGAGACGACTATCCTAGGTTTCTATCCATCCTCTGTTTTGTCGTTCTATCTACGTCGCCCTATCCCCTGTACCCCTGGTTCTCATGCGTTCTATCCACCCGGCTAGTTCTAGTTTCCTCCTCTTCACCCACCCCCCCCCCCCACCCCTCGTCATTCAGTTTGTCAGTGTTTCTTTATTTTTACCCACCCCATCCCCCCCCACCCATCCCCCCCCACCCATCCCCCCCCACCTGCTGCACGTAGCTCAGCTCCTGAGGGGCACCGCGAGGGGGGGCCGGCGGACGAGGGCAGTGGCAACAGCGCGGAACACAGCGGGGAGGGCGGGGATGGAGAGGGAGGGCAGCACAAGGCAACAATTACAGAACCGGTCACATGTAGCTACCAATTGTTGATCGAAACGAGTTTTCCTGTCAACAGGCAGCAGGCAGCAGCTGCACGTGTGTGTTTGGCTGGAAGCCCCCTCCCAGGCAACCTCCCTGGCCTCGCCCCACCGCTCCCTCGCGTCAGGCGACCCACACAACCCACCTCCCCCCCCCCACTATCACACCGCACATAGGACATTCTTTCTTTTCCCCCACCTCCCAACCCTCCTGCCGCCCTCCTCCTCCACCCCCTCCCCCTCCCTCCCCCTCACCGCCAGCTCCCGCTCGCTGCGCACCGTCAACTTCACATCCAGCACCCCCACCGCCGCCAGACGGAGAGCCTGGGGGGGGGGGCAGAGAGGAACGGGCAGCGATGAAGGGCCGCGGCGCAGATGGGGACAGGAAGCACAGGAAGGGAAAGCGAACGTATGAAATTCCGGTAGGTGTCAGGAGACTACAGGGGCAATGCCTGCCCGCTCTTCCACTCCCGCATCACCCCTTCCCTCCCGCCCCGCCTCATGAGTCCGCTCCTCCCGTCCTGCCGCGCGCAGCCCCCAACGTCCCTCCTCCTAGTCCCGTCGGAGTTCCCGCATCTAACTAACTCGGCCCCACATCACCGGTTGCGCCAACACAACACCAGCGTCACCAGTCTCACCACAATCAGCCACCCCCTGTGTTACCCTGTGCTACCCTGCTTCCTCTATTCCTTGTGTTACCCTCAACGCCTCGCGCCCCTTTCCTCCCCCTCTCCCCCCCCACACGCACCTCCTGCGCTGCCGCCACGTATGCCTGCCTGTCCATCTCGGCAATGTCAACCATCCTGGGGGGCGGGGGGAGGAGGGAGGGAGGGACGGACGGGGAGGGTTGTACGAGAGGGGGGGGGGTGCGGTGGACGGCAAGTGACGGCATGGGACAGGGGTTTAGCGCAGGGCCCATGTGTGTCGCTATGTCAGGCAAGCCAGCGAGCTGTACGGAAGAGAGGTGTCCTTGCGTACCAAAGTTGGGCATGGAGAGGGCCTTGAGGTTGCGCCCCGCAGCCGGGGGGTTCCAGCAGCCCCCCACACCCCCACCCGCGCCAACACCAACGTGGTCACCCCGAACCCCAGTACGGCATACCGCACGTGCACGCACGTACGGCCAGTACGTTCACAGTACGTTTCCACTCGCGGCCAGTTTTCTTAGCACATGGGGTTGTGTCGCAGCGAGCGTAAGCTGCAGGGAGGGGCCTGCCCTTCCCGGCGCCCTCACCTCCCGCCCCATCTCCCGCTGCTCCGCCCACCTGCCGCCGGTCACAGGCCCCATACATACGGACCCCATCCACCTACCGCCCGCCACCCTCCTCCACCATCCCGCCACCCGCGGCCCCACCTGGTAACTCCTGCGGCCGTGTGCTTCAGGAGGTTGCCCACCTCCTTCCACTTCTTAGCCACGATCTGGTTGGCCACCGCGGCCCCCACGCCACGCTGCCCCGCTAGCTTGCTGTGGGCAGCCAGCCGCGCAAGCTGAGCCGCCACCCGCATTCGGGCCATTCCAACCGCATGCGGAGGAAAAGCGCCGCTTGGCTGCTTGGACGGCGGGTGGTCCTTTGAAACATGGTGGTGTAAGCGGGGCCGTGGCCTGTAGACCGGCGGAGGAACGCTGAAGGATGCGGCCCGCAGTTGAGAGTCCTTAAAGGAGGGTCCATGGTTACTTCTTGAAGAACCGCGGATGACGAATCCATCTTCAAACACATCCTGGTTGTCGTAACCTGTATCAAACTGGTCCTCCGTATATTGCGACTCCGCGTGTGAGTGGCGAAAACGCTGCATCGCTATGCTGTTCTATCCGCTAAAGCCGACACAGATATGTTTTAACATGGTGTTTCATTTCTTACAAACCTATATGTGTTGCTGTCAATATAAGGCAAAGTGGTGCATGTTTTAGGAGCAAGCTTTTAAGAACGCAAACGCAGTAGAAAGCGAAATCACGACAGCATTGTGAAGTCATCTAGACTACATACAAGCATCAATTCACTTGCAACCTAACTCGTCGACAAGAGGTATTGCACCCGTTTTCGTACGAGTACATGGAACGAGCGGTTATGGATAGTAAGCACGAAACTGTAGCCATGTAACGTCTTGTTGCTGTAAACGTAAGTGTCTTCCTTACAAGGGTACTGCCAGTGCGCCGGATGCGCGTCATAGCTATGTTACTCCCGTTGCAGTTTCGATTTGTCCTCGTATTCGTTCAGCGGATGCCGTTCAATGCATGGACACTGGTACCCCCTTATTAAATGGTTGTATGAGCGCTGCTTACACCACAGTCACTGTAAACCAAAACTGTTGGCAACGACCACATTTGCATGTCCGAATGTCTTCCGCCACCTCATCCTAATCCCCTCCCCTGGTTAGCCCATCCCACAATGTCCAACACACTCATCTCCAAGAGAGCCACTAGGTTGCATACATCCTCTAAATGGGAGACGCCAGGCCTGATCTGCCCTGTTATTCAAGCCTGTCCATACCACTACGGCCTTGTGCGCCTGCCATGCATTGGACCGCAGTGGCCGTAACCGCAAGAAGCCTTACAAGGGTTTACGTCCACAGCTACCGGCCGCGTGTATCATTATTGTGCTGCTCCGTCAATCTTACAGATCCAGAAAGACTTCTAGCCCAGCCCATAACGCTGCAGGCGCTTTAGGGTATGTGTCCTAGCAGGCATGGCATTTGCGTCGATGCGTGCCTCCCCTGCACACGTTCTTCCAAGTATTGCGGCGCTCGGGAATACTGGTCCCAAGATTCACATGGGACTCATACAGCTCGAAGCCGGGGCGACGTCTGGACGCAAGCTGGACACCAGGCCTGGTAGCTCCTTGCCCATGCCTCTCAGCGCTAGCGTATTTCATGGCTGCTTGGTCCTTGCCGTACGATAGTACATTAGGCACGCTAGCACGGCCAACCAATCCCGGGAAAGAGGCACCTAGGGCTTATTGCAGGTTTGACTAATTAAAGAGTTGGGAGCATGCTTGCACATTATTAAAGGGGTAGCTGGCTGCTGCGAGCGCCATCCCTAATCCTGCAGCATGGACCTAAACCTGGCCATACACTCCGCATGACAACCCTACATATGGCGTTGTTATAAAGATGAGGCATAGCGTAGGGGTCTACCGCATAGAGCGTGCACCTGTACTTTGGATAATGCCTACACATGCGGCCGTTGGGGGCCATCTCCGCATACTGTCAGCACTAGCATTTGATCTAAACCTTTAATTGCAACGGAAATCATAGGTTCCTCCTGGAAATTCGTTTTAGCTACGGCGCGGAAGTGCAGCTTGTCGGGCTGCGACGCATAACCTCCCGGATAGCCTTTGGCGCATGGATAGGTTTGTAGGTTTGTACACAATATGCCCGAATGCGTGCATAATCTTAGACGTACATGCTTCATGTGGTATGCGCCACTACACGAAGTTGCTAACAGTGACTCGCTTAGTTGACGGGTTCATACGTTCCAGCGCAGTGGTAGGATACCAAGAAGATGTACCGGTTTTCCTGTTCACGCGCTGAATGTTTCCCATAACCTGACAACAAGAAACAACACATCGTAGATAGCGGTTGCAGCAGCGCACTGCGATACCGCAAAACTACATGCATGGTATAACAAGCTTGCTGTATCACATATTGACAACGCCCCAATGCTTTGCCTAATTACTCAGGTTCTCCGCTTTCAAGTCTCGGCTCTGGATGGCATGCGTTGCGCTCCATGCCATTAATTTAAGCTTCGCTGCTTATCTCGGTGAGGCGGGCGTGTCACTGCGCTTCTTACCTGTGGGAGATATGTTGCGAACATAGTTGTCCGGTGCGTGATCGCCTGACGCATGCCGGTACTCCCGATGACAGGAGACCGAGGGGCACAGCCCTACGGGCATGTGGCCCCAACAGCCGTGTTAGGAAGCATTGCTCTTAGTAGTGGGCTTCTCCATCCGCCCGCGATGCATGGCCCCTGCAGTCAAGATGCTGGTCAACATCCCCAGTCATTTCAGGGTCAGCATGCCCTTGACCACGTGCTCAGCGGGTGGCACCGGGTTCGGAATGGCAAGGATCGGGCATCAAGATAGGTAATAATGGAAAACAAAAGAATCCCTGTATGCAGGGCGTCGGACGCACACCTGCTAATTGGGTGCTGGAGGGCCATAGTGGGATTAGGAATGGGGCCTGGGGCCAGGTTAGATTTCGACTACCAAGGGGGGTTGGATTGTAGGAATGGGGACCGTGTATGGTCGTGCATAAGTTGTCATATCTGAAGCCCACAGGCGATTGTTCTACGGTCGAATATGGTCAGTAGCCCGCCTGAGCCCACAGACGATAACCACCTGCGCGGTCTGCCTGGGAGAATGCTTGTCAAAAAGCTTGGGAGCGGCTGTGGAGATCCTGGCACCGGTCGCCGATGTACAGTATGTATGATTTGTGCATGTGCCGGTAAGGTTGCGCCATTCTGCCCATTCCCATGAGTAGAGAGCCTGGGGTGCATGGGGCGAGTTGCCTGTACTCCAAAACCTTGCTTGCCGTCGAGCGACCCACGGGCCAGATGCAGCAAAGCCCGTGGAAAGGGCGCAGAGCATCCCCACAGCATCACTTGATGGGGTGCAATAGGCTGATAGCCGAAGGGGCGGACGTCTAAAACCTATCTGGCGCGGACAGGCAGCCGTAGAGCGAGGGTTCTAAGCAGAAGCGTGTTGCGGGTGCTGTCGGGTTAGTTCTTATGGCTTGGCATGATGTCCAGCTGACTACCGTAGCATGACATAAATGAACGTGTGACAGCATTGGAGGGTCTTACTACTAGCGACATATCGTAAAAGAACGACCTGCCTCACCAACGACCTAAATTATCAACCCTGCAAGCTGCGGTGGTGGAGGGGGGGGGGCAGCATTTGGCGGCAGCTGTTTCACAGGCGGCGGCGGCAGGCCCACCAGTGGGCATCCGATGCGGCACCGGGTGGCAAGACGTGGGATCGGTAGTCCGGGTTGCCAATTGCTATGCGCTACAGACGCCACGGGCTGTTAAAGGAGAGGTAGCGGTATAACAGAGCCTGGATTGGGATAGAAGCTGTTTTGGGAATGGGGTGAGCCGGGGAAGGTTGCTACTGGCATTGAGGGCTGGTGGTTGGGGCCTTACTAGCAGGGTTTGGCACAGTCTGGGACAACAGTATGAGTCCATGCGCAGCAGGAAGTATAGAGGATGTAGGGGAGGATATAGCACATTTGGCGCCATGTAAGAGCAACCGCCCAGACCAACGGCCGGATCAGAGCGCTTTAGGACGGTTAGAGCCTAGAGCAGGCCGTGTATTCTAAGTACCTCCCGCTGCATCCTATGTGTCGTATCCTGAAGATGTGGTTGGGTGCAGCTGGCATTGGACACAAGGTACTGCACTACCCGAGCCGGTTAACCGAGCAAGCAAGGATAACCAAACAGTACACACAGCACCAGCAAGGTCTCTCCTTCCCTTAGGACGATCCGCGACCGCATGTAGTTTTGCAGTGGTATTATGGTTACCGGACAGGTGCCGGCCACTTAACCCTTGAGCGCTGCTTACAGGCTTCGCGGTCGCGGTCGCCAGGCTTTCTGGGCATCTTTCTGTGGTTGTCGAACGCAGTGATTTACTGTTATAAAGCACCAGGCTACGTAAAGCTTAGCGCCAGGAGCTGTCAAACTTCGCAGTGCAGTACGTGGCTGTACATGGCTCATGCCTCCGTCAGACGAGACAAGTATGATGGCCCAAGCTTAGTTAGTAGGCACTACGTTACCTCATTAGAAACTGCTTCTGAGCCGCAAAGTTTATTACGGATGACCTGCACTATGTAAGAAGGACCTTATTATCGCGCTAACGTTTCCCAGCGCAAGGCGGCTCTGGGAGTTTGCTTAGACTAAGAAAGCGGAATGGTGCAGCTATTGAAACTTTGTAGGGGTTAGGAGCCGTTGTGAGGCAGTGAGAGACCTGCAAAGTGGAATAAACTGGATAACTCGAGACAAGCCTAATGGGCTGCTATCATGCTAAGCTAGCCACAAACGGAGAAAAAGACAGTACGCATCGGCGGCGGGGTGCTCCCAAGGTAATGACTGGACATTGCCTGGATATTACGAAGCTGTGGATCGAGTGCGTTTTAATCGCTTACTATATTCAGTTAGAAGTTATCTATTGCATGCTTACCCGTTTCTCTGATGCATTGATAGGCACGCTTCCTTTCCGAACCGGTTGGCACTGTCCTTGGGACGCTAGCGTCGCCAGGAAACCCGGCGCAAATTGGCGTTAAGGTAAGCTTTCTGTAAGTCTAGGTGCTCGTTGCTTATCTTTCAGCTTAGCAGTAGTTCACCGCTACGCGCATTTTGGGTTACCCTCTTCTGGCATTGCAGTTATGCGGTGCGGCTGCAGCTGGTGATGCACACGCTTCCTCCCTGCTGTATAGCCGGCTTGTGGTGGCGCGAGGCCATATCCTTGCAGCTGTGTTTGAGGACCAGGGTTCACCGGCTTCGGCCGAGTACTTTCGCCAACACTCCTGGGATACTTTCTTACATGTCCTGGGCAATTCAGAACCGGTCCCGGTAGCTGCGGCGGTAAGCGGCGGCATTTACTATGGCGCATTCTGAGTCATAACCTTACCGTAGACCTGTTTGCTTGGCCGCTTTGTGGGGCTTTTGCCATCTTAAATTGTTCAGTCCTTTTCCCACATGCGCCTCGTAATCATTCCAGTTGCAGTCCGTGTTGACATGACCTCTCCACCAGCCACCGGCCCTGTTGCCATACATGCCGCTTCTGCTTCAACGATGCCTACCGTGCATATGTGTGCCTCTGCCGCCAACCGCTGGGATTGCTTCTTGTCCGCTACTACTCCCACCCGCTCCCGCAGCTGCAATGCTTGGAGCAGGGTTACCTAGCTAGCATCGCCACAACCGCCGGGGATTCGGACTCAGCCAACCAACGGCAGCAAGCAGCCGCAGATCATGGTCAGCAACAGCATCACAATCTCGCGCCCTCACCATTCCGCTCCAGCAGTGCCACCCCCACGGCCGCTGCAGCTGCCACGAACTGCGATGGCAGCAGCAGCAACGGCGGTGCTGCCACCGTCACGGCCACAGCCGCTGCTGTCGCCGCTCCTGTCAGCTGCAGCGTGACGATGGTTCACCTTGACCTCACCTCACGCACCCTCACCATTGCCTCGGCGGGGCCACCGGGCGTCGTGGCACTAGGCAGCACTGCCGCAACCAGCGGGCGCAGCAGCAGCAGCATTAACAACGGAGCTGCTGCTGCTGCTGCTGCTTCCAATGCTGCTGCTGGCGCCATGGAGGGTCTGGGGCGGGCAGGGCCGCCTGCATCCCAGCAGCGGCGGCAGCAGCAAGCGGGCCATGGTGTGGCGCATGGGGAGGAGTGCGGGTGGGGCGGTCGTAGCCTCAGTCGCGTGACGGTGCTGGAGGCTCCTGGCTGCAGTGGCGGGAACAGCAGGTGGGCGGGGGGGGTCGGGTGGATGCCACCTCCTATAGTGCATCCCAGCGGGGCCGCATGTGGGGTGGTTATGGGGCAGGAGTGTCGCATGCCGCAAACGAGGAGGTGTTTCTCTGGTTTGCTGCCGGGAACGGAAAGAGGATCCCGTAGGAGCCATCCTGGGCTCGTCCTTCCCTACTGAGAGTCCCCTCAAGAGATAGCCCACAGAGGCCTCATCCCAACCACGGCTGGCTATGGCATGGCGGCTGTGACGCCCCACCGTAGTAATCACCCTGTACGCCCTAAACCCTTACTGCTCGCGCCCTAAACCCGTACTGCACCCGTACTGCAGGCATGTCGTACCAGCCGCTCCCGAGGCTCCTCCTCAGCTGGTATCCCAGCAGCTCCCCTCCTCGCACCTTGAAGCAGCCTCCGGACCGTCTGGATTTGCGTGCCCCTTGGCGCCCTCGTCCCTAGCATCCAGCAACGGGAGACGCAGCAGCGCAGGCGTCCCGCGCGTGCCTGACCCCTCCTCGGCAACCGCAGGGGCGTCAGGGGCCCCGACGAGCCGTTTTGCCGCCCCAGCATCATCGGCACCGAGCAGCGGGCCGGCGTGTGGCAGCGGCAGCGGTGTGTGGGTGGGCGGCTGCGAGGTGCGTGTGACCTCCCGGCTGCTGGCTCCGGGGGATGAGTGCCTGGTGCTGCTGGCTGGCAGCGGCAGCGGAGTCGTCTGCAGCAGCCGAGGCAGCGGTGGTGGGCTCAGTCGGCCCTGCAGCTCCCAAGAGCTGCGGAGACACCACCCGCAGCAGCAGCGGCAGCAGCAGCTGAAGGCGGTGCCGCACGGAGGCCCCGCGAGCGCCCTGAGTGCTGCGGATGCGGTTCTGCTGGCGCATGAGGTGGCAGCAGCGGCGGCGGCGGCAGCAGCAGGAGCAGGAGCCGGCAGTGCCCACCCGGTACTGCAGGGCCGCCCTAACTGCCAGAGCTCTGGGCAGGGCTGCCAGCATCAGCACCAGCAGCCAGAGGTTGGGTCCTCGTCCTCACCCTCCTCGCCCGCATCGCGGCTGGAGGTAATGTACGACAGCTTGCATGAGGCGGGCAGCGATAAGGCCGGGGAGAGGGTTGATGCAGCTTCTGCGGGTGCAGTCGGTCGGGGCGGCGGCAGCAGCAGTGCAGCTGCTGTTGGGAATCGCTGCGCGCTAGCTGTGGCTTCGTACGCAGTTGCTGCAGCCTCAGCGGCAGCCGGGGGGGCTGATGTGGAGGAGTTGGCAGGGGGTGATCACCGGGCTGCGGGTTCTCTTCCATCGCCTGCCTCTTGCTCCCCGCCAGCCGCGTCCTGCATTGTCCTGTGGCTTGACTGGCTCTCCACAGAAGGGGTTACCACCACCTCTCACACAGGGCCCATGATGCCGCCGGCGTCACCGGCGGGCCAGCGATGGGCGCTGGTACGCGGCTACTGCCGTTTCCTCATTGCCCGGCGGCGCCGTATCCTCGCAAGCTGGCACCTCCTGGCTACGCAGCTCATGTCCCCTGCAACCCCGCTGCCGCCGCCGCCTCCGTCAAGAGCGCCCCATCGGCACGGGAAGTCCCGCCTAGCGCAGCTCTTGTCGTCCGTGTCGCCCTTCTCCTCATCTACTGCCGTACTGCCGATAACCAGCGGCCCCGGCGGCGGCGGCGCCTCCTCTGGGTCCCATAGCATCGGCATTGAGGGCGTCATGGCAGCAGTAGCAGCAGCAGGCAGCCGCACGGCGTCGTTTACCACCAGCCGCCCGCAGATCATTACCACAGGCGCCACGCGCGACGGCGGGAGCGCCGAGGCTCCCGGCAGCCGCACGACATCCTTCACCTCCCGGGCACCCGTCATGATGGAATTTGTGGAGGAGCGATCCACGCCGACACTGGTACCGCTGAAAGCAGCCGCCGTACGCGCTGCCGCTGCGGCCGCCGCCGCCGCCACCACCATCAACTCCACTGCTGCCTGCCCTGCGAGTTTGCCTACGTCCACTGCCGGTGTCGTCGCCGCCGCCACCTGCGTCTCCGCCAGCGTCACCTCCGCCATCGGCGCCGCCGCCACCCTGGACGAGTCGCATCTGGACTCCGCCGCTGCGCCGTACGGCATCAGCGGGCTCGTCATGGCGCCATTGGGCAGCTCGGAGGAGGAGGTTGACGACGATGGCGAGGCTGGCGGCAGTGGCATTGTGGTTGGGGGCCTTGCGTCGTCGCCGACTGCCACGATCAACCTCATGGGCAGCGGCGGTGATGGTGCCGGGGTTGCTGCTGCAGCCGCTGGGACGCCGGCCTCGTCTCATGCTGCCCTCACCTCCGCCGCCCAGCACCAGCACCACCGCGGCTCCGTGCACCCCCTCCCAGGCGGCAGTGGCATGTACGGCAGCAGCAACCACCATGAGGTCGCGGGCCTGCGGGCCACTCGCTCCAGCCCCAACCTGTATGCTCCCGGGAGGCCCCGGTTGCGTGGCAGCGGGCAGCTGGCGCAGGAGCAGATAGGGGTGGGCGGGGGAGGTTCGGTGGTGGTCCTGGAGGAGGAGGACGGCGCCTCGGTTGCGGCCACGGAAGACATGGCTCAGGCGGAGGCGGTCGCCTTTGCGCGCAGGAGCGCGGGCTACGGCCCCTACTCGGCTAGTGCGGCTGCGGGCGGGGAGGCCGGGGGTGCTCCCGGAGGTGGAGGCGGCTCCTCTGGTGCCGCTGCAATCGATTGGTCGCTGGTCATGACGTCCATTGGGAGTAACAGCAGCGGCGGCGGCAGCAACCACTCTGAATCCCAAGGCCTTAGCCTGGCGCTGGCCAGCAGCGTCAGCAACCCCCTCAACTCCCACTCCGCCGGTAACACGCCCATCCCCTCCGCCACGGTGAACAGGCTGCAGCACGGTCCGGCGCAACCCGACACCATGCTACGACTGGCTGTCGCCGCCGCTGCTGCCGCGCGCGGCGGTAGCGGCGTCAGCGGTAGCAGCGGGGTTGCCTCACCAGCTCGCCGGCAAGGCGCCGGCCGGAGCAGCGGCGCTGACGGCTTTATGCAGCGGCGCGCGCCTCAGCCCCTGTCGCCGCATGTATCTCGCGGTGGCGGCGGCGGCGGGGGCTCGGTTTACTTTACTTGGAACGGTGCGGGGGCGACGGGGCCGTCTGGGGGCTTGTCTCCTCCTTCAGCTGGTGGGCGTAGTGGTCAGATGCCGACTGCTGCGGAGCCGCTGCCGCCAGGTGCGTGGTGTGGGTGGTGCGGGGTGATGCAAAAAAGCACCGGGGTAACAAGCACGCTGTGTCGTACATGTAGTGGGTTGCGGGTGGGGAGCTGCTGGTTGGAAGTTAGGGGCGAGTGTCAAACTCCATGCTTGCCCGTGTGTCCCCCGCAGGCGTGCTGCTGGGCCGCTCCTCCACCGGCGACGGCATGTCTCCCCAGCCGCTGCCGGACGCCCCCGAGGCCGAGCTGGACCCCCTCAGCGAGGACCTGCCGCAGCTGCGAATCGAGTCCACGGCGGAGCTCGCGGCGCTCATGGCGGAGATCATCATCACGGAAGACGGGGAGGTGCTGCGGACAGGCGGGGGAGGAGGTGGAGGAGGTGCGTCCGCCGCCGCAGCCGCCGCAAGGTTGACGTCCGCGTACGGCAGCGGCCGCGGGCACCACCACTCGCACATGCAGTCGGGGCACAAGTCGGCTCGGTCGCTGAGTCGGCAGGGCAGCCGGGGCTGGCAGCCACGGCTAGCGATTGTGCGGGAGGACGCGCGGGAGGCGAATTGCAGCAACAGCTGCGGTAACGTGACGGGAGGGTCGGGTGAGGGGGCGCGCTGTCCGACCATATCGGAGGAGCGCGCGTCGCAGAGCAGCAACAGCACGGTGGAGCAGACGCAGGTGCGGAGGGGGAGGGGGCTTCGGAGCTCTGATGAAGAAAAAGCGGGTGCAGTTGGGGGTAATAGTTGCGGGTACTAGTTGCGGCATCGCGATCCCTCTTATGTAGCCCTGTGTTTTCCGTCTCCTGAGAGGAGCTGCTCTCTCACCGTCCACGTGCTCCCCTGTCATGTGCTCACACCAGCTCGCGCCTCCTCACGCCTCCTCCTTGCTGTCCCCCACCCCGCACCCCCCAGGGAAGCCACTCGGAGCCCAACAGCGCCGCCACCAACACGCAGCCCTCGCACGCCACCACCCGCAGCGGCGGCAGCCCCGCCAGCAGCGCGGAGGAACCCGGGGGAGCGACAGCGACCTCCAACGGCGGCAGCAGCAGCAGCGGCGGGAGCGGTAGCTGCGGGGAGGAGCCGAGCGGCAGCAGCAGCAGCCGCGCAGCTGCATCATCACTATCCCCGCCTGCGCCGTTACATGTCGTTGCAGTGCTGTCCGCTGTCGAAGCCGCAGCCTCTGCCGTTGTCCCCGTTGCTACGGGGCCGGCGGCTTCTGCTGACGTCTCCTCATCTGCCACGGGGGTCGGGGTGGCAGTCGGTAGCAGCCTGCTGGCGTCAGCGACGCCTGGCTCACCCACACATGCGCATCTAGAGCGGCAGTCACTAGCAGGCAGCGGTGCCCAAGCATATGCGGCGCTGGCAGGCAGCTATCCCTCCTCGCTCCCAGGCTTCGCCGCCACCGCCATGGGTGGTGCTACCATGGGTGCTACCCCCGCTGCTGCGTCTGCCGCCACCGCCGCCGCCGTCCCCTTGGATCCCTCCTCCTCACGCGCGTTGGCATCCGTGGGACCTTCTGGTAGCCTCGCGCTGCCGCTACCACCGCTTCCGCAGCAGTCCGAGCTGCTGCCAGGGGACTCGGAGCGGTTGTCGCCGTCAGCCAATGGCTCCACCTCCGCCGCCACCGCCACGCTTGCCGACGTGCTCAGCGCGCTGAGCCCCTCTCTGGACCGGGAGCGGTTGGCGGAGGAGGCCGGCGGAGGCGTCACGCTGGCCAGCGCCGGCGGCAGCGCCGGTCGTGAGCAACGCAACAGCCATAGCGGCGTATTGATTGGCATTGAGGCGGAAAGCCCCTCCATGCATGCTCCCTGGCAGCAGCAGCAACAGCAGCAGCGGCAGCGATTGGCGTCACCCGTAGCGCTGGTTGCGGCGACGACGACGGCGGCGGCGTCCACTCGCATGTCTCCCTCAGCTCGCGCTGCGTTGGCGGCGTGTGCCACGCGAGCGAGTGATCCGTCATCTCCCACCGCGTTGCCAGTGCGCGGGGGGCTTACAGCGGCGCCGTCGCCGCCGCTGGTGTCGCCGTTCACATCCCGCGGTGCCTCCGGTGGCGGCCACCGAGCGGGGCGGGGTGTGGGTCGCTCTCGCTCGCGATCCTCCACGGGCCTGCCTTCCATGGTGGCCGTCGCGGCCGCCCTGGGGACCGCCGATGACGCCGACAGCAGCAGCGGCAGCGGGAACGTGGGCGCTGCCGCCGCCGTCAGTGACGTCGGCGGTGGCTGGCGGCGACAGCGGCCGACACTAGCCATCATAGGCCGCTCGCAAAGCGCGCTAGCCGGGAACTCCTCCCACCACCGCCATCAACATCATCACCACCACATGATGCCGCATGGACAGCACAGCTCGCCGTACGGCAATGCCAGCGCATCCGCCTCCGCGGCCGCCGCTCGTGGCGGCAGCGCAGCCGGGCCTCATGCGGCCTCCCACCTTGCAGCACACGGTCAGTTACACCACCATAGCCCCAGGCACGCACTCCGCGGCGGTGGCGGCGGCGGCGGTGCACGCGTCAGCGGCGGCGGCCTCAGCCGGCACTTGTACGGCCTGGCGGAGACGCCGCCGCTGGTGGCGGGTAGCGTCGCCACGACCACATCCGCTGCGCCCGCCAACTGCGACGCCACGATTGCCACGACGCTGGATCGCTCCTGGTCCGCCAGCAGCACCAGCGGGCCGCTGGGCAGCCTGCTGAATTCCACCCTGTCCAAGAGCTCCATCACGGGGCTCGTCACCACCGCCCTGCAAACGCCCGGCTGCTCCTCCGCCCATGGCTCTAACACCCGCCTGCCTACGGTTGGCTCCTCCGCTGCCATTGCGGCATCCACCGCCTGCGCGTCTTCTGTAGGGCCAGCTGCTGCCGTGGTTTGTTTTTACAACAGCAGCAACAACAACGGAGCTGCGGGGCTCAATGCGGCAGCCAGTCCTGCGGTAACCGTCAGCGCTCAGCGGTCCGTCGCCGCCACCGCAGCCTCAGCTGCTGCCGCTGCTGCGCCTCGCAGCTTGGCAGTGCATGCCACTTTAGCATCCAGGCAGCCCCCAGCTACTGCACAACACCTAGCAGGGGATGGCAGCAGCAGCAGCAGTAAGGGCGTTCTGGGCGGCTACAGTGTCGGCGGTGCTGGTGCTGATGCTGGTCGAGATGCCGGAGTTACAACCATTCCAACATCCACTGCATTCGCTGCCGCCTCGCAGCCGCAGCAGCAGCAGCCGTACCTGCCTCCCTGGGTGCTGGTGGGTGGTCCCGCGGGGACTGGCGCTGACAGCAGCGACACCAGCACGGCGGGGTCGCCCGCTGCTGGGGGCGTCGGGTACTACCTCGCAGGGCAGCAACGAGCACTGACCCCGCCGCCGCTTTCACACACCGCTGAAGTGGAAGCACATGTCGGCGGCGGCGCTGCAGGCGCTGTGGGCTCAGAAGCGGCACCAGCATCGGCTGGCAACCCGCTGCCACCGCCGGCATCCTCATCGGCCGCGTACGACGACAGCGCCGCGCAGATCCGCTCCAGTCACACTTCCCGCTCCGACGCGAGCGTGTGGAACAGCACCAGCGTGTGGAACAGCACCACCACCAGCACCCTCAGCCGCACGGCGGAGATGTCCTTCCTCAACGGCAACAGCAGCCGCCGCGTGAACGGCCTTGTCGGCGGCGGCAGCGCTGGAGTCAGCGGCGCCGTCGCGGGCAGCAGCCTACTGGGTCTGCAGGGCATCGGCATGGGCGGTGGCGGCGGCGGTGACACCAGCGGCCTGATGCGCCTCAACGCGGCGTACGGCAGCATGAGCGGGCTGCTGGTGACCATGGGGGACATGAGCTGCGGTGCGGTCGGCGGTGGTGGCGGCGGCGGCTCTAACACGCATCTGCTGACGTCGATGACGTCAGCGGGGGCGGCGGCGGTGGGAGCAGGAGGTTCTGGGTCGCTGGTATCGGCCCAGGCGCCCTGCATGCAGCCGCTGACCTGCAGCCCGGCGCAGGTGGGGGCGGCCCGGGGGGCGGCTGCTGTTGGCGCCTCAGCGGCTCCTCCCCGCCTTATGGACCCGTTGCTGGTGCCGCCGCCGCCTCCGCTCACCACAAACCACTCCCACCAAGCCGTTGCCGACACCGCCACAGTCGGCGGGCCCTCCCTCCACCACCAGCAGCAGCAACAGAGCCCGTCACAACAACGCTTTCTGCATGCCCCCACGACCACACACACCGGGTCATACCAGCCTCCATCGCACTCCCAGCCACGGCCTGTTCCTCCACCACTGGCCGGCCATCCTCACCCTCACCCCCCGAGCCCCTTCCACCAGCAGCACCACCAGACGACTGGCTTGTACTTCAACCCGCCCTGCTCCTCCTCCGCCTCCGCTGCCGCCGCCGCTGCTGATGCTTCCGCCGGCGCTGCCCCGGCACCTGCAGCAGCGGGCCCCAGCTTGTACGACAGCAGCGGCAGCGTCAGTTACTCCCACATGGACGCCTTCCTGCAGCAGCCAACGCTGGAAAGCCCCTCCTTTGACCGCATGTCGTACGGCGCCATGCTGAGCCCCCACCTCGCAGCATCCGCTTCCACCCATGCGGGCTTCCTGGGGGGCCTGCTTGTGGCGAACGCCTCCCGCACCAGCGCGGGGGGCCCGGGCGCCAGCGGTGGCAGTGTCAGTGCGGCCAGCGGTGGGGACAGGACGCGTGCGGCACTGGGGGACCAGGCGGTGCTGCTGGGGAGCAGCGGGATGGATGTCATGCAGGGTGAGGATGCGTTGTGAGGTGGTGGGGGCGAGGGGTGCAACGCGGTGTGAGACAGGTGGTGGTGGGGTTGGCGGCCGGTGTTGTTTCCTGTTGCTGTTGTTGACGCTGTTTTGGCGGTTTTGGGTTGGGAGGAGCTGTGTGTTGTGGTGCGGTTTCAGGCAGGTATGTGTAGGGCGGGTGGGTGCGGTAAAAGCTGTGACGGGGTGTTGGGTTGACGTACGTGATTCGCATGCAGGTTGTCGCTGATCAAGTACCCGTCTGTCCCGCCGCTTGTCGAGCATGGCGGCGGTTGCGCGTTGTGGTGGGATTGGTGGTGCGTTCATGGCACCGGCGCAAGAGCAGCTATGTTTCTTGTGCACCATGCGGTGCCGGAACCGCCTGTTTGTTGGAGAGGAGGGCCATGGACTCCATTTGCTTCTCGTAGTATGTGTGTGCGTTGGTGTTGTTGTTGCTGCCACTGTTGCGGCTGGCTATTGCTGTCTTTAGTCAGCCATGGGGCCAGGGGGGGGGTCTTTCATTGCCGGCCAAGTGGGCCGTATGTTGGTACATTGGATTGGGGTTGTGAAGCTGTGAGCCAGCCAGCAGGTCCTCGCATACTGGCGCTGGTTGTGCTGGTTTGCTCTCATGGAGCAGAGGGAGGGAAGAGTAAAGGAGGGGGGCGGCAAAGGAGCACTTGGACTAGGAGCACTTGGATGGTGGAGGGTTTTTCTTCATCCACGTCCGTATTGCCGTACCAGGGGCTGCACTACCGTTGTGTATGAAGGAGGGCAGGGCTGGTCACGGCAACGGTGTGTCAATGGCCTTCAATCGGGCACAGTTACTATATACCTCCATTTGTTCATTTTGGGAAAAGTGTATGTATACAGTTGTGCAAAAGTCCCGAGTGCGGTATGCACGACGTGCTACGTGCGGTATGTACCGGTGGAGTTCACGTGTGGGATCAAGTAAGAGGACTGCGGGGGTGTGGACAATGTCTCGCTGCCGGGCTGTGGGGTATGGCTTATGGGTTAGCTGGGGCTGTAGGTGCTGTCGTGAAAGGACTTCGAATGCGGTTCCGTCCAACATTGCTGATGGTGACAATTCTGGTCACCAAGCACCAGTGATTACAGTTGTTTTGCCGAGGAGGCCCTTTGCAAACACGCCCTTCACTGCTCTACATGCGCACTACAGAGAGAGAGCTGCACGAGGGAGGTTTGTGTTAATAGCACAGGCCAGACTCTTGGGGTTTCAGCAGACGTGAGGCGGGGGGCTGGAGAGGTGTACGCATTTTTTTATCCTGCTGCCCTTCCAGCCAGCAGCTCGCATGCTCCTGGGTATACTTGTGTGGGAACAGAGACATGTGCGTGCGCGTTGCTGTGCTAGCATCGGTGTTGGGGGGAGAGGGGGGTGGCGGAAACGCGCCGTACTACAATTGCACATTGCCGAAGGCTCTGAATGGAGCGTGAGCGCTGGGAGATGAGAGGTTGTGTGACCGGCCGGATGTCCCTGCCAGTCTTCGGATTGATGAACGCGGAGAGGTTTGGTTGCGTGATACAACAACGACGCAGGCACGTATGGGGCATTTGCTGCCGCCTGCGCTTTCGGTGCCTCCCCATGTGTCATGGTTGGGTTTTGTCGGTTGTCGGACTATCGGGGGCGTTGGTAAGAAATAGCGGACGCAACTCAAAAGGAAAGTAACGGATGCTGCTAAGGGGATTCTGCGCGTGTCCCATCTTGTTAAAGGAAACGAGCTCCAAGGTATTGTCAGCATCGCCGATAGGGTTTGCTAGGGTGGATTCTAGTAGCAGGCACGCTCGCTTTTCGCTAATGGACATTGTCTGCATTTGCAATACCTCGCTTTACTTATTGTTGGCGTTTGGTGGTCGATGAATTTGTTTTGGCGGATTGTTTTATGTCTTAATGGCAATCCCAGTGATGATTGAGCTTCAACCACTTAGGATTTTCGCCTGAGATTTGCTCTGCCAAGACAATGTGCCTGTAAGCATTGATGGCTAATATCGAGAGATTTGAGACGCTACATGGCTACATGGCAACCCCATGTGATCACCCGTCGCAACATGGCCTGGCAGAAGGCAGAAACGGGTAGACCATGCCTGGCAGTGCATGGGAGTGCAATGTGCCGGAACGGAATCCAGGATTAAGGGGAACAAGACTGCAGGCCTTTTGTTACACACTCATCTCTCCACAAAATTGGCTGCCGACGCGGTTAGGCGGTGGCAAATTTAGGCAGAGGGGGTGAACTTGGTGGCGAAGGCGAAGGCGTTGTTGACGCCGGGGTTGGCCAGGTGGTCAGCCAGGTTCTCGAGGGGGCCCTTGCCGGTCACGATGGCCTGCACGAAGAAGCCGAACATGGAGAACATGGCCAGGCGGCCGTTCTTGATCTCCTTGACCTTCAGCTCGGCGAAGGTGTCGGGGTCGTCAGCCAGGCCCAGGGGGTCGAAGGACTCGCCGGGGTACAGCGGGTCCAGGCCCTCGCCGGCCGGGCCGCCATTCACACGGTAGCCCTCAACCAGGCCCATCAGGATGACCTACGTGGGGTTGGTGGAAACAGCGGATGTTGTGAGCATGAATAAACCGAAACAGAAATGTTGTTGAAAACAGAAAGCAAGAAACAGAAAGCGGCAAAAGTTGAAGCAAGGAAAGGGAGAGCGTTCCTATATATAAGCATGTAATAATCAGCAGCGAAAGGGATTTTTCTCGACTGCGATCGCACCTGGCAGGCCAGGGTGGCGACGATGTTCTGGGCGTGCACCAGCGAGGGGTTGCCCAGGTAGTCCAGGCCGCCCTCCTGGAAGATCTGGGCGCCGGCCTTGAACCACACGGCCTCGCCGAACTGCACGCCGTTCTTGGCCAGCAGCTCGGGGGTCACGCAGCCCAGAGCGCCAAGCATGGCCCAGCGGGCGTGGATCAGCTCCAGCTCGCGGTAGCGCTTGAAGGTCTCGGGGTCAGCCGACAGGCCGGCGGTGTCCCAGCCGTAGTCGCCGGGAAACTCGCCGGTCAGGTAGGCGGGGGTGGCATTCTCGCTGTAGGGGCCTGCACAAAGCGGGAGGTGGAGTAAAGGTATGGATTAGTTGGTCGAAAGGGAGCGAGGTCAAAACGGTCCAAGCATGTCGAAGGTGTTGATCACATGGAAGGCAAGCAGTCGATCAAATGACAGATGGTGGTTACTAATGACATACGCACAAGCTAATTTACGGAAAAGTTAACGACAGATGAAGAGCGACTAAAGATCTTACCCAGCCACTTAGCGCGGTTGGGGCCGTAGAACTCCACACCGGCAGCGGGGGCGGGCTTGGCGGCCTGCAAGGGTAGAGAGGGGTGGCAGTGAGATAAGTGTAAGGCGCAAGCTAAGGAAGCTAAGATGATTCTATTGCAACGTCGGCATCAAGCTATTGGGGAAGCCATGTGAGTGCGAAGACGAGCATATTGACGTCGCTCTGTCACGACAAGACTGGATATATGCAAGGAAGTGGAGCGCCGGTTGTTAGGACTATATATGCATGGTGCGCTAGACGGCCGCCCATCACATCAGGCACTTACGGTCTTGCCGGTGCCCTTCTTGGCCGAAGCCTTGGCGGACACCTGCAGGAAAATAGAGGAGCAAGTGGTGTTAGCGCCGTGCGCTAGTTCGTCTCCACTGGGAAAGAGTCCAGTCGAACAACTCGTCAAATTTCGCGACCTAGCAGTGCTCGGGTGCATGTGCGCACCTGCAGAGCCTTGCGGGAGAAGGTCACAGCGAATGCCATTTTTGATGTTGGAAGACTAAACTGTCTTACTCTGAGAAGTGCTGGATGCCCTTTAAGTGCTGGCATCGTGGATTCTTGTCCGTACAATGTGTACGTCCTTGATCGAGATCTTCGCCCGGCCGCCTCAACTTGGGCATTGATGGAAGCATAAGGAGTGTTGCAGGTACAAAGGTGTATAAATGCATCTTCTTAGAAGGTTCTATACCGCTTATATATAACCTTTACAAGTACCGGAATCAAATAAGGCCGCAGCTTGTGCAGCTATCCTTAGACACTTACATCAACATGTCGGCTAACCTCGTGGAATGTTATCTTCCGCCAAGCGTCTCCATTGCCCACTGTATCGTCTCTGTGCAAGCATTTTGAGGCGCGGAGCTTGCAGAATCCGTAGCTTCCGACGCGTTTCTCTTATGCTTTCAAGCTAACAATAGATGATCACATATAGCCTTGCTGCATCCTCGCAACAGTGCAAGGCATGATGCAACCCTCCATCATTGACTGATTCGGTTTCAACGCACGACTGAAAGTGCAATAGCAAGAAAATGGCTGCAAGGCATGTTTCTGAGATGTAGTGGTTGCAAACAGCAGTGCAGTGGTGCTGGTGGTTAAGTGGCATCGTGCGTGTCGACCTCTTGGAATAAGCATAGCGACGATGTCCCACAGAGCCACACCTTGGCGTCAAGACACGCAAGCTCCTGGGTCCCTATATACTAGGCGCCGGGTATCAGGTGCAATCACCATTAGGTTGTTCCCCGGTCAGCTTTTCAAGATTGGGAAGAGCCGGGGAGTACATCGGGATTGGGACACACAAGGGGTAACCGTCCAATCCTGCGGACAGCATCAGGCGACGAAACTGGAAGACCACCCTACTTTTGAGCCATCACTCTGAAATCATGGTGACCTTGCAAAGGCCGGGAGTGACGCCCTTATAGTGTGTCGTATATTGAAAGGTTACTGCAGTGTTCCGTTCATGGCCCTCATGGCAGGACAATAGCTAGGTACCCCTACCCACTAGCAGCCATGCCACCGGTACGCTGTCGAACCCTGTCACCATCCACCCTGCTAATAAACGTTTCCGCTTGAATGAAAGCTATAAGCATATGCTGTTGCAAGCTTGTCCCGTCACTCAGATAGGATGACCTACAACCAAACATGCATGCCTGGAGGTTTTTGCCGTACGCACTGTAAGCAGTACGAGCAAAAGGAGCCCCGACGAAGCCTTGAGCAAAATACCGGTATAATTTTACCTGAAACGCACAGCCTTGCAAGATGCTGATACTGACCATGGCTTAACTCCCAGAATGACAATACTACGTGCTGAGCTGAGTGAGCTCGCTCCTGCTAACACCAGCAATCCAGCAGGAACTAGCCTTCTTACGAAGCTTCGATAGGTTGCACCTGAATACCCTTGTCTTCGTATAATTAGCTGCCATATCCCGGGTCCATCGTTACGCAAAGCTTATATCCCGCGCAGACGCAGCAGTAGCTAGCTGGGAAGCCGAGGCGTTGTAAGCCGTATTCAACAAGGACGTTGAAGCTTACACATTTGCATACACGTAATAATTGAGTTAACGTAAGCCAAGGGTGTTGTGGAGGTGTTCAGGCCTACCGATGGAGCAATTCCATGACTACACGCTCGCGTCAAAGCTCGAAAGGTCTGTGTCTCTGTCGCCTGCTCAAATACTTGGAGGTGATCCCAAGTAAAAACGTCTAGCAATTGGTGACTTGATTGCCGCGATTTGCTGTTGCTCATCCTAATGCAATGCGCAGGTTTGTTGCAGCTATCGAGCAAACTTTGATTTCATGGCAGCGGACAGGTGAGCACAGAGTCTTAGGGCCCCACCTGGTCGCTGCCGCGCGTGTTCCAGCTTGTACCTGACCCTCCAGCCTCCAGGCCGCGAGCAGCTCGGCTCCCTTCCCTGCACTCCCTGCACTCCACACGCCGCAAACCCAGACGCGCTCCCCCCTCCCCCCTCTCCCTCCCCCTCTCCTCCCCCCACCCCTAAGGCCTGCATGAGATCATCTCCCGCGGCTACCGCGCCCGCATCCGGGAGCAGCCCAGCCAGGTCCGTGTGGCAGCCAGCCTGCAGCACAGGTAGGGGGGGGAAGGGGGGTCAAAGACCATACCAAACCATAGGAGACCACAGGTAGGCGGGGGGAAGGGGGGTCAAAGGGGGGGCAGCAGTAGCACGGGAGGAGTGAAGAAAGCCTAGAAAGCACGAACGAGATGGCAGGCCCCTGTTTCCTGTCTTGGCCATGTCATCATCCGGGTATGCTGGGATCGGGAGGTGGGAGGAGGAGGGAGGGGGGCCACACGGGGGAGCAGCACTGCGCAGCACAGCGGCACAGCGGCACGAACACAGGCAGCAGCCGGCCCCGTCTTCCTACCCGCACCCGTAGCTCCTTTCGAGCTGCCTCCACGTCCGCCAGCACTTTCCCATTACCCGCATAGGGCCCGCAGCCTCCCCCGCAACCTCCACCCGCCTGGTCCACTCCCACCCACTCCCACCCACTCCCACCCACTCCCACCCACTCCCACCCACTCCCACCCACCCACTCCCACTCCCACCGCCCACCACCCACCCACCTGTCCCCCCAGGCTGCCCTGGCGGCGGGAGCCGTACATCCTGCAGCTGCACCTGCCCACCGCACCCGCACTGGGTGGGTTGGGAGGGGGGGGGGGAGGGGGGGAGGGGGAAAAGTAAATGATAAGTGCAGCAACGGAGGAGGGCGGGGGCGACAGGAAGTGACTGAGCCGGCGTGGGGCGAGTGTGGAGGAGGTCAGGGGAGGTGGGACGCCTGGTAGCCGCAAACCCGTTGCCGTAGAAGCGTACGGGGCCGCGGGGCACCCGTGGGGCTCAGTGGGATGTTGGGGACTTGGGGAGTTTGCATGGGGTGTGTGCTGAGAGCACTGGCCGCACTGTGTGCGTGTTTGTATGTGCACGTGTTGCGTTGTGTTGGTTGGGCTGGTTGAGATCCGTGCGAGGGGGGTCGGCTGGCGTGGGTGCTTTTGCTCGGGTGGGATCTCTTAGCTTTAGCGGAAGGAAGGCGCCCTCCCCTGCACTGAGCAGTCTCCCCAACAGCCCTTACATCAACGTCTTTTAGCGCTCTCGCCTCCTCCCTGCACCAGCCCAAGGTCCGGCTGCCGGTCCTCCTCTCCCTATGATCTCCCGCATCCCCCCACCCGCATCCTCCCCCACTTCGCCCCGCAGCCTCAACAAGAGGAGCTGCTGCGTTGTCATCCCCCCAACCCCCCCAGCAGCAGCAGCCCCAGCACCCGCGGGACGGCCCCCCGAAGCAGCACCCGCACCCGCACCCGCACCCACCAGCAGCGCAGGGGGGCGCCTCCGCCGCTGCGAGCGATACCCCTGCCCGCGCCGCCACAGCCGCACCAAAGTGCCCTCCGCCCCCCCTCCCTCTACCGCAGTCGCAGCCACATCAGCCGCCGCCAGCAGCAGGGCCAGCGGCTAACGGCAGTGGCAGCGGCGGTGACAGGGGCAGCAGCAGCGCTACAGGTACCTCCACTGCTGCCCTTGCCGCTACCACCGCGGCTGCTGCTGCCTTCTCCCCAAGCAAGCGAGATGGGGTTAGGCATGCCGAGGGCCAAGAGGGGAACACGCGTGACGAGGTGGTCAGCGGCAGCGGCGGTGGCAGCAGCAGGGGCGCTGGCGGCGAGGGTGAGTGTTGTTGTGGTGGTGGAGGTGGAGGTGGTGGTTGGGAGGTGGGTGTGGAGCTGGACATGTCGGACCTGCTCAGCCGCATACAGTCACTGGTGGAGGGGGAGGGCGAGGAGGAGGAGGAGGAGGAGGAGGAGGAGGAGGAAGGCAAGATGGAAGGGGAGGACTACCGCCGGTCCGGGCAGGCTAGGGCCGGTGGCAGCCGCCTCGCTGCCGCCATACCGCTACCTCCAACCAGGGGGACCAGCAGCAGCAGCAGCGCCGTGCAGGGCGGCAGCACGGTTGCCGCGGCCACTGCAGCTGCCGCTGCTGGGTGCTTGCAGCCGCTTGCGTGCGCCGGTACTGCCGCCCCGCCGCAGGGGGCACATGCGGGTGCAGCAGCCACCACAGACGCAGCAGCAGCTGGAGGCACCGCTACCACCACCAGCAACAACAACACCAGGAACACCAGCAGCAGCTGCTGTTTGGGTGCCCAGCGACCCACGGGTCAGCTGCCCTGGTGGCTGCCCACCTTCCAGCACCGGCTGCAGCGCTGGTTCGGGCTGGAGTCGTTCCTGCTGCTGCGGCCCGCCAGCTTTAGCAGGAGGATACTGGTGAGGGGGGGCTGGGGAGGTTGGGAGGGAGGAGGGAGGGGGGGAAGAAGGGGGGGCTGGGGCTGGGTGTGTGAGGTGCCAGGTGCTGTTATAGGGTAGCATGGCAGTGAGAGGAGGGAAAAGAATACGGCAGGGATACGGTGGGGTGGGAGAAGAGCTCACCTTTCACACAACCTGCCACCCCTCTGCCACCCCCCCGCCCCCTGCTGCTTCCATGCTGTCGCTGGCAGGACGAGACGGAGGCCACCACGCTGCTGGGCGCCGCATCCCTGGCACTGGCAGCAGCAGCAGCGGGGGGGCTGGTGCCACCGGGGGGGTGCGGCAGCAGGGGTGGAGGTGGGGGTGGCGAGGTGGGTTGCTGCCCGCTGCTGCTGCCGGTGCACGACGGTCTGCGTGACGGCTACTGGGGCTGCGGGGTGGCGGGTGGGGTGGGCAGCCTGCAGCTGCGGACGGACAGCGTGCACGTCAGCAGGCCGCAGCAGGTGGGGGGGGGGGCGGGGGGAAGGGGGGGATAGGGTTGTGGTTGGGGAGTATAGCAGGCGAGAGGGCGGTAAGGGAGCTGGGAGAGTATGCCGCTTGACGTGACAAGGCAGGTCACGAGAGCATGCGGGGAGCTGCTGCTACTGCTGATGGGTAGGAGAGGAAAGGAGGAAAGGAGTTGGGAGTTGCAGTGAGTGAGGCGGCAGGGGGCTGGCGCTGGTGCCCCAGCAGCGTGCCCCGGTTGCCAAGAACCCTCCCCCTCCCCCCTTACCCCTCCCTCCCCCCCTCCCTCCCCCCCTACCGCCCACCCTACCGCCCACCCCCCCCAGTCCCTCACCCAGCTGCCCACCCAGCTGGCGGTGCTGGCGGAGCAGCTGCAACCCGCAGCGCCCGCAGCGGCGGCGGCATGCAGGCGGGCGGCAGCAGCGGCAGGGGGGGGAGGGGGAGGGGGAGGGGGAGGGGGAGGAATGGGGTGGGTAGGTCAGCTGAGCCAGCAGCAGCAGCAGGAGGAGGAGGAGGAAGACCAAGGAGATACGGGCCAGGAGGGGCAGCACGAGAGGGGGCTCAGTGCTGGCGGCGGCAGCAGCGGCTGCGCACCTCCTCCCTCCACCTCCACCTCCACCTCCGCCTCCCCCACCACCAGCACCCCCAGCCCCGTCCCCAGCATCACCTGGTCCGCCTGCTTCACCTTCCAGGTGCCTCCGCCAGGGGGGCGACTGAGGGCCCGGGTGGAGTTATGGGCGGCAGCAGCAGCGGGGCGGCGTGGGAGGGGGGCGGAGGGGGAGGTGAAGGGGGAGGCGGCGGTGACAGCGGCAGGGGTGGGTGGCAGTGCGGGTGGCCGCAGTGGGGCCCCTCCGTACGCACCTGGGAACCCCAGTGTCGTACCCCCGACCCGCGCGGGGAGGTGTGTTGAGGGTGGCGACCCAGACTCCCACGTTGACGCCGCCGGTTACGGGGGTGGTGAGGGGTCCTCTGCCTTGGCTAGCGATGCCGAGGATGAGGAGGTGGAGACCGAGGGGAGGGTCGGCCGCTGTCTTGTCGCCGCTGCTGCCGCTGAAGAAGGTGATGAAGAGAGTGACAGCGACGAGGATGAAGAGGGTGATGAGGGTGACGTCCAGCGCAGCAGCAGTACGAGTGCGTACAACACAAGCAGTGGTGGCGGTTACGATTCCGGTTCCGAGCACGAGCACGAGCGGCAGGGAGGGGACGGGTTCGGGTACTACCACCGCGACGGCAGGCGGCGGCGGCGAGGCGGAGAAGGAGGCGGAGAGGGCGAGGAGGGGATGGGTGACCCGTGGGACGCTGGCGCCCCCTGGCATCCCTGGGCGGTCCAGAACGACCCGGTGGCGCTGTTGGAGCTGGATGTGGCGTGGGAGGGGCTGCGGGTGGGGGCGGAGGGGGGAGGAGGAGGAGGAGGCCTGCCGCAGCTGCGGGTGAGGGGGGGAGGAGTGGGGGGTGCATGTGGTGCGGATGTGGGGTTGGGTGGGGAGGTGTGCGGTGTGCGGGGGCGTGGGGGGGATGACGAGGAGGTGGCGGAGCTGGTTCCTGGGGGGGGAGGGAAGGGAAGGGTACAGTGGGGGTGGCGGAGCTGGTTCCTGGGGGGGGGGAGGGAAGGGTACAGTGGGTTGAAGGGTGGCGGGGTGAAGGAGGGAGGGAATACCGCACGTCGGGGCTCCTGCGCCCCGCCGGCGGGCAGCCGCGGATGCTCCCATCCCTCCCCTCGCCCGCAGCCCTGCTACTGACCTGATGCTACCTGCCCTGCCCTCCCCACCCCTCCCTCTCTCCCTGGCCCGCAGGTTGACGCTTGCAGCGATGGCACAACCGCCGCCGCCAGCCGCCGCGGGTGCAGCAGCAGCCGCAGTGGTGGCCCCGCCCCCGGGTGTGTGTGGCTGCTGCACGCGCTGCAGCGGGGCAGTGGCGGGGGCGGGCGGGGGCTGGGGGGCCTGGTGGGGTTGCTGCCGCGGGGGGCGGGTGGAGGGGGGGCAGGGGGGGAGCGGCGACATGTGGAGCTGCAGCGGGCAGGTGAGGGTGGGTGGGGGGAGGGGGGGGGGGGAGGAGCGGGGGGTGCGGGATGCGGCTGGGAGCCCCGGCAGCCGCGATGCGGTGTGGTGTGGTGTTGGGGAGCTGCCACCCCGCCCCGCCCCGCCCTGGGTAGTGACATGGAGGAGGCAGTGACGACTGCATTGACGAGTGCCTCTCATGGCCTACCCGACACTCCCACCTTTCCCTGTCCCAACCCCCCCTCCCCCCCCCCCCTTCCGGCCCCCCAGGTGCCGACTGGTTGTGGAGTGCGCTGTCAGCCGAGGTGTGGCGCCGACCCGGGGGTCAGCCGCCGCCCGCCGTCACACCCGTGGCAGCGGCCAGCCAGGTGGGGTGGGGGGGGGCGGGGGAGGGAGCAGACCATAGGGTGTCACAGGCTAGGGGGCAAAGCAGATGGGATAAGAGAGGCGGCAGGGTGCCACAAAACAAGTGGGGGTTAGCGGCCCCTACCGGCACCGATTTGGGTAGGGGTGGAGGAGGGGGGGGCCAGAGGGCCCTGGGGTGTAGCAGAGTGATGGAGAGCAAACCAGCTATGATGGCCAGTGCCGTTTGGGCTTGGTTACCGTAATGGACCTGGCCGGGATGTATCTGCAACCATGTTGCAACCCCCCCGGTGAAGCCTCTCTCCCCCTCCCCCTTCCCCCCTCCCTCCCCCTCCCCCCCCTCCCTCCCCCACGTACCCCCCCCCAGGTGGGTCCCGGCAGCTTCACGGTGATGCTGTCGCAGCTGCTGACGGGCCGCTCGCTGGCTGCGGGGGCGGAGGGGCCGGGGCAGCTGCTGGACCCCGACTGGTGGGCGGAGCGGGGCTGGGGACTGCCGCCGCTGCCGCCGCCGCGTGAGTGGGGGGCGGGGGCGGGGGAGAGGGGCAGGAGGCGGATGACTAGCCGTGATACGGTGCGTGCTAGTGCCGCTACTACTGCTTGGAGCAGTGTGTTTGATTGCGTGTGTGTGTATGAGACACAGGCTGGAGGGTTGCTGGCGGATGTCAGCAGCAGGTGGCGCAGTACTGCAGCAGGAGCAGGGTCCTGCCTTGACCCCCTGGCCTTGCCTTGGGGGGGGGGTGGCTGTCAGCCCCATGCAGGCCCCTGGGTAACCCCCTGCGTGCCTGCCCCATGACTGCCTTCATGGAGTAACCCCGCCCCGCCCCGCCCCGCCCCGGCACAGGCCAGCACAGGCCACACTGTTCCTTCACTTGTCCCTTGTTTCTAACGTCCCCATTCCTCTTGGCCCCTTCCTAGGTTTTTTGTCGTACCCTCCCTCTGTCTTTCTTTTTTGTTGTTTTATTCCCGCTTTTTTCGTTTTCCTTTATTGCCTTATTTAGTTCACACCCCTCTTTGCTCTTTATACACCCCTACTTGTCACCAAGGCCCCTTCGCATTTACACGCCACTCACACACGTTTTCTTTCTTATCCCTCCCTTTCCCACTATTTTCTTTATTACTTAACCCCTCCTTTGCCTTTCCCTATCGCACGTCCGGCGCTCTCGTGGCGGCTTCCATGGCGGCTTCTCTGGCGCTCGGTTTCCTCTCTAGGTAAGTCACTCGTTCCTTGTTTTTCTTTTTCATTTGCTTACACCTCGTCTCTGCCTTTCTACGTTTTTTTGCCTGTCATGCACGAGCACTTGTGGGGCCTTGGTGACCGTCTCAAGCGATGGACCACATCATCTAAGTAGACAACTACATAGTCAGCCTCCTGCATCACGATGGCTACTCAACTGTACATCACCAAGACGGACGCGGTTTCGGTAGAGGCCACTAACCCTCCCTCTGCCTTGTGAATCCCTGCTTTTCCTCTTTTTTTAGTTTTTCTATGGTTTTAATTGGTCCGAAAATTGGCCCCGCCCCGCACCCCCCCCCCCGCCCCGCAGATGTGATGCAAGACGTGCTGCAGGACCTCTTCAACCACGAGGCACCCGCAGCGGCGGCCCCCTCCTCCCCCTCCTCCCCCTCCTCCGCGCCGCACCAGGACGGTGTGTCCGCCGCTGTCTGCTACGAGTTCAGCCGTACGGCGCCCCTCCAGGGGCTGCTGACGCGGCTGGCGCTGCATGCGCTGCTGTTCGGGAACGCCAGGGCGGTGGCGTGGCTGTGGCAGAGGTGGGGTTGGAGGTGGAGGGGGGGGTGGAATCTGGAGAGAGCAATGGTGGCGGGCGGTTGTGGGAATGGCAGAGGCGGTTGCTGTGCCATGCTGTCGTGCGTCATGCCCCCTCCCCCTCCCCTTCCACCCCTCCCCCCGCATGCGCAGGTTCGTCCGCGAGCTGCGGTTCGGGTGCTGGGATGCGGAGCGGCCGCTGCCCCGCATGACCCCACCCGGCAGCAGCAGCGGCAGCGGCACGGCGGGGGCACCGCAGGGGGGGCAGATGCGGGGGAAGCATGGGGGTCGGGAGGGAGAGGAGGGCTGGGGTGAGGACTCGGGCTCAGAGCTGGGTGGAGAGCAGGAGGAGGGCGGCGCTGTCCCTGCAGCAACGAGCGGCGCCGCCTCCCCCTGCTCCACCTCGGGTGCTGCTGCTGCTGCTGCTGCTGGGTCGTCGTCTGCTGCCCCCGAGGTGGTGGCGGCGGTGGTGGTGGAGCGGCTGCTGCAGCGGCAGCGGCGCAGCGGCCCGCCCGAGCCGCCCGGCCCCGACCTGCGGCACTGCCTGCTGCAGCAGAAGCTGAGTGTGCTGGACGTGTGCTGCCACAGGTGGGGGGGCTGGGTGGGGATTGGGGTCTAGGGTTGGGGTGTACGCGTGTGCAGTGGAGGGGTGTACAGCGATCGCATGCCCTGTCATGCCCTGTCATCATGGGGTTCCGTATGGAAAGGGGAGAGAGGGCCCGGCCGCAACCGCACCTGCACAACTGCCCCCGCTCCGCGTCACCCGCGCGACGCAGTTCCGCTTCTTCCCTCAATGCCCGCTCTCCCATCCCGCTGCTTCCCGCGGATGACTCCGTGACCCGTGACTCCCCAACCTGCCCCGCTGCCCCCACCCGCCCCCACCCGCCTCCAGGCGCAAGGTCCTAGCCCGCGAGCAGCACCTGGCTCGACTTGTGCAGCAGCAGCAGCAGCAGCAGCGGCGGGGGGGTCCGAACATGGCAGCAGGCAACGGGGAGGAGAGGGGCGGCGGCAGCGGCAGTGGGGACGGCTGGGAGGAGGGCGATGACAGCTGGTGGGCTGAGCTGGCGGACGGCTGGACGGAGGGGAGCACCGCCGCCGCCACCGCTTCCCAGCAGCAGCAGCAGCAGCAGCAGCAAGGACATGGGCAGCAGCAGCGATACGGGGGTGTTGTTGGTGGTAGTAGTGGTGGTGATGGTGCCCCCTTCGCCATTCACAGCCGAACGAGCCGAATGAGAAATCAACCCAGCCGCCAACAACCGGTTGCGGTGACCCATGGGTCATCGCCCACTCGCCACGTAACGGCTGATGAGCCGCTGCCGTTGTACGGCAGGAGCTCCTTCACGCAGCCTGGTGGCGGCAGTACGGCGCCTGCTGCTGGACTGCAACGGGATGGCAGCGGCCGCGGCAGTGATGACAGCAACGACAGCAGTGACGGCGGTGGCGGTGGCGGTGGTGGTGCCACTGCTGCTGCTGCGCGGATGTTGTCCGTGGTGAGCGTTACGGACACGGAGGCCTACTTCAGTGCGGGGGAGCAGGAGGAGGAGCCGCCGCTGCCGCCGCCGGCACCGCCGCCGCCGCCGCCGCCGGGCATGCTGACGCCACCCACTGGCCCCCTTGTTGAGGGCAGCGATGGGAGTCACTCACCAACGACTGCTGACCTACCAAAGCCGCATGGACCTCCTCCTCCTTTGCCACCTCCTCCTCTTCTCAGCGCCCCCGCAGCCTCCACTTGCCTTCCCGCCACCGACGCTCAAGCCCCCCACGCTCACCACGCCTGTCCCCAAGCTGCCCAACCCCGCCCGTCCCCCACCCGGCGCCGACCCGCGGGTCACCGCTGCTGGCGGGCTCCGCTGACCCAGCCCTGCCCGGTGCTGAGTGAGGACCGCATGTTGGAGCGGCAGGCGGCGCTGGAGGGGCTGCTGGCGGGGGGGAGTGCGCAGGGTGGGGGGGGGGTGGGGGGGGGGGTGGGGGGGGGGTAGGGTGAGTTAAGATAGCTGGCCACGAGTAGGAAGTGGACATGTATGGCTGGTTCTGGTTGAGGGTTGAGGGGGTACTGAGCGATCTTCCTCATTGTACGAGCTACCCCTCTCACCATTGCGGCCCCCCCCTCATCCCTCCCTGCCCCCCTCCTCCTCGCAGGCAACGAGCTGGCTTGGCGCATGAACAGCGAGCTGCTGGCGGCCGACATGGCGGCATTCAAGGTGGGGAGGAGGAGGGGGTGGAAGGAGGAAAAGGAGTACTAGGGGAAGGGAGGGGGAAAAGAAGAATTCCTGATGCGTTGAATGAGAATGCGTTTATTGGGTGGCGGAGGGTGTGCTGATGTGGAGGACAGGTGGTTTGGAGGGGTTTGCGATCAGCGGCGGCTCACCAGCCGTTACGGGCAGCCTGCATGCGCTTCGGGCCCCTGGCTGACATTGGAACATGGCCTCCCGGATGCCGGACGGAGGGTGGAGCCCTTACTCCAGCTCCCCACTCCTACCCCTTCATCGCCCCACCCCGTCGCCCGCCTGCCCCCCCACCCCCTCCGCCCAGGCTGCCAACCCAGGCGCCACGTTTGCGGACTTTGTCGCCTGGTTCTCCCCTCGGGACGTCTCTTCTCGTCCTGCAGCTGCTGCGACTGCTGCGGCTGATGGGGCCGATAGCTCGGCTGCTGCTGCTGCCGGTGCTGCTGCTAGTAAAGCGGCCAGGGGCGCCAGTGACAGCGATAGCCCCAGCGGTGCTGCTGCCGGCAGCAGCAGCAGCGGGGGCGTCAGTGGGGGGATGCTGTCAGCTCGCATGGCTGCGGCCGCTGTGCCGTACAGCGGCAACGCAACAGCAGGAGGTGGAGGCGGAGGCGGACCCATGGGTCAGGGGTCCTCCCCCGGCGTCCCCAACCCCTGGCACCGGCTGTGGCAGACCACCCCGGCATGTCCCTGCTGGCGACAGAAGCCCCTGCAGGTGCGGGGGGCGGGGGGGGCCTGGGGCCGGGGGGGGCCGGGTGGAGGCCGGGGGGGCAACTCCGTAGTAGAGGGAGATGGGAGGGAGGGTGCTAGGGTAGGGGATCAGGGGATCAATAGGGTTTGTATTTCCGCGCTTGGCTGGAATATAGGATTGCGATTAGTCATACTTGCCCCTCAGCAGTGGGGCAGCTGTCGGGAGCGGCACCTCAGAGCTCACCCGCGTCCTGCAGTCCCGCCTCTTGCTTGCCAGCTCCTGTCCCCCTCCCTTGACCTCGCTTGCACTCTCCTAAACGCCTAATCCTCTTCCTCAAACCCCCTACCTAACGCTAAAACCATCCTCCCCCCCCTTTCCAGGACCCCTCCCTGGAGGGCGAGCGGGTGCTTCATGAGCTGGAGACGCTGCCCCCCGCCCACCTGTACGACACGCTTCTGGGTACGGCACTGGCGGCCGCCGTACAGCTGCTGGCGGGCAGTGAGGGGGGGCAGCTACCGCCGGTGGCCGCACTGCTGCAGCAGTACTGCAGGTGGGGGTTGAGGACAGTGCTTTTTTCCATCAATGAGGTTGGCGAGGAAGGACTCACTCCTTACTCCCCCTAGCTCTCCAAAGTAAAGAAAGCTAAAGGGACCTCCCCAGGAAGGTGCTGGCCCTCACCGTGGTACGACAGTGTGCTCGCTACACCCCTCGCAAACCCACCCTGCACCCATCCCCTGCCCCCCCCCGCAGGATCTCCGCGCCCATCATCAAGCGCGGCTGCAGCCTGGCAGCCGCATCCCCACCGCCGGGCGCTGGTGGCAGTGGTGGCGGCATAGCAGCGGCACATGCAGCCGGGGGCGGGGGCGGCGAGCGACCCGTGGGTCACCCCTCCTGCCAGCTGGTGGGGTGGGAGGACGCGGAGCTGGAGTACCTGCTGGCGGAGTTCCACTACCTGGAGCAGGTGGGGGGATACGGCGGGGGGCGTGCTGCTCTCCTTTCATGATGAGCTTTGCCGCGTTCTAAGAAGACCTGGCGCGAGTCCAGTGGTGTGCGTGTGGGCCGCAAGTCAGTCTGTTCAATGTCTTCCGAAAAACCCTTCTACCCTTCCTCCCTCCATCATTCAACGCATGGTGCTTCTCTCCCCCTCCCCTCTCCCCTTCCAGGCTGTTGTGCTGGCTGAGAGCCTGGTGCGGCGCCTGCCCGGCAACCGGCCCCTGGCCGCAGCACTCATGCAGGCCGCACTGCAGGTGGGGTCGGGGAGGGGAGGGTTGGGAGGGAAGGAAGGGGGCTGGCGGGGACATAGGGTGCGGTATGCTGCACCCCGCTGGGCTCCGTACCTGCATGCTGCCCCCTGTGATGGAAGGGTTACGTGCCAAGACGCCCCGCCCAGCTCCCCACCCCCGGCTGTGCTGCCAAACCCCCGCCCCTTCTCCTCCCCCTTCCCGGCCTCCCTCCCCCCCCAGGGTGCCCAGGGTCTGGAGGAGGGCCGGCTGGTGCTGCGCCCCGCCGCCTGGGTGGAGGGCGAGGTGGCTCGGGGGGCGCTAGCGTGCCTGCTGGCGAGCCGCTGCCCTCCTCGCCCCCGCCCCCGCCCTCACCCACCTCCCCCCGCCCCGCGCCGAGCAGCTCCACCGCAGCCAGCTCAGCCTCATCCCTCACAGCAGTCGCAGCCGCAGTCTTCCCCGCATCGGGTGAAGCAGAGGCCGCAGCAGCGGAGCCTGGGAGCCAAGCACAGCGGGGGGGCTGCTGCCGCTGACATCCAGGGTACCCGCGGCGAAAGGGGCGGGGGAGGGGATGTGAACTGGGAGGAGGCGGACTGGGGCGGATGGGAGGAGGCGGAGGAGCTTGGGGGTGGCAATCGGGCGGCGGCAGCAGCAGCAAGGGAGGGTGACGGGCGGCCTGTTGGCGACGGGGGAGGGCATCAAGGAGGTGCGGGCAGGTGCGGGGAGGGCAGCGGCGGCCGTGACGACGCTGGCGGCGTCAAGGGCCCCCGAGGAGGAGGCGGCGGAGGGGCGGGGAGTGGTGGTGTGATGGACATGGCTTTGTGGCCGCCCGCTTGCAGCCGGGAGTGGGTGCTGCGGGTGACGCAGCGGGTGGGGCCGGGGGCGGCACTGGAGGCGTGCCAGCAGCAGGGGAGGGGCGCGGAGTGCAGGAGGCGCAGCGGGGGGGAGGGCGGCGAGGAAGAAGTGGGAACTAGCGCTGCTGCGGGTCCGGCTGCGCCCGCCTGCACGCACCGGCTGTATGTGTTGGCGGCGGAGGGGGAGCTGAGGGTGGCCACTGCAATATGGCACACGCTGTGAGGGACGTCAGGGGGGGGGCTGGGTGTGTGTGTGGGTCCGCATCGTGCATGTCTGTGTTGTTGCTGGTGGGATGTGCGGGTGGGGCAGACGCGTGATTGGTGTCTTCAGTGCATCAGGAGTTAGGAGTTGCGCCTGGATGTGCAGGAGTGCGGTTTTGTAGAGCAGGCTGCTTTCAATGCGACATGGCTTCTGGCACTGACTGGCTAGACGTGACTTGGTTCGTGGCGGGGCGTTGTATGGGGCATCCCCTCGAGTCGGGGGTGCAGACGTCCACAGCGACATGCACGGGTCCTTGCTGCAATGCTCGCATGCAAGCATGGCGGCTCGGCTGTTGCACTGCAGCAGCCACTGGCTGCTTGCGGTTGCAGGGTGCGGGTGTAGGGTGAGGCAGCAACACTTGTTGCCCGGCTGACCTAGGGGAGGTAACGGTACCCCAGTCGAGTGTGATGTCAATTGCGATGTGAACATGTAGTGTTGGTTTTGTTACATGGTGGGGGCCCGGGGGAATAAGGTTGACTAGGACGAGCGCTGGTAATGTGTTTTGCGTGCAGTGGATACGGTGGTTACGCTGAGACATAAGACATGGGTGTCCCAGCCTGGGGTAAAGAGGAAACAACTAGCTGGCCGTGTGATAACCCCTGATAAGGCGTCATCATGGTTTGCAACATGTGCAACCCGCCCAGCCCAGCCTGGGGTGTGCTGCTCGGCACTGCTGCGCGCGCAGCTTCCATGCGCCCAGGGGGTGCGGCCCGAGGCGCCTCGGGGATGCGGGCCGGCTATTGCATGCGCTGGACTGACGCACACGTGCAACCGGGCTTGATGATGTGTCCTAATCAGGCTCACGACCACACCGCGCAACGAAGCCTCCTACGCCGTTGTTTGTCCTCTTGGAGCCGAGCACCCTACCCTCTATTCCACCACCCCCGTATCCCCAGCTGCGAGGCCCCCTCCGCCCAGCCAGGCAGCACCTGGAAGGACACCCCGGCCCTGCAACCGTACTCCTCAAACAAAAAACCTACCAAAGCCGCTTGTGAGGGCGGCCAACACGCAGCCTCTGCCACCATGCCCTGCGCCCATGCATGCTTCTCCAGGCGTCAGCGCACCATCCAAGGCCTCACACAGGTCAACATTCCCCCCCCCCACACCCCTGCCTCACCCCCGCCACCCCGCGCGCTCCGCCAGCTCCCGCAGCAGCCCCCCCTGCTCCTCCGCACACGCCACCAGCCGCCGCTCCAGATCCAGGTGCCTGACGATCTTGGCAGCCGCCTTGATGTCCAGATCCACAAACGCCACCTTGTACAGGTAGGCCGCCGGCCCCCCCGCCCTCCCGCCTTCTGCGCCCGCCTGCAGCAGCCCCACACACGACCGCCGCTGCAGCCGCTGCGCGGAAGACACGACCGCATGCAGCGCGGGGAGGCCTCCGTCCGCTGCCGCCGCCGCATCCGAGTCCAGCTTCACATCCAAAAGCTCCGTTTGTTCTGTTGTTGCAGTACAACAGTCGGATGCCTGCGGCTGCTGTGCGGAAGCAGCAGCTGCTGCAGCCGCCCTTGATGCGGGTGCGGCCCCCTCCCCGGAGCTGCAGGCAGGTTCCGACGACAGCAGGACCGACGCCTGCTGGGCGGCTACCGCGCCCCCCACATCATTTTCATCATCAGCAGCAGCAGGAGCAGCAGCAGCTGAAGCAGGAAGAGTCCCGCTGGGAGTGACGGGCTGGGCTCGCTGCAGTGTGATCATGATGCCGCAGTCCTTGGCGGTGGCGGACATGAGGTAGCTGCGGAGGGCGGACAGCCGGCCGGCATGGGCGGCCTGGGGGACACCGGCGCCCGGTGTGCAGGACGAGGTTGTGGTTGCGTCTTGGGCGGCTGTGGAGTCAACGGCCGGGTGGCAGGCCGGATCTTCTTTCTGAAAGGGCAGGCAGGTTGCGGCAAGGGCGGACGGCAGGTTTGCATGCAGCTTTGTCTAGGCAGGACGACGCCGAGGAAAGCCGCACACCGGCGGTATATTAGGTCAACATGGCGTTAACCTTGAGCAACAAGCGCTCCACAGCAGCTGAATCAACGTACGGGTACCAAGCACCCCCTTGTCGCTGCTGCAAGGAGTACCCCGCATGGCCCATGCAAACGTCAAACGACCCCGCGCCGAAGCCCCATCACCAGGCTGTAAGGCCTGCGCCCCCTCCTCGGTCCACGGCAGTATTGGTCAGTACCTTCACACGGCTCAGTTGCTGCAACACACACCTGCCAGCCAGCGCCCTCCCCGCCCCAGTGCCGTACCTGCAGCGCCGCCACCACCTCCTCATACACCCGCAGCGCCCCCTGCGGCCCCAGCGTGTCCAGCGCCTGCACCGCATGCAGCCTGGCTAGCACACCTGAGAGGCGGAGGGGAGGGGAGGCAAAACTAATGAGACACTGGCGGAGGGGAGGGGATTAATTTGGAAACAGAATCCGCATTAGGGGAGGGGAGGGGGGGGCGGTGGTAGCAGTGTAACCGCCTGCACGGCGATCTATGCACGTGCTGTAGGTCCGGCAATGCGCTGAGGAGTTCAAAGCAGTGCTAGTCCAAATTCACAGCGGTTTCCCTCACTGCATGCCCTTTAGTTATCCCCCACAACGTAACGCTTGCCCCAACCGCTCTCCCTCCCAAACGTCCTCCTGCCCAGCGCCCCCGACCTCACCCTCTCGCTGCAGCGCCTCCACCGCCAGCCGTATGACCTCCTCCAGCACCTCCTCCTGCTCCTCCGAGAGACCCGCATTCCCCTCCACCTCCACCTCCTCCTGCGCCACCGCTGCAGCTGCTGCAGGGACGCCCCTCCTCCCCTCCTCCTCCACTGCGCCCTCCTCTCCATTACACGCCGGTCCCAAAGACGTCCCCGCAGCGCCGCTGCCAGCCCTGAGGACCCCCTCCTTCTCCTCCTGCTGCTGCTGCTGCCCCTGACATCGCCGCTGCTCCTCAGCTCGCGTGCTGCTGTCAGGGAGCACCAGACCGCGCAGCTGGGCTGCGAGCTGCTGCAGGCACGTCTGGGGGCTGGGGGCTGAGGTGGGGGCTGCTGTTGCATGGCTCCCTGCGCCACTGCTACTGCTGGGGCATCCGTGACGCACACCGGCGCCGTACACCGGGACACCGTCCTTGAACACACGTAGGTTGTTCTGCGTGCCGCAAGTAGTAGGTAGGAGAGGTGCCGCCGGGCTTATTCATGCCGGTAACAGGATGCCGGCATAACCCTGTGTGCACAACACACTTACGCCCCATCTAAGTCAGTAGCTCGCCCCAGCAGGACGTCTCTCCATGTTCATGTGCTTGTCGTAGTATACGAGCCACATACATTTCCAACCTAGAAGAAGCTACATACACGCCCATGTACATGCCGACCATGCCATGCACCGCAATGAGAGGTCCCTCACCCCTCTTCCGGTCCATTATCCTGCCCTCATTCGCGGTTACCTATGGTTTGGTCTATTTTGACCCCTCCCCCCCCCCCGGTCCCCGGTCTTCCACTCACGCTGGGCGACTCCAGCAGGCACCTCAGCGCTCGCCTCATGCGCCCCGGCTCCCCGGAGAACAGGTCCAGCGGGTTGTAGTAGCTGAGGGGCGCACCTTCCTGGGTGCGGAGGGATGCGCGGGAGGGGGGAGAGGGAGTGGAACGCGCATGCTGGGAACGAAGGGGCAACCCGAGGTGCAAGGGAGGGGGAGGGACGCTTGGTTGTGCTTTCGAGGTGGTTGCCGCACCTCCCAGCTTCCGGCTTCTTGTCGTAAGTCAGCCTTGGCTGGACCTGGACTGAACCTTGTACGGTTCCGTACAAAGTTCAATCAAGGTCCAGCCAAGGCTGACACGAAGCCGGAAGCTGGGAGGTGCTTGAAGGGATGCTAGGAGGGCCCTGTTAAAAGCCGATATCCCTGAAGCAGCACGCTTGAGAGAGGGTTCGCCCACACATACCTTGACGTGCTTGAACAGCATGTGCAGCAGGAAGCGGGGATACCGGTGCCGTACGTCCACCACGGTGCCCTCCGCTGCGGCAACGTCAACAACAGCCAACTCCCCCTGCCGCTCTCCCTGTTGCTCCGTTGACCGCCCCTCGCTGCTGCAGGCCGGGCACTGCTGTCCAACCACCGCTGGTGCTGCCAGGGCTGCTCCGGTGCTAGGCTTGGCCTCGGCGGAGGGGCAAGCACCGCTGCTGGCCGCCGCGACTAGGGACTCTACTACGGCAGATTCAGCCTGCGGAGATGACTGTACGCTTTGTTGTTGTTGTTGTTGCTGCTGACAGCTGCCTCCACCAGGCCGCACACCCCACTTGGGTTTGATCTCCAGGCAGATGGCGGGACCCACGCCGGTGTAGCCTTGGAGGGCTGCGGGGGCACGCAGGAGCAGCGACGGGGGAAGGAGTGTGCGCATGCGACGTGAGATGTGCACAACCAGTTGGTTGGCCGCAGGTGGTTGTGAGGAGGCCACGCAGCCGGGCCAAGGAACGCGTTATGACGCGGTATGGATAGGAACTGCGGGCCCTTGGAAAGGGCGGATAGCCTGGCTGTTGCCTAACCTTGGCGCAAAACAGCAGCGCTTCCCCTTTTGCCCTTCGTTTCGCTTGCCCCCGACCTGCGCCACGTTATCCAATTCCTGCCCCACTCAAACCAAGTGCCCCAACCGCCGCCTACCGGTTGCATGGAAGGTGGTGTGGTCGGGTTGCAGGAGGGCCGGGAAGCCGCTGCAACCGGCGTGCGCCCCCACATGCTCGCGGAAGCTCTCCGGAACGCAGCACGGCACCTGGGTGCAGCAGGCAGCGTCAAGCAGTGTGGAGTTGTACATTGGACGCCTGGCCCAGCTGCGGCTTGCAACCGATCAACGAAAGAGGGAGCCGCAACGGCAAAGTGGCTTACCCCTGGGTGCACGTACTCCTCTCCAAGCAAAGGGGCCATGACGTTGGATATGTAGGCCAACTCACGCGTTAAGGGATTGCCTACGTTGGATAAGAATGCACGGTGACGTTCGAGCTCTTGTATTCCTATTCCCAGATATTGCATGCACATGAAGGTGCACATGTATATGGCCGGTCGAGGAATCCGGCACGCGGACGTTGTTGCCTGTGATAAGTACCTTGAAGAGACATCAAAATGCTCTGCAAAGTGACAGACTGGCGTGCCACTTCGCGCACAGCTTCCTGTCTGGTTACATCGAACAAGATGCACTCCACTTACCGTTTGTACATCCCAAAACGTCTTCCCATATATGCTCATCAACTTCGGAGGCTACGTGGGCCGTAGCTTTGCGAATCCGCAGGACGTGGCCATGCTGCAGCCGACAGTTGCCATTAGGTCTACGGGCTTGCTAGGTCGTCATAGAAAGCACGGCAGCACGTACCAGGTTGCGATCATCTCCATGGTAGCTAAAGACAATGTTGGCCGCACCCTGGCCCTTTACTAGCCACTCCATGGCGTTCCAACCGCCAAGGAGCTGAAGCTACAGTGTGAGTTGACTTGCCTAGGTCTTATGCATACAGTACAGGGATCGGAGGTCGCGCTTAGCGGTTCTTCCACTTCTCGTGTACACTACAGACTTCCTGTAAACGCCAGCAAAAGAGCGTTTATATATAAAGTGAAGTTAATGATCACAAGAATCATACTCTACGCAATAGACGCTGAAGTGAAGAAGGCACTTGCCCAAGCGTTGCCTTGGCAGCGGTTTTGGTACGACAGAAAAGCGTTCGCTCAGTCATCGCATAGCAACTGATCAGGTCTAACAACTTTACCCTACATTGAGTCTAGCAGCTAACTCCGATACGCCTTTTTGAGTTTCTTCTCCGCGACTTTCTGGAATGGGAGTATCATGAACTACTCAGAAACTATTAACGTTAGTGCGTAGTCGCATACAAATGTTAGGCTTTAGGAAGGTGTGGACTTTTAAATGCAGATCGTTACTGTAATCCTTAAGGCGGGGTCTTCCCATGCAACTAGCAAGCTCTGGAGCGCCGCTGTCAAGCCAGCAGCCTTCCAGCATTGTAAAGGCGGGACAGCTATGGAAGCAGGGTAGGTCGCATTCGTAATCAATTCATGTATGGGTGAACAGGTGAAGAGCTTTGAAAGGTCACACCTTTCGCAGACAACTTTTATGTCTGGCGAAAGCACTTCTTCGTTGTATTTTCTGGAGAGGAACCTCTCATTGGCCTCTACTACCAATACAAGGTGCGACGCCGGGCTAGGAGCTTTCAATCGTCGGTTGGTTTGCATCTCTGTTGCATGTCCCACGTGTATGATCTGCTTGAACATACCCTACGCAGGGTGATGCCCCTCCGGATAAGACGAAACCCCTACCCGGTTGTCGAGTGCTGGTGAGTCTACTTTACATGGCTCGTACATGGCTCGTCCTGTCAAAGGGTTGCCCATGACTTGTCGCGATGCGCAGGACATTGTCGAACAGCAGGGCCGCTACAAGTTCACGCTTGAGTTCAAAGACAAGCAACGGTATGCCCTGGGGGCCCAGATGGGGTAACGGGAAGGCTCAGCATGCATGTTCTGTAGTGTGATAGCTGCCCCTTGGCGTGCTGAGCAACGCTTATCCTGCAAGGGGTTGTAGGCCCCTCTGTTACGGTCCATGCGTTACCTGCTGTACCGTTGTACAGCTCTTCAAACTCCCCGCACTCCCCCCCTCCCTGCTGTCTCCTTGTTCCCCTGCCTCCTGCCTACGCCTCGCGCAGCTGGTACCTCGCCAGCAACTCCCCGGAGGACCGCAAGGAGTGGCTGGCGGCAGTCGTCGCGCACTACCACGGCGGCGGAACGCTAGGCAGACCGGCAGCGGAGTACGACCCCCTCACCGGGGCCGTGCTGGGCCGGCAACACCACCGCCAGCGCCCTGGTCACAGCGTGGCGGGCAGCACACCGGCAGCACGCAGCAGCGCGTCTTCGCCCCCGGGCAGCCCAACCCGATCAGCCTCTCCCTCCCACTCGGTGCGCTTCTCAGCAGAGGATGCCGACGGGGAGCGGGCGTCGCGCTGCGGCAGCGTTACAGCCAGCGACGCGAGCACCCCGAAGCGCAGCCACGCCTCAGGGCCTGGGCCGCCGGGAGCTTCGGCATCGGCTGGATCCCTACCAGCGCTGCAGCACCACCAGCATCAGCAGCACCAGGTTGTTGGGCAGCACGCATCGAGCACGCGTGATGCGGGGGGGCATTCACGGCGGCAGAGCGGCGATGGTGTGGTGGGTGCTTCCGCCCTGCCAACAGCAGCCTCACGGCTGAACGGGCACACCGGCGGCGGAGGCGGCGGAGGTGCAGCCCGCAATCGTGCAGCAACGCTTCCAGCAGCAGGCTTTGTGGGCGGGCCGCTGGCAGCAGCCGCTGTCGCAGCACTGGAGTCAGCCTCCAGCGTGGCTGCGGGTGTGGCTGCGAGCATGGCGAGGCCAGCAGCCGCCCCCGCCCCGGCTCCCAGCGGGCAGCGCAGCTCCATTCTGAAGTTCCTGCTCGGTGACCACTCGGCGTTGTTGCCTTTGCGGGAGGTGGCGCAAGCAGCCCCGCAGCAGCAGCAGCAGCCTCGACCGCCGTCGCCGCCCCGGCGCTATGAGGTTGCGCCGCTGGGGCCGCCGGTGGGGCAGCTGGATGTGCTGTCAGGTGCGCTGGGGTGCTGGGGGAGGGACATGTGTGTGTGAGAGAGCGCAGGAGGTCAATGGATGCTGAGGTACCCCACGCATCCCAGCTTGTGATGCGCCGCATGCAGCTCAGCGGGCCGGTAGCATCCCTTGAGAGGAGCATCTTTGGGCCCCTTGGACGCATGCCTGCCCTTCGCATGTGCGTGCATGCAGGCAAGTTTGATGGGTCGCTGGTCACGTCCTCGCTGTGCGAGCAGTTTGACCGCGCGCGCACGTACGTGGAGAAGTACCCGGAGCACTTCAGCGGGCAGCAGCGGGCGGCGCTGCAGGTGGGCGCCTCCCTTGGATCACACAGCGTCGTCGTAGTAGGTCGAAGGAGTTGGTAGTGCCTGGCATGTATGCTGCTTGTCCGCAACCAAGCAACGGTTGCAACCCCTTGATTTCTAAACCGTGTGAGCGACAGCGATACCAGGGGTACAGCTGCTGCCTGGTCGCACCATCATCCGCAAGCTGCTGCTCATGAGCCCTCATGCGGTGTCCTCCGGGGGCCGGTCTCCTTTCCGCCTTCGCAGAACTGGACGGCGCTGGTGGAGAGCCGCGCCGCCACTGCGGACGTGCTGCTGGCGTGCAAGGCGCTGTATGTGCTGGAGGTGAGCGGGCATGGCGGGCTCTTACCGCGGGGACGACGCTTGGAAGCTTCATGCCGCTGGGTTTGGCTGGTTTTGCTTATGCGCCTTTTCTCTGCCATGTACGAAGATGCTGGTGGCTAACAACATTGCGGCTATACTCACCCTGTGGTGCAACCCACAGGTTACCCGGACGCGGGCTGATTGGTCGGCGGCTGACGAGGGTGATGCCACGTTTGCCGGTCCGGAGGCGATGATTGTCCAGGTGCGGGTGCGGGTGGGGGGGCACAGGGAGGGCGTGGTGGTGGTGGTGCCGTTATGGAGGGGTACGCAGGGTGGTCGGGGTTGCCAGCGGGGTGCATGTGATGTTGCGCACGGTCTCCACATCCCGAGGCCCTTTCTGGAACGGAACCGTTGGATAGCGTTAAACGTGGAGTTGTTTTCTGTCGCTCCATGCACGTCTGCTGCTCGCCGCCTGCAGTGCCAGCGACCCGCCAGACGCGCTAATCACCTCGATCCAGACCTCCCCCTTCATTCCTGGCCCCACGTATCACTTCCCTTGGGATGGGCTGGTTCCTCTCTTCACCTCCCCCCTCTTCACCTCCACCCCCTGCCCCACTTCACCCCCGCAGGTGCGGCGCCTGCCCAGCGCCGCCAGCCTGGGGTCGCTGAAGGAGTGTCTGGACTACTGCTCGCGCGACTGGGTCGACATGTTCTGCCGGCTGGACGGGGCGGCGCTGCTGCTGGATGTGCTGAAGAGCCACGAGGGGCCGGCGAGGTGTGGGCGGGAGGGCGGGAGGGCGGGAGCGCATGGGGCGGGCAGGAAAGCAGGAAAGCGGGGCTTCCTGTGTAACTTGAGTATGTAGTCCCCACGGCAAACTTCCGGTGCTGACGCGGTGGCCTACACTGTAGGGTACGGCTGTGAAGGCAGCGTGCGCGCTGACCAGGACCCCTGTCAGCTTAGCATATCGTTCGTGGCTAGCATGGTTGAAGACCCTAACACACTCGAACCTGTTCAGCCGCTGCCAGTTGGGTGCATGCATGAGCACGCCTGGGCCCCCCTGCCCTCACGCTTCCGCCTCCGCACCCCGGCCATCTCCTCTGCCACGCCGCAGGGAGGGCGTCCCCGAGGCCATCGAGGCGCTCCTGGCCAGCCTGCAGTGCATCCAGTCCCTGGCCTCCAAGCCCGGCGGCATGGCGGCGGTGCTGGCGGTGCGCGGCTTCACGCGCGCCGTGGCGGCGCTGCTGCAGCCGGTGGACTCGGACACCACCCGGCTGGCGCTGGAGCTGCTCACGCGCATGCTGCTGTTCCATGACGAGAGCTACCGACAGGTGCGTTTGGGGTGGGGGACATGGGAGGGGGGAAGGGGGGGAACAGGGAATGAAAGAGGCTTGGTTGGGGCCTGTGCTAGGAAACAGGGGTGCAATGTTTGTTGGGGCCTGCATCCCTCGCATGTGGTGCAAACAGCCGCGCAGACCGACCGGGGCCGCCAGCGTGAGCGGAATGGATGGCTTGACATCGTCTAATGGTGGCATGCATGCATGCCCGGGTGCTTTCTTGCGTGCATGCCGGCAGGTTCTGCTGGCGCTGCTGGGCTTGCCGGAGGGCCGTATCGTGGCGCCTGCGGGCACCGCAGGGACCCCTGCACCGCACGGAGGAAGGCAGCACGGTGCGCCAGCTGCGATGGCGCGCACTGCGAGTGGGAGCGGTCCTCCACCGCCGCCGCCACCAGGGCCGCCGCCGCCCTCGCAAGGAGGTGCGTCCAAGCCCCCACCACCCCCGCCCCCAGGGCCGCCACCGCCTCCAGCAGGTGGAAGCAGCAAGTCCGGTCCGCCTCCCCCTCCAGGACCGCCGCCACCACCCCCGGGGGCTGGCGGCGCAAGGGGGCCGCCGCCGCCGCCGCCGCCGCCCCCGCCAGGCCCTCCGCCACCACCCCCGGGTGCTAACGGCATGAAAGGACCACCTCCGCCACCGCCTCCTGGCCCGCCGCCGCCCCCCGGCGGCGGCGGCATGAGGGGCGCACCGCCGCCACCGCCGCCTGGCCCGCCGCCTCCACCTCCCGGCGCCGGTGCCGTAAGGGGGCCACCGCCGCCGCCAGGGCCGCCGCCACCACCGCCGATGGCTGGAGGCATTAAGGGCGCACCTCCGCCGCCTCCGCCAGGGCCGCCGCCACCACCGCCGATGGCTGGCGGCATCAAGGGCGCACCTCCGCCGCCTCCGCCAGGGCCGCCGCCACCACCGCCGATGGCTGGCGGCATCAAGGGCGCACCTCCGCCGCCTCCGCAAGGGCCGCCGCCACCACCGCCGATGGCTGGCGGCATCAAGGGCGCACCTCCGCCGCCTCCGCCAGGGCCGCCGCCACCACCGCCGATGGCTGGCGGCATCAAGGGCGCACCTCCGCCGCCTCCGCCAGGGCCGCCGCCACCACCGCCGATGGCTGGCGGCACCAAGGGTGCACCTCCGCCGCCTCCGCCAGGGCCGCCGCCACCACCGCCGATGGCTGGCGGCATCAAGGGCGCACCTCCGCCGCCTCCGCCAGGGCCGCCGCCACCACCGCCGATGGCTGGCGGCATCAAGGGCGCACCTCCGCCGCCTCCGCCAGGGCCGCCGCCACCACCGCCGATGGCTGGCGGCATTAAGGGCGCACCTCCGCCGCCTCCGCCAGGGCCGCCGCCACCACCGCCGATGGCTGGCGGCATCAAGGGCGCACCTCCGCCGCCTCCGCCAGGGCCGCCGCCACCACCGCCGATGGCTGGCGGCATCAAGGGCGCACCTCCGCCGCCTCCGCCAGGGCCGCCGCCACCACCGCCGATGGCTGGCGGCATCAAGGGCGCACCTCCGCCGCCTCCGCCAGGGCCGCCGCCACCACCCCCGGTTGCCGGTGGGTGTAGGACAACCCTTCCCCCGCCGCCGCCACCTCCATTACCGCCGGCGCCTCCGCCACCTCCACCTCGCTGTCAGACCACGTCTTCGGTAGACCCGACGACAACCTTAGACGCAGGGGCTCCATCAGCGGCTCCTACCCATTGGATGTCCGCTATCTTCAACGTCATCAAGCACTTCACCGATGTCGACGGCAGTGCTGCTGCATGCCTGGACGTTGATGAAGAGCGACGACGCAGCTCCCTCTCGCCGCCGGCAGCCTACGGGTGTAGCAGCAGCAGTAGCGGCAGTGAGGACGACGGTACCTTCCTGCGCGGTAGCAGGAGACGCAGCAGGCGCAATGGCAGACGTGTTGGAAACGGCATCCGCTGGAGGGGGCTGGACATGCCTCCGCCGCCGCCACCGCCCTTACCACCAGCTCCTCCTCCTCCGCCGCCGCCGCCACCCCCAGGGCCGCCGCCGCCACCGCCCACGTTCGGCGGTGTGGCCGTGAAGGCAGCCCCGCCGCCGCCGCCAGGACCGCCGCCGCCGCCTCCGAACGGTGGTTGCTTCACTTTCACGCCGCCAGCAAACCGGCTGACGTCACGGCTCACGCAGGATAGCGACGAGGAGGAAGAGGAGGGGTCTCCTTTGTTGGGAGGAGGCGGTATTGCCGCTAGGGCTGCTGCGAACAGTCGGGCGCCTAGCCAGGTAACTGGGCTTTGTTTCATAACCTTACCTCCAGCTATTGCTATTGCTATTGTATTGTTTAGGGCACCTAGCTTCGACTGCAATGAGAGATATAGCGTTTATAGGTACCTCTTACACACACCCTGCGATCACGGGCACAATATACCAAGCACGCTGCGCTCACTTGCTGTTGGCTTGCTGCCCGCTGCTGCAGGCCTCTCGGCTAACGGCACCGCCGCCACCACCGCCAGGCCCGCCACCGCCGCCTCCTGTCCCAGCTTTCACTCCTCGCATCGCGCCTAGTACTGCAGCAGCGCAGTCTCAGCCGGCACCTATGGCGCGGGGTGCGCCGCCGCCCCCACCTCCGGGGCCTCCTCCGCCCCCACCCGTCCCAGCTTTCCCAGTCCCAGTCCGCACAGGGGGAGCTCCGCCGCCGCCGCCGCCCGGTCCGCCGCCTCCGCCGCCTGGAGCCAGCGGGATACGTGGTGCGCCTCCGCCTCCGCCGCCAGGACCACCACCACCCCCGCCGGGCGTCGGCGGAATAAGGGGAGCGCCTCCACCGCCACCACCGGGGCCGCCTCCGCCTCCGCCGGGCGCTGGGGGGATAAAGGGTGCACCGCCTCCCCCGCCTCCGGGCCCTCCGCCGCCGCCACCGATTGCAGGTGGTATGAGGGGTGCACCCCCGCCCCCGCCGCCGGGGCCTCCACCTCCGCCGCCAAGCTCTGGTGGCTTGAAGGGGGCGCCCCCGCCTCCACCACCGCCAGGCCCACCACCGCCACCTCCTGGCGCCCGCGGGATACGGGGTGCACCGCCGCCGCCGCCGCCAGGGCTGCCTCCGCCGCCTCCGGTGGCTGGTGGCGTGAAGGGCGCACCGCCGCCGCCCCCTCCAGGGCCGCCTCCGCCGCCTCCCGGGGGCATCCGGGCAGCCCCTCCCGCTCCGCCGCCGCTGGCACCGTCAGGCCCCCAAGCCGCCCAGTCCCCCGCATCCAAGGTGATGTCTATGGAGGAGATGCTCCGTGCCCGCGCCAACCAGACCGGCGGCAACACGCAAGAGGATCCATCTCCTTCGGGCGCGGCGCAGGAGCAACCAACACCCGCAGCAGCACCACAGCGTGTTACAACCGCCGGAGTTGCTGCCTCTCAGGAGGCTCGAACGGCTGTTGAGCCAGCGAGCTCCGGGACGGCAACAACCTCCCAGGCGCCGGCGCTACCTGTTTCCTCGGCCGAGCAGACAGAAGCAGCCGCAGCAGCACCCGCAGCCGCAGCAGGCGGGGGTCCAGCTCCCCCCCCGGAGGAGTACCTGGGTGCGCTGCTGGGTCTGCTGGACATGGATGCGGAGGCGTTCGACCCCGACCTGGTGATGCACGTCATCAAGCTCATCAGCACGGTGCTGGCCAGCCCGGAGGTAGGGGGGAGGGGGGGTGCGGTGCGGTGGGGGGGGGTGCGTGTTTAGGGCGGGCTTCCGGGAACAAGTGGGATGTGTTAAGAGGGGCTGGTTGCGTGGTCGTGGAGCAACCGGTACAGACTGGTAGCAGGTACCGCACCCAACCGCACCCAACCTCAACGGGCGGGCGGTTCTGCTCCCTGCCCGCAGGCCGAGCCCAACCACCCGCTGCTGCTGCGCTTCGTGGACGCGCTCATGTCGCGCCGGCTGCTCAACCTCTTCGCCGACCTCACCATGCTGGACAACCCCTCGCTGGACAGGGAGATGACCACCATCAAGAACACCATCATTCAGATCATCGCGCCGCCGCCGCCGCCACCGCCACCCCCGTCTCCGCCCCCGCCGCCGCCGGCGGCCCTCGTTGAAAGGGCTCCATCAATGGACACCGCCCAGCCGGCCCAACAGCCGCAACCAGCGGAAGAGGCTCCCGCAGCAGCACTGCCGCCGCCGCCGCCGCCACCACCACCGCCACGGCCGGCCGTTGCCGCGCCGCCGCCGCCGATGGCCGCCCCGCCCCGGTACACCCCCAAGCCAGTACCGCAGCCATCCAAGAAGATGAAGCAGCTCTTCTGGGATGCCATTCCCTACGCTCGTCTGCATAACACGTTTTGGGTGGAGCGGGATGATGAGGATGAGGTGCAGGGCGGGGTTGCGGAGGGCGGGGCCATGGAGGGTGCGGGTGGTGCAGCTGGCGGCGGCGGTGGAGGAGGAGGAGGCGGTGAGGGACCGCCGACGCTGGACTGGTCGCTTATGGAGGAGCTGTTTGCGCAGGTGGGGAGGGGGGGGTGAGCCGTGACCTGTGCCAGCCGGGGGGTGGGGTGAGAAACCAACCCGTCCTAAAGGGAACCACAAATGGCAGCCGTGAAGAGGATGGTGTTGGTGATACTAAAGGGAACAAGAGAATATGTAGGGAGGGTGGGTTGGGGCGGAGGAGGGTGGCGGCAGAGGACCGCGTGGGGGGGGCGGTGACAGGCGTCGACCGGTGTGGATTCTGGTAAAGAGATTTGCCAGCACGCAACCAACAGGCTTAACCTCCTGCGGTTCATGCCGGGCGGTGCTTTCCCTACATCATAAACGCCCTGGGCTTGGCGTCTTAGGACACATACCGGTATGTCCCATTGCACTCACGTTCCAACTGATAACGTGTATGTATGCTTTGTTCCATTGTGGGCAGGTCATCAAGGCCCGCGCCACCCCCACCAAGGCAGCCACCGGCAAGCAGGCGCAGCAGAGTGTCATCGACTCCAAGCGCGCCTACAACATCGGCATCCTGATGGGGTCCAAGATCAAGATTCCGGTGCGTGGTACAGAATACGGCACACGGGCATCAACAGGAAACTGCTGGGGCGCTCACATGAAAAGCTTCCCTCGCTTGCGCCGCTTTATTCCCCCATGCTGTGAGACGTGCGTTATAAGTAAACTGGCCGCAATGCCTCACGTTGCAACAAACTGGCCGCAATGCCTCACGTTGCTGTCCATGCTGTCTTACACCTGCTACCGTGGCGTTCCCTTTCGGCGCACCGAAGGCAAGTTAATGGACGCCACCACGCCATCTCCTCGCTTCGCCCATGTCGCCTCCCCTCCTCCTCGACCTCCTCGGCACCCTCCTCCTGCCCTCCTCCTCCCCTCCCTCCTCCGGCCCCCAGGTGGACGCGCTGCGGGCGCGTGTGGTACAGCTGGACCCTCGCACCTTCGACAACGAGGAGGCGGTGGGGGCGCTGCTGCAGTGCGTGCCCTCCTCGGACGACGCGGCGGCACTCGCCATGTACCGGGACAGCGGTGGGGAGGAGGGAGAGGAGGGGGTCGTGTCCCGTGTCTTCACAGGGCAGGGGCTGTGGCAGGGTACCGGTGGACGGGCGTTGATTTGCCACGGGGATGCCGGAGGGGCTGGAATGATGACCCGTTTGTCTTGCTGACTTTGGTCTTGCTTGCGGGGGTGGGGGCCGACCTGAAACCGGCCTAGGCTAAGCGTACAAGCATGGCTCTGCATGTTCACGCTGAGACGCATTTCGCTGCCAGTCCTTTCATGTTCTTTTCGTTGCCACTACCCACCATACTCACGCCACACCAGAGCCGCGCCCACGCCTCCGCCCCCGGCCCCTCTTCCCCTCCTCCCGCCCCCTCCCCCGCTCCTCAGGCAAGCCGGTTGAGAACCTGGGCGACTCGGACCGCGTGTGTCTGGAGCTGATGGGCGTGCCAGCGGTGGAGCAGCGGCTGCGGGTGTACAGCTACAAGTTCCAGACACCGCACAAGCTCAACAGCGCCAAGCAGGTGCGGCCCGGCAGGCATGGCAGGGATGCAGGGTGTGTGTTAAGAAAACTGGCCGCGAGTAGGAACATACTGTGATTGTCGGTGTGTGTTTGAACGTACGGTACGGTATACGGTCCGTACGGTTCCACGCGCGGTCAGTTTCCTTGACACATGGGTGTTGATGTGTGACAGACAGACATGAAAGGTCGGAACGGTGGCGCATGTGCGACTGCATGTGCTCTGCGTCGCCGCGGGGGGCTGCGTCCGTTGCCCCCGGGCGGCCTGCTAGGAGGTGGCGTACCAGCGGCGCCGTGAGCTCATTGCAAGGGGGCCCTGTCCATGCTCCTCTCAAACTCAATCATCCTCCAGTACCCTTTGCGTCCTTTCCCATTCCCCACCTGGAAGAGGCATTCGCTGGTCCTCACCAGGTCCCTGCGGCTCACGTCTCACACCCCATGCGAGCCCCGAACTGCCTCCCTTCCCCCCCTCCACACTTCCCCCTCATCTCAACCCCTCTCGCGCCCTCCCCCCTCCAGGTGTTTGCCGCCAACTTGCGCGCCATTGAGGCCATGCGCTCCTCCCGCATGTTCCGCCGGGCGCTGCGCCTCGCACTGTTGGCGGGCAACTTCCTCAACTTCGGCTCGCGGACTGGCAACGCTGTGGGATTCCGGCTGAGAGCACTGCCCAAGCTGCAGGACACCAAGTGAGTCAGCCGGGTCGGGGTTGAGCCGGGTGGCTCTGGGTTGCTGCGCCGGGTTTCTGGGTGGTTTCGGGGCTTGGGCGCAGGATCTGTGGCGGCGAAAATGTGCTTTACCTAGGATCAAGACGTGCAGTCCTGACTACGGCACATGGCCTGTTTTGCAAGGACAGATGCGGCCCGTGCAAAAGCAAAGTAGCCCCGGCGGGGTTCAGACTCTGTGGCGGCCCCTTCATGACTTTGACGAGAGGGCAATTCACCTGAGCCGCGAGGAAATGCAGACCCTATAGCGTAAGCGTGGAGGTGGCCTGCCCGCTACACGGTATTCTGCGTGTACCATCTGATAACTGATGCCTTGCTCCGCCCCTGCCGCCGCTGCTGCCGCTGCGCAGGTCTGCGGACGGCAAGCACACGCTGCTGAGTGCGCTGGCGCTGGAGGTGATGCGGGTGATGGGGGGTGCGGAGGGCGGCGGCGGCTGCGACACGGTGCTGTCGGACGAGATGGGCGCGCTGGGGGACAGCATGCTCAAGGTGCGGGGGGCGGGAGGCGGGGCAGGGCGGGAGGCGGGGTGGCGGGGATGGGGGTGGCGGGAGTCAGGGCGCATTGCTTGCGCTCGCATGCGTTTTTGGGTGCCGGCTGGCGGCATGTCGGGGGGCAACACGGTGGGGGGGCATGCGGGGGTGGTCGGGCAACAGTGCAGTGGTCTGGGTGGTCTTTCAGACTTTGGAAGGGTGCGTATACAACCGCATGTCACCGCGCATCGAAGTTTACCCCCGCACTCCTGTACTCCCCCCCCAGGTGAGTCACGCGGAGGCGGGCGAGATGCTGGCCATAGCGGAGCAGCAGCTGGACGAGATACGCAGCTGCCTCAAGACGTACACGCCCATCACGGATGCGGGTGAGCGCGGGGGCGGGGGGTACAGGGGGATACGTCCGCTGGAGTGTTACGTTTATTCACGTTCACATAGCAGTTGATGCTGATGCGGCCAGCGTCCAGGCCGTCTGGCCCAGCTCCTCTCACCCCCTCCTCGGTTCCCTCCCCACCTCCCTTCCCTCTGCCACCCCCCCTTCCCCCTACCCTCCCCAACCCCAAGGTGTTGAGGACACGTTCGCGAGCTGCATGGCTGCCGAGCTGGAGGCCATGGAGACGCAGTACGCGGAGGTGCGCGGCATGCAGACCAGGTGGGGGGGAGCTGGGGAGTCTGGGAGGGGAGGGGAGGGGTGAAGGGGAAAGAGGGAGGAGGGGGAAAGAGGATGAACGAACCATGTGACAAGGGGTGGGAGGGGGCTGGGGAGGAGGGATGGTGGTGGTATTGGTGGGGTGCTGCACATGCAAAGGAAAGGGATATGTCGCCGCAGACCACCGCGCGATGTCCCCTGCACAGCAGCAGCGCACTTGGGCCCACTGGGCCCACCGTGCAGCACCCACCCACCCACCCGCCTCCATAAACAACACTCTCTCCATAGCTCTCTCCACCTCCCTCTCCTTCACATCCTGCCCGCACCGTCTTCACCCCAAACCGTGTGGTAACCCTAAACACATTACCTCCTCATCTCCTCTCTCCGCCCCCCTCTCCGCCCCCCCTCTCCCCCTCTCTTCCCCTCCTCTCCCCCTCTCTTCCCACCCCCCCTTGTCGTCCCCCAGCATGAAGTCCCAGTACGAGGCGCTGCTCAAGTACTACGGCGAGACGCTCAACTCCACCCCCAGCGACACCGAGTTCTGGGCGGCCATCGCGGCGTTCGTGGACAAGTTCAGCGCCACGCAGAAGAACCTGATTGCGGTGAGGAGGGGCAGGGGGAGGAGGGGCAGGGGGAGGAGGGGCAAGGGAAGGAGGGGGAGGAGGGAGGAGAGGGGGAGGTTAGTATAGGATGATGCCAGAAGAGGAGGCGAGGAAGAGGAGGAGGCGGGCCCGGATCGTGTGGTTTGGGTGAGGGAGGGCCCATGAAAGCACATGCGGAGCGTACCCGGTACTAGGGACCCGGCATCATTCACCTAAACCTTACCGGCGGGCCGCTACTGATGACATGCAGGAGCGGAAGGAGAAGGAGGAGCGAGAGGCGCGGCGGCGGCAGCGCGAGGCAGCCGATGCAGAGAAAGCGCGCAAGTGAGTTGTACACCCTACTCGTTCGCATCACCGCCTTCTGTTGTGCCCTCTTTCACGTCCCATGTGCGAGTCTTGCCGCTCCCAGTTGGTACGGCTCCCGGTACCCACTGCATGTGCTCAGCCCTACCGCTTAGGAGGCTTTGGAAGGGTTTGTAACCCTCACTCAAACCAGCTCGTGCAGTAGCACGTGGGCCCCTCCTCCTCCCCTCACTCCCCCTCCTCCTCCTGCCTGCCTCCGCACCAGGGCCAACCTGAGGCGCCAGGAGACGCTGGACGCGCGCGAGCGGCTGCTTGCTGCCGGCCGCACGCCCACCAAGCACGGCAGCCTCGCCGCACCGGGCGTCAGCTGCGGGGGCGGCATCACGCTGGCCGCCGCTGCGGACGCGGCCATCCAGCAGATGATGATGATGACGCCGGCGGCCTCGGCACCGTCGCTGGACGCCTTGACCATGCTGACCCCGCTGGACGGGGAGTCCCCCGGTGCCTCCCCGCCCGCCGGTCAGCGCGGCCCGGGCCACTCGCCACTCAACAGGCGACCCTCCAGGGAGGATGAAGCCGCATGGCGCTTCAACAGCCCCATGAGGCCCGTGCTGGGCAACAGCTTTGCGGACCGCTTGTCGGAGGTGTGCATGGGGCCCAGCGCGGCGGATGCGGGGGGGCCCAGCATAGACGGGGCGCTGCCCCCGGCGGGCCGACCCATGGGTCCGCATCACGGCCATCATGCCTCCGCGCCGTCGCACCTTTCCATGCAGTCGCATGCGCCACCTCTGGCGCAAGGAATGGGTGCGGCCGCTGCGGCGGGGCTGGCGGCGGCGGCTGCTGGGCTGGCTGCTGCTGCCGCAGGTCCCGGATCGACAGCGGCACCGCAGCAGCAGCAGTTGGGCCCCATGGGGCAGATTGCGCTGCCTCCTCTGGCGCCGCGATCCCAAGGCGGCAGTACGGCAATGCCGGAGCTCACCGCGGGCGGCGCCGCAGCTGGCCTCCTCTCCGCAGCCGCCACCGCTGCGATGAAGGCGGCGGAGGAGGAGCGCGCCATCCGCGCGGCCAAGCACGCCAGCAACGCTGCACTGGCCAAGATTCTGGTTGCCAGCCGCCGCAGTAGGGAACCCAGTGCGGATGGAGGAGCAGGAGGAGCGGAGTCGAGCGGCAACTCGGACGGCGGTGCGGCGGCGGCGGCGGCGGCAGCAGCGGCAGCGGATCGGGCGGAGTTGAACGCAGCAGTGGCAGCAACTGCAGGCGCGCGGCACGGCGCGAGCTCGTTGGGCAGGGAGTCACGAGCGAGTACCGTTGGGGGGCTGGTTGATGAGCATGGGGGCATGGAGCACCCGCCGCGCGTGCAGTCGCTGACGGGTATGCAGTCGCTGCCGGCGGAGGGCGGCAGCCGGCTGGGCGGGCGCTCCGGGGGCGGCGGCGGCAGCATGCATGGGGGCAGCCTGGCACGGGAGCGGCACGAGGACTGGAGCATCCGGATTGCAGTGGAGGACTTGATGCAGAGCATGCTGGATGACCTGGCGTACGGGCTGTTGGACCAAAGCCCGTGATGCGCGCGGGGAGAGGGCAGGTAAGGGGATGTTGAGCGCTGCAGGTATAGTAGCTTGCCTAGGAGCTTTGGAAATGGGTTAGGGCTTGGGTTGTGTGGTTTGCGAGGAGGGTAGGAATGCAGCGGAGGCCCTGCGGCGGCGGGGCTTGAGGTTAGTTAGAACTTGGTACGTGGGATGGGACTGGTGTTGGTGAGGCTGGTTACCGGCATCACGGGACTGGCTACAGGAGCAAGGCCGCGGTTTAGGAGTATAGCTGTGTTGGAGCTGATTGGTGAAGCGGTCATTGACTTTACAGGTGTCGTATCGTTGATACCATGGCGCTTCTCAGGTCGCATAATGGACGCGGCGTGCAGGACAGGTCCTTTATCTTTCCGTTCTAACAACTTTCATTAAGCCAACGCCGCATTTGAGCATGGGTACAGCGAGGGCGGAACAGGATTGAGCAAATAGATGGGATGTATGTCGGTTTGGAATGCAGGCAGGGCTGAGGGCTCCGAAATGCAGGCCGGGATGCGAGGTGGGAGAAGGTGGGGTCCACTTGAGCAAAGGGAGTGAGGCGGGTGATGCGGTGTAACACAAGAGGGTTTGCATGGAGCCCAGAGGGGACCCATGGTTCTGTTTGCAAAACGGCACTGCCACCCAGTGAACGGAGGTATGGCACTGTGGTCATTTGTGCTTGCACCAAATCCTAGGCTCCCAGCGCCACACCAACGGTGCGTACGGCCTGTACGGTGAAACCAGGAGCGGGCTATGGTGAGCTACGTCCGCTCCTCCCTAGTGCAATCGTATCTTGTAAACGTTCGTATACAAGGGAGATAGTATGGAAGACCGCGTACAGCAGTTTCACACTGACGCCCAACGTCCACGCGACGCTCGAACCCCAAAAGAAATTGAACGATTGCGCAAGTTTCTCTTCAAAAATCAAGAATACAGGTTCACAGAGCGCGAGCAATCACATCTGTTTTGCGCAGTGCAAGCGCATTTCGCAGCGCACGCCGACCTGCCAGACGAGGAAGCCAGAGAGCCAGCGCTTGGGCTGATAGATGATGCACTTAAGATGCCTTTTACTGTTTTCACAACAAGTCAGAAGAAAACTTTCTTGAAATGGCACGCGAAGCTGACCGGTCAGGCGGATGGAGGTGCTGCTGCTGGCAGCGCTTCGGCAGCACCAAAGCAGCAGCGCTTTCAAGTCTACGACGTAACAGAAACATCCATAAGTTGTATGACCGCTGATGGCGATACGGCTGACATCGACGTACAAACAAGCGACAAGGACCTTGTAGCCAAGGCAAGAAGCTAGATCCACCTCCCTGCTGTCAGCGATGTGGCATCGAGTTGTGGCATGCCGTATGTGCTTGGCCCCGACTGTCCTGAAACCACTCCCGAAGTAACCAGCTGCAACATCGCCTCCCAAACCTTATCCCTCTCTTGCGCAGGTGCGCGAGCTCTTCGACGCGGGTGTGGACGTGAACGTCCACCTGGATGAGGGCCGCAAGAGCTTGGTCGGAATAGTTCGGTCCGACTAACACCCGTCACACCCACGCCACCTCACTACCGGCGTTGCTGCTGCCGTGGCCTCCGCTTTCGCGTAAACCACTCCCAGAGCAGCTGACGGCGTGGAGGTTGTGGCTTGCTAATCCTGGCTGCCGCTGCAATGGCAAATATGTTGTCAGGACGCTGCTTGACACACCGGCTTAGGCATGGGCGGTTGAGGAGTGAGGCAGGTGTATGGACACTGGCAGGAAGCATGCGCCTCACTGTTGCTTGATCCCCATCACGAGTGGGGCTGCGGGCTTGCGCTTATAAGGAATGGCAGGACGACACAGGACTAAGGCGGATGGTGGAGTCAGAGCAGCATTCCCTGCGGGTGCACCTGCTGTGCTTCCGGGACCTTGCATTTTGACACAATGTTGGGCTGTGAAGAGCGTGAGGAGAGTGGAGAGCGGTGTGAGTTAGGTCATTTATCCCTGTGGCCGCTGTGGGTTGTACGTGTGTGATGTGATGTGCGCAGGAGTGGAGGGCAGAGAGGAGAGGAAGGTATGAGAGGCATGATGGAGGGGAGCCTGTGGGTGAAGCGCGCTGGGCTCATTCTCAGTGCTTGCTTGCGAAGCGGCGAGATGTTGTATGACTGCAGGCCGCTGGCACCGGGGGCACTATCGTGAGCATGAGCCGAACCCCCGCTGCATGCAGCCGTTGCTAGGGCTTGAGGGCTTGCTAGCGTGCGCTCGTCCTTTAGTATAGACTGGCTGCTTTGTTGAGAGGCACAAGCATGAGGAGGCTTACGTAGTATCCTCAGGATCGTCTAGCACTTAAGAGACTGAGTCGCGTGCATGGGGCCCTCAGCATGCGAGGTTGTCAATGTGCACACCGGTACATCCTGTTTTTCCCCATCTCATTGCCGTACCCAAACAGCCACGGGAGACTGCTACGACCTACGACATGCGCCCCTCCTCTTTCAGCCCGCTTTGATCAGCAGCTCCATCCGAACGCTCGCACCTCGCATGGCCCCCCATCACCACCACCTCACTACCACTGCCACCGCCACCACCTCATTGCCCTTTGCAACCAGAAGCAAGCACCCGCTGCGGTCCCAACTCCTGCGGGTAACAGCGCCAAGCAGGGGCCCCACACTCCGTCCGCAGACTGTTGCAGCAGACCCCGCTGTCGCACACGCAATGACACATGCGGCGGATCTGACCGCGCGTCAAAGCACGGCACGTCATGGAAGACGGTTAGTCGACAAGGTAACGTCACAAACAAACCCAATAAGGAGCGCACACCGCCGTCACGGCGGGAGCATGTGCTACAACACATAGCAGGAGCCACTACATGCGGGGTGCGGGGTGATGCGACTTGTGTATCATGCAGCTCGGCAGAATGGTCCTGTCCTACCGTACATGTCTCATCAACAGCACCTCGAGCACCGCACATATGCACAGGAAACAACAACAGGAGGTATTCTCTCGTTCCATTCCGAACAATGCAACGAATTCCCAGTGAGATGTGTGTACTACAGCTATGATACGACAGGGTACAAGTACGAAAGATGTACAATGAAGGAATGCAGCCATGGACACTAGCTGAGCATTAATAACAGCATGCCCTCCTATCAGGGCCATACGACCATATGCGCTACGTCATGTTGCCAGGTCAGACCAACCTGCCAAACCCCAATGGGCCGAGCCAGCCGTACCCCCCTAAAAGAATGAACGTCACTCGGTTACGTCACGTCGTGGAGGTCATCAATCGTCACACACGTCACGACGCCGACAGTGGCATGGTGCACGCCAAGTCGTCAAACAACACATACCGGTAGTCTGTTTGAGAGGGGTGTACTATTAGTACGTTGGACTTCATTTCACGGAACCCGGCCCAATCTGAGAAAGCTTTTTAGTGGCTTGCTACCTCGCTCCCCTCGCTGCGCCTCAGCAACTGCAAGTTGCATTGGGCAACAGCAGTGCCCTGCCAACGCAAGCCACTCGCCCTTTCGTGGCCGCTCGCCAGCACCCTCAACCCGCCAACACCGCCCAACATTGCAAGCCCCCGGGCGACCTGCAACCTGGCAGCCGCCAACAGCTACACACACGCGCAAAGACATCAATAAACCAACTGCAACCTACCTCCCATTCGTTACGGCACATTGCCCGTTCGTTCATGATCACGTTCTTTTCAACACCACAGCATCATTCGTTCATGAATTACGATCCCTTTTCAAGTACCAAAACCTGCCCATGCCAACAGCGCGCCCCTACGGCTCCTCCGCAACGAAACGCAGCTCAATGCCTCCGGCTTGCTCCAAGCGCCCCCTCCCGACCCCGCGCTCTTATGGACTCCTGTGACTGCCAGGCCTTGTTGGCGCGGGTCAGCTGCGCCTGCCTGCGCTGCTCCTCCTGCAGCCGCATCAGGTCTACAGGTCCGATCTTGTCATCGCCGTAGGTGGGGCCGCGGGTGGTCCAGCGCATCAGGAACTGGCGCCGCTCCTGAGGGGGTGGGGGGGGCGCAGTGGGGGGTGAATTGGGATGTTGGGAAGGGCTTGCACTTTTGGAATCAACTGGAAGTGAAAGAATGCATGCAGGACATGGAAAGGGAAAAGGGAAAGCAAGGGAAGCGCGGGGCGTACAGGTACCCCAGCTGGCGGGCAGGCAGGCGCCAAGGTCTGGCCGGTGGGAGGGATGCAAGGCACGTCATGACGGTGCTGTGCACCGGGGTAGCAGCGGCACTGAGCAGTTTGACTGACAAGGTTGGGAGCGGGAAGTGGTTGACGGTGGAGAGCGTTCCCTCACCTCCTCAGTGGCGTTCGCAGGCAGAGTGTCCCGTGGGTCGCCCTCCGCCAGCAGCTCGTCCTCACTCAGGTCTTCGTCGGCGCCGTACGTGCCCTCCGCGTGCTTGAACTGCCGTACACTGCGATTACCTCCGGTCTGTGAGATCGGGGTATTGCAGGGGCCGGTTGGTTAGTTGGGTAGTGACATGAATAGGTTAGGGACTCTTGAGTGGTGCTGTGCAATGCACACGGAATCTTCGAGTGCAAAGCATATGAATTCAGCAAAAACATATCCTTGGCAGCAGTCGATAGCGCAAGAAGGGAGCAAGTGCAGCTGCTTCGGTCGCAGCGGCGGCACCCGCGACGTACCCTCGTTCCCGCCGCCGGTGCGGCCCCCGGCTGCCCCGTCGGGCCCTGCTCCTCCTCCAGATCCCCTTCGTCGATCTGCGGTATGGCAGCACGCGCGGAGACACTCCTCTCAGCGATTGTACGTTGGTTCCAGGATGCTATGACAATGAAAGCAAAATACCGGTAGCACGATCTTGGGCTATTAGATAGCGAGTCAGCGAGGATACCGGCACGCCTAAACTCGTGTTGGTTTTCAAAGACCAGAAGTCTGCCAGGCAACGGCCAGGCAGACAATAACGCACTGCGCTACCCACATTGTCAAGGCCGCCTGCGAACTTGAGCTGCCGCGCCTGCTTGCCGGAAGCACCCGCTGCCCCCGCCCCCGCAGCAGCAGCGGCCTGGGCGGCGGCAGCCTCTGCGTCGAATGCGCCTTGCTGGCCGCCCTTGTCGGGTCTGCACGGGCGGGCGGGTGGGAATCGGAGGAGGGCGAGGAATGCGCGAGGGGAGCGCACGGGATGACATCTGGGACCTTCCGTCCGAAGTGTGCCGGTTCATACTCATCATCATTATAACTGGACAAGCATGGCACAAACACGCTGCGACACCGCATCAACCGCATGCCAACCCTCCACCTACACCCCTGCACCCCACCTCTGAAAGCCCCGGATCTGGGGTGGCAGCGGTGCTCGGCCAGCCGGGGAAAGCCCCACCGCCGCCTCTGCGCTCGCCTCCTCCTCCTGCAGGCCTCCATTGTTCGCGTCACCTGGCCGGTGGAACTGCCGGCTGCGGGCGCCGCCAGCCGCGGCGGTCTTGGACGGCGCTTCCTCCGCCGCGGCAGAGCCTTCGTCATCAAACTCGCCGTCCTGACCTCCGCTGGGGCGGTTGAAGTGCATACCACGCCGGCCGGCGGCGCCGCCGCCGCCTTGGGCTGCTGCCGCCGCCGCGTCTTCCTCCGCCATCCCTCCACCCAGGCCGTCGCCAGCGTACTTGAAGTCCCTGGCGTGACCAGCTGCCCCTGCAGCAGCGGCGCCGCCAGCTGCCGCTGCAGCGTTACTAGCCTCGTCGTCAAACTCGCCGTCGTGACCACCGCCAGGGCGGTTGAAGTGCATGCCTCGTTTATCACGACCCGCCTGGGTTAGCGCCGCCGCCGACGACGACTCTTCATCATCGATGTCGCCGCCGTCGCCGTCGGCACCATGCTTCCATCGTACGGCACGCTGAGTGGCTGCCGTACCGTTCTTACCTGCCGTACCACCGGGTCCATGTACCTCATCGTCCATGTCGCCGCTGAGGCCACCGCCGGGACGTTTGAAAGGTACGGCACGCTTGCTGCCGCCGGTTACGCCGCCGCCAGCCTCCAAGTCCTCACCAATGTCCCCACTCAACACCGCGGCGTCCCGAGGCGGGTCGCCTAACCCGGTGGCGCGGCCAAAGATGGGCGGCAAGCTGCTTGCCTTGGCGGAGGCGCCACCGCCAGGTGAGGCAGCATCAGCGTCGCTGCCACCGCCGCTGCCGTACTGCCACAACCTGGCGCCCGTACGCGGTCCGCGTCCGCTGCTTTCCAAAGCACCCTCCTCATTGCCTCCTGGGGCCTCCTCCTCGCCAACGCCGGCTCCTTGACGCCAGGTGCGCGCTCCGCCGGCGCCATCACTGCCGGTAGCAGCTCCGCCGCCGTTACTAGTACTCGCAGCAGCCTTAGGCGCAGCCCTAGCCCCTGCTGCTTGGGCGTCAAGCTCGGCCATAGAAGGCAGCGGCGATGTTGGAGATACGGCGTGCTGGCCTCCTTCGTCCGCCCCGCCGCCGAAAACGCCTCGCAGCCGCGAGAAGAAGCCCCCCTTGGATTGGCTGCCCTCTCCACTGGCGGCGGCGGCGGCCTCGCCTAAGGTCCCGCTCGTCTGACTTTGACGAGATGCAGCGCCATCTCTGCCGCCGCCGCCGCCAGCACCAGCACCAGCTGCTGCGGCGGCGTCGGCCTCATCATCGACAGCATCGTCGCCCGCAAAATCCTGAACGCGAGAGTTGGGAACGCATGTGCAGTCAGATGACGAAAGGGACTCTCCTGTTCTCCTGTTCTGCAACCCGCGAACCCGCGTACAGAACCCACTTCCGCCTCCCTGCTATCAGCGAAAGATGGTGTCCAATGCTCCCATGGAGCTCGCCTTCCAAAGCAGCTCTCACTCACCGGCAGCACGGGCACCTTGAGCGAGGTGCCGCCCCCCACCCCGCCAGCCACCTCACTACCCCGCACGAACAGCCCACTGCCGCCACTGGCGCCGTGGGGACCACCCGCCGCAGTCGCTGAGAAGGCGCCGCCTCCATCCTGCGTCAGTGCATGCGTGCAAGGGGTCTTGAGGTAAGTAGGATTACAAGGAAGGTCAGGACGCATGCGGGGGGCAGCAATTGAAGAATGCGCAGTATCGTAGCATTGACCGCACTAGACGGCCCGTGCATAAGTACCGTAACAGCCAGCAACACCCAGATCTCCACCACCCAATCCACCCTTACCGCGGCCACTAGCAGTCCTGAAGCGCCTGCACCTCCACCTGCACCTCCATCGCCCTCCCCTTGCTGCTGCTGCTGCAGCGCCGCGGCTGCCTCCATCTGTGCCGTCACCTCCCGCACCAGCGCCGCGTCCATCGAGGCAGTGTGCAGGACGCCCGGCAGCGTGGAAGCAGGGGACAGGGCCTCCCCGCCGCCCTCCCGCGCATGCAGGCCGGGCAGGACCGACTTGGCGAAGGGGTTGCTAGCAGCGGCAGCGGCAGCAGCGGCAGCGGTGGCGGCGGCAGCGGCGGGGCTAGACAGCGCTGGAAGCGCGGATTTGCGGGCCTTGAGTGGCGGGAGCTGCGGCAACACGCCTGGCGCGCCGTACAGGGTCCCCGAGGACGGCGAATCACCGCCGCCGGCAGCGTTGGGATCGTCTACTGGCATGACGCCGCTGACACGACGGCTGGGGCTGACCAGGGTGGGCAGCACCTTCTTGAACGTTAGGGAGCGCCGACCCAGGGCGGGGTCCAGTTCAGGCAGCTTGTGTACAGAAGCGCGAATCGGCGGCAGCGCCGGTCGCTTCAATCCGCCGCCGCCGTCGGTGCCGCCGCCTCCGTCCTCTGGGCCACCGATGCCCGGCGCGGCTGCCGACGCAACCGCCACTGCGGCGCCACCGCTGCCGTCACCCGCTAGGTGCTCCGTGGGCACCGAGTCCGGGGAGCAGGGCCCCTCGTACTCCACTGCGGCCGCCGTCCTGGGCTTGATGGCTGGCAGGTTGCGAGCCTTGAGTACGGCGGTCTTGACGGCACCGCCGCCGCCGCCTGAACCAACACCGCCGTCGCCCGCCGCCTCCACATTGTGTCCGCCGCCTCCGTCAGCGGCGGAGACGCTGGCGGCGTTGACGTCAGAGGCGGACCCGCGTGCAGCCCCGCCGCTTCCGCTGCCGCTAGCGCTGCTGCCGTCGCCATCAGTCGAGGGAGCGGACTTGGCAAGAACAGCCGCAGCGGCGGCGGCGGCGGCGCCTCCGTCCTTCCCGGATCCTTCTCCTGGCGGGGTCACGGGTTGCGCCCAGAGGCGGGCTCCTTCCTGCGCTCCCTGACCGTCCGGGGCGGCACCGTCGGCGTCCTTCTCATCAGCCACCTTCCCTCCCTGCACCAGCACAGCGTGAAGCATGTAATGAACTAAGCATGTATTAAACTGTGTGCGAAGCCCAACCCGCAGGAAGTTTGGGCCGCGGCAGTGGAGGTGTGTCCGTGCTGCGAGCCCGCACTCGCTCTCTCAGCGTAGAAGGTGGCTTGCGCGGAAAACAGCCTAGCGCCTAGACGCTCCCCTTCCTGACCCACCTGGGGTTGGGTGGTCTTGGGGACGCACGGCAGGCAGCGGCAGCAGCGGCGCCAGCACAACGCCGCCAGCAGCAGCCCCAGCAGTACGGCACCGCCCGCCGCCGCCCCGATAATGATCAACATGGGGGGCGAGGTGCCGCCCCCTTTGGAGCCGCTACCGCCGCCCCCATCCACTGTGACGACCGGCAGGGTGCCCGAGTACTGGACGGTGGTGCATGAGGGGGCGGCGGTGGAGGCGGCCAGTGAGGCGGCTTGCAGGGCTGCGAGGGCGGCGGCGCTGAGGGCGCTGCAGTCGGTGTAGGCGCCGCCTGCCGCTGCGGATAGGGCACGGACCTTTGGGAGGGGGAGAGCAGGGAAGAGGGCGGTGTGGAAGGGATGTGTGGTGAGGGATAAGGGGCCCTGGATTGTTGATCGTGGCCTATAGACGGGTTAGGCACATGTTGGCGTATGGGTGGGGACATTGGGCCGGGATCATGGGTACAGTAGGCCCTACCGTGGCCCCTGCTGCCGCCCACTCCCCCGCCAGCGGCCCCAGCGGACACACCCCCGCCACCCCGCCGTCCGAGAGCGCGTGGAAGACGGAGGAGCGGAAGACATCGATGGGAGTGGCCGGGTCAAGCTGCGTGGGGCAGGCGTGGGGCGAGTTAATGACCACCATGTACGACGGTTATAAGAGGATTGCAGCCTGTAGCCCAGGCACCAGGAACAGGTTGCATATCTGTACCCGGTAACTACGGGCGCCGTCACCGCAAGAAAACCAGGAGCATGCCACACAGGAATGCAGCCAACATGTGCCAAACTGACTCCGGCACATGGGCTCCTGTGTGCTTGCTGCTGGGCTCATTTCCAGACAGAGGGGGCACAGGACACACCCGCGCGCGGCCCTACCCTGAACGTGATGTTGTTGGTCACTGAGTAGGTGCAGACGCCCTGAGGACAGCGGGTGGGCGGGGAAGGGAGGTGAGGGGGAGGCAATCAGGGGGGCGGGAGGAGAGGAGGCGAGCGGCGGAGTGGGGGGCAGCGCAGAAGCATCTTGCGGGATGGGCTACACGCGACAAGAGATCTGTGACGCGACGCATGTTCCGCCCTGGCCCCACCAGTGGCAGCTCCGCTAGCGACCCCACCCCGGCCGCACACGCCTCACGCCCCCCCTCACCGTATCGTCGCTTAGCTGCCGCCGCCGCCCCTGCTGGGCCCCCTGCTGCCCCCCCTGCAGCCTCCTGCGCCCGCTGCTGCTGCTGCTGCTGCTCCCCTGCTGCTGCTGCAGGCTGCATGCGGTGCTCATGTTGGCGGTGGGGAAGCCGCCCAGCAGCCCCGACAGCGCGGACAGCAGGGAGTACTGCACGCCCGAGTCGCAGCTGGCGTAGGGGGAGTCGCCCTGGGGGGGGGGGCATGGCGCTAGTTTGCTGCTTGTGGTTTTCTTGCATTTTGTGAGGAGACTGTGTTTGAGCAGATGCCAAACAAGGGCAGCGCAGATACTTGCGGAGGGTGTGGGACAAAGCGTGATGAACCGAAAATGGTCTGCAAGCACAACCCGCTCCAAGGGCCCCACCAACCTCAGCCATACCTGGAAATGCGCCGTGGCAGTGAGGGTGTTGCAATCCAACTGCAGTACGGCGCCCTCCAAGTACGGCAACGTCGTGTTGGCGTAGAGCGCGGATCCAAGAGTGATCACCGCTTCGTAAGCGGTGACGGAGGTGCCAGGCGGCGGCGGTAACGGTACGACAATGACACCGCCACCGCTGGGAGGCAGCCGCGGCGGCGGGGCCTGCAGGATTTGAACACTTCCCGGCGGGCCGGGAGAAGGAGGCGCTGGTGGCAGCGGCGGCGGTGACGGCGGCGGGACTGGTGGCGGCGACGGTGGTGGGGTGGGTGGTGATGGCGGCGGTGGTTGCGGTGTTGGAGGAGGCGGAGGAGAAGGCGGGTGGCGCGGTGGAAGGGGCGGCGGTGGAGGACGCAGAGGAGGGTCGGGTGCAGACGGAGGGGATGGAGGGAGTGGTGACGGAGGTGCAGGCGGCGGAGGGGAAGGAAGCCTTGGCGGCGACGGAGGTGAAGGAGGAGATGGCGAAGGCGGGCGAGGTGGAGGACTGGGCGGCGACGGCGGTAAAGGCCGGCTTGGGGGTGGGCTAGGCGGTCCCGGCGATGGTGGGCTGAGAGGAGGGCTGGGCGGTGCAGGCGGCGATGGGGGCGATAGCGGCGGCCGCGGGCTTAGCGGAGGGCTGGGTGGAAACGGCGGAGACGGAGGGTCGGGGGGCGGGCTTGGCGGCAGCGGCGGCGCCGGCGGGTCGGGGGGCGGGCTTGGAGGGAGCGGCGGCAAAGGTGGGTCGGGAGGAGGACTGGGAGGGAGCGGCGGCGACGGTGGGTCGGGAGGTGGGCTTGGCGGCAGCGGCGGCGACGGCGGTCCTGGAGGAGGGCTGGGAGGTAGCGGCGGCGATGGTGGATCGGGAGGCGGGCTTGGCGGCAGCGGCGGCGACGGCGGGCCTGGAGGAGGGCTGGGAGGGAGCGGCGGCGACGGCGGGTCTGGAGGAGGGCTGGGAGGGAGCGGCGGCGACGGCGGTCCTGGAGGAGGGCTGGGAGGTAGCGGCGGCGCCGGCGGGTCGGGAGGCGGGCTTGGCGGCAGCGGCGGCGACGGCGGTCCTGGAGGAGGGCTGGGAGGGAGCGGCGGCGATGGTGGATCGGGAGGCGGGCTTGGCGGCAAAGGCGGCGACGGCGGGTCTGGAGGAGGACTAGGAGGGAGCGGCGGCGACGGCGGCCCTGGAGGAGGACTGGGAGGTAGCGGCGGCGACGGTGGGTCGGGAGGTGGGCTTGGCGGCAGCGGCGGCGACGGCGGGCCTGGAGGAGGGCTGGGAGGTAGCGGCGGCGATGGTGGATCGGGAGGCGGGCTTGGCGGCAGCGGCGGCGACGGCGGGCCTGGAGGAGGGCTGGGAGGTAGCGGCGGCGACGGCGGGTCTGGAGGAGGGCTGGGAGGGAGCGGCGGCGACGGCGGGTCGGGAGGTGGGCTTGGCGGCAGCGGCGGCGACGGCGGGCCTGGAGGAGGGCTGGGAGGGAGCGGCGGTGCCGGCGGGTCTGGAGGAGGGCTTGGCGGCAGCGGCGGCGACGGCGGATCTGGAGGAGGGCTTGGCGGCAAAGGCGGCGACGGCGGGTCTGGAGGAGGGCTTGGCGGCAGCGGCGGCGACGGTGGATCGGGAGGCGGGCTTGGGGGTAGCGGCGGCGCCGGCGGGTCGGGAGGCGGGCTGGGAGGGAGCGGCGGCGACGGCGGCCCTGGAGGAGGGCTGGGAGGGAGCGGCGGCGACGGCGGGTCTGGAGGAGGGCTTGGCGGCAGCGGCGGCGACGGTGGATCGGGAGGCGGGCTGGAAGGGTCTGGAGGCGCCGGCGGGCTGGGAGGTGGGCTGGGAGGTTCCGGAGGTGACGGTGGCGCCGACGGCAATGGTGGACTAGGAGGTGTCACGGGTGGCGACGGAGGCAGCGGTGGCGATGAGGGCGGCCCAGGCGGTGATTGCGGTGGTGCCGGCGGGCTTGGAGGGGGGCTGGGCGGTGACGGAGGTGACGGGGGCGGCAGCGGAGGCTCCGGCGGGGGCCGGGGAAACGGGGGCTCGGACGGCGGCTGTGGCGGTGGTGAGGGCGGCGAGGGTGGGAGTCCAGGCAAGGGTGGTTGTGCTGGTGGCGAGGGTGACGGCGGCGGCGGCGAGGGATTCGGGGAAGGAGGCACGGGGGTGGGGGGCATGGGCGGCGGCGCTGGGGGCGGCCGAGGAAAAGGGCTTGGCGGCGGAAGCCGCGGCGGGGGTAGTGGTGAGGGCGGCAGTGGCGGCGGCGAGGGAGAGGGCGGCTGTGGCGGTGGCGGGGAGGGTGGCGGCGGCGGGGAGGGATAGCAGTTGTTGTCACAAGTGAGTGTGAAAGGGAAGTAGGAGCAGCCGGCGGAGGTGAGGCGCGACACGGAGGTGCCGCCCCAGGCCGTGGCGGTGCCGGAGGCGTTGGAGCAGGCCTGGGGGTGTGATCGGACAGGGGGAAGTGGGCGGGAGGTGGGTGGGTGCCGTGCACCTGCTGGTAGGGTGGGGTCGAGGAGGGTCAGCGCTTGGGTCAGCCAACCCCACCAGCCCGAGCAGCCCGTAAGTTCCTTTCTAGCTGCTGCCAGCAACCAACACTCACCGATACGGAGGTGTCCACTGCTAGCCACAAGATGAAACTGTCTGCGGGTGCGAAGTCGGGAAAGGGAATGGCTTACAGGATGCCTTGCGGTGCAACGGTGCGTTGTGCGACTTAAGAAAGCAGCTAGAGGTAACACACCGTACACAAGCACAGTCCCCAGCTCCTCCCAACCCACCGGAGATCCCCGTGCTTTGGTAGTAGCACGGCAGCAACGTGGAGACGTCCACCAGAACCCCCGTCGTACGGCTGTTGCAGTCAACCGTCGTACGGAAACCGCCGCTGCCGGGCGATCCAAGATCCGACGGCGCCGGACACCCGGTGGGCGCTGCAGCACCCGCCGCCTGCTGCCAGATATCCAGTCCGACGGTGCTGTCGCCGGGAGCGAAGTAGCGACTCAGGGAGACGTCTAGCTTGATTGTATGAGCGTCGTAGGAGCTTATGGTCACATTCCCGAGATCCGTCAGGATTCCGTCACTGTACATTCGTCCGTTGCGTGCTGTTACACGTAGACAACCCGATTGTGGCGGGGATTGAGGCGGGGAGGGTGGGAGTGACGGCGGGCTGGGCGGTGACGGCGGCGGGGGCGGGGGCGCCGGCGGCGCGGGCAGAGGCACGGGTGGCGACGGGGGAGTGGGTGGCGGCGAGGGTGGTGGAGGCGAAGGCGACGGCGGAAGGGGCGGGGAGGGTGGCGGCGCAGGCGGCTTGGGCGGGAAGAGTGGTGGGAAGTCGGGCGGTGGCGGAGGTGGAGGTGGCGGCGGCGGCGGATCCGCACCCCCGGGCTGGGTTGGCGGCTTGGGCGGTGGCCTAGGGGGCCTGGGTGGAGGCCAGGGGCGACCTGCGTGCGGGTTTTGGGAGAGGCGGTGGTGGCGGCATTGCACAGCGGGCGACGGCGAGTATTGGGCTATGCCAATTCAGGCTTCCGGTAAGCGCTGATGCAGTCGCGTGCGGGGTGTGCAAAGGAAACTCACAGCGGCTACATGGCACAGCGCTAGGAAGAGTCCCATCCCCCCGTACCCCTTGCCCCAGGGTGGGTTATCTACGCTAGAGGCAAGCACGCAAAGGGACTTCTGACAGGATGCGGGTGAGACCTACGTGGCACGTACGGCGCCCGAGGCGGCGGTGACGGCGGCAGTGGCGGCGGGCTGGGAGGGTCGGGTGGACTGGGCGGCGGCGAGGGGGGGCCGGGGTACCTGCGGGTAGGACGCGGAGGGGTGTGCGGGGCGAATGGAGGGGGGTGCCAGCTGAGGAGCAAAACTCGCAGCACGGGGGCACCCACCGGGCTGGTGCATGCATCACACCGCACAGCAGGATGATGGCTACGGAGTCAAGGCAAGGCTCCGCCTCTGTTGAAAGCATCTGAGCTGCGCAGAAGCCACCGCCGTTGCTACCACGAAGTTCATGGCCATATGCTCCAGTCTTGCAAGCGCATTGGCAGCCGACTAGGCCTTATGCTTGCTTCCCAAGACGACACAGGAGCCGTACCTGGAGTGGGGTGGCGGGGAGGGCCGCGGCGGCGGATAGGGCCGGCGGGGCTGCCGAGGAGGGTACGGCGCCGGCGGAGGCGACGGCGGCACGGGTGGCAGTGGCGGCGACGGCGGCAGCGGCGGAGGCGGAGATGGTGGTCGAGGGCTCGGGGGTCCCGGCGACGGAGGTGGCGGAGGCGAAGGCGGAAGGGGTGGGCTTGGGGGTGTGGGGCTGGGAGGCAACGGAGGTGAAGGAGGTAGGGGAGGATGTGGGGAGGGCGGCGGGGGCGGTGGGGGGCTGGGTGGGCTGGGAGGGAGCGGACTGGGAGGCAGCGGCGGGTTGGGGCTGGGTGGTGAGGGAGGCGGTGAGGGGGGCTTGGGTGAGGGCGGCAGCGGCGACGGCGGCAGCGGGGGCGAGGGAGGATTGGGCGATGGTGGCAGCGGCGAGGGTGGTAGTGGGGGTGAGGGGGGCGGTGGTGGCGGGGAGGGAGGCTTGGGTGACGGCGGCAGCGGCGACGGCGGCAGTGGCGGCGAGGGAGGCTGCGGACTGCAGAGGGAGCATGGGCGGGCAGGATAGGAGCAGTCAGCATGATGCTCAGAGGCAGGCAACCGACATGCTAGCCTTCCGCAGCCGCCTACATGACGGCTCATGAGGACAACAAAAGTACCGGTACGTGGATGCTATCGTTCTTCAAGTGGTAGGACAGGCTTCATGCAAACGTTTTCTGCAGACGTGCACTTACGATGGCGGCAGGGGCGAGGGAGGTGACGGCGGAGGGGATGGCGGCTTGGGCGACGGCGGCGGGCTGGGAGGCGACGGCGACGGAGGATCAGGTGGAGGGGGCGGGGGCAGAGGGTTGGGGCTGGGAGGGAGCGGACTGGGCTGAGGTGATGGAGGGTCGGGAGAAGGCGGCAGCGGCGAGGGAGGGTGCGGGGGGTAGGCCGGCGGGAGCGGCGAGGGCGGCAGCGGCGGGTCAGGGTATGGCGGCGTGGGGCTTGGGGGCGGCGAGGGCTCGGGACTGGGTGGCGGTGACGGCGGCGAGGGTGGATCGGGTGGCGGTGACGGCGGCGGCGAGGGCGACGGCGGCGAAGGTGGAGGCGAAGGAGGTTCGGGAGGGGAGGGTGATGGTGGCAGCGGCGGCGACGGCGATGGAGGTGACGGAGGCGGTGACGGAGGGGAGGGCGGCAGCGGGCTTGGCGGCAGCGGCGAAGGCGGTGATGGGGAGGGTGGCAGCGGCGGATGCGGCGAAGGTGGTGGCGAAGGCGACGGCGGCCGCGGCGGCACCGGCGGAGGTGCGGGAGGCAGCGGCGACGGAGGCAGCGGCGACGGCGGAGGTGACGGCGGTGGCGAAGGCGGCGGAGGCCTCGGGGCCGGTGACGGCGGCGACGGCGGCGGGTCCGGCGGGGCGTCTGGCGGCGCGTCGGGTGCGTCGGGGACGAAGGGTGTCGGGGGCAGGGGCGGCGCCGGTGGCCGCGGCGGCGGGTGGGGCGGTGGTGAGGGAGGTCGGAACTGGATGGGCGTGTACTGCAGCGAAAAGGAAAACTGCAGGGAGGGAGACAGGGGGGAGGCAGGCAGGCACGAAGCACGAGGAAGTCCTTACCAGCGGACAGAAGGCACCAGATCCTTCACGGCTATGCAACTACTGTATGCAAAGCGAGTAGGTAAGCAAGCCATGTCAGGATGGCCGGCAGCTCTGGTGTTTACAATGATTACAGAGTTCACGAGACGCCGTGGACTCATGCAACGACTACACAGTGTCGTCACAGCAGCAACAGCGACAGCAGCAACAGCACTGCCCTGCCCAGCACCAGATGCAGCGAACAGCACAACCTCCCTTGCGTTGCCCCCCACCCCACCCGGGAATCAGCGGTGGCCGGGTCGTTGAGGCTGCATTGCGCGGGGTTGGGGCCGTCGGAAGGGTCCGCCTGCGCACGCGTGACACACGGCAGTGGTGGGCGAACGAAGGTAGTCACACCTCTGGCAGTTACGGAGACAGCCCATCCCCATTTCCAAGCCCAGTGGCCGCGAGCAGCCTTAGGAAAGTAGCACCCGTTCCTTCCTATACCCTTCTTCCTCGCATTCCCCACATCGACGCGGCACCGACACGGCTACCGAAACAAACCGCATACCGGAACCTCCCGCTCCCAGGGCCGCCCTAACCCTCCCCACCTGGTACGTCTCCGCCAGGAAGCTGACGGAGGCGGTGTAGGTGATGGGGTCACAGCCGTTGTCGCCGGGCAGGCTGGGGTCGAGGGTCTTGGCGCGCACGGAGAGGGAGGCGCAGCTCAGGAACAAGGATCCTGAGTGCGGGGGGACGGGAGGGGAGGAAATCGAGCAGGGGGGTTTACATCTTATGTGGGCTGCACCGGTGACTCGTCACACGGTTGTGCAGCCGAGAAGGCAGCGGGCACCACCGGACATCTGGCCACGCATGCATGCGTGCCGGCCTAGCGGGCTTGCCACCTCCTGGTGCACCGTACCACTCACCCAGCTGGCCAGCCGCGAGATGCACCCCTCAACACCCCCCTCTCCCCTCACCCCGCCCCTCCCCCCTACCGGACTGCGTTGCATTGCTCCAGCGAACCCACGTGGTGCCGTTGGGGTGGCTGAGCGCCAGCCGCAGCTGCGCGGCGGGGCGGTCGGGGTCCACCCGGGCCAGCCAGGGGCAGTCCAGGCGCAGAGTCACCGTCAGCAGGCCGTCCAGCTGCAGGGGGGGCGGGGCGGGGCGGGAGGGGGGAGGAGAGGGAGCGGGAGGGGGTGGGTAAGGACTATGAGGGGGAGCGGAAGAGCTAACTGCAGCCATACGATCAGACCCCTAGGGCGGATGACCCAGCCGAGGAAGTCGACATTGGCGCATCCGTTGTTCACCCCCTCCCTTCCCACCCCCCACCCCCCGCCTTGAGTCCCCCCCTGCCTGCCTGCATGAACACCAGCAGCTGCCCCAGCGGAGTGGCGGGGGCGGCAGGGAACACCAAGTCCAGCCGGCCCACGTTGCTGGGGCGGACCTGGGAGGGGGGGCGGGGAGGGGGGAGGGGAGCAGGAGGGCTTTGGGGCTGGCGGCGCAGCGGTTATAGGAAAGTGCAGGTGCCTGCATCGCAGAGTCCCCATGTGTTCGTTCCCAAACCCATATGGCTGCTTTCACTTCAGTTCCGCCCAAAGGAATGCTCCCACCTTCTACACCTGCCCCATTCTCCGCCTGCGCCCTGCTCGGTGCTCTCCTGGTGCCATGCCGTCCCTGCCCCTGCCCTGTCCCTGTCCTGACCCCTCCCTTCAATACAAGCCCGCCAAGCCCCCCTTGACTCCCCACCCCACCGCCTCCACCCTCCTGCGTGCCCGGCCTCCCAAGCCCCTCCTCCACCCCACACACCGCCCCGCCCCCACCTCATCTCCGCAGATGCTCTCATCCGGCACGTTGCCGTTGAAGTAGTACCTGCGCGTGCGTGTGTTTGGGGCCGGGGAGGGTGCGGGTGAGCGGGGGGATGCAGGGCACCTCCAAGCTCGGTCCACACAGGAGAATGGAATTAGGGCAACAACGGGTGGGTGGGGCCGGGCGACCCATGGGTTAGCTGGTGTTGCGGAAGCTGGTAGGCACTGGTTAGGAACGGGATGAGGAGCCTCTGCAGGTGCGGGTGCAGGAGCCGCTCAGTGCGGGGGGGTGCAAGCTCCCGAGTGGGAGAGTGGGTCATGCAGCTTGGGAGGGTGTGCGCCAAGACGGCCGCCCCTGAGTGCGGGGTACACACGCATGGCGGCGTGTGTGCCTGCCGTGACTGCTGTCGGTTGGGTTGCTTGCTGGGAAGGCAGGAGGGTTAGGGTTAGCGTGTTGGGTTGCGAGTGCGGGTCCAAGCCAATGGGTTGTAGGGCCCGTTTCAGCGGCGGACTCCGCCTCCAAGGTCCTGCAGGAGTGGACAAGTACAGAGCTACGGCCTTGTTTCCTCTTTACCCCCCGCACCAGCAGTACCCGCACTAGCTACCACAACCGCGGCGGCTACTCACGGCAGGCTGCACTTGGTGTCGTCCTGGCCGTACAGGTCGTCAGTCTGGTGGGTGGGAGGAGGGGAGGAGGGCAGGGGGGAAAAATTAAACAACAAGTCCCAATCCCATATCCCGACTCATGCAGTGGGCAGGAGGCGGGTGCGGGGAGGGGGAGTGAAGTTAACGAGGCGGGTTGTACACAGGGGAGGCGTGGGCGTTGGCCGCGTAGGGCCCATTTGGGTAGCCCATTGAGGTCAAGATGCCCCGGGCTGCTCCGCCCTCCAAGGATGCTGCTGCATGTACCGGTAGGAAATGGGTGGCAGGAGGCTACCCGTAATACCGGGAGGTTCAGACCCCTCCCTCCCTCCTCCCGCCGTCACACCTCGCAACCCATCCCTCCTCGCCTCCCCCCCTCCGCCCGGAACCAGCCGGGATGCAGCACAGCTGGGGGGGAAGCGCCCTAGCACCCTCCGCCCCCCGACTCCCTACCCCGCTGTTTGCATTCCTTATATAATTTTACCCCGCTCCACCCCCACCCCCTCCCTCTCGCTGCTCCCTACCGCGCAGGGGTCCTCATCGTAGCCAGACATGCAGGGGTAGCAGTCCGCTGTGGGGGCGGTCAAACAATAGGAGTAATTTGAATTGACGCCCAGCTGTCGCCGCCACCTCAGCGGGTGCAGCCCTGGTAGGCCAGTTGTGCCGCCGCTGTGGCCACTGCCGCCGAGAGGAGCGCCAGCAGCAGTGACGGTCGTTGCTGCCGGACTGGCTGCAAGAGTTGCAGAGCTGGTTGCGGCCTCCAGGCGGCTAGGGGCTGTGCCCCAGCGTTCATCCGAGCTCATGTGAGCAGGCGAGTACGGCAAAGTCCGCTGCGGTTGCTTCTGCAATGGATGGAACGCTGTGCTAGACGTCCAGTCCACCGGAGCTTGCGGGCCGAAGTTTGACAGGGAGTCCGTTTCCGTTGGCCCCATGGGTGGATTAGGAGCGGTGGGGTGGCTTGGACTGGGGCTGCGGCTGGGGAATGGACGCCGCGCAGCAGTCCAAGGATCCGCGATGACGCCAGTCACAGGAACCCGGTCCAGCCAGGGCCGAGCTCGAGCCATGGAGTCCATGCCGCCGGTGGGTTGCGCTGGCTGCTCTTCTGGTGCAGCAGAGCTGGACGTCCTTTGGCCTTCCACTGAAGTGCTTTGCAGATGCGGAAGTTGCTGGCGTCGAGTCGACTGGTCAAGATCGCGCGTCGGCGAATCATAACTTCCGCTTGTTTTCATGGCGTCATCTTCGCTAGTATGCGAAGATTTTAAGCTGGAGCGATGCTGTGGCGACGGGTCCGCAGGGTCATGTCGAGCGGCATTCGCTGAAGCTAGTAGTAAAGCATAGCATAGCAGCACACAGGATGACACTTGCGGCTGCCGAGCGCTATAGCACCCTCTGCGCAAACTCATCTGGGATGGGGCGTCACGTTCAGGCCACCACCACCCGTCGGTGCAATTTTGCCATCGTTGGTTTAGCCTGCTAATTTTGAGCAGCGATTTTGACGCTGTTGTAAGGGTTATTACCGAGTTGCTTATGGACGAAAGAGAGCTATGTCATTGTCACGGTCAGCGCGCATGCAGCTCGCCACCTAAACTTAAAGCCCTTGGTGGACAACATGAGCAATAATTTCAAAACAACATGTGGGGTGCAACCAGCGTTTGGTAAGCCAAAATCGAGGTTAACTGTTAAGTTCATCCAAACAAGCGCCAAGGAAGTTGGGGCAGAATGTCGTTGCGTAGGTCAATGCCTGCAAGCATTGCTACTCGTGCATGCCGCCGTGTGTCTGTCCGACGGTTCCGGAAGGAGGGTCCGCCTAAGGCCTGGGCGAATTCAGATGGGCCCGATGGACGAGCAAGTACGAGCTGCTTAGATCGTTCACCCCAAATAGACAACCAAACCCCTAGCTGTAAAGAGCGTTAGATACATTAGGATAGGCTCTATTTAAAGAACGTAAGGAATTGCATAAACGGTTCCCTCTCGCTTGTGGCGTAGGGTGGGAACCACGCCACCCGGTTGGTAACGGTAGGTAACGCATGTTGACTACAACGGCCGTGTTGGACAGCCCTGATACCTTCCTGACCAGCACCTATTAAACCCACTGACCATATCTGTCGATCGTGTAGAGATGCACTTGCGACTGCCGGCCCCGACATTTGTGTACGTCGGGGATTGCTACAGACCTCTTGCCGTACAGGGTTCGTGGGCATCATCCTTATCATAAGTTTAGAGTGTCGCTGGTTACAAGTCAGGCGTCCTGAATAGATCTCGCTATCGATAAGTGTTGGTGGGTAGCCAATTGCCACCCCTCAGTTTAATAAACGTTCAGCAGTACAAACTCAAGAGCAGTACGCGAAGAAACATGCCAATGCAAGGTCACCTGCACTCTGCAGTCTTAGTAAGGCATGCCATGTCAACCGAGTGGACTACAAGATAGAAAAGCAATCACGGGAAAGAAGATATGCAAGACAGGAAAATCATCCGAATAACAACCATTGCGCGCGTAAGATCCTGCAAAGACTCTGCTCTGTAGTAATGTTAGCACTAGCCTGCCAATAACAAGCGGTAACAACACTGGCTAATAAAAAGGAAGAGAAAGAAACCTCTGTAGCTAGTCAACGTCTGCCCTACCAACGTAAAATCGCGTCACATTAACTGATCTTAATATCGATTGGGTTCCACAAGTAATTGTGGCTCCATGCTGTACGTTACGAGAGTAGCGTGGTGGGGCAGCACTTATTGTTGGACGAGAAGATGGAGGCCTGCATAGTCAAGAAGAACGATTAGGTCAGATGGTGCACGCCAAAGTAAATTGCTGTCCATGATGAAAGTTGGGTTTGCAACCTTTTGATTCGAAGGCATACGGGGTACACCGTGCGTCTTTCCCGATACAAGACTTGCCTGGCAGTGTCCGTTCAAGCAGAACTTGGCGGGATCAGCACACGGTCCAGGGCGAACGACCCAGCACAGGATGGCATTGTTGGGATCCGGAAGGACGCTGCGAGGGACAACGAGAACGTGAGCAAGGAAAAACGTAACATTGCGTTCATATGGAAGGATGTTTTACGGGGCCAGAAAGCTGGCGAAGACTTACTCGACAAGACTTGTAAACTTGAGGGTTAGGATGGGGTCGTAATTACCCCAGCTGTTGTACATGGGCTTGTAATTGATCATTAGCTGCCGCAAGTCACTCTTGCAGGAGGGCTCTATGGGGACTTCAACCTGCATTGCAAGGAGGTTGCAGTAAACGCCGGGACACACAATGTACGGCCCAAATAAAATACGACAACTACATGGCACAACACATGCTGGCCAAACATGGCCTCACCTTTGCAAATTCCATGCCACAGCAGTACTTCGACGCCTTGCAGGATTGCGACGCCACCTTGACGCACATGCCGACCGCTGCCTTGTTGTACTGATCCACCGTGTTGATCGTGAACAGCGGCCCAATGCTGTAGGGAACATTCGCGGTGCTCTGCACACATTCGTGAGTTGCGACCAGCGGCGGCGATGGAGGCGACGGAGGCTTGGGCGGGCTCATAGGCTTGGGCGATGGAGGATTGGCCACTGGAGGCCGGGGCGACGGCGGCGGGCTTGCGGGCTTAGGAGGCGGCGGCAGGGGTGGCGAGGGCTTGGGCGACGGCGGCGGGAAGGGATCAGGGTTGGCAGCACACGATTGCTCAAAGTGACCGTTGAGACAGGTGCCAACACCATTGGGATCGTACACGTCGCTGTACACCTTGTAGCCCGAGAGGTAGTCGGGGCAGATGCCGGTGACATTGTTAACCCACATCTCAAGGCCGGCCAGGGGAGTTTGCAGCCAATTGCCCAGCTTGGCGCCATCAGCGTTCGAGAAGAAGGTACCACAGACCTTCACGTAAGGGTACACAGGCGGCGAGACACTGTTGTTGTAGGCTGCGGAACACTCGACCAGCGAGAAGGGCACCAAGACATTGGCGCCATAGAAAGAGATAGCTGTGTTCAAGCTTGAAACGATGAGGTTACCAACCGAGCAGGAGAGTCCACTGCCAAAGGTGATCAAGGTCTTGTTGCCCAAACTCGCAGGAGGAACGATGGTCACGAAAGCGCAAACCGGGCATGGGGGAGGCGGTGAAGGAGGCGAAGGAGGCATGGGAGACGGGGGCTTGGGGAAAGGTGATGGCGGCTGAGGAGATGGAGGGGCAGGGGATGGCGGCTGAGAGGGAGGAGCAGGCGATGGCGGCTGAGGAGACGGAGGGGCAGGCGATGGCGGCTGAGGAGACGGAGGGGCAGGCGATGGAGGCTCGGGAGATGGAGGAGCAGGGGATGGAGGCTCGGGAGATGGAGGAGCAGGCGATGGAGGCTGAGGAGACGGAGGGGCAGGCGATGGAGGCTGAGGAGACGGAGGGGCAGGCGATGGAGGCTGAGGAGACGGAGGGGCAGGCGATGGAGGCTCGGGGGATGGAGGAGCAGGGGATGGAGGCTCGGGAGATGGAGGAGCAGGCGATGGAGGCTCGGGGGATGGAGGGGCAGGCGATGGAGGCTCGGGAGATGGAGGAGCAGGCGATGGCGGCTCGGGGGATGGAGGAGCAGGCGATGGCGGCTGAGGAGACGGAGGGGCAGGGGATGGAGGCTCGGGAGATGGAGGAGCAGGCGATGGCGGCTCGGGGGATGGAGGAGCAGGCGATGGCGGCTCGGGGGATGGAGGAGCAGGCGATGGAGGCTGAGGAGACGGAGGGGCAGGCGATGGAGGCTGAGGAGACGGAGGGGCAGGCGATGGAGGCTGAGGAGACGGAGGGGCAGGCGATGGAGGCTCGGGAGAGGGAGGAGCAGGCGATGGCGGCTGAGGAGACGGAGGGGCAGGCGATGGCGGCTGAGGAGACGGAGGGGCAGGCGATGGAGGCTCGGGAGATGGAGGAGCTGGCGATGGCGGCTCGGGGGATGGAGGGGCAGGCGATGGAGGCTGAGGAGACGGAGGGGCAGGCGATGGAGGCTCGGGAGATGGAGGAGCTGGCGATGGCGGCTCGGGAGATGGAGGAGCAGGCGATGGAGGCTGAGGAGACGGAGGGGCAGGCGATGGAGGCTGAGGAGACGGAGGGGCAGGGGATGGAGGCTCGGGTGATGGAGGAGCAGGCGATGGCGGCTCGGGAGATGGAGGAGCAGGCGATGGCGGCTCGGGAGATGGAGGAGCAGGCGATGGCGGCTCGGGGGATGGAGGAGCAGGCGATGGAGGAGCAGGCGATGGCGGCTGAGGAGACGGAGGAGCAGGCGATGGAGGCTCGGGAGATGGAGGTGCAGGCGATGGCGGCTGAGGAGACGGAGGGGCAGGCGATGGCGGCTGAGGAGACGGAGGGGCAGGCGATGGCGGCTCGGGGGATGGAGGAGCAGGCGATGGAGGCTCGGGAGATGGAGGAGCGGGCGATAGCGGCTGAGGAGAGGGAGGGGCAGGCGAAGATGGCGGCTGGGGAGAGGGAGGGGCAGGCGAAGATGGCGGCTGGGGAGAGGGAGGGGCAGGCGAAGATGGCGGCTGGGGAGAGGGAGGGGCAGGCGAAGATGGCGGCTGAGGAGAGGGAGGAACGGGCGATGGCGGCTGAGGAGAGGGCGGGATGGGAGATGGCGGGCGGGGAGGGAGAAGAGGAGGTGATGGAGGCGTGGGTGGACCGGGTGGAGGAGTGGGTGGCGACGGCGGCACCGGCGGCAGTGGCTGGGGCGAAGGTGGCATTGGTGAGGGGGGCTGGGGAGAAGGTGGCAAAGGTGATGGAGGCTGAGGAGAAGGTGGCATTGGTGATGGAGGCTGAGGAGAAGGTGGCATTGGTGAGGGAGGCTGGGGAGGCGGCAATGAAGGAGGCTGGGGCGAAGGTGGCAGTGGTGAAGGAGGCTGCGGCGATGGTGGCAACGGTGAGGGAGGCTGGGGCGAAGGTGGCAGTAAAGGAGGCTGGGGCGAAGGTGGCAGTGGCGAGGGAGGCTGGGGCGAAGGTGGCAGTGAAGGAGGCTGGGGCGAAGGTGGTTGTGGTGAGGGAGGCTTAGGGGATGGAGGAGCAGGGGAGGGTGGTAGAGGAGGAGCAGGAGACGGGGGTAGTGGAGACGGCGGCTTGGGAGAAGGAGCAGGAGACGGGGGCAACGGCGACGGCGGCTTAGGCGAAGGAGCTGGAGACGGGGGCCGCGGCGACGGCGGCTTGAAAGGTGGCGATGGGGGACGAGGGCTAGGTGGCGGAGGCAGGCTGAAGGTGCAGATGGGGCAGTAGTTAGTGGCTGACACGTCAGCGAAAGAGTACCTGCGGAGAGCAAGAAACGAGCGTTAACCAGTCAGATACTTAAAAGCTGCAGGGCTCTAAGCGAATGTGTTAGTAGCAGCAAGACTCACCGGCAACCCTTTGTAACAGAACTGTAGCAGACATCCGCAAAGGTGCTGCAGGGCTTCTTCGTTGTGATGCAGATTTGCGTTCCGACGAAGGTTGCGTTGGTCATTCCAAGGTCGTATATCTTCAGCTCATACCCGGTACCTAAAGCTGCACACAGAGAAGCAAGCGGGGCGTTAATAACAGCCGGGGGTACATATCGCTTCTGAGAAAGACATGGGAGCTGGTAAGGGGTATCGTAAGGTTGCATGTGCTGCGAAGTGGGTTGGGAAAGCAAATCCACTTACTAGTGTTATGAGAGTAGGTGTTCCAGGAATAATAAAGCTGCCCGTTGACAGTCACCCGGGCGATATTGGACTTCACACTGCATTGCTGCGTTGTTTCGAATGTCAGCTTTTCGACAGCGTTGAGCATACCACGGCAGCATTCAAGCGTCTCGTCGCAGCCACTGTAGACAACGTTGAAGCACGTCTTTGTTGACGTGGTGTTCTGAGCCATGGAAGGACAAATAGGCGATGTTATTTTGCAGCAATAGAGGCAAAAAGATAAGCCCGTTAGGCCCATGTCAGCGACAACCCGTCTGCAGGCGGCCCTGCACCCAGACAGCCTCCGCACATCCCAACACATACCCTTACCACGACATAGTCCGCCAACGTGACCTTGTAAGGGCTGCAGGCGCAATCATAGGTCAGGCACCGGCACCACGGAAAACCGTTGTTTGCCGTCAAAAGGCTGCGACGATAGCCAACAGTGCTTGAGCTAGGAGAATACGCTGCTGCTGCACCACCTGTAAGGAAACGAGGGCAATGGGGGCAATGAAGTGATCATATGTTATTTGAAGCACGGTGCAGCGGGATTAGCAATTATTGATGCAAAACCCTTGGCGGCTTGGCTCATGCATGCTTGGTGTAAGACACCTGAGATGCTTTGCCGAGCCTATCCTTACAGGAACAAGAATTTAGCTTGCGTCGTAATTATACAGAAAACATGATTCCAATTGCATATGGCGGTTAATAACTAGGCGTGCAAGGCAACTTACCGATGGCAATGCTCATAGCGGCTGCCCATAGCAGTAGGGCGAAGCCGCGCGCCATGGTTGGTTGGCGCTGAGACTGCACAGCAGGTTAAGGCAAAGTCTTAACGGACTCGACGAGAAAGGTTTCTAGTAGGATGGCTCGACGAAAGGTCCGAAAACGGTGTCTTGGTGCTTGGAGACTCACCTTCAACGTTCTTAAGTTTTTCCTGAAGCGCTCGTGACTCGGAAAGCTATCCCTATTGGTGAGTAGCAGGTGAGAGTTACCCTGCAACAGTGGGCGTGGGCCCTCCACCGCTACGTAAAGGGCGCTGAGCTTTCGAGATAGAGGCCTCAAGTGCCTTACCGAGCTGAAAAATACTGATCGGGGCAGACCTTATGTACTAGAGATAACTGCCAAGCAGGTGGAACCAGGGCCTTGCGAAACGTACGGCACCTTTTAAATAATGGCCCGTTGCTCAGGCGTTGCCGCGTGTGCTACGGCACAGCATCGTTCAGGCAATCCAGAGAGGAAATGGACCATGAGGCTTGCTTTTATGGACCGGTATCTGGCCTAGACGAACAAGTCTAAGGAGCCGCGCAAGGCGCAACCCTGTGCTATGACGCGTGCATTCTTTTGAACGAATGACGTAGTTCCCTTCTTAACACGTTTGAGCAATTTTTCCGCCCATAATTTGCTCCTGACAACGCTTGTTCCATGGCAAGGATAATGTGCGCGCGTAGGGCTTCACGGCCTTATGTCGTTTTAATAGCTTAACGGCATACTGAGTTGGGGTTGTTCTCGATCCCACATCGAAACTCTATGCCGCCTGCAACCGTCCGTTATTGCGCACATGCAATGGCCCACACGTAGCCCTCCGGTGCTCAGTATAGTGGAATGGCATGTGTGAGCCATTTTCTGACCCTACACATGCACAACCCCAGGTCGGCTTCGTTTGTTCATGATGTCACAGAGGAGTGCCGAACGCCAGATGCCATTCTGCTGCTACTGCTATCGACTTCATGATGTTCCAAGGGCAGGGCTCAGCTGTCGCGCTCATTTCGTGGCGCCAAAATATGCATATGAAGCCGGGGCACAGGGATTGGAGTGCGTTCGACTCGACGGCGGCCGCTGTTGCTGCACAGAGTACGTAGTTACGTGTCATTCCTGGTGGTTCTGGTAATCCGACATTGCTCATTAGAGGCATGCGCGCCTTGTGGTGTTTAATGGCCAGAAGCCTTTCATTCATGAGCGGGAAACTTAAGATGAAATGTGCAACCAGCCACGGCTGTTTGCAAGGTTAGGTAGCTGACATGACTGAATGGCATCGTACGGACGAGAGCATCCATATTTTCGCACAGAGTCAGCGACACCGGGGCATGCATACATATGTCCACTGCTAACTGCCCCTCCATCACCGTGCCGGGGCACACCGTGCGCAACGCCGTGAATTTTGGGTTGTGTATGAGGGCTCGGAAGCTTTCAGGGTCGAAGGGAGGCTCGGGAAATGCTGTAATCCACTTAGGATAATGTACTATCTGCCCAGCATAAAAAGCGCATTAAAGGCTATCATGACATTGAAGCGGGGTCTAAATATTAGGTAGGTGGCAAAGCGGCCACCACGTTGAGGTTGTGATGTTGCAATGCTTTCGGACGTTTTAAGCGGCCATGGAAACACGTACGCCATGGTAATGTCGGTCCTTGTCAGCCAGAAAAGCAAACTGATGCGCCTTCAATCGAAGGCCAAGAGCTGAAAAGGCTGCATAGCATGGATTCAGCATGCGCAGCATGCCGTACAGCAGACAGCCCCAGCGACGCAATAACGGAAAGCCTTATGGGTGATGCAGCATCAGATGTTGTCTAACGTCACCCTAGAAGTAAAAGATTACAAAGTCTCCAGAGGAAAGCGGGCAACATCTTATTGAAGGCATGGCTGCAAACTATATTATCCTGTGCAAAAACTACTTCACATAAATAATAATAATTTATTGGTGGTTTGCGCCCCGAAGCTGACGAGATGTTATGGACATGAGCACTGCCTAAGCTGCTGAAAGGGCGACGGCGGGCCATGGCGCTACCAGAGGTTCATGCCGCAGCGGTTGAAGCACAGGGTGTGGTTCAAGCGGCCGTTGAGGTGCTTAACCGCCTGTCGGTCGCGCTCGGCCCCAGGTATGAAGCTGCTTACGCTGATCTTAAGCGGTCCTGTAGCGGTTGCAAACATGTAACATGTTATGCGGTAACATGTTACATGTTGCGTTTCGCGTGCAGCAATCAACTCACGGGGGCATGGCTTCAAGAACGCGACGTCCTCTACGCTCGCCAACGACAGCTCGAGCAGGACTTAGGAGCATGTCAACGGCACGCTGAGAGTCAAGCACGGGAGTGCCATAACATCATTGCAGACCAGTAGGTCCGCAGTGCCCTCGCCTTAAACACCATGACATACCGGTAACCTGCTGTCCTCCTTCTCCTTCGTGGTGACCCAGATAGGGGCTGCCTTTTGGCCATTCATACCTGACCCCTTGCCTACCATGTGTGCTATCTAATTTTCTGCCTTCCACGTTTTCAGACTCTGGCGTCTCCGATGTGCTCCATGACTGCAGGACAGCGCGCATCGAGCAGCTGGAGGGACATGCAGGAGAGCTGCAGGCAACCGTGGATTCGCTGCGAGCAGGCACGGACGCGGCTCAGCTTGCGCTTAATACTGAACGGCAGCAGCTCGCGCAGCTGAGGCTGCAGCTGGAGCGGCAGCAGCAGGAGCTGCAGGCCCAACAGCAGCAGCAGCAGCGGCAGTACCAGCGTGGAGACCAGCACCAGCGACAGCAGCGCACACCTGGAGCCGGAGATGCAACCACCCCAAGGTCCGATTCGGACGCCTCGCTGCCGCCTAGCCAGCCCCGCATTCGCATCGACCGTGTGCCTGAGACGTTGTTCATCGGATGGCATGACGACCCATTTGCCGATGCGCTGGGGGATGGAGGGGACGCTGCGCCTGCGGCAAACGCTGCAGGCGCTGAGACAGCAGCAGCTGCTGCGGCTACAGCAGGAGCATCGGCAGAAGGAAGGCGCGCATGCGTGACGCCGGGTGGCGGCGGGCGCGGTTATGGTGCTAGAGGAAGTGGTGGTGACGATGCCAGGGTGCCTCACCTGCTTGCGTTGCCCGGTCCATCGAGCAGCAACATTGGAGGAGTCGCAGGAGCATGTGCGCATGAGGCCAAGACAGGGTACCCAGAGGCAGTGGCGGAAGCCGTATGGGCGGTCCGTGAGCAGCAGCTGACGCAGGACTATGCAGCGCAATTGCAGGCCGTGTGGGCTGAGGTGCGACGTGCGAGAGGGCAATGATGCTAAGAATGCCACGGCTCCATGCTTTATGCCGGGCGCAGCGGCTTCATCGCCTGTATGCACGGTTTGTTATCCTGCTAGCACCGATCACCTCTGAACCTCGCGCTGTGACGTGTGCTGTGCTGGGTTTGTCCACACCGGCTAGCTGTGTAGCCGGCCAGAGGAGACACCCCAGCGGCCTACCCATGTCCCGTTTATCACACTGCCTTCCATGCGCCGCTTCCCTCGTCCCAACAGAACAGCGCACTCCAAGCGGACTTGGCGGCGGCGCTGGCCTACCGCCGCACCGCTCAGCAGCTGCGAGACCGCAACCAGGTGAGCAACGGGACGGCGTGTCGTTGGGGGGCACGGAAAGCGCACACATGGACCTTTTGGGGCTAGGGGTGCTGCAAGAGGTTGGCCAAGTTGCGGCCCCCTGCTCCTAGTTGCTGTCTTCTCAGCCCATGGACACCGATTATTTGCCGGCAATGGCAACGCACTGGCACATTCAACCTGTACAGCCCATGTACGCTCCGCGGCCCGCACGCGTGTCTTTGCGCAGCTGAGGTTACTTAACCCTCCCCGCCGCTGCCTGCCGCATGCCGCATGTCGCATGCAGGCCCTGGAAGAGCAGCTGCAGGAGCTGCAGCAGCAGCTTCGAGAGGCCCGGGAGGCAGCGGCAGCCGCTGCAGTAGCGCCATGCCTCCACACTCGCGTCTCTGTGGCGACGTCGCCACTGCCTGACGCGGAGATAGCACCAAGCTCGCCTGCGTTTAGACCCCTTGAAGGCGGCGACATGACGGGACCCGACGCCGCGGCCGAAGCAGCGCAAGTGCCCGTAGCTGCTTTAGACGCCGGTGCTGCCCGCGCCGCTGGAGCCGGCGCTCTGGTGGCCACTGACCACCGGGAGGACGAGGCGCAGCTGCGGGAGGAGCGGGACAAGTACCTATGCAAGTACAGCGAAGCCAAGCAGGCGTGTCGCGAGGCGCGGCAGCTGGCACGGCACTGGCAGAGCGCCTACTGGGGCCTTATGGTGTCGTACGAGGGTGTGGAGGCGGCGCAGGACGCCAAGCGGCGCATGCAGCAGGCGGAGCAAACGCTGGGTACGGCCGCAGCGGTGATGGAGGCTGTGGCAGGTGTTGCCGCGACGGGTGCTGCAATGACTGCCGAGGAGGGTCCCAGTGAGAGGGAGGGCGACGGCGGGCACCGCTTGGCCGCCACGACGGGCCGTGGCGGTGCGGATGATGGTGATGGGCAGTTGCGCGTCCTAGAGCGCTCGGGCGTCGCTGACACTACGGGCTCAACTAGAGCACAACTGAAGCGGAGGCACGGGGTAGTGCCGGTGTTTGTGAAGGAGGAGCCCGTTGAGCCCGGCGAGGGAGGCGTGGCGCTGGGCCCTGCTGCGCCGCCGCGGAGCCTCCAACCACCAGGCCGGCTCGGCTTAGCTGGCGGCATGCAGGCTGCGGCAGCTGCTTCTGATGTAGGACGAGGAGGAGGAGCAGGAGTCGGCGACGGTGCGGCCACTTACACAGATCCTCACGGTCCCGGGCTGTCAGCGGCGGTTACGCATCAGCATGCAAACCCCTACAGCCTCCGTGCGGACCTACTGACACGCGGCCTGCCGTACCCCGTGCTACTGCCACCTCTGCCACAGAGGCGACTGGCTCGTGCGGCCTTTGGGGGCGAGCCGCCTTTCGCCGGTGATAACGCTAAGCAGCCGGCTGGCTTAACGGCTGCAACGCACCAACCCGCCGCAGCGCCTGTAACCACGGCCGACAGGGCTAGGCAGTCGGGTCATGTGGGTCAGGAGCAGGCGACGGGTGCTGATACCTGGGCAGGCGTCACATCTGCGGGCGGCGGTGGTGAGGAAGGTGGTGGTGGTGGCGGAGACGACGACGATGAGGATTTGGATCTCACCCAGGAGCCCGAGGAGGGCAGCGCAACGGAGGCCGTGGGCAGCGGCCGGAAGGCGGCAGTGCATGTGCCGCATGGAGGAGCGGGGGAGCCGTCGACAGCGGGGCGACATCAGGACGACAACGACAACCGCACCTTGTGGCCGCTCCAGCAGCATGTGGAACCGTACCCGCAGCAACAGCAGGCTAACGCGCACCAGCAACAGCAGCAGGGGCAACTGCGAGAGCACTGGCTGCAGCAGCAGGAGGATGAGTGCCAGCAGGGGCAGGAGGATGTGATCCAAGGGGTGCTAGAACGTGGTACAGGCGAGCGGTTTGGCAATGCGGCGGGATGCAGCAACGCCGGCAGGGCGGGACCGCCGCTGCAGCGTTCTGGGTCGGGATCTGGGTCACTGTCTGGCAGGGCGCCGGGTGCGATGACGGTGGGGTTGGGTTTGGGGCTTACACCTGCGGCTGATGGCATGGGTACATGCGGCACCGCAGCAGACGGGCTTCCGGATCCAGCGCAGGCAACAGGAGGGAACGACAGTGGCTGCAACGTAAAAGTTGGTGCCCAGGGCGGCGTCGGTGGTGGTGGTGGTGGCGTCGGGTGGCTGAGTAAGCGTAGTCGGTCATGGGACGGCGACGCAGGAGGCACTGTCAGCGCCGACGGGGGCGCAGGGCTTGACGGCAGCAGGGGTGCTGGCGGCCGTGCCGGTAGGGCGGGCACTGCGGCAGGGGCGGTAGTGGAGGAAAAGCTGCAGCCCGGCAAGCGCCTGGTGCAGATGCAGCTGCCGTACGGGAAGCAGCGGTGTTTGCCGCAGCAGGTGACGGAAGCGCAGCGGAGGCAGCAGCGGCAGCAAGTCCGGCAGTCATGGCATCTGGTGGGTTGTGTGCACGGTTCGGTGCTTTGGGGGGTCTGCATTAGGGACTCCGGAAAGGGCGGGGGCATGCGTGCCTTGGGGTTGTGCTGGCTTTTGCGCTTAGGCATGTCGCTTGCATGACATGATGTATCCCATACTGCTGGTGTTACAGGATCAAGACTCGGTGGAGGCGGCGGGAAGGGCAGCTGCCGCCGGTAGCCGTAACGCCATGCACGACCAAGGAGCAGGTACCCAGCCCCGCCCCGTCAAGTTGACCCGGTCAGAATCAGAAGACGACTCTGACGCCATTGACGTTATAGCCGCTCGCCGCGGCAACGGCGGCGGCGCCAGCACTACTGCTGACCGCGTTACGGGTGCGCCTCCGCCCCTCAAGCGCAAGGCGCTAGGGAGTGCCAACGCGAGCACGCGTGGGTCAACCGATGGCGGCCCAAGCGCTGATGCGTGTGCAGTCCGGGCAGCCGCACCGGTGCAGCAGCCTGCAGGCGCCGCGGTAGGGCTGCCGCCACGGCCGCTAGGGCCGCCGCCGCCGGCGCCGCTGCAGCCGCAACAGCACGCTGTCTGGGAGGCCGGGACAGCCACGGAGGGTGCGGCAGTCCTAGCAGAAGGCAGCGGCGCCGGTGGCGCTGATAACGGCGGTTGGGGTGACGCGGCACCAGCGCCCAGCAGTCGAGCCGTTGGCGCGAGGCCGGGTGCAGCTGCTCCCGCGGCAGCAGCAGCAGCAGCAGCAGCTGGTGGTGGTGGTGGTGGCGCGGGGCGGCGACCTGGCGAGCCGGGGTATAAGTACTCTGCCGTTATACGTGGGCGCGCGGAACGGGAGGACTTGCAAGCCATAGAATGCGCCGGGTGCAGGCAAGTTGTGAACTTGTGATAGGGGCTTGGGCTTTCCTTAGGAGTAGGAGGTTCTTTGCTGTGACACGGAGTTTCAGGTAGGGCGGTTGTTGTTTGCTGCTGGCATGCTGGCAGCTATGGCGGCAGGGTCATGGCTGATGCCCTTGGTGCCCGCCTTTTGGCCTTCGTGTCATGAATTTGACCAGGAGTAAGAGCGCTCTAAACATGCCTTCTTCCGCAGGGCGTTTTACGAGGCTATCGCCACATGGGGCGACGCCGTTGCACCCTGCTGCAACCATGTGCAGAACGTGCCCGCTGGTGCGGGTAAGGCGGCTGGCGGAAGGGGCGCCGCAGCAGGCGGGGGCAGCTCGGCGGCGGCGGCGGCGCAGCAACAGCAGCAGCAGCAGCCCGGGAACAACATAGCCTCTGCACTGCGGCAAGCGGGCGGCCGGCACCGCTTTAAATATGCGCCGCCAGCAACTCCTGAGGTAGGGGCTGAGGGGCCGCCGCCGCTTCCTGCAGGTCTGGGGAAGCAGGGGAAGATCTGCGAGCTCCTGGGCTGTTACGCGGATCTGTCAAGCATGTGTGTTGTCATTTACACAGCTTGCCGCGGGCGATCTTTGCATACATGGTTGCATGCAGGGTTGGCGGTTGCTTGTACGCATTGGGCGCATGGAGTAACGATTTGTGTCATGTGGGCGGGGTCTTATTTATACTTAGCTCTTACTCCTGCTCCGGCTGGCGTTGCCAAACGTGTAGTGAATCGGAACTTCCTCGCCTCCCATGTGCGCAGGGCTTCTGGGATATTGGCTTCGGCGATGACACACAAGACTAGGGGGCCAACTGGCAGAGTTGGGGCTGGACCGTAGTTAGGAAGAGGGCAGGTGCAGGCAACTGCTAGTACATAACATGTCTGTCTAGGAGGGTGTGATCGGCAGCCGTAGATATGTGAGGAGTTGCAGGTCTGACGCGCAGGTGTGAGCCGCAGTCAGGGCAATAAACACTGGACAGCAGCGCGCGTTCGGCAGGCTAGACCACGTGCTATATCAGAACTCTTACTATCCAGTCTACCTGTATTGGCACACGGTACCGTTATTCATTCTGCTGCTGATTGCGTTCTTCGTACGTAGCAGGGCCTGTGCCACTTGCAGGGCTGAGCATTACTACGTAGGGGACATGCGTCCGAGGGGACCTGGGATACGCATCTGCTTATTGTGCTGGCATGCAGTCATGCCCGCATGTAGGGAGTCGTTAGATAGCCGCACGGGCTTTTTGCATGCAGTAGTATGGCTACGGAATGGCTGTTGTGGATGGGAAGTCCCTCGAGGCCGCGTTACTTAGCGGCGTGCTTGTTCCTAGGGCCAGCAGGTGTCATGCATGTTCTATGCGTCCGGATGGGTTTGGCTGGTGGCTTGCCAGGGGAGATGGTATGGCCGTTCAGCAGGAGGGTGCTGCAGTAGCCACAATGTAACGTGCAGGTAGCTACAGTGGCGAGTTGACGAATTAACTGTAAACAAAAAATAAGCGCCTTTTACGTTCCACTACGGCATCTCATGCAATGTGCTATGCGCATTGAATGGATGTGGGACTTGCCCTGCGTGGCTCTTGAACGCGAGGTAATGGGTTCAGGGCTGGGTCTATCGGCTGTCGCGCCGGAGTCGGCTTCGCTCGCAACGAAAGCTGGCAACTGTGACTGCGCTGCGTAAAGTTTGCTACCTGTTACGGTAGTTGACATTGACATGTTTCTTAATCACCACATGCTCCTGAAACCCGGTGTCGCCTGTCAGCAAGCGCGGTTGGACGACAGGCGACGGTTGGCAACTGCCCAACGAACCTTGTCCCAACGCCCATCGTTAGCAGGATCCCTTATAACTGCATGCGCGCTGCTGATGCTCGTTAAGGAGCAAACACGCTCTTTCACCTTACCTTAATCCGTTATCCCTGAACTACGGGTTGTTGGAATCGTTGGCGTCGCGACGAGTGCATCTTACTTACGATACCAAGATTAGCCAGCGCTCAGAGCGCTGTGCCCGAAAAGGAATCGCAACAATCAAAATGGCCGCTGCTAAGTCTCTGACGACCAGTCTTCTGGATGCCGCTGCGGCGCTGCCGGCCGTTGCGGTGGGTCGTGTGGTCCGTGGGTCGTTCGAGCAGCCTCATTCGCTGAACTGTAATGCGATGGAGCATCTGGGATACAAACACAGTGGACAAGGCTTCACGTGGGGGCTTGAGTCCGTGCGCTGCCTCATCCGTCTGCTGCATGCTTGTCACTGATACATTGTGCGCCCCCACCTCCAATCTGCTTAGGTAGCCTCTAGTCCAGCGAGCAAACGCGACCTGTCAGCTCCCGAACCCTTCCGCGTCCCTTCCCATCAGACCACCTGTACTACCGATATGTTAGCAACCTAGCCCCTGCTACACAGCAACATGGAAAACCCTTTCCGACTACGAACCTCTCACAAATGCCCTCCAGCTTCCACCCCTGCGTCCTCGCCCTTGCCCTCTACAGCTTGTCGCCACCCCCCTTCTCCTCATTCTTCCCTTTCCTCCCGGCTCCCACTCCACCCCAATAGGGCCTGACCTCCTCCCCGGTGTATCTAGTGGACTTCGCGTGCTTCCGGCCTCCCGAGGAGCTCAAGGTGGTGGCCAGCGAGGTCGAGATCGCGGGGAAGCACTGGTGCGTTCGTGCATGCGTGCATGCGGGTTGGAGGAAGGGCATTTGGGCGTGACGAGTGACCCATGGGTCACCAACTCCCCATGTGCCCTGCTGCCCCCCTGTCAGGCCCATGTACTCGGAAGAGATGAAGGAGTTCCTGTGGAAGGTGCTGCTGAAGAGCGGCCTGAGCTCCGAAACCACCTACCTGCCCAAGGCAGTGCACCCCTGCCATGTCAAGGTGAGCATGAGCCCTATCATTCATGGCCTTGGCGGCATGACGGCATGGTTCTGTGCAGCCACACGCTTCCACGCTTTTATCACTGTCAACCATGGTTGAAGGTGGATCTTTGGTCGGGAGGAATGGACGAGAGTGTCGCCACGCAGCACGGTTTGCCGGTTCTAAGAATGCGTGCCTTTTTGCCACCATCACCCCCTCCTCAGGCGCCCGAGATCAACGTCAACGCAGCGCTCGCTGAGGCCCGCATGACCATCTTCGGCGCAGTTGACGAGCTGTTCCAACGCACCGGCACCGACCCACGGGACATTGACGCCGTCATCACCTCCAACTCCATCTTCTGCCCCACCCCCAGGTAGCGCAGCAACAACCGCCGGCAAGGCATGACTGGTTGCATGTGTGCACGCTACTCAGCTACTCCTTGTTTGCCCCTACCTTCCAGTATCCTCCCTTCCCCCTCACCAAGCACCCACCAACTGCAACAACACGATCGATTCAGCAGTAACCAACCTCCGCATTCGCCTTCTAAAATGCCACCTCAAATGCCTTTTCATGCGTCCCTCATCCTCCTGCCCCTCTCGCCTCCTCCTCTCCTCCCCTCTCCTCCCCTCCCTCTTCATCCTGTCAGCCTGGCCTCCATGGTCGTCAACCACTACAAGATGCGCACCGACGTGCAGTCCTACCACCTGGGCGGCATGGGCTGCGCCAACGGCACCATCGCGGTCAACCTGGTGCGGGACATGCTCAAGGTGCGGGGGGGCGGGAGGGGGGGGGCCTAGAAAACCATACCATACCATAGGCAACTTCAGGTTAGGGCAAAGCACTGGGGATAGGAGAGTGAGGTGGAGGGTGCAGGACCAGGGGGTGATAGTGCAGGGGGAGGCGGCGGTGCAGGGCGGGATGGTGGAGGAGGTGCAGGGTGATGAAGGAGGGTTTTGAGGGGGGGCAGCGGGGGGCCCCTGGGGGCAGGGTGTGTGTGCGGTGGGGAATGTGGGATTGACTGGCACACGCTGAAAAAGGGGGCAGGGCCAGGGGAAATGCGAATGGGGAGCGAGAGATGTCTTTTCCCTTTCCCTACCTCTTTCCCTACTGCACCCATACCCTCCCCGCACACCTACCTGCCCCAACCACCTCCCTCCCTCCATCCCTTCCCCCCAGGCCCGTCCCAACTCCAACCTGCTGTTCATCTGCAGCGAGGTGGTTTCCTACTGCGCCTACCCGGGCAAGGACAAGGCGCGCATGGTGGCCAACGCAATCTTCAGGTGTGCATATAGGAGGGGGAGGGGGTGAAGGCGGCTGGTGGCTGGTGGCCGGGTGATGTGGCGTGGGGGTGTGCGGGCGGACGCATGCTGCCGCTGCTGCTGTCGCTCCTGCTGCTGCCCGTGGCGTGGGGCCTCGCAGAGTGATTGAATGTATTTGCACCGGCAGTGCACCGGCTAAGGGAACGGCCAACACACGATAACGCGGAGGGGGAAGGGGCACGGCCGCAGGCCAGCAAGCCCAATCTTCCTGACTGTACCGCACCCCCTGGCACAACATGGTGAAGCCTTGTCACACAGCTCGTTGCCTCGTCAGTAACATTATGTTTACCTCCCCCCCCTCCGGGCACAACCAAGCGGCACTCCACCCCTCGGCAAACCCGACCCAACAGGGCCTGACCCCCTCCCTCCCCTCCTCCCTCCCACTCACTGCATGAGTCGGGATATGGGATTGGGACTCGTTGTTTCACATATTTAATTTTTCCTCCCCCTCCCCCCCTCCCCCCCCCCAGAATGGGCTCCACCGCGGTGCTGTTCAGCAACAAGGCCAGCGCGGGCCGGGTGGCCAAGTACCGGCTGGAGCACAGCCTGCGCATGCACGCGGGGGCCAGCGACAGGGCGTACAAGTGCGGGGGAGGGAGGAGGGGAGGGGAGTATGGCGTGCATAGCCCCATAGGGTCACTCGAAACCAGCTGGGGATGCGAGGGAGGGAAAGAGGCGAAGGTTTTGTGTGGGGGGGCATAGGGTGGGCGTGTACGGGGAAGTGGATATTTTGAAGGCGGGACCCTGCTGTGGGAGGGGCGCTCTTTCAAGCATACGGTGCTGCTTGGGGACGAGAGCGGCTGGTCATGCAGGACCAACGGGGTTCCACGTCTTAGGGTGTGTTGGCTGCCTGGTAGTTCACCCGCCTGCAGGCAGGGGCGTCCGGTGGTTTCCCAGGATGCATCCTCCCTTGCTATCCGCACCACCTCGGCCTTTCTTCGCGCCACCTCTCTCCCCCTCGCTCTCTCCCCCGCCCCCTCCCCACCAGGTCCATGCACTACTCGCCGGACGAGGAGGGCATCAACGGCATCTACCTGTCCAAGGACATCATTGAGGAGGCCGGCAAGGTAGGGAAGGGAGGGAGGGAGGCAGGGGAGGGCGCGTACAGGGGTAGCCGCTGTCGTTTGCTGCTGCACATGCCGGTGCAGAGCAGACGCCCGGCTCTCCGGGTACGGCATGAGGTACGGCAAATAATTCTCATCCCCACAGCTGCACCGACCCTGCTGCCTGCCTCTTAGCTCGCATCTCCCCTCCCCTTGCCCGTGTTCCCAGACGATTGAGGACGTCATGCGAGCCATCACCCCCCGGGTACGGCACATGAGCATCGGGATAGTGAGAGGAAGGCCCGATAGGGATAGGGAGAGGGAGGGCAGGAGGGAAGGGGAAGGGGGCTCGGGTGGGGGTACTCGGGGAGCAAGAGGAAGGGGTCAGGACAAGTTCCTATAACGGGGGCGACACCCCTTCCGCTCCTCCTCCAAAATGTTTTCCTTGTCTTCTGCATCCCCTCCCCTCCCGCCCCCCGTCCAGCTGATGACATGGGGCCAGTACGGCGAGGCTGGCGCCCACCTGGTGCGCTCGCGGCTGCTGGGCGCCCCCCTGCCGCCCTACCGCCCCGACTACACTCGCTGCGTGGACCACTTCCTGGTGCATGCGGGTGGGAGGCGCGGAGTCCCGCATATGGGGGATGGGGAGAGGGGGCAGAGCAGGGAGGGGGGTACCGGTAATGTGTATGCGAGGGGTTGTTGGCGTGGGAGGAGTTGTCGTGCACCGCGCAAGAGAACCCCTACCGTCTACGTTTCGTCACCATTGCGGCTCGCCCCCTCCTCCTGCCTCTTTCTTCCCCCTGCCCCCCCCCCCCCCACCGGCCCCCCCCCCTAGGCGGCTACGCAGTGCTCAAGGGTCTGCAGGAGGGGCTGAAGCTGCCGGACAGCGCAATGATACCCTCCTTTGCGGCGCTGAGGGAGTAAGTGGGGGTGAAGGAGCGGGCTCACCTGGAAGTGGCTGTCAATGTGGTGTAGTCGCCCCACCCGCTATAGCTGCTGGACCTTCTGTGTCCGTCTCGCGGGCCCAATGGGTAGGACAAATAAACAGCTGTGCAGTGTACACCCTCCTCTCATCAGTCGTCTGTATCAGCACCAAACAGGCTCCGAATCCATTACCATGCCCACCTGCGCAAATACGATCCCTCCTGCCGTACACTCCCTCCTACCTACTGCCCACCTTCCTGCTTTCCGCAGGTACGGCAACACCAGCAGCAGCACCACCTGGTATGCGCTGGGCTACACGGAGGCGTGCGAGGGGGTCAAGAAGGGCCAGGTGTGTGCGCCTGTATGTGCGTGAGCTATTATATCAAAAATGGCCGTGTGTAGCGAACGAGAGTCGGAACGTACCGTGATTGCCGGACGATGGAGTCCCCTGGCCATGTGTATGTGCAGGGGTAGGCCTGACGCGGTACTAACTCTCCTACCAGCTGGTTTGGGGTACCCTGTACACCCCTCACCCCCACCCCCAAACCACCCCTCATCCCCCTCGTAGCGTGTGTTCCAGCTGGGGGTGGGCGGCGGCATGAAGGGCGGCTGCAACGTGTGGCGGGCGCTGCGGGACGTGGACGGCTCCACGCACGCCGCGTGGGCACACCTGCGCGGCGTGAAGCTGACGGAGGCGGACCTGCCGCGCGGCATCACGAAGGATGTAGTGCGGTGAGGGGCGGGGGTCAGGGGGGGAGCTGGGGGGCGGGTGGTGGAATGCAGTGGAACTGCAATGAAACTGCAAATACCGGTATAATGGAATTGCTAGGAGCTACATGGGTTATGTTTTGGAAAAAAAGTGTAGGTGCTTCGTTTGGTACTTGAGGGACAGCACCTGTCGAACGGCATACCGAGCCCAGTAACTGACCACTGCGCTGACCCGTGGGTCTCCCCTGTCGTCCCATGTCCCGCTTCTCCGCATGCAGCCACCCGCGTGCCGTCCAGCTGTTGGCGCGCGCGGGCCCGGCTGCGGCGGGCGGCGAGGAGGATAGCTACGCCACGGAGCACTGATGAGGGCTGTGGGGCTTAGGGCTAGGCTGGGGTTTGTGGGGTAAACAGGAAGGGAATAAATAACCGTGATGGGGTGGTGGGTTGGCAGGGCGGGAGTGCCTCCAAGCTGGCTCCAAAGGTCTCGGGTGGCTGCGGGGTCGCAAGGGGGTGGCAGCCTCGATGTGGTGGCCATCACAGCCACCAGGGGGCTCTGGCAGGGGCGCTGCGAGCGCGTGCATGGGGCAGTGGGAGATGGGCGGACGGGCGGTGGCCGGGTGGTCGGTGGACAGGAAGACGTGTGGGTCGGTGAGGCGTGTGAAAATGGGGAAGGGCTTGTGCGGTCGGGCTGGGCATGCGCTTGAGTAAGAGTGTGTGTATTGCGTGTTTCCTGTTCGCATGTTGTGCCTCATGCGGCTTCCCTGCGCGTTCCTCTTCCATCATGTTGCCTTTTCTATCGGGTGCAAGTGCGTCGTTTGCTTTTATCTGCGTTTGCATTTTCGTTCCTTATGCTTGCTGCTGCTTTGATGCGACTGAAAAGAGCGAGTGATACCCCCAACCGAGCGGTGGCAGACCCATTGGGCCGCAGCGCTGTGCACGGCACGCGGGTGGGTGGGTGGGTGGCTGCCGCACGTACCCCTGCACGCACGCGTTCATGCGCGCTCGCACACACGGCGCCCTCGCTTCCACCTGGTGATGGCTGTGTCCTAGGTATTGTCCCTATCTATTGTTCTATGTATTGTCGTATCGTTCTGGCCTGTATGTTGTAGTTTGGTTTTTGTGGTGCGGCATGCTGGGCTTCTGATTGTATGCCTTGTATGGCGATGTATTACTAACATCTTTACGACATTGCGACATCTAAGCGCAGGGTTTGAGCAGTTGCAAATAAACTGTGGGGCTGTCAATGGTGGCGCGGTGGACGGCGAGCTTTTGTAGGGGCAGGCTCCAGGAGGTGTGTGGCCAGCTGCTGCATACCTGCGTACGCATATACCTCCCAGTATTACGTCATACCCCTGTAACGGCAACGCATCATGCTCGAAACGAGCTCTTGGAAGACCCGTGTATACATGTCAACGGATTGACATGCTGTAGTGATACGAGGGTCTGGGCTTTTAAAACATATCAGGACCTGCCACCCAATCCACTCAGCGTCCCACTCTTGGTGTAGCCCCCGTCGCGACGCGGCATCGATGGGGCGACGCCTTGTCAGACCAGTTCTCATCATGCTGTACTTAGCAGGGGGACACGTCCTGTATGCAGCACTGAGGGAGCTGGCAGCTATTGTTCGTTAGGGGCTGCATTTGTGGCAAATGCCATGTACCACAAGTGTCCAGTTTAAGCACGGCCTGCAACACTGCACATCAACATTCCAATGTGCAAGACCGGATAATATTATATTACCTTAGTGCAGTTGCGCGTTATACGATGAAAGTACTTAGATGGGTCCACGGTAAGTACCGTAATTAGCTTGTTGTGGTAACCTGTACCCGTAACTATACAGCGACGCCCTCTATCGAAACCGTCCGATAGTTGGTATGAGTAGCAATGCTTGCCGGCACTGACCTACGCAACGGCTTCCCGTCCCAACCCTAGTAGAGCTTGCACTATCATGATAGCTAACCTTGATTTCGATATCAGCCGGACGCTGCTATGGTTACATCACAAATGATGCTACCATATGATTGCTAAATGTCACCAAGAGCTGGTGGTGAGCTGCATACGCGCCGCACTACGCGCACGCTCCAGCTCCTTTAACAAGCAGCCGAAAATGTTATTCACGTCAACATGGCTTTGAGACGCAGCATGCTGAACTAGCCATAGCAAAATTGCCGACTAGTGATGTTGGCCTCAACCTAGCTAGCTCAGATGAGTCTGCACAAAGAGGGTTGTTGCGCTCTGCAGCAACACATGTCGTCTTGCGCGTTGTTATTCATTACGTTGTTGTTAGTTACAGTGGATGCCGCTCGACGTGCCCCAGCGGACCCGTCGCCGCGGCATCGCTCCATCTTATATTCAACGCACGCAAGCGAAGATGATGCTGTGCAAACAACTGGAATGTATGGTAAATCGACTCGACGGGAGCAATTATCGCGGCAGCAAAGCACTTCAGTGGAAGGCCAAATGATGTCCAGCTCTGCTGCACCAGAAGAGCAGCCAGTGAAACCCACCGGCGGCATGGACTCCATGGATCGAGCTCGGCCCTGGCTGGACCGGGTTCCTGTGACTGGCGCCAGCACAGGCCCATGGAGTTCTGGCCGGCGTTCATCATTCCCCAGCCGCAACCCCAGTCCCAGCCATCCCATCGCTCCTAATCCTCCCATAGGGCCGACCGAAACGGCCTCCCTGTTGGGCTTCAGCCCCGACTGGACGTCTAGCTCTGCATCCCTACCACTGCAGAAGCATCCGCAGCCGATGTTGCCGTACACTCCTGCTCACATGAGCTCGCCGCCACTCCCTTCCTCACCGCCTCCGTCACCTCCGTCGCTGCCGCCACCGCTGCCGCCATTACCCTCCCCTAGCGACCCCCCTTCGCCTCAACCGTCGCCGTCGTCGCGGTCGCCACCGCCCGATCGGCACCCATCGCCTCCAAGCCCCGCGCCGTCGCCGCCCCCAAGCCCCACACCGCCATACCCTGACCCGCCACTGCCACCCTCACCGCTCCCGCTTTCCCCCCACCCACCGTCACCTCAGCCGAGCCCACTGCCTCCCAGCCCTAGCCCGTTGCCCCCGCCCCCTCCACATGATCCTCCGTCGCCGTCGCCTCCCAGCCCGCCGCCGTCGCCCAAACCGCCATCCCCTCCGCCGTCACCTCCCTCGCCCCTGCCGCCATCGTAGGTGCACACCTGCAGAAAAGGCTTGCATGAAGCCCATGCTAACACTTAAGAACGGTGGCGACCACGCAGTTTTGTTGTTTATTATGTCAAATATCTAGAAAAGGGCTATAGCATGTCGGTTGCCTGCTTCTATTCGATGTTAAGCACATACTCCATGCTGACCATTCCTACCCTGAACTCCATGTTCCCTCTGCAACCACCCCCCGTCACCTCCGTCACCGCCCAGGCCCCCTCCAAGCCCGCCGGCGCCGCCACAATTGCCGCTTGGGCCGCCCTCATGGCCATCGCTGCCTCCGTTGCCACCCGTGACGCCTTCCAGTCCACCATTGGCGTCGCCACCGCCGCCGCCTGCAAAGTCCAGCCCTCCTTACGGCCTGCCATTGCTGGCACCGCCTAGCTTACACCCAAGCCAACCTTTGCTACCGTCGCCGCCCCGCACGCTGTCGCCGCCGCCTCCTTTCTCTCCCTCGCCGCCAAGGCATTCTTCCCCTCCGCCTCCGCCACCTTCGTCGCCACTCTCTCCATCCCCATCCTCCATCTTTCGGTCCTCCGTGGTCATGGTCAGTAGGTCATCGCGGCTCGGTGACAGTTACAATGACCCTACATCCCCTCCGTCTGCACCCAACCCTTCTCTCCATCCTCCTCCGCTGCCGCTGCCGCTGCTGCCGCCGCTGCCGCCGCCGCTGCCACCAGCGCCTCCTTCTCCCGGCCCGCCGGGAAGTGTTCAAATCCTGCAGGCCCCGCCGCCGCCGCTGCCGCCCAGCGGCGGCGGTGTCATTGTCGTACCGTTACCGCCGCCGCCTGGCACCTCCGTCACCGCTTACGAAGCGGTGATCACTCTTGGATCCGCGCTCTACGCCAACACGACGTTGCCGTACGTGGAGGGCGCCGTACTGCAGTTGGATTGCAACACCCTCACTGCCACGGCGCATTTCCAGGTATAGCTGGGGTTGGTGATGCTGTTGGAGCAGGTTGTGCTTGCAGACCAGTTTCGGTTCACCACGCTTTGTCCCGCACCCTTTGCAAGTACCTGCGCCTGCCCTTGATTGGCATCTGCCCCAATACCGTCTTCTCACCAAATGCATGAAAACCGCATGCAGCAAACTAGCGCCATGTCACCCTCCCACCCCCAGGGCGACTCCCCCTACGCCAGCTGCGACTCGGCGGTGCAGTCCTCCCTGCTGTCCGCGCTGTCGGGGCTGCTGGGCAGCTTCCCCACCGCCAACATGAGCACCGCATGCGGCCTGCAGCAGGGGGGCAGCAGCAGCAGCAGCGGGCGCAGGAGGCTGCAGGGGGGCCAGCAGGGCCAGCGGCGGCAGCTAAGCGACGATACGGTGAGAGATGGCGGTAGGCGTGTGCGGCCGCGGTGGGGCGGCTCGCGGAGCTGCCACTGGGGGGGGGGGGCAGGGCGGAAGACGCGTCGTGTCACAGATGTCCAGTCGCATGTAGCCATTTCGCAAAATCCTTCTGCGCTGCCCTCCACTCCGCCGCTCGCCTCCTCTCCTTCCTTGCCTCCCTGATTGCCCCCTGCCTTGCCTCCCTCCCCCGCCCCCCCGCTGTCCACAGGGCGTCTGCACCTACTCAGTGACCAACAACATCACGTTCAGGGTAGGGGCCTGCGCGGGTGTGTGTGCGGTGCGCCCCCTCTGTCTGGCAATGAGCCCAGCAGCAAGCACCCAGGAGCCCATGTGCGGGAGTTTGCGTGGCGCATGTCGGCTGCATTCCTTTGTTGCATACTCCTCGTTTCCTTACGGTGATGACGGCGCCCGTAGTTACGGGTACAGATAGCATGCAACCTGTCTCTGGGGCTAAAGGGCTGCAATCTTATAAAATCCGTCGCACATGGTGGTCATTAACTTGTCACCCCCTTCTCCTCCGTCCCACGCAGCTTGACCCGGCCACCCCCATCGACGACTTCCGCTCCTCCGTCTTCCGCGCACTCTTGGACGGCGGGGTGGCGGGGGTGTGTCCGCTGGGGCCGCTGGCAGGGGAGTGGGCGGCAGCAGGGGCCATGGTAGGGCCTACACCCATTGTTCCGACCCATACCGGTATCCCAACATGTGCCTATCCCGTATATACACCACAGCCGACAACCCAGCCTCCCTAATCCCTCACTCCACATCCCTTCCACACCGCCCTCTTCCCTGCTCTCCCCCCCAAAGGTCCGTGCCCTATCCGCAGCGGCAGGCGGCGCCTACACCGACTGCAGCACCCTCAGCGCCGCCGCCCTCGCAGCCCTGCAAGCCGCCTCACTGGCCACCTCCACCGCCGCCCCCTCATGCACCACCGTCCAGTACTCGGGCACCCTGCCGGTCGTCACAGTGGATGGGGGCGGCGGGTCCAAGAAGGGCGGTCCACCGGTCTTCATCTTCATCATTATTGGGGTGGTCGGCGGTATGGCGCTGCTGCTGGCAGCGTTGTGCTGTTGCCGCTGCGTGCCATGTTCCCGCTGGGTGCCATGCTGCCGCTGCGTGCCATGTTGCCGTTTGGAGCCATGTTGCCGTTGGAAGCCATGCTGTCGCTGGGTGACATGCTGTCGCTGGGTGACATGCTGGGAGCCGTCCTGCACCTGGATGCCCTCCTGCACCTGGATGCCCTCCTGCCGCGGGGTGCCCTTCTGCCCTTGGAACATCCAACCCAAGTTGCCCTGCTGGCCCAGGAACGAGGGGGCGCAGGACAGCTGCTGGCCCCGGAAGGCTGGATCCGAGGGGGCGCAGGACAGCTGCTGGCCCCGGAAGGCCGGATCCGAGGGGGCGCACGACAGCTGCTGGCCCCGGAAGGCTGGATCCGAGGGGGCGCACGACAGCTGCTGGCCCCGGAAGGCTGGATCCGAGGGGGCGCAGGACAGCTGCTGGCCCCGGAAGGCTGGATCCGAGGGGGCGCAGGACAGCTGCTGGCCCCGGAAGGCTGGATCCGAGGGGGCGCAGGACAGCTGCTGGCCCCGGAAAGCTGGATCCGAGGGGCCGCACGACAGCTGCTGGCCCCGGAAAGCTGGATCCGAGGGGCCGCACGACAGCTGCTGGCCTCGGAAGGCTGGATCCGAGGGGGCGCAGGACAGCTGCTGGCCCCGGAAGGCTGGATCCGAGGGGCCGCACGACAGCTGCTGGCCCCGGAAGGCTGGATCCGAGGGGGCGCACGACAGCTGCTGGCCCCGGAAGGCTGGATCCGAGGGGGCGCAGGACAGCTGCTGGCCCCGGAAGGCTGGATCCGAGGGGGCGCAGGACAGCTGCTGGCCCCGGAAGGCCGGATCTGAGGGGGCGCAGGACAGCTGCTGGCCTCGGAAGGCTGGATCCGAGGGGGCGCAGGGTGTTCGCGACCCCTTGGAGACCCAGCCCACGAGGCAGAAGGGATCTTGGTGGCCCTGGAATTTTAGACCGGAGTGGAAGTGGGGCCCTGGGTGGCCCTGGAAGGCCCGGCCCAAGGAGCAGCAGGCCAATGGCGGGCCCACGAAGCTCCGACCTGAAGGCCAGCAGGTGAAGGGCGGGCCCACAAACCCTAGATCCGACGGGCGGCAGGGCCCTTGGTGGCCCTGGAAGTCCCGGCCTAAGGGGCAGAAGAGCGCTGATGGGGCCACAAAGACCCGACCTGAGGGGCAGCAGGGTACTGGTGCGCCCACAATGACCCGACCTGAGGGGCAGCAGGGTACTGGTGCGCCCACAAAAGCCCGTTCCGAGCGGAAGCAGGGTACTTGGTGGCCCTGGGCCTCCCAACCCAAGGGGCAGCCGAGCACTGGGAAGCCTGTGGGGACCCAGCCCGAGGGGCGGAAGGGGTCTTGGTGGCCCTGGAAGTTCCGACCTGACGGGCAGTGGGGCCCTTGGTGGCCCTGGAAGACCCGACCCCAGGCGAACAGGGTGAGGAGGCCAAGACCTGGGTGGGGAGGGGGTACATGGTGTCGGTGTAATGGCTAGAACAAGCAGCACAGTAGAACGCAGTAGCTCCACCTTGTGTTGTGGCTTGGATAGTGTGATGCCATTGTCTGGTGAGGGGAGGGGTCGAAGGGGAAAGGGAAGGAGATTAAGCTCGTGCATGTGTTTGGGTAGTGTCAGTTAGAGACCATGTTGGTTGGCACCTGTTTGCACCATGCTAGGTTGGTAGTGTTCTTTCCTGCCAAGTGTCAACATCATCCACGTGATGTGGTGTGATGTGGAGTCACAGCATGTATCTTCTTACGCATCACCACCAACATGCCCGCTAATGCAAGCAATCAGGTTTCCACGCAGGTTTGAAGTGTTCCTCACTCTGTGCAGGTGGATGGAGGGAAGAAGGCGGACCGGAACGCACCCTGCCCACCGGCTGCTGCTGCTGCTGCGGGTGCTGCTGCTGCCGCCGCAACGGCCGGTGTTAAGGGCAGCGCTGACAGTGCCCCCCGGGGCCGCGAGGAAGCACAGGAAGGCGGTCCGCTTCGAGCACAACCCCAGTCCCCTCCAGGTGAAGGATCTAGACAAATTCGAGGCGCCAGCAACCCTGAAGCTGCTGTTATTGCCAAGACAGCTTCATCGACTGATGACGGTGGCCGCCGCAAGCATGGTGGCGGCAGTGGTGGTGCAGCATGTGGAGATGCCGTTGGTGTCAGCACCGCCAGCGCCTCTGACGTCAAGGCCACCAGCGTCTCCGCCGCCGCCGACGGTAGCGGTGGAGGACACGATGTGGAGGCGGTGGATGACGGCGGCGTTGGTTCTGGCGGTGCCGCCGCTGCCGCCGTTGCCGCCGGAGTAGTGGCGGTTGTGTCGGCAGCGTTGCCTGGCTGCGGTGGCTCAGGTGGCGGAGGAGGCGCCGATGGCGGCAGCACCACTGCCACCGCCACCGGCGAAACAACGCGGCCGGCGCTGCCGCCAATTCGCGCTTCTGTGCACAAGCTGCCTGAACTGGACCCCGCCCTCGCTGGTCACCCCCTGGCGCCCAGGAAGGTGCTGCCCACCCTGGCCAGCCCCAGCCGTTCTGTGAGCGGTGTCGAGCCATCTGGAGATCCCAACGCTGCCGGCGGTGGAGGCGGCAGCAGCGGGGATCCACCATCGAGGGCCCTCGGCAGCGCGCAAGGACTCCTGCCGCAGCTCCCGCCGCCCAACGCCCGAAAATCTGTACTCCCAGCGCTGCCTAGCCCAGCCCCCGCTGTTGCTGCTCCTAGCAACCCCTTTGCCAAGGCGGTCCTCCCGGCTCTGCATGTGCGGGAGGGCAGTGGGGAGGCCTCCCCAGCCGCGACGTGCGCACCCCTGCCTGACATCCTGGAATCTAATTCACTGGACGCTGCGTTGGGAGGGAAGGCGCAGATGGAGGCGGGCACGCAGCAGCAGCTGGGCGAGGGAGGGAGCGGTGGAGGTGCAGTTGCTTCAGGGCTGGTTGTGGCCGCGGTAAGGGCGGTTGGGGTGGTGGAGAGCTAGTGTCACAGGGTGGTGTTGACGCTGTTCTGTCATATACGTCTGTCCTGACTGCCTGGCATCCATCCTGTCCTTTTTTACATTACCCTTTCGTTTCATCCCGGTTTCGTTACACTTCGTGCGCGCATGCACTGACGCAGGATGGAGGCGGCGCCTTCTCAGCGACTGCGGCGGGTCGTCCCAACGGCGCCAGAGGGCTGTTCGTGCGAGGCAGCGAGGTGGCTGGCGGGGTGGGGGGCGGCACCTCGCGCAAGGTGCCCGTGCTGCTGGTGAGTGTGCGTGCGGGGGTGTGAGTTGCGTGGTGTGCGCCAAGCAGTTTGTTGCCAGGCGCGAGGGAGGGGATGAGCGCGCGTGTGTTGGCTACAGCTGTACGGGGATACAGCTGTAAGGGACGTGGGGCGGGACGCCAGAACCCTTTGAGGCAGGCGAATGGGCAGCAAGCAGCATCCCTTTGTGGCGTGAGGGGGCACCGTGGGTTTTATGTAGCTGGTTTACAAGCAGTACTACAATTGAAGAGGCGCTCTGCTTGGTCGCTATTTGTATTATTGGCTGCTTGCGACACAAGCCCAATGTGCTTCCCTCAGGAGGTTGGGGCCGATGTCGAGGATGAGGCAGCCGATGCAGACACAACTGGCATTGGCGGCGGTGACGGCGGCAGAGATGGCGCCGCATCTCGTCAAAACCAAACGGGAGGGCCCTCGGGCGACGCCGCCGCCGCCTCCAGTGATGAGGGCAGCAATCAAGTAAAGGGGAGCTTCCTTTCGCAGCTCCGGGGTGTCTTCGGGGGCGGCGCGAATAAAGGAGGCCATAACCTCGTGCCACCAACCTTGCCGCTGCCGTCAATGGCCGAGCTCGACGCCCAAGCAGAGGCGGCAGGGGCCGCTGCCGCCACAGGATCGGACGGCGCCGCTGGGTCAAGGCCTGCATCCGCTTTGGGAACGGGTGCAGGCGCGGGAGTGCCGGTTGCTGCTAGTGTTAGGAACGGCGGCGGAGGCGCCGCCGGCAGTTGTGGCGCCGGCGTTGGCGAGGACGAGGCCCCAGGAGGCAATGAGGAGGGTGCTTTGGAAAGCGGACCGCGTACGGGCGCCAGGTTGTGGCAGTACGGCAGCGGCGGTGGCAGCGACGCTGATGCTGCCTCACCTGGCGATGGCGCCTCCGCCAAGGCAAGCAGCTTGCCGCCCATCTTTGGCCACGCCACCGGGTTAGGCGGCCCGCCGCGGGACGCCGCGGTGTTGAGTGGGGACATTGGTGAGGACTTGGAGGCTGGAGGTGCCGCACCTGGCGGCAGCAAGCGTGCCGTACCTTTCAAACGTCCCGGCGGTAGCCTGAGCGGCGACATGGACGATGACGTACATGGCGGTACGGCAGGTAGAGGTAAGAGCGGTATGGCAGCCACCCAGCGTGCTGTGGGGTGGAAGCATGGCGCTGACGGCGACGGCGGCGACATCGATGACGAAGAGTCGGCGGCGGCGGCGGCGCTAACCCAGGCTGATCGTGATAAACGAGGCATGCACTTCAACCGCCCTGGCGGCGGTCACGACGGCGAGGTTGACGACGAGGCTAGTAACGCTGCAGCGGCAGCTGGCGGCGCCGCTGCTGCAGGGGCAGCTGGTCACGCCAGGGACTTCAAATACGCTGGCGACGGCCTGGGTGGAGGGATGGCGGAGGAAGACGCGGCGGCGGCAGTAGCCCAAGGCGGCGGCGCCGCCGCCGGCCGGCGTGGCATGCACTTCAACCGCCCTGGCGGTGGTCACGACGGCGAGGTTGACGACGAGGCTAGTAACGCTGCAGCGGCAGCTGGCGGCGCCGCTGCTGCAGGGGCAGCTGGTCACGCCAGGGACTTCAAATACGCTGGCGACGGCCTGGGTGGAGGGATGGCGGAGGAAGACGCGGCGGCGGCAGCAGCCCAAGGCGGCGGCGCCGCCGCCGGCCGGCGTGGCATGCACTTCAACCGCCCTGGCGGTGGTCACGACGGCGAGGTTGACGACGAGGCTAGTAACGCTGCAGCGGCAGCTGGCGGCGCCGCTGCTGCAGGGGCAGCTGGTCACGCCAGGGACTTCAAATACGCTGGCGACGGCCTGGGTGGAGGGATGGCGGAGGAAGACGCGGCGGCGGCAGTAGCCCAAGGCGGCCGCGCCGCCGCCGGCCGGCGTGGCATGCACTTCAACCGCCCTGGCGGTGGTCACGACGGCGAGGTTGACGACGAGGCTAGTAACGCTGCAGCGGCAGCTGGCGGCGCCGCTGCTGCAGGGGCAGCTGGTCACGCCAGGGACTTCAAATACGCTGGCGACGGCCTGGGTGGAGGGATGGCGGAGGAAGACGCGGCGGCGGCAGCAGCCCAAGGCGGCGGCGCCGCCGCCGGCCGGCGTGGCATGCACTTCAACCGCCCTGGCGGTGGTCACGACGGCGAGGTTGACGACGAGGCTAGTAACGCTGCAGCGGCAGCTGGCGGCGCCGCTGCTGCAGGGGCAGCTGGTCACGCCAGGGACTTCAAATACGCTGGCGACGGCCTGGGTGGAGGGATGGCGGAGGAAGACGCGGCGGCGGCAGTAGCCCAAGGCGGCCGCGCCGCCGCCGGCCGGCGTGGCATGCACTTCAACCGCCCTGGCGGTGGTCACGACGGCGAGGTTGACGACGAGGCTAGTAACGCTGCAGCGGCAGCTGGCGGCGCCGCTGCTGCAGGGGCAGCTGGTCACGCCAGGGACTTCAAATACGCTGGCGACGGCCTGGGTGGAGGGATGGCGGAGGAAGACGCGGCGGCGGCAGTAGCCCAAGGCGGCCGCGCCGCCGCCGGCCGGCGTGGCATGCACTTTAACCGCCCTGGCGGTGGTCACGACGGCGAGGTTGACGACGAAGGCTCTGCCGCGGCGGAGGAAGCTCCATCCAGGACCGCCGCGGCTGGCGGCGCCCGCAGCCGGCAGTTCCACCGGCTGGGTGACGCGAACAATGGAGGCCTGCAGGAGGAGGAGGCGAGGGCAGAGGCGGCGCCGGAGCTTTCCCCGGCTGGCCGAACACCGCTGCCACCCCAGATCCGGGGCTTTCAGAGGTGGGGTGCAGGGGTGCAGGTGGAGGGTTGGCATGCGGGTGATGCGGTGTCGCAGCGTGTTTGTGCCATGCTTGGCCAGTTACAATGATGATGAGTATGAACCGGCACACTTCGGACGGAAGGTCCCAGTCTCCCAGATGTCATCCCGTGCGCTCCCCTCGCGCATTCATCGACCCCCTCCGATTCCCACCCGCCCGCCCGTGCAGACCCGACAAGGGCGGCCAGCAAGGCGCATTCGACGCAGAGGCTGCCGCCGCCCAGGCCGCTGCTGCTGCGGGGGCGGTGGCAGCGGGTGCTTCCGGCAAGCAGGCGCGGCAGCTCAAGTTCGCAGGCGGCCTTGACAATGTGGGTAGCGCAGTGCGTTATTGTCTGCCTGGCCGTCGCCTTTTGGTCTGAAATGTTGGTTTGAAACCAACGCGAGTTTAGGCATTCCGGTATCCTCGCTGACTCGCTACCTAACAGACCAAGATCGTGCTATTTTTTATCAATAACGTACAATCGCTGAGAGGAGAGTCTCCGCGCGTGCTGCCATACCGCAGACCGAAGGGGATCTGGAGGAGGAGCAGGGCCCCGCGGGGCAGCCGGGGGCCGCACCGGCAGCGGGAAAGGGGGTACGTCGCTGGTGCTGCCGCTGCGACCGAAGCAGCTGCAGTTGCTCCCTTCTTGCAATGCCGACTGCTGACAAGAAATATGTGTTGCTTGCATTGAAATGCTTTGCATTCGAAGATTCTGTGTTCATTGCACAGCACCACTCAGAGTCCCGAACCTATTCATGTCGCTACCCAACTAACCAACCGGCCCCTGCAATACCCCGATCTCACAGGCTGGAGGTAACCGCAATGTACGGCAGTTCAAGCACGCGGAGGGCACGTACGGCGCCGACGAAGACCTGAGTGAGGACGAGCTGCCGTCGGAGGGCGACCCACGGGGCACTCTGCCTGCAAACGCCACTGAGGAGGTGAGGGAACGCTCTCCACCCTTCAACTGTTTACCGCTCCCTCTATCAATCGAATTGCTCAGTTCCGCTGCTACCCCGGTGCACAGCACCGTCATGACGTGCCTTGCACGCTTCCCACCGGCCAGACCTTGGCGCCTGCTAGTACGCACGCGCTTACTTCGCTTTCCAACCCTCTCCGTTATGGCTCTTTGGCTCCAATGGCTCACTGGCATCGCGTTAAACCCCTGCTTCACTCCTCCCATCCCCACTGCCCTTATCAGGAGCGGCGTCAGTTCATGATGCGCTACACCAACCGCGGCCCAACCTACGGAGATGACAAGATCGGCGCAGTGGACCTGGTGCGGCTGCAGAGGGAGCACCTCAGGCGCGCGCAACTGACCCGCACAAGCAAGGCATGGCAGTCGCAGGAGCCCAGGAAAGCCGGGGGTCCGGAAGGGGGACCGGGAGCAAGCAGGAGGCAGTGAGTTGTGGAGTTGTGGATTGCTAGAAGCTCGTTGTTCGTGATGGCTCCTAGGAGTGGCTATTGTAAAGTGGTTGTACTTCATGTAAACAATATTAACGCGTGTCGTGATCATACACGATTGTAACGCGTGCGGTTACAACTGGAAGGGAGGGCAGAGTTGGATTGTTGATGGCTTTACTGTGTCGTACATTACAACGCCCGCAACGCAATGGGCGTGTGCAGTTGGCAGCTGCCGGGTTGCAGGTCGCCCGGGCTTGCAGTGTTGGCGGGTTGGGGGTCAGTGCTGGGTGCGGGCGAGCGACGAGGGAAGGAAGGGTGTATATATTGGGTTGCGGGGGTACCGGTACTGATTTCCATTGCAGCTGTTTGCAGAGCCACCTCGTTTCCCTGCGCTTAGCAAACCGCTTTAGTTGTGGGTCTGGGATCCACGAGGTGTAGTGCATTGCTACGCCCGATAGGTCGCTACTCCCCAACAGCCGGTATGTGTTTTGACCTGTTGGCGTGCACCATGCCACTGTCGGCGTCGTGACGTGTGTGACGATTGATGATATGGTACGACCGACTTCCAGTCCTTGGGAAACAGGGCTGGCCCGTTGGGGTGTGGCAGGTTGGTCTTACCTGGCACCATGACGTACCGTGCATGCATGACCGTATTGCCCCCGATGAGGGTGAAAATGCACCGATGTTACCAGGCTAATGTCGTTCATTATACCGGTAGGTCCCATCGCTTCAAGATACATCATGTAGTACTAGTCCAGTGCCGTATCATAGCTTGCACATGGCGGACACACGTAGTTGGAGGCTGTTGGTGGCTTAGTTCGGAGTGGAGCCAGGGCGTAAGGACCGTTCCTGTTTCCTGTGTACATGGGCCGTGCTCGCCGCGATGCTGGTAGGGTTAACACTCACATCACCCAGCTGCATGCTGAACACAACCGTGCGCGAACCGCACCACCCCGCATCCCACCTGTTGTTGCCACATGTGTGAGTCTTAGCAGAAGCCGCCGCGAGGGTGGTGTGCGCTTCTTATTGGGTTTGTGACGTTACCTTGTCGACTAACCGTCTTCCATGACGTGCCGTGCCTTGACGCGCGGTCAGAGACGCCGCATGTGTCATTGCGTGTGAGACAGCGCTATCTGCTGCAACATGCTGCGGACGGAGTGTGGGGCCCCTGCTTGGCGCTGTTACCCGCAGGTGCAACATGGAACAGCAGCGGGTGCTTGCTTCTGGTTGCAAAGGGCAATGAGGTGGTGGCGGTGGCAGTGGTAGTGAGGTGGTGGTGATGGGGGCCCATGCGAGGTGCGAGCGTTCAGATGGAGCTACTGTTCAAAGCGGGCTGAAAGAGGAGGGGCGCATGTCGTAGGTCGATAGTAGGGATGGGGAAGCACATCGTCGCATGGACATTCTCGCATGCGGAGGGCTCCAGGCACGCGATGCAGCGAAGGGCTTGGCACTCCTGGTAGCGGACGCTGCCATGTTGGTTGCCAGATGCTTGCTTGCGTACATACGGTGCGAGGAGGCCTCCATCCATGCGCTTGAGCCATTTGGAGCAGCCCAGTTTTACCAGAAAGAGGACTGCGCAGTAGCCATCAGCTACCAAGGCCCAGCAAGGGCTGTATGTAATTGGGTTTCATCTGGAACTCTGGTGTCACTGCCAGCGGCTGCACCCATGCAACCCCTCCTGGGAGCCACTATCGTCCAAAGCGAATGTGACATCGCCACACCTTTCAACATACTTTTAACCAAGTTCAGCCAATTGCCCGCGTCAATGCAAGCATCCTTCTCAGCTATAATGCAACTGAACCGTGGGACATACACCACAATCGCACCCTACCGAGCCGGTTATGGGGCACGACAGGGCTAGCGGGACACTGGCCCTTGGTCACCCGGTGATCATCTACATGCCTTCGGCGGGTGGGGTGGTTGGTTCGAAAGGTACGCGCATTGGTACGGAGCAAGCAGAACGATGGCAACAAGGACATGGTCGGACTATGGGCTTTAGGGTGGAGTGAGGCAGACGAGCGGTATCCCTAGACTTGAGCCTTACTTGGCTGTGTGTGGGTTCCATGATGACGTCAACAGCGGCGTTTGTGGCGGAGCGAATGTAGCGGGATGAACGGGCGTAGTGGCCAGGGAAGTGTGTTGGGAGGCATTAAGGACATGGTGGATTTTCGTGTTGGCAGCAAGCGATATCGTTTTCAGCGGCATGCTAACCGCAAACTTGCGGGTTTACCTACGGCTATGTCGGCGGGTGAGGGGCCTTGGTTGCGCTTGAGGCACTAGCCGATAGAGGTGGACATACGCAGGACAGGACAGGTGGTCGTAGAATATTTGATGAGTCTATGCTGAAAGCAAAGGCAGGAAGAACACCTACGAACCGAACAACTACGCTGAGGTCTATGAGGAGACAATGCGGTTGACACATCGCTGCCATCTGCCAGCCATGCGTTTCTTGCACTGCGTGACGCATTGTCGCCATTCATGCGCCTCCTACACTGAGCTATAAACCAGTATGTACCTTAGCATGCCGCACAGGTAAGTTACACGAGAACGGCCCCGCGGCGTCGCCAGCCCTTAACGCCCAGAGTTCACTATTATCCACGATGGACAATAAATGAAGCTGCGGGTATTGAAGAAACTTATAATAAGGCGCCTTTCGTAGAGGACCCCGCAAATATATGGTGATATCGTAGTCGAACCTACGTTGCTGTGCCTTCAATGGTACTCGTGTTAGAGATACGACTCTTAGCGGTTAACGCCTTGGTGTCCCACGTGTTTAAGATCGTAAGACTTGATCACGAAAGGCAGTTGTACACAATGTCTGCCTGATCCAGTGATGAAAAACGGCCGTTTCCAGTAGGTAGAACACGTCAGGTCTTCGGGTCTTTCCTTATCTTATCCATAAGGAAGGGTCATTCACAGTAGGATTGCCGCGATGCGTCGAAACATGAATTTGCAGCTGACCTGTTAACAGATCAGCTTGGTTTAAAGCGTCCTAAATTTTTAACTGTTGGTTGAGTGAGCGCGCTTGCGCGCCCGACACCGTACACCGTGTTCGTGTACGGTACTTTGGGCGCGCTTTCTTCCCATAAATTCGCCACTGTGAACAATTACATTATACCTTCTGTAATTGTTACAGTGCCAGCGCCAACATACAATGGCGCAAGGCATTGCCCTACTCCTGTGGGCAATCGCTGCGAGCTTCGCCATCGGTAAGTTACCTGGTGCGCATAAAATGCCGACCGACAAGGTCCCTACTTATAATGCCCACGCTTGTCATTGAACTGGTAAAAGCAACTGGTCATTCTAGGTGACTTGGCGAGCACTCGATACACCATGGCGCCAAGCTAAAAGTTAGCCTCTCGCTGTGGAGGGATATGCATTACTACATTCTCCATATTTCTGCTTTTCTTCGTAATGCTGTACCTGTCCGATCGTCGCCACTCTCCAGCAGGTTCTACGTCAGCTTCCCTTGTCGATAATGTCGGCCATCGTCGCAGCCTTCTGACAGCAAACAACGGTTTTCCATGGTGCCAGTGCTTCACATATGACTGCGCCTGCAGTCCATACAAGGTCACCTTGGCGGACTATGCTGTGGTGAGCGCATGTCCGCTATGCGCTGGATTGTTTTTGTTTCACTGCCGTCTGCTAACGGTTTCACTCTTACTAGGGTATTTCCGGGCTTACCCGTTGGTCCCTGTTTCTGCTTGCTAAGAATGCCTACTTGTCCTTCCATCACCCAGACCGCTACGTCAACCAAGACGTGCTTCAACATTGCCTACATCGGCTGCGATGAGACGCTCGCGTGCTGTCGCGGTATGCTCAACGCTATTGATAAGCTGACGTTTGAGACAACGCAGCAATGCAGTGTAAAGTCCAACATCCCCCGGGTGACTGTCAACGGGCAGCTCTACACCTCCTGGAACACCTACTCCCATAACACCAGTGAGTGGATCAACCTTCCTAACCCTCTTAGCAGCGCTTGTAACCTCCCAACACTTTCTGAAGCTGTCTTCTTAGACGCGACCGACACCCATGGCTAGTGTTAACATGCCGCTTGCTTCTTTGTGATGCAGCTTTTGGTACCGGCTACGAGCTGAAGATTTACAACCTGGCTATGACCAACGCCACCTTTGTCGGAACGCAAATCTGCATCACCTCTAAGAAGCCCTGCGGCACCTTTGGAGATCTGTGCTACAGCTCCGTTACGAAAGGATGCCGGTGAGTCCTGCTGTTACAAACATGCGACCGGTACTTCTTAAAACTGTCAACCTTACAACGGTTATTATTTTTTCCCTCAGGTACTCTTTCGCCGACGTGTCCACCACTAACTACTGCCCCATCTGCGTGTTCAACCAGTCACCACCTCCGTCGCCACAGCCCCCTGTTCGTGCTCCCCCCTCCCCCAAGCCTCCGTCGCCATATTCTCGGCCTCCCTCGCCCGCTCCTCCTTCTCCCAAGCCACCATCGCCCGCTCCGCCGCCGTCTCCTTCCCCTCCGACTCCGCATCCTCCCTCGCCTGCACCACCATCTCCCAAGCCTCCTTCGCAGCCTCTGCCACCTTCGCACCCACCCCCTTCCCCGCCCCCTCCTCCTCCTCCACCCCCTCCGCCGCCCCCTCCGCCGCCGCCTCCTTCCCCGCCGCCTCCCGTGCCTCCTTCCCCCAAGCCTCCTTCCCCCAAGCCTCCCTCCCCCAAGCCTCCTTCCCCCAAGCCTCCTTCCCCCGCGCCCCCGTCTCCCATGCCTCCTTCACCGCCTCCCCCCTGCCCGGTTTGCGCTTTTGTGACCATCGTTCCTCCTTCGGATCTGGGCAACAGGACGCTGTTCACCTTTGGCAATGGTGCCTCCTGCGCGGTTGGTGATCTCCTCATTTCACAAATCAACTCGGCCGCCTCCTACGTTGGCGCCAAGATCTTGGTGCCCTTCTCGCTGGTCGAGTGTTCCGCAGCCTACAACGCCACCGCCTCCCTGTACCCCTTCGTGAAGGTCTGCGGTGTGTGGGCTTCGGACGCTGATGGCGCCAAGCTGGCTGTTGTCACTGCGGATCGGCCCTTGAGCCCCCTTGAGACTATGATGACCCAGTGGGTTAACAACGTCACTGGCATCTGCCCCAGCTACCTTTCGGGCTACACTGTGAATGCCGACGTGTACGATCCCAGCGGTGTTGGTACCTGCCTCAACGGTCACTTTGATCACCAATGCGCTGCGAATGCTGCTCCCTTCCCGCCTCCGGGGTTGCCCCCGAAGAAGCCCTCGCCGCCCCTGCCGCCGCCCCCTTCGCCTCGGCCTCCATCGCCACCATCGACTGTGGTCGCCACGCACGATTGTGTGCAGAGCACCGCGAATGTTCCCTACAGCATTGGGCCGCTGTTCACCATTAACACGGTGGATCAGTACAACAAGTCAGCGGTCGGCATGTGCGTCAAGGTTGCATCGCAATCCTGCAAGGCGTCGAAGTACTGCTGCGGCATGGACTTTGCAAAGGTGAGGAGCAACATGGTTTCGCTAGCGATTCGCATATCGCGGGCATTGTTCTCGTGCTCGTGCCCGCAAACTAATTTTGATGATGGCCGTTGTCATATCGCATCGCCTTCCTTGCACTGCAGGTCGAGGTCCCCATCACGCCAGCCTGCAAGACCGAGCTCCGCCAGTTGCTTATCAACGACAAGGCCGTTTTTAACAGCTGGGGCAACTACGACCCCATCCTTACCCTCAAGTTTACAAGTCTTGTCGAGTAAGTCCACGCCAGCTCTCCTGTCTCGTACGACATTCCCTCTCTCTGGCCCTATAGCCGACACCCACGTCGCGTTTCCCAGCGCACATTGAACGAGTTGGTTCGCCTCTAATTCCTGCCCACGTTCCTGTTGCCCCTCGCAGCATCCTTCCGAATCCCGATAGTGCAACCCTTTGCTGGGTCGTCCGCCCTGGGTCGTGCGCCGACCCTGCCAGCTTCTGCTTGAACGGGCACTGCCAGGCAAGTTGTGAACGGGGCAAAACACACAGCGTACATGTGCCATGTATCCCCATGCATGTGAATACTAAAACATCAGTATGTGACACCAGCTTTCTAGGGAATTTCTAGTACACACCAACGGTCTGCACCTTCTAACATGCATTTGTGTGGCATGCCCCTGCAGGTGTCCATCTTTTCATCCAACAACAAGTGCTGCCCTGCCACTCTGGTTTCTTGATGAAGAGTTTCATCTTTGCATGATCATCACATCGCATCATTCCGCAATCTCATCAGGTCGTGCGTGTCTTCCATGGTTAGCAGGTATTGTTTGCACGCCAGTGCTTAGTCAATGGATGGAGAAGTATCTATAGCAGGTTCTTTAGGCGCGCAGCGGTTGATTGAATATCTTCTTGCCTAGTCAGGGGTGGTCTTTTATTTTTTGTGGGTATTTTTGTCCCTATCACGCATTTCGTGGCAGCGTACCAATGGTCAGGCGTGCTGTTCTCGCAATGTGTCACTTATTATTCTGTAGATACTGTAGACGATAGGTAGATGATGGATGTAGACATGTAGTTCATAGGCCAGGATGTAGCTGATTATCCTAGATAAGCCAACGCTTATTAATGAACATAACATTTTCATAAGTACTGTAACCGCATTTATGTACACAATCAAGCACAGTCCATCAAGGCTCGTGTCCCCAATAACCGCAACCCACGGAAGTAATACCAGGTACCAGGTCTTCGTACCCGACGCCTCAATCATAACCCTCCATCTAATTCTTTAGCCCACATCACTTAACAGGCCGCTCTTTACAACCAATTGGCATCTCGTACGTAATAGGAAACCATTGGGCCTCCCAAGGGATCACACCCCCAAGAAAGGTAAGTTAGGGCCCTAATTGCAGGGTTGGCCCAGCCGGGTGTTGTACGGGTTGAAGCCATGTGCGTAGCGAATTCCCGCAGGTACCATGCCACACAGCTTGGGGTTGTTGTGGACGCTGACGTACATCGGGCGCATGTCGGCGAGACCTGACAGATCCCCCTGCGTGCGTTCAGTTGCCAATGCCGGCGGAGGTAACCTTAAGGCAAGGGAAAGCCGAACCGGTCCCTCATGGTACGGAATTAGAGCATGCTACGTAGGCAGGTAGCCAGTCCGCATCTCACCTCCAAGTCGTTGCCGGCTATCTCCAAGCCGTTCATCACCTTTGCCAGTTTCCTGCGGGTCAGCACGAAGAGTGCAAGAGGTGCGTCGGGGCCATGATGCAGTGCTCGGCAGCCGGCGCCGCACTGCGGGGGCCTTGCATACACACTAATGAGGTCTGCATGTACTTCCCTGGCGCACATGGCTAGGCGACACCGCCCTGCAGGCCCTGCCGGGTCACCGGCGGTACTCAGCCCTCACCCTAGCTCCTTGGGAACCGTTCCGCTGAAGTGGTTGTCCGCCAGCCGAAGCACGCCTGCAGAACCAGAGGAGGAATGGCAAGGAAAACCCCGTCGGGACAGCCTTGGATTGCTGCTAAAGCTGCCGAGTACGACAATGCGATGACGAGGTACGGGGGGCTCGAGTACGACACCACATGGTGCATACGGTCACCCAACCCCCTCTGGTTCTGGACCAACGTGCCTGCCCCTGTCGCTTAGTCCAGTATCGTGAAACATTGCCCCGATCTGCCTGCCTGCACTTACGTAGGGCCGGCATGTCTCCAAACGTTGATGGAATGGTTCCCGAGAACTGCGGAAAGCCAGCAGATCAACCAAGGGGCAAGCAGCGTTAGTCATGTTGCTCTCGACCTGCGCCCAGGCCTTTGCACTGCCTCGAACCCAAGGCACCCAAGGCTGCCTCAGATGTGTCTGCCGTACGCACCTCATTATGCTCAACCTGCAGCGGCAGAGGTGGTGAGGCAGCGGCGGGGGGTTCAGGAGCGGAATACCCTAAGACATTCACTCAACAGTTTGTGGTCAGTAAAATACTTAAAATCACACGTCGTACGCGCAAGGTTGTGGTCACTGCGGGCCCAACGGTATGTGCTACATCTAGGAATGCGGAGTTACGAACCGGCTAGTGTAACGGTGATGGGCTCCAACCCTGCATATCCATGCGAACGTGTACGGTGCCAAGCATGCTGCTGCTAATCTGCATTATAACGCATGAGCGGCCCCAAACGTCTCGGCCTCCGTACCTTGAATTCTTGCAAAAGGGACTTCTTTGAGATGCTGGCGGGTATGGTCCCCGTCAGCTGCAGGGGCGTCGACGAACAGCAGGGTGCAGGGGCATTGCACCGAGGCAGGCTTAGAGGAGGAAGCAGGACGTTGTAGTTGTGGTTGCTATAGCAGTTGTAACAGTACGGCAGCAAACAAAGCTCTATATCAACGCGTCACTCACGCACCCGATTGAACGACAGGTCCAGCTCCTGTAGGTCGGGTAGGCAGGTGAGCAGCCAGTCCGGGAAGGGGCCGTTGAAGTTGGATCCGTCCAGGTCCAGCTCTCGCAGGTGCTGCAGGGAGCAGAGCTCGCCTGCGGAGGGTGGGGTGAGGGAGTGGGGACGCGCGTGGCATGGTATGGGGTAAGGAGGAGGGGAGAGACATGTCACATGTGCAAGGGGCACACATCAACTCCCATGTTCCGAGCTACTAATGCTACTAACGTGGGTTCCGTTGACCTCCGTTTAGCTTGCTGCAGGCAGAGAGCTAGGGCAAATGCTTGATACGCGCAGAACAATCCCTAGGGCACCCAATAGCGTAGGCCCCCGCTAGCAGTCTTAATTCCTGCTCCAGTACAGAATCGTACGGCAACAAAACTCACGTGGTGGCAAGCCCTCCAGCTTCTGGTCGGTGATGTGGACGTTGGTGACGTAGCCGTTGTAGTCGCCCTTGGAGCCCTCTCCGTACGCTGTACAGCAGTTGGTGCAGGCACAGCAGGGGCGAACGGCAAGGTACGGCACGGGGAAGAGTTTTTGCTGGGACTCGGCAAAGGGGATTCTTGTGTCTCCAGTTTGTTTTCCGCACAAACCCTTCTGACTTTCCCTCGCTAACTTCTCCATTGCTTCGGCACCTCTTCCATAATGCCCTCGCTTGCCCTTCCGTCATCCCCTTTCTTCACCCCATCCCCGCGCTCACGTCCCGCGGAGCCCCTGCAGTGGATGAACTCCCAGTTGCCGCTCCAGTCCTTGGAGCAGGGGTCGCAGGGCTGGTCGGAGTCGGCGGGCTCGGTGGGGCAGGTCCAGTGAGACAGCGTGCGCGCCCAGGAGCGGCTCTTGTTGATGTTGGCGTCGCGGAGGGCGATGAGGGCAGCCACTTGGGAGCGAGTTGGGAGGAGGGCAGGGAGGAAGGGAGGCATGAGGATGGGAAATGGAGGACGAGAAGGGAAGAGGGGTTGCGATGAGTGCTGCAGAGGAGCTAAGGGTCGTGCAGCAGGAGGGGATTGGCAGGCCTTATTCGTGAATAATTACATGCTGCTGATGTTCAGAGAGCGTTCGCAACGGAAAAGTTGGTTGGGAGGAGGATGGGGTGTGTGCGTAGGTCTCTGACTCACGTTCTTCTGGCGCAGTGTACGCGTGGATGGATGGCGCCAACAACAGCAGCTGCCATGCTAAAACGGCCGCCAGTTCATAAAGGGATATTGCCATCTGGCAGCTACCGTAGCGAGGCCTTGGTTTTGTCATTGACTTGCAAGAGATGGTGATGTCTGATACGTGAAAGGCCGAAAGAATGCTGAGGATGGACACTACTGGGACGACAGTCTCCAGCAGCTCAATTATTTCCAATTAATCCCGCTTTACAAGCACCTATTGTTCTTCAATAGGTAGGTTCAGGGTGCGTCAATCGATAAGTGGGCTGTTCCTGTCATCGTGGTGGTTAGGTCCTAACGGCTCGTGACCGCCCACCTTCAGATGGCCTTTCAGGTCAATTTGACAGGTGACCAGGTTGACGTGCTGCACTCATCATGTACGAAAAACTGACGCCCCGCACAAGTGCAAACATTGAACCCGCAGTTGTATCCATATGTGGTGCTGACCGTCCCTCGGGTTGCCACATACCGGAAATAAAGGGAACGTGTTACATACATAGCATAGCATAGCTTACGAGTGTGCGGCTCTCCTGTCAGGAAAGCAGGGTCTGCAGGGTCACTATCCAACGCCTATTGTACGGATTGAACGCACTGGGTCCGCTCTACCTATCCACTGGGATGCAACACAGCTTCGACGTAGGCCCACTATGAATGTTAGCAATGCTGAAATGGCGCTGAAATAACGCTTTTGCGGTAGCTGCTGTGGCAAGCCCTTTGACAGTTTACGTCATTGCAAAGTACTGGCAGGACCCATCTGTTTGAGAGCGTCTGTAAGCAGTAGTGCTTCCTAGGTTACTTGTGCTGCTAGTGAAGGACCAGAGGCACTCCAGACTGCCGTTTTGTATTAGAGTGGTTGGGCTATGTTGTCTTAAGAACAGGCTAGGATGGAAGAACTATGAAGATGACCCTAGGAAATGAACATGCCTATTGCCTGGTGGCTCCTCATCGTCGGTGCCATCCTTGCAGTCGGCGCCACGCACTCCCCGGCGTGCGGTGTCACGCTATCTTCGTTGCTTGACATGTGAGTGGGACTAACGCTGTGGTTACCTGCAATGTTGGTTTTGCAATTTCCATTCCGGGCTTCCACTGGGACAAATGTTTTGATGTAACCCAGTCGTTAAACCAATGAATATAGAAGTATTGAATTTATACGTCTATAGTTTGTGCTGGTCTGACGTTGAGGCTGGCTCACTTGCGGCAGAATTTCTCTTCATGCCTGTCTCGTTTCGCCTGCCCAGTACCTTTTATCTGTCATTGTAAAGCTGTAGCAGCAGGCCATGCTTATCTGCACTAGTGACTAGCTGCCGTGTTCCGCTCCTGCAATCCAGCTGCTCCTCAAACGACACGTCGAGCTTCACCTTACTGGCGGAGCAGTATGTGGAAGAGGGCTGCATCCAAGCCTACAACGCTAGCCAGGTTTGTGGCGGCGACTCACAGCCATAACCCGGCGGGCCCGTATGCCCCCCCCAGCGCCTTGGCACATCCCTTTGCTGCTTTCTTGGTCGCTGGCGTCTGGGCCCCCCAAACGTAGCCTCGCATACCGAATCCTAACACGTTGCATGTTGCCTCGATGTCAGGGGCCGGTTTTGGAGCTGCTTGTCAGTGCCACTGTACAGCTGCCAGCAGAAGCGATTGCACGTTTCGAGGCGGAATCGGGCTGGGCGGTCCGGCTGACCAGCTGGGATGAGTAAGTAGACAGGGAAAAGGAGGGATGGGAAGCGCACTTGCCATGTAAGGCGCGGACCGGGTCCTCCTGTCATATTTGTTGTTAGCAAGCTGAGGCCCGAAGCGGGTTGGGAAACACAGCATGCAGCGCTTTATGCTCTAATAGGGTGCATGAAGCAGTGTTCAGTCGGGTGCTCGCGATGTGTTGGCGCCCGCTTGCCTTCAACTGCGACCAAGCACCTACGGCACACGGCCTCACTTCACCCGCCACGTACTCCAGGGCCTCTGGGAGCTTGCCTCCGTTACCGGGAGCCGTCAGCAGCGTCAGCATCGCCAGTGGAGGGACAACAGCAGCAGTGGCGGCAGCAGCAACCACCAATACCTCCCAGACCATTACCTTGTCCGCAGCTTCGTTGCCTGCATGGCAGCAGCAAGCTGAGGTGCTGTCGTACTATGATGCCTGGATTCTGGATTCTCAGCTGCTAGCAGGACTGGGTCGCCTCGGTTATCTGTACCCCCCCTACAAACTGCTTCACCCTACGGCGTTCTCAGACGCCCAGCTCTCCTCACAACCACAACTACGGCAGTACGGCGCTTCGTACTACTATCAACCCGCCGCATTGCCAGTTGGGTCCAATTCGCTGGTTTTGTACGGGCATCCCCAGGCGCTTGCTCGCCTGTACGGTGATGCTCAAATGCGGCTGCGGTTAGGGCTTGGAGTGGATTCGAGCAGCGCCGCCAGCAGCAGCAGCAGCGACAGCAGCGAGTCTGTTGGGCGGCGTGTGACAATGCCCAGCGTCTGGAGTTGGGAGCAGTTGGTGGATGCAGCAGCGGCAGTTAACGGAACGGACTTTAACGGAGACGGGGCGGCCGAGTACGGCATCTGTCTCGAGGTCTCCCCTGGTGGGCGAGCGGGTGGTGCGGGGGAGGGCGGGAGCTGGGTATGGGCGAAGCCGCCTGGAGGGTGGTGCGCTGCGTGCCCCGGTGCCGCAGGGCTGTTGGTGTGCTGGGGTGTAGGGGCTCTCAGTCGTGCCAGTACGCTGTTTGTACACTCGATGCTGATCCTCGGAAGCGCCGCTAAGGGGCCATTTGGACTCACCGCCCAGTCCTGATGTTGGTCGGCTGCCATCCCTCCTCTCGACAGGTTGCCTGGCGCCAGCACTGGTGCAGGCCATCGCGGCGTCCTACCTGCAGACCCGTGGGTCGGGCGATGGCGTCCTGTTGGAGCCGTCGTCCCTGGCGTGGCGGCTGCAGGGCCCCGGATTCCAGATGGCCTTGTGGACGCTGCAGCGGCTGTTGTGGTACGGCCCCCCAGGCGACTCGCAGTACAGCGGCACAGGCAGCAGCAGCAGCAGCGGCACCAGCAGCAGCGGCAGCAGCAGCAGCGGCGCAGCGGCGTGCAAACGACTGTCAGTGGCTTTTGCAGAGGGCCGCTGCGCCTTTACGATCCACACGATGTCGCATCTGAAGGTGCGTATGCCGCGGCTTGCGCGCGGCTGGTACCGTATGGTGGCAAGGATTGGGAAAGGGCGGGCGAGGGGGTAGCGGGCGGTGCTTATTGTTGTACTGGGCAGGTGCTGCGGTATAGAGGAGCCATGGTCCCATCCATGATAGTTAGGTAGGGCCATAGCTGCTGCCGGGCATTAGCATGGCTTGTTAGGTGCAGCGGAGAAAGCTTTAACAAGCAAGTTAGGCCAACCGAAACGTCCACACCCCGTCGCCATGTCGGCACACGGCTGCGCAACGCAGGCGTCGTACTCCTGGCCCGGGCGGGACAACGGCTCAGTGTACGGCACTCGTGTGATGCAGCTGCCTGGCAGCTCCCGCGTAGAGCAGCCGGGTGCTTCAGGCGCGATGCAGGGCTGTACGGCGTCCAGCTGCCCCTACTCCGTACCTTTCAACGGCAGTGGCGCGGCCTCTAGCAGCAGCGGCATCTCAGCGGCTGTATCGGGGGCGGTTACATGGCTCACTGGAAGCAGCAACAGCAATAGCAGCGTCTGGGTTAACGTTGCGCCGCTTGCATATGGCTTCCCCGTCGGCGGCGTCAACTCGGGCACCCCGTCGGCGCAGCGAGCCGCGGCTGGGAGGTTGCTGTCGTACCTGATTTCACAGGAGGGGCAGGCGCTGTTAGCAGCAGATTCCGGCTCAGGTGGGCTGGGAACCTGGCTGAAACGAGGGGAAGTGCGCTGGCTGGAGAAATGGAGTCCGGCGAGGGTTGGGACTATTGAAGGCGGCATGTGAGGATTACTGGGGACTGGCACGGCAGAGGCTTGCACGTCGCCATGTGGCACGTGGCCCGTGCATCACAATGTGCCCTTGCTCCCTTGCGGCCGCGCCCCCCCCCCCAATCACTCAGGCGTGTGGCCCTTTCGCCGCCTGGAGGCCAGCACGGTGGCGGCGGCGGCGGCTGCAGCGGTGGCGGGCGGTTCTGTACGGCAGCAGCAGCCCACGTCTCAGCAGTGGGCGGAGCTGCGTGCGGTGGAAGGCGCCCTGTGGGGCCACCCGAATGCGGCACCCGCGCTGAGGCTGCCCGGGGCGGACAGCACCTGGTGAGCTGGAGGGATGGGGCAACGGGGCGGAAGCCAAGGAGGTAGCAGCGTGGTTCGGAACGTCAAAAGCTGTCGAAAGTGACGCGTTCCGCGAGGTGTATTTCATCCTACAGGCCAGCTTGGTGACGATTACATCCTTTCCCTCTCCGTGTGCTTCCACAGGCCGCTCTTGGAGGCCGCCGTCGCGACGCTGCAAACCGGCGGAAATCCCTATTCGTACATTGGATCCAATCTGCCGTACAGTGACGACGAGTCACGTGTCGTACAGCTGCCCGCGCCCTCGGCAGCTGTAGCTGCGGCTGCCGCTGCGCTGGCAACAGCTCTGCCGGGGGTGCTCCGGGCGGCGCTGCCTTCCAATGAGACACTTCGGCTGGAGTACCAGGCCTCCATTGCATACCGGGCGCCAGTCCTGAGCAGCAGCCCCCAGGTTAGCATGCGGACATTCTACGTCCTTGGGTGGTTACGGTAACCTGCACCAAGCATCGGAAAACGCCTTATCCTACTCGCCAGCCCCACGGTTCTGTGCTCGACTGCATGACCACAACAGTTCTTGTGCAGTCGGAAGCCCCGCGAAAGCAATCACTAATACCGGTGCACCAGGGTACATCCCCACACTCGCGCTTGCATCCCCACACTCGTGCGCTCCTCCTCTCCTCCTTGCATCCCGTCCCATTTCATCCCATCACCTACCACCATCACCCCGCCCCGTCCCATGCTGCTCCCCGCCCTGTCCCGCAGGTGCCGGTCGCGGAGGACAATATCCGCACGGGCCTCATCGTGGGTGTGGCGGTGGGTGTGAGCGCCTGCCTGGCGGCGCTCGCCACCGCGGCGGGGGTTCGCACGCGTCATACGCTGGTGCGGCTGCGCGGAGTCAACAGTCACTTCGCGGACGCCAGCAGCCACCGCAGCATGGACACATATGTGGTGCTGGACATTCAGGTGCGTCGCACAGTGCCTGGGATGGTTATGTGTGCGACATGAGGGCGAACTTGGGCACTTAGGAGGTTAAAGGTTGATCGATGTGGAGTTGAAGGGTCCACGGAGAGCTGTGCTAGTGAGGTTGGATTAGGAGTACGCGGAGTCCTGTCAGTAAATGCTAAGATGGCCGTCAGTTCATGAGGATAACGAGTGCGATTGTGGTTTCCGCGCTTTCTGCACCTCCTGGACCTCTCACCGCATGCAGGGTCTTTCCGAGCCAGGCACCCCAGACAGCGTGCGGGACCAGGCTCTGCGCATGTGCCACGACGTGATCAAGTCGCTCGCCCGCCGCTACAACGGAACCACAGTGGCGCTACCGCCCACCGAGCTGTCGGCCTCCGCCAAGCAGCCACGTCGCGTCAGGCAGGAGCCGTTTGCAGTCGCGTCGGAGCCTCTGACGGGGTCGGGCGGCGGCGCTCCCGTTGGTCCCTTCAGTACGGCAGCGGGAGTGGCGGCGGCAGCAGCGCCGGGCTGGGGTGCTGAAGCAGGTGGCAGCGGAGTCGGCGGCGCGGGGGGCGACATGTTGGGTGGAGTTGTGGGTCGACAGGCGGTTGCTGATAGGATTACTAGGATGCGTGGGGAAAGCAGCGGCGGCGGCGCTGGCGCGGGATTGGGGGCTGGCGGTGCGGAGGGAGCCTCCAAACAACCGCCCCGCTCGGAGTTTTGGAGGCGCGATAGCAGCGGCTTCTTCTCCCTAGCATCACGCGACTTTGACTTGCTCAACTCCCAAACCTGCACGTACGGTCAACATGCCGCTTTAGAGACTGGCGAGGGCGCAGGGGCCGGCTTTTCAGCCACCGCCACCGCCGCTGCAGGCACGGTTGGTGCGCTGCCGCATGCAAGGAGCGCCCGTAGCACTAGCAGCGATGTGGCACAGCAGTTGCGGCCGCCGGTTGCAGCGGGTGCAGCGGACAAGCCGGCCGCCTCAGCTCCAGCGCCAGCCAGCTTGCAGCCGTGTGGCTGTCAGCTGCCGGCTGCTGCCGCCCCACCACCCGCACATGCGTGTGACACAGGCGCAGCAGCCGGGGCGGTGCCTGCAGTACGGGTTGACGGCCCGTGCCAGCGCTGTAGCGGCAGAGGCGGCGCTGAAGACGTACCTAGTACCTGGGCCGCAGCTGCCGCCGCCGCCATTGCCGGTCTTGGCAGTGTTAGTGGTACCTTTCACGGCGCAGCAACGCAAATGGCCGCTCCGATTGCGTACAGCAGCTCTGCCATGCCGGCGGCGACGACAGTAGATGCAGCAGTGGCGGCGGCGGCGGCTAACCGTGGTGCCGCGGGTGTTTGCCCCGCGACTCCCGGCATTAATGGCGCCGGCAGCGTCAGCGCTGGCGGTGTGCCTGTACCGCTCCTTAGCGCGGTGCGGAAACCGTCACCCTCGCCGCCACCACTGCAAGGGGCGTCACGCACGTCCCTAAGACCTCCTTCGGGGGCTGCTGTGAACTCCGGGTTATGCACGCAGCCCAGCGTAGACTCCCTGGCGGCAGAGTGCCTCCCCGAAATGCTGCTGCCCATGCCTGCAGCAGCGGCCACAGCCGCAGCTGCCGCCGTGGCCGCGGCCTCCGCCAGGGGTGGGGAAGCTACCCGACCGGCCTTGCCGCGTGCAGGATCTTGCCGTGCCGGATTCCTGTCCTCCGGCCCACAAGCAGCACAGGAGCGGGCCAGCGCAGACCATGCAAGCACCCAACAGGGGCCGCACCCGAGCCCTGTGGAGCCGCCTGAGAACGCAGCAGCGAACTTGCACTACTGCCCTCTGCCGTCCCTGCCTGAGGCGACCGTTGCTGGCCCCGAGGGACCGTGGCAGCGGGTGTCAGCAGGCGGTGTCGACGGCGTCGTGGCGGGACCCTCCACAGGCCGTGGTCGTGGGCTTGGAGGCCCCTGGTCAGGGCGACAACACCGGATGTCGCCATGCCCGGTTCAGCCCCTGGCGTCGTCGCCACTGGTGGGCGCGCCGTCGCAGGCCGCGCAGCATGTGGCGTCGCCGCCGTCGCGCGGTGGCGCGCTGGCGGCGGCGGTAGCGGCGGCGAAGGCGGCAGCGGCTGGGTCGATGGCGCCGCCGCCGCCGCTGCCGACACGCGTGGCACTTACGTTTTCAACCGTCCATGAAGCCGTGTGCTTCTGTGTGCACATGCAGGTAGGAGTGGCTGCATCTTGCTTTGCGGCGCGGGGTCTTCCACCCTGACTGTTGGACTGCCTAAACGGAATCGCTTGTGACGAAGCCCCTCTACAGCTAACTTCTTTTGGTCCATGCAGTGTCTTGCTCCTTAGTTGTCTTGCACCGACGTTGGGACTGTGTACCCGCAACAACCCTGTCCCGCTCCCTGCTTGCAGGCGATGCTCATTAACTGCCGCTGGCCAGCAGAGGTCCTGGAGCTGCCCGGTTGCCGCCCTGTTGTCGTGCGGCCTAGATCTCTGGCCGCCGAGGAGGACCCATGCGACTACGCCTCCGCAGGCGGCGGAGGCCGTTCCGCTGCCAGTCGTGCCGCTGCAAACAAGAGCGTGCGCGGCGGCGGCCTCGGCGGCGTGGAAAGCGGTGGGGGCGGTATTTCTGGTGGCGGCGCAGACTCCGGCGGAGGTGTGGTCATGGCCTCCGCGCATTCCTCCTTTGTTGTCACCTCTGCCTCGCCGTTCAGCCCAGCGAATGCCGTCGACCGCATGAAATCCCTCATCAGCGGAGGAACAAAAGGGAGGTCGGGCAGGGCGCTGCGGCCGCTGCCCATGTCGCCGCGGCTGCCGGGCCCAGGCAGCGGCGGCGCCCGGGAGCCAGAACGCTCCGGACCCTCCATGAGCCGCTTTGCTGCGGCAGCGGCCGGCAGTGTCGCCTCTGGGGCCACCGCGCCCAACCACAGCGCGCAAAGCATGGTGCCATTAGGAATCGCAGGATTGAATAGCCTGGGTGGCGGCAGCGGCGGCGGCGGCAATAGCGGCGGCGGCGGCGGCCAGTACGGCAGCGGTGGCGGAGGTGCCGGGATGTGCGGTGTTGTAGACGCATGGCCAGGTGGAACGGGTACTTCTGCCGGCTGCTCCCGAACCGGCAGCGGCACGGGTTGCCCGAACCTCAGCGGCTCCCTGCATGGAGGCGGAATGGCCGGAGTGCAGGTGTGGAGCGCTGGCTTGCACCCCAGCGGACACACGTTGACCTCCAGATCTCCACTGGGGCGCAAACCCTTGTTCCGGGGGTCACGCGACGGCAATCAGCCGAGCGAGAATGCATGCGCTTCCGGGGTTTCGCAAGGGGCCGCAGCGCCCAAGCAACTCAGTGGAGCGGCGTCGCTGCCGCTTCCAAAGGTCGCGACGCTGCAGGGGGCCTCGCAGCTCCCTGCAAGCCTCCGTGCCGCCGGCGTAGACCTCCGGAAGCTGCAGTACACGCGCGTTCCCAGGGGCGGCAGCGGCTGGCTTCGCAGCGCAGCAATGCCCACGGCACCTAGCGTCGACGAGAATGGCATTGATGGCATGCCTGCCGTTGCAGCGTATGTTGGCTCCCACGCAAGCGTACCTGCTGACGCCGTCGCCAAGGCGACGGCGGCGGACGACGGAGTGTCCTTGTCCGAGCGCCTGGACCGTCGTCCCCACGTGTACGGCGCTGCTCCCGTCGCCGTCAATGCGGCCACCGCCTCTGCTGCAGCAGCCTCCGCAATGGCTGCTGCCCGCAGCGGCGCGGCGGCGACGCCAGCGGCTGGCGACGCAACTCCCGTGTCAGACCGGGATCCAAGCGGTGTCCTCATGGAGTACGTGCTGGGTGCGATGGACCTAGACGGGGATGCGGAGGATGCGGCGGCGGCGGGCCCGGTGAGCCTGGACGCTGGCAGCCTGTGGGCACCCTATCCGCCCGGGCCTGACGGCCCCGCGCATGCAGCAGCGCATTCAGCTGGCTTTGGCTTTTGCGGCATGCACGTGGGCAGCTTGGGCGCGACGGCCGCTGCTGTGATTGCTGAGTCGCCTCTGTCAAGCGTGCAGAGGACCCCCACCTCCACCTCTGCTTCGGCGGCAGTGAGTCTGGTCTGGCCTGGCGATCGGCTGCCGGCACCGCCGTCGCCGTTTGCCCTGGCGGGATTTGGTCCCAGCACCACCACCTCCCCTCGCGTGTCCGTCACCCAGCTCTCCGCGATGCCTCCCAGCCAGCAACAACAGCAGCACATGCAGCAGACGCAGGGCTCCGCTTCCCGCAGTAGCCGGGTGGACTCCATGCCGCTGGTGTGCAGTGCTGCTACGCTGGTGCTGCCGCCGGCCCCCGGAAGTAGCGGCATTGTCGTACAGCCCTCCGTTGCTACCACCACCACCGTCACATCCGAGCACGCGTCCTCACCGCCCGCGTTTCCCCTGGCTGCGACATTCGCTGGAGCTGCTGGTGCCTCCGCTTCGGAAGTCCGCTTCACACCCAACCTGCGCGCGTTCTCCTCCGCTGCACCTGTCGACCCGGCAGACGTCCGGGGAGGCTTTAACCTTGAGGCCGCTTATAGCATGGGCGACGCTGCGGCGTTTGGCGGCGGAGGGCCTTCTGCTGCTGCTACCGGCTTGCGAGGCGGACCGGTTGCGGAGGGTATAGAAAGCCCCGAGGCGGCATCGTTCTTTGGCGATAGCACCACCACCGCCACCACCGCAGCGCTCCTGCCGCCGCCTCCCGCGCTTTTGCCCGCTGCGGTCCTGCATGGTATAAGCAACGCGGCTGCTCTGGGCCCCATAGCGGCCGCAGCGGGTGCTTTCGGCAATGGTAGTGGTGCCGCAGCAGCAGCAGCCCTCGGCCCGCGCATGCCGCAAATGGTACGACATACCTTCTCCGCAGCCGCCCTGCAGTTACCCGGTACATCAGTTCCCGCAGCAGCACTCATGCAGCAACAAAGTACTGCCGGAGAGCTGCAGACCAGTCCCGAGGTGTCTCCATGCGTGACGCCGGGCCTGCCGGTGCGCCCCTCACCTACGGGCTGCTCCGGCACTGGGAGCGCCGCGCTGTCGCCCCCGCACAGCCCGCTGAGCCCCCTCAGTCCACTGCACCAGCTGCTGGAGGAGAGGTCTTCCTTCCCCGTACTCCAGTCCGGATCACGGCAGGATGCTGCTCCTTTGCGCTTGCCGAGTCCGCCGCCTGTGCAGGGAGGAGCAATGCCGGAGCTGATGACCCAAGGGTCGGTCCCGGCGCGCGGACTGTACGGCACATCGCCAGTGAACATAGCGGGTGCGTCGGGGTTGCTCTCGCGCCTGCAGGCGTTACGTCGGCCCCTGCTGCAGAGCGTCGCCTCCAGTGCCGTAACGGCGGGCACTGTTCCTGCAGCAGCCAACTTGTCGCACCACTCCGTGCCTCTGAAGAAGCTAGTTTTGGAGGAGCGCGACAACGGAGGTATATACTGTAGGTCCACTAGTGCCGCGCTGACAGATTGTAACCCGGTTTCCCAGCTGGGTACGACGGACGGAGGAGTGGGCGCAGGCGCCCAGCCGAATCGTCTACCCGGAGGTCCTGGAGGTCCGGGCGCGGGTCTCGGCTCGGTTGTCCGTAGTTTTGGAGAGCAGGTGGGTGGCGTTTTGGCGGACGGATGGGTAGCATGGGGGATGTGGAGCTGATGCCGTGTGCTCGGGTAGCGGGTGTTATGTGGCCAGTTCCTTCGTGGCTATCGGCAACTGCTTGTGCGCCATACCGGCATTAGGGCAAGGTATCCGGCCTAGCACACCCTTTGCTACCGCATAGGCCGCTTCGTTCGACCCCACACCCCTGCAACCCTGTCAACAAAAACGTTCATTGCACCTCCGCGACGCAGGTGCGCATGACCTTCCAAGCAATGGACTTTGCCCAGCTCACGGGAGACGAAAACGGCTTAACGGTCATCTTCCGAGGCCCACGGGTCGTTTGCGGCATAAGCACATGGCAGTACGACGATGAAGATTACCGAATGTACGACGAACGGCGTGATGGCATGGATACCTCAACACGCCCCGCGGGCGGCGTTGCAGACCGCCCCAACTCCGAACGGCCGACCACGAACGCAGCTCTCGCTATTTCGGAGCTACGCACACTCGCACGCGCCTTCGAGCCCTCGGCGGCTGGCGGCGCCGGGCTAGGTGGCGGCGGCGGCGGCGGTGGGGCTACTGCAGCCGGCGGCGGCCGTAGCGATGGAGACGACTGCGGCGATGGGGTTGACTTCTCCGCTTTGGGCAACCCCCTCTTCAACGCTGTGAATGCTAACGAGGCGGCTGCCGCAGGGGGAGTGCTCCGAGACCAGGCGAGGGTCCCTGTCGCGTCCTCACTACCCCAGCAGCAGCCAACAACGGCTGCAGGTCAAATGCACGGCAGCAGCGGCCCCGCTGACGCCGGCGCCGCCTGTGGAGCGCAAGCGTCCAATGGCGCCGCCGCCGGCACCAGTGCTGCTGCTACCTCGCTTGGAGGAGACAGAGACGCAGGAAGGGACGCTGTACAGGAGTCAGCGGCGGCGGATGCGCTGTTTGGCTTCCAGCGCCGGCTCTCCGCGGCCAAGCGGTGGCACCGGCGGCGCCTGCCACCCCCGCTCCAACGCGCCCTGGCGATCTGCGAGGGCGGCCAGGGGGGCTTTGTGTTCCTGGATGGATCCACGTACGGCGCCTCCTCACAGGAGGCCCTCCAGGAGCAATGCATGGTGCGTAGTACAACATGTACGAGAGTGAATTTTGTTTGTGCACGACCCATGGATTCGTTAGGCTGCCCAAGGCCCCGGCCCAGATTCCATGTGCATTCCGTTGCTCTTTCCCCACAGGCAGAAGCACTAGTACTACTTGAAGTCAACGCTCCTGTCACCACACTCCTCTATCTAGCCCAGCTCTCCGACCACATCTCCTCTCGTCGCACACACCAACTACTACGCTCCACACCCCACCTCCTGCCCTGTACTCCCCACCCCTTCAGATCCTGCACATGGGCGACTACGTGCTGGCCGACACTCCCTCCCCGCTGGACCTCTACCTCGCGCTCGACTTCACGCACCTGGCGCGTCTGTGCTACCTGCAGCCGCTAGCCTGCCGCGAGCAGCTCAGTCTAGGGCTGCTGTCAGCGCCCGTCAACGCCGCCACCATCTGCTTCACGCTCGTGGTGGGCATGCAGACACTGCTGGCGTGGAACACGGAGGCGGCCAAGGAGGCGCTGGCGGTGCTGCGGGATGCAGTGCTGCCGGCGTTGCTGCGGCACGGCGGCTACCTGGTGTGTACGGCAGGCGGGGGAGGGGCTGGAGGTCCGGGGGGCCGGGAGGGCATGTGCATTTTACTCTACAATGGCATACGTACGAGCGCAGTTGAGGTGTTTAGCTCCTCGTCGTTGAGGTGGTGCCGCAAACGTAGGAAGCCCGTACGGCACGGAATGTTTACATGCCTCTGATGTGCGTGTTGCCGCACACTCTTGGCGTGTTCGGCGGTGCAGCCTTGCACTGGTGTCAGGCGCTACATGTGCCTACACGGCCCTGCCGCTTTCCTGTTGCCCGCTGGCCCCCGCAGGTGGAGGATGCGGACGGGCTGCTGCTCACCGCCTTCCCCAGCAGCCGCTCCGCGCTAGCCTGGGCGCTGGAATGCCAGGCGGAGGCCAAGCACCTGGACTGGTGGGTTGGTGGGGGGGGGATTGGTGGAGGCTCGGTTATAGACTTTTAATGGTAAACCGAGTCAAACCGGTACCGCAGCAGCAGCAGCAGCGATGTGTATGGTATCCTAGTCCGTATGGGAGCACAAACCGGTAGCATGCCGCACTTGCTTTGCGCATGGCTTCCATTCACTCACAGTTCTGATGCCGCCACGAACACAACAGTGTCCACCCGTGCTTGTGCTTGTTTGCCGTACAGGCCTGATGAGCTGCTGGGCCATGCGCTAGGCGAGGCTGTGTACGTTGAAGATGAGCTGGCGACAGGGGAGGAGGAGGCGGGCGAGCTGCTGGGGTCCTCCGACGTGCAGGGCGGCGCGGGGCAGCAACAGCAGCAGCGGGCTGCAGCGGGCAGCAGGCACCTGGTGTTCAGGTGCGGTCGGGTCGACAGGTGGTTTCTTACTTGCTGCGTGCTTCCCATCGCTCTCGGAGCCCCGAGCAACCCCATGCATTCGGGCAGTGCATTCGCTGCTCGCACTGTTTGTCACCACCCCTCACCCCTCCGCTGCCGCCTGTTCCTGTCCCTCTGCCTCCCGCTCCTAACCCCTAACGCTCTCCCAGGGGCCTTCGCTTCAAGAGCGGGTTGGACTGCGGTGACGTGTTGGCCCGAGTGCACACCACCACGGGCCGCATGACCTACCGCGGCAGGGTCATGAACCGGGCTGCGCGCATCGCCGGCCTAGCAACAGCCGGGCAGGTGCGTTTCAGGCGCGGCGCTGCTACCGTTTATTTTGCTGTCCTGCCGGCTACAAGCTGTCACTGACAGGACCGTAGCTCCTGTTGTTGCCGCTATTGCATGGTCGCGTTGAAGCACCCGGGCAGCCTCAGGGAGTATCGCGGCCTCTGGCCTTGCTGTTTCCGGTTACAATCAAGAGCCATGTCATGTCTCCCCTGCCTGGTCTGTTATCTGTCAGTGTGATCTACGAGCCCTCCTCGCATTTGCCTTCTTCTTGCGATACGTGCACGGCGCACAGCGTGTGCAGTGACTCCAGCACCCAGTCAGTCAGTCATGTATCGCGTGACACATTTAACAAGCACGGACCCAACCCGTTGTCGGCTGCGTGTGCGGTCTACGGTGCCGCCAGGTGCTGTGTTCGCGTGGGCTGTGGGACGACAGCGGCCTGGAGGCGGCTCCCGAGCTGTGCCAGCTGGCGCTGGCGGTTGGGGAGAGCATGGGGGAGATGCAGCTGAAGGGGTTGTCGTCCAAGATGGAGATCATCAACTGCATGTAGGTGGAGGGCTAATGGGGTAGCAGCGGGCGGTGAGCCTGAGGCGGCGGCTGCAGGCTCTTACGTAAAGTGTTGCTTGCTGCTTGAATGCGCTCATCTGGTCAAAGCGCTTGGTGCGGTTACTGCTAGTAGCTTTTGCCTAATTGATTGGGGTACAGCAAATGAGTCCTTGCCTTTTCGTTTAACGCATCCGGTCAGGTTGAGTGTTACGGTAATAGCGTTTCATAGCGCGTTGCCTCTTACACAGAATGCCCGCATCCCTTCCTTCCCTTCCTGCTCCTCCTCCCGCAGCCGTATCCTGAAGGTGGATCTGGTGCAAGCGGTGCTGGAGGTGTCTCAGGAATTGCCCTCCATGCCCCACCCGCGCATTACCTTTACGGCAATTGCCGGCGACGGTGACGGCACCGACGACGGAGGCGACGGCGACAATGCCGACTTCGACCTCGCGCGACCGGCAGCAACCACGGGCACGCCTGTCCTCATGCAGGCCGTGCCGCTGCTGTCCGATACCGACTCGGAGCCCGAACATGACGGCGGAGTCGTGATAGGAGGTTGCGGCGACTCTGCCTCTGATGGCAACGACGACGTCTCCTCGGAAGTTGCTCCAGCGCGCCGATCCACACGCACCGCAGCCGGTAGCGCGCTTGCTGGCGGCGCCGCCGGCCACGCCATGAGTGCCGGACTGATGCTGAGCAGTGGCGTCGGCATAGGCTCCCGGCGGGACCTGCTGGCAGCCGCAGCCGCTGCGGAGGAGTTGGACGGAGCTTTCGCAAACGCAAGAGCGAGTGCGCCTCTGCGCAGTTTGGCGCTGAACGGCCCCAACGGCCGGTCCTCGGTTCCCTTCGGCTTGGCTGCAGCCACAACGGGATCTGCTGCGCGGGCGGCGGCGGCGGTCGCTGCCCGCGTGCGTCGCGCCAGCCAGATGCAGAGCAGCCGCTTCATGCATGCCGGCGGCCTGCCGCTAGACCTCGGAGCAGCCGGTGGCGGCACGGGAGCCGGCGGCGGCAGCGCTGCGCAGCTGACGGCGGTGACTTCCGGCGTGCGCAGCACATTGAACGGACTCATGGCGGCGGCAGCGCTAGCTTATGCGGCGGCGGCTGACGACGACGACTTGGCGGATCGGCTGGTGGCTGGCTACAGCTCCGACGGCAGCGGCGGCGACGGTAGCTACGGCGAAGGCGAGGGCACCCTCAGCGCCGACTTGGGGCATCACGTCGGCGGGCCGTCCTTTACGCAGGGCTCCACCGTGGGAGTGGCGGCACTGCGTGGGATACTGCCCCGGCCGCGTGCGCCGTCGGGGCTGGGCTTCCTACCGTCGGCGATGGTACTGAGTCCAGGCGCCGCCGGAGGAGTACCTGCGGCGGGGCCGAACGGAGCCGGTGGCGGAGCCGGTGCATCCGCTGCTGCTGCCAGCGCTGGCGGCGGCGGAGGCGGCGGCGGAGGCACGCCGGGTGCAGCGTCGCTAGCCACAGCAGCAGCTGCCAACATTAAGAAGGCGTTGCAGGCTGTACGGCGATCTATCCTGGACGAGCATGCTGGCGCTGGGATTGGTGGTAGCGTTCCCTTGCCCGTTATTAGCGATGGCTCCAATGACGAGGATGCGGAGGAGTTGGGCCGAGCTTGGCAGGCGCCGAGAATTCCGACGACGACGCCGGCGGCCTCGGGTCCCATACCGCAAGCCGGTGCAACGCCAGCCGCCGCCAGCGGACAAAAGCTCCGCCGCCTTCACTTACTCCGGGAAAATGAGCTCAACAAGGCGTCAGCATCCCCTGGCGGCGGAGGTGGCAGTGGCGGTGGCGGCTTCCTAAAACGCTTGCGTGGTCTGGGTCGCGGTAGCCGCGCTGCCAAGGGCCGCTGCGGCGGCGGCAGCATTGAGTACGACCCCGATGACGTGGATGACGACGACTTGCCGTACAGGCCCATGGCCTCCGCCGGGTCGGACTTCTACGCGGGTCGTCTTCCCTCGTCGCTGCTTGCCTCGGCCCAGGCGCGGCTTCGCGGCGGCCAACCCGGCGCCTCCGCCGCCCTGATGCGCAGCAGCACCGCTGCCCCCGCATGCTCGCCACTGGGTCGAAACTCTCTTAGCGCCAGCATCGGAGGTGCCCGGCGGAGTTCCCTCGAGTCGCAGCTCCTGCGCCATCCCGCCAGCATCGGCGGCGGTGGTGGCGGCGGCAGCAGCAGCCGTGGCGGCGGCCTCACCGCCAACCGGTCCTTCCGTCGTCTGGGCGGTCATGGACTGGTCGCGGAGATGAGCCTGGCATCCATGACCATGCGCCGACACATCCCTGTTTCCGAGCTGCTGGGCGCGGCAGCTTCCAGCAGCGGCGGCAGACGCGTGGTCCGCGGATTCGGCTCACAAAGCATGATGGATGAGGACAGTGGCGGCGCTGCGGCGGCGCGTGCGGATGGCCGCCCTGCCTTGGTCATCCAGACCCCAGGGCTGCAGACGCAGCGGACCAATTCCTTCCGTGCGGCTGGGTCGGCGGGACCGAGTCCGCTGGCGGGCAGGTACCGACCGACGCCGCCGGCTGGTGTGGCCGCTGGCCGGCCCGGCGGGGGCAGCGGCGGTACGGCGAACTGCATCTCTGAGGCTGAGGGTGAGTGTGGTTGGCAACGTGTGTGGTAAGGCAGCGGAGTTGCGTAACCGTGCTGACCGTACCTGTTGACCGGCCTAGTTATATGGAATGAGACCTTGTGCATGCATTCTTTCCACTGCAGGAAAAGAAGATGGGAGCAGCAGCGCCGATACCGCAAACGCCTCCCCCAGCCGAACAGCCAGCCGAAGCAGGCTACACAGGCAGCTGACGGGAGGGGCGAGATCTGGCGCGGCGGCATCAGCAGCCGCAACCGCAACGGCGGGCCAAAGAGCCACAGCCATCAGCCCCGCACAGCCCGCGGTTTCATCATCCTATCGCCGGCCCGGATCCTTCACATCCTTCTTGCAAAGGGCCCCCAGGAAGCAGCAATCAGGACAGCAACCCCAACAGCAACAGCCAGCCTCTCGGCAGGAGTTCCGATGGCAGTTTTCATCAAACACCGGCGACGAAACATGGCTGTCCAGCTATAACAACGACCCTGTTGACGCTCCCAGCGTTGTCCGCGGCTCCTCTGTGGCCCGGAACCGGGATCCCGGCGGCCCGGCATCACCTGCAGCCCCCGACCTGCCGTCACCTGCCAACGCGCCTCAAAAGGCACCTCCTCCGGGCCTCTTGGCACGTCGTGTTACCTCCTGGAGGGCCTCTGTAGCGCAAGCATTCGGCGGCAGGGTGGGTGAGGCGGCGGCGGCGGCGGTGGCAGGGCACTCGAGCTCCTTCACCTCACCTCCGCGAGGCGGCAGTACGACATCTCGGGCCGTACTGAGCCGTACATACACCGCTCATGGCGGCGGTGCGGAGCATTCCACATCGCCGTTCGCCTCCGTCTCCTACACTTACACTGGCCGCCAGGTGAATTCTCCGGGCAGCGGCAAGCACCCTCAAGCAGCCCCTCCCTCATTCACGTCGCCGGCTTCAGGGTTGACGCCAGCGACGGGCTCTCCGCGACTGTACCGCCGCTCCGCCGCTACCTCGGGCTCGCGTCCTCACATCGGGACCGCTCCGGGTGGCCTGGTCTCGGGCGTCCCAGCAACGGGCGGCCGCGCCAGCGGCACCCACCCAAGCTCTCCGGCGCACGCAACAGCAGCAGCAGCTGGCGGCGGCGGCGGCGGCGGTAACGAAAGCGCGACAATGGCCCGAGCATCCAGTGGACACCTGCAAGCAGCATCTGCTGGGGAGGCGCCAACGGGGGCCACTGCCTGGACGGGCCTGTTCAGCTCCATACACACGTTCCTGGGCCTGTCACAGCATGCTCATGGCGGCAGCGGCGGAGGCGGACCTGTTGTATCGCCGACACATCGGCGGAACTCAACCTACATTCCGGCGAGCGCGGCCTCCGCCGCCACCACTGCTGCCGCCGGCGCTGGCGTTGCTGGCGGGGGCGGCGGCGGGAGGTCACGCAGCGGCAGACGGCGCTCGGTTCGAATGGGTGTGGACTATCCCCTGGACCCCGCCTCCGCCGGAGGTGGTCCTAGTACGACAACAACTCGTACACAGCGGCGCCGATCTGTCATCGAGGTCAGCGGCAATGTAATGACCTTGAACGCAGGGTCCGCCTTCGCGGCCGACAGGTGGCAGCTCGACCCCAGCTACCCGGATGCTGTTGGAGGAGTGTCAGGGTCAGGCGGCGGGCCGGACTCCACGGCGCGAGACGGCATCCCCCTTGACGGTCCGCCGCCCGGGCCTTGCAGCAGCTTACTGGGTGCTACGGACGCAGCGGGGGCCGGGATCACACTGCCGCGCAGACGCCGCAGCCAACGCAACCTGGCGGCTGGCGTCGTCGCAGCCAAGACTAGTGTTGCTGGTAGCAACAGCAGCGGCGGAAGGGCTTGTACGGATTCCGGGGAGCGTGTGGGGCACTCGGTCCGCCGCCAGCTGTCCCGTGGGTCGCACACCCTCGGACCCACCAGCTCCGGGAGTTTACCCACGCCGCTGCCGTCACAATCAGCGGTACCGCAACAGGTTGCGTCTGGGCTTGCTTCCACTTCGCTTGCGAGCTCAAGCACCAGGAGTCGACTCCTGGCGGGAGCGACAGCTGACGGAGGCGCCGGCAGCGGCACCGAACCGGGCAGCGTCGCCGCTGCCGGGTTTCTATCCGCTGCTGCAAACGTCGAACCCGACCGCCCTGCCTCGGCAACCAAACTGGGTCGTTTCGTCCGTGGCCTTAGCGGCATGCTCCAGCGGAGCCACAGCGTAAGCCGCTCACCTGGCAGCGGCGGTGGTGGCGGAGGCGGTGTGGGCTTGGCGTTGAGGAGTAGCCACCGCTTCGCCACTCCGGCAGTTAGCGGGACGGGTCAAGGGGGCTCCCTTAGCGGCGAGCCACCCGAGCACTCCGGCGGGAGTGCCTTTGTGGTCTCCATCACGGCCGCGGCGGCGGCGGCAGCTGTCGTACATTCACAGGCGCGCAGCCGCATGGACGGCGACGGCGGCAGCTGTGAAGGTGATGTGGGGGGGATGCCGAGGCCGCGGTCAGGGACGGCGCCCCATGCAGCTACCGCGGCCGCAGCAGTAACCCCGTCCGGTAGCCAGAGCGGGGGTGAGACGCCAACGCTCAAGTCCGGCATCCGCCGCTTGGTACCGGGACTCGCAAGGTCTGCTCGAGCCGCTGTGCGTAGGGTGTTGAGCGGTGGGTTAGGAGGTGAGGAGGCTGCTGCTGTGGGCGGTATTAGTAGCCGGGAGGGGGTTGGTACCAGTGACGATAGCGGCGGTGGCAGCAGTCGGGGTGGTGGTAGCAGGGGAGCACGGCAACGCAACCGGGATTGGAGGCAGACGCAGGGGTCTTGGAACACGGAAGGAGATGGGTCAGACGGCAGCCCTCAGAGAGGGAAGGAGCAGCAAGAACGACGGTTTGTGAGGGGCGAGCGCGGGCGGCGGCGGGCTGGCAGGGGCCAGGGCGAGGGTTGGCAGGAGTTTGATTTGGAGGAGGCGCGTTGAGATGACACCGATAGGAACGCCTGCTTGGAGATGTGGTAAACCTACGCACGGCAGGCAAACATTATTTAACAAGGGAAGAGAGGCCTCTTCCTGCGTGTCGTGAGGTCCCGGGAATAAGAAGAACGCATTGTATTTTGTACTGTGGGTGTGGATATGTGTATCTGGGACTTCCTTTGCGTTGTTGGGTGGTAGGTCGGTTGCTATTGTGGTGGGTGCGGGCAGCGAGCGGAGGTCACATTGCGGCCCGGTTGGCCCTGAGCCCGCATTGCTGGGTTTCCTGTTGACGCTGCAGGGGGTCATTTCCCCACCCAACTGCTTCTTGCGGAGAGCAGTGTGACGGTGAGCTGCTTTTAGAGTTCCCAGCTGCAATGATAGCTACGCATTGAGAATTCGTTCAGTTGCGGATAATGGGGGTGTGAGTTCCGTTGCTCAATTGCTCAATTACTTTTGGTGTGGAGTATAAGTCAGTGGCGCGTGTCTGGTAAGCGGGCAATTACCCGCTTCAATCTGTCAGCTTCATGGCTTGCGTCCTTGCTAGGTCTTGCAGTGTGGGTGGTGACAGCAGCATTCGTTGTATTGGAGGGGGCAAAGGAATGCCGAAAACAGACTGCCGGTACAAAGCTTTACGTGCTTGTAGTTACTTCGCTGTCTCGTTGCAAAAGGAACCCGATCGAGCCGGAGAAGAGGAAGCACTGTTTACCAAAGGAACATTGTGCGTTGCTCGAAACTGCGTACATGATTATTTTACCCCTCAGTGAATGTACCGGTTGTGTTTATTACTAGACTCGTCTATGTGTTTTGTTTCGCCCCTACCGAAGCCCCGGCCACTGCAGCGACGAAACCCACATCTCGGGTGGTTACGTGTGGAGGGACAGCGCATGCGCCCGATGCAATCCGTGCCTGCCGTAATTTTTGCTTTAGTGTCCTTACTATGTTGTTTCGTACGCTGCCGGTAGCGGTTGCCCTGCAGGCTGCAAGGGCTTGCTCGAGTTGGCGTGGTAGGAGCTACGGTACCTTCGGGGGTTCCTCGTGTGGCGTAACTTATTTCTTAACGATGCCACTGTTGTAGCGGCCGTTGTCAGTGTTGCAGTGCCTATTGTTGCAGTATTGTTGTGTCTTGTGGGGAGGTTATGTGGCTAAGCCGCTGGCCGCTAAGCCTGGAGGCAGCTATGACAGTGAGCCAGGTATGGGAGTGAATGCATGTGAGGTTGCGCGGTCGATGCTCGTACTAGGCGTTTGATTTGAAGGAGAGGTGCATGCAAGGGGGCTCGAGGCCCCAGTTCGAATGCCAATACCAGCAGCCCTTGCTGAATACTAAAGTACCGGTACGTGCGGCAACTGCTTAAGAGCCGAGCCTTGTGGGCGACCGCACTTGATGTAAACGTGTCGGGAAACGCCATGATGGCGACCCCTCCCGGACCCACCCACCCACCCTACAGAACTTCGAACGCTATTTTCTCGTGTTGCCGTACGCCAAAAAAGTTAAGAAAGCCAGCAATGGATTCCTCTCAATGTGTTCTTTCTAGTTATGACATTTGTTGAGCTACTGCACAGAACGGGTCATACCGTGCTTCAAGGTTGCACCCTCAAACCCTATCGACTGCTAGTGTAAATGACACTAGTACGCCACAACCAGCCCATACCAGCAATTGCCACGACTCATTGCGACTTGCCGCGGCTGGCACGGCCCCGCCCTCGCCCACACCCTCGCCCCCGGCCCGGTTGCTTTTATTAAAGGACAACCTCAAGGAGTCATGTCGCCAACATGGTGTCATGTCATCATGTCATGCCCAAAACGTCTTAGGATAAGACCAAAATAAGTGCTATAGAATGCTTACAGTATGTTTATGATATATATATTCTTAATAGTGTATTTGGCAACGCCAGGAAAAAGTTAGGAAGCCCTTGGAAAAAAACCACCGGATCCCCCGGACCCCACCCACCCACCCTGCCGTACAGTCACCTTTGGGTGCAGATAACTTTTCCCGTACAACTCCAGAAAAAAATTCCGAAAGCGGATTTGAAATGCTCTCGACGATCTCTTTAACTTTGAATCATGGACTCTGACCTCGCGTTTCCTACCCCACCCCCCCTGTTCAGCCAAGCGTCACACGCTGTTGGTAAAGTCGGTGAGTGTGTGCACAACGCTTGCAACCATCCAGCTGTTGATCTGGCGGGACTGGCGCCTTCTACTACTACTACTCCAGGGCAATATTTCGCACCTACAACATGAACAAAGCAAATATGGACTAATTCAGAGCTCAGGCGTTGGTACGTCAAGAGGTGCCGTGAGTCATCTCGCACCCGCCGGACAGCTACTGAATGACAAGTTCCATGTATGTACACTCTGTACCATAACCGCGTCTAGGTTTCCGAATTACTGGGCACGGCCGTTACTATCGGCACAGGACTTCCGCAGCTGCGGTGTGCAGCTTATGGTATCAAAAGCATAGGCATGGGCCCATCATAGTAAATTCAGGGCGGACAGTGTAAACGTACGCTGGAATACATAACGTGGGTGCACTCGTAGTACAACTGACGACTGGCCAATGGTGGGCGCCGGCAAAGCCGTTGTAAGAGCGTAAGTAGCGGTATAATTACAAAGGTTGTATAACGGGTTTTTTTCGGCGGCTTGAAAAAGCAATGCATCAACAAATGCACCAAGGAACACCGGTACAGCTGAGTACGTGCAGTTCCACCAACCGCCAAAACGCCGAAGGACACCCGAAGTGCACATGAAGCCGTGCGTCACTCGCGAAAGAAAGAAACCGGAGACAAGGCATTTGAAATAGTCGATACGGTTGCAGACTAGCTTTCTACTTTCCCTAATATTGCAAGATTGCGTCCAACATCCCTGGACATTCCTCAGGCCATAACGTAGATAGCCCCCATTATCGACGTTATTATCTGGGCATAACAACATTCTCTTTGTTGATGCTGGTTATCCGTTGGAGCTCCACCGCCTCCCAAACCAACCTTCGACTGGGGTTATCGTCATCATCTAATGGCCTCGTCGCCGGCGGCACCGCTGGGTCCTATCCGCGGAGCGCTACGCATCATCGCATACGCAAAGCTATGGCTAATTATTGTCTGCGGCTTTATTACCTTTGCGTTCTTTCTTTGGACGACGCCAACCCGATGGTTCAATTACCGCTCTGACGAGTTCGTTACATGGAGGAACACCCTTGTGCTCCAATACAACTTCGTCAATGCCACCACCGGCAAGCAAACGCCTCTCCTCTCCAACTCTATCAGCTTCGTGGTAAGCCAACCTAACACGCTATCGAATGAAGCCCCACCATACCTGACTTTGCACGGTCAGAACGCCAAGGGCGGGCACTCCCTTCCTCCTCCCTGCCCTCTGCAACGCTCGTGAGATATCTCATAGTACTGCGTTACTCTGCTCCCCCCTCTTATCTCCTAAACAGCTCATCTGGCAGTGGTGCGGCACGCTGGCAGTGGCACTGGCTGCAGGAGGGTTGCACTGGCTGTCACATGGCAACGGAAACTGCAGCCTCATGGTGCTGGCCCAAACTGCCCCTGCACTGGAGTCGGCACGCCGCCCAAAGCAGCTCCGCCTTTCTCTTGTGGCTAGAGCCAGACGGGTGAGTGCATGTGATGCTGATAAATTTATCAGGCGCCAGTGCACGTCTTCTTGTCTAGCTAGTCCGCTCGCTCGCATCTACACGTGCTAGCTTGCTTGTGCTTTATCGGTACATGTCAATAAAGCCCTCATGTGCATCTTAAGCCGCTTCCTTGCGCCCCTTCCCGCCCTTCTCTCCCAATCCACCCGCGCCCCCTCAGGCCTCCCGGCGGCTGCACCACCTGCTGCACATGCGGCTGCCCCCGCGGGGCCTGTGGCGGGCGCTGCTGGGCCCGGGCGGTCTGAGTGTGCTGGACCTGCTGCTCGTCCTCATGTGGGCCGCGCTGCACGCCATGTGGATGTACGAGATGACCGGCCGGGCGCTGGAGGTCAGGCGCATGGCACCGCCACCGTTTCGAGGTACTACTGCTGCGAGTGATCCTTGCCGCGTAGATAGCCGATCTGGCAATAGCTACCACACCTTATGTGTGGCAGTGCACGGACGTATGTGGGGACATGGCACGTACAGAGCAAAGATGGCGTGATAAGGGGGCGTAAAGGCGTGGATACTGTGGTTGCATGCTGCTTGCCATCCTTGTGTGCATATCTCCTATAAACACGCTCCGTTTGCGGAGCAGAGTGAGAGACCGCTGGTGGTGTGCCGAGGGGAACCACACATCCCCTTTTCGCTGGCTTGCCTTCTCCTGCAGTGCTTGCCCGGAGCTCCCCCGATATCAAGTCCCCTGCTGCTGCAGCCACCAACACCACCACCTCAATCGCCAGCAGGGCTATGCCTTCGGCTGCAAGTGCTGTCAACGTCACCCGTCGGCTGCTTCAAATCAACACCACGGCAACCAAGATGAACACGACATCAGCAGCTACTTCCTTGCCTGCACCCGCCACTGCGAAGCCGGCCAAACCCCTTCCTCGTGCTGTGCAAGGGAGGTGAGCCTTCGAACGTCATCTCGCTGCAACAGCCACTGCACATGCACTCGATAGCCAGCTGTCCATGCCACACAGGCGAGCCCAGACCGCCAACAGCGCCGAAACGGGCGTGCCTAAACATCAGAGTCTTGTCCCACTAACCGTGCCGAACAAGCTGACATTCTCGGTTAGATTCTTGTTCCTTGAGACCGCTAATCACTGAGGCGCTGCCTCCCGCCCCCTCGACCCTTGTGTCTCCCTCGCATATGCAGCGTGGCAAAGTACTTTGGGTGGGTGGCGCAAATGGACATCCTGCTGCTCTTCTACCCGCTCCCCCGCTGCAACTTTCTGCACTGGATCTTGGGATCTGATTTCGCCACCATGATCAAGTACCATAGGTACGTTGGTGTGGCTGCACCGAGCCGCCCTTATGCGCTCATCATATCCTCCATCCCATTTGGTGGTACTGAGCAGGAAACACCAGTACGACTGGTACGACTTGGCATCCTGGCTTTGCCCGCTCTCATTCCGTGCTCTGCTCGCATCGTCCCCTTTCGACGTTTAGAAGGACGTCCCCCTTTGATAGCTTGTATATGCTCTGCGTGTGCTTGTGCGCAGGTGGCTGGGCCACGGCACTCTGCTAGCCTGCTCGCTGCACGGTATCATGTACCTGGCCCTGTGGACCCATGATGGCACGTAAGGAGCGGGGGCTGACTGGTTAGGGGCCTCCTGACCCACGGCTCGCTCCACCACTGCCTTGTGGTTCCAGGTGGCAGGGTATGGGGTCGTCCGGGCTGCGTGCATGCGCATATTATTGCCTATCATGCAATTGACGGCACCCCGTGCACTTGTGTGCAATCAGTTTCCATGTTCCCGCTGCTGCCCTCCCCGCCCAGGTTGTCGACCTACCTCACGTTCGGCATGAGCGGCACCAACATGGTGGCGGGGCTGGTGTCGCTGGCTGCCGGCTGGCTGCTGTGGCTCACCAGCATCCCCGCCATCCGCCGCTGGCTGTACAGCCTGTTCTACATAACCCACTTGCTGGCCGGCACCGTGTTCCTGCTGTTCACCCTGATGCACTACAAGGACAGCGCCGCGTGGATGATGGCAGGTGCGTGCGTGCGCGGTGGGCTGCCCTGCGCGTCATGGCTTCATCTCGGAGGCATCATGCATGTGGAGGGATGCATGTGCCATGGCAGTGTGCAACACCTCTTCTCTTTTGTCACCGCTAACGGGTGTTTAGCTTGCCTTGGGAACCCTGGACTCGCTGCTGGCTTTCACAAGCAACGTCGATAGGTGGTAAGCAGGATGTTAGCGACCGACAACCCCACCCCCTTCTACTGACCTAGCACCTGATTTTATACTCGGCTTCCCGCTCCCCAGGCATCTTCCTGTACCTGCTGGACGTGGCCCTGCGCACGGTGCAGCAGGCCCTCAACTGGACGCGCCTCAGCCTGGCAGCGGACACTGCCTCGGGGGCCGCTGCCAGCATCTCACCCGACGGCAGCCTGCTCACACTCTCGCTCAAGTGCGACGAGGTGCGGCGGGGAGGTAAAGGGTTAACGGCAGCTGGGTAGCTGCGTTCTCTGCTCCAGCGATCTTCTCAACCTAGTGTTAGACACGGACACGCGGCCACCTTTCATGCGAACCTGAAGTTTTCATTGGACGTTGTTGGGATTGGGTGACTACGCATAATGGCTGTGCACGTGCAGTTGCGGACCCATGGGTCAGGGTAGCCAACACGAAACGCATATGCTCTCATGGCAGCAAGCGATCTGCGTAGGATACCAGCCGGATGCCACCCCTCATGAGTAAGCATGCAAATTACGTACGCTCCTTGCTTCTGGGCTTTTTCCGCAGTCCTTGGAGTGGCACGGCTCGGACATCGTGTGCCTCAATGTCCCTGCCGTAAGCTGGTGGCAGTGGCACCCCTTTACGCTTGCCTCCTCCTCCAAGATAACCTTTGCCGGCGGCGAGAAGCGGATGGTGCTGCATATTAAGAAATACAACCGTTGGACCAAGGTACGTTCCGCATCACGGTATTGTAACACGTACCTGTGCATGAAGGTACGGGCGAAAGAACTGTGCATACCAGTACTCGCGGCACGCTATAGTAATCCAACCCCTCGAGAGGCGCTCCCTGCATTACCCTGCTTCCCAGACGAGGTCTGAGTTGTCATCCGTTGGTGGCCTTTGCTGCCTGTCGTGCAGCAACTGTTCAATCGTCTGGCTTCCGACGCCACACCGGTCAAGCTGTACGTCAGCGGGCCGTACGGCAGCGCTAACCGAAAGTGGTTGAAGGGTTTCGACCGACAGGTCTTCATTGCCGGCGGCGTTGGGGTAAGCGAAGTACGGGCGGGTCAGTACGGGCGGGCCTAGATTCAAGCAGATTGAATTGTTGGCCACTCCCCCTTCGATATCCGCGTTTCTCAGATCCCAAACTCCCCCAAACTCCCCCAGTCACAGGTTCCCGCCAACACACCTCTAAGAGTACTCTTATACGCTTTTTCTCAGCCTGAACGGTGCTGACCACCATAAGACATTCATGCAGGCGACCCCCGCTCTGGGCATGCTTCTGGAGCTCATTGCCCTCCGTCGTGCCAGTTCCGGCGCCAGCGCGGGTGCCGGCAATGGCAGCAGCTGCTGTGGCCGCGTGAGCTTCATCTGGGTCAGCCGCAGCGAGGACGAGCTCAACACCCTGCCGCAGGAAATACTGCAGGAGGCCGGCAGGTGGGTTCATCATAGGGGGCGTAAATGTCTGCTGTCGTAAATGTCTGCTAAACCCTAAAACCCTAACGCAGGGGTGAGGAGTCCTGGTTGGACATCCACCTCTACCTCACCCACGCGCCGGCTCCCGAGCCGCCTGCCGCCTCTCATGAAGTCACCTCCACGGACGGTATCGCACTTCAGATCGGCTCCCTGACCAACAGCGGTGTGGCAGCAGCAGTGGCGCTCAGCATGCGGCCGCCAGCTGCAGCTGCCGCTAGCGGCTCCGCCACATCCCGGTAGGCTCTATAGGGGTGCAGCGCGGAGGGGGACAAAGGGGGGCCGTGCGCAGCGCTGCTAATGCCCTATACTTGCTTTGCTGTTGGTTACTCTGCTGGCATGACTGGAGGAGCCTGCGTGCTTTGTTGGTACCTCTTTGTTGGTCTACCTCTTTGTTGGTCTACCTCTTTGTTGGTCTACCTCTTCGTCCACACAGAGTTTGCTCAGCCTCACGGCACTCCTGCCCTGCCGTCCCTGCAGGCCCCTAGTGCACCCCTACATGCTGCACCCGCTGCTGTGGATGGCGGCGCTGTTACTGTGCTTCGGCGGCGGCTTCGCGGGGCTCATGTGCGCGGATGCGTACGACGCGCGCATCATCCGTACAGTTGCCGCACGCAGCGACTACTCGTACGTGGGCATGCTGCAGTTCGCAGCGCTGGGCGCGGGGGCGTTCCTGCCGCCCGCGCTGCTCATGCTGGCAGCGCACCTCTACTGGTGAGCTGGTTCTTATGGTTGCGGCAAGTGGCGAACCCACAAAGTAAAGCCACTTGATCAGGTCGGCGGCGGTGTTTCTAGGGCAAAGACTTTGCCCTGCAAACGTCACGTCCGTTAGCGTGCCTCGCCCCCTGAACATCCCCTCGCCCATGCAAACCTGTGCAGGCGGTTTGTTGGCAGCCGCCGGCCACCCTCCCTACCCAAGCTACAGGACGACAGCTTCACTCTGGGCGCCCCCTCCGGCGCGCCCTCTATCCTCCTCCGCTCACCCTGGGACGTCACCCGCCTGGGCAGCATCACCGCCGCCAGCCAGTGCGCCCGGTCCTCCGTCGTCTCAATTGACGTCGGCTCTATTAGTGAGTTCGCGTTCGACACACCACCCAAGGACGTGGTGAAGTGCCGCGCTGCAGGAAGCGTCTGCGGCAACAGCGTCTGTGGCTTCACCACATCCCGCCTCGAGCCCTTCCTGCAGCGCGGCCGCCCTGACCTGCCCTCTCTGCTGGCGGCCGTGGCGGAATGCGGCTGCGGCGGTCCCGCTGCTGTGGATGCTGCTGCTGTGGGTGCGGTTCCGCTCCCCTCGCATCCCGAGTGCCCCGAGGACTGGCGTATGGCTGTGTTTGCTGCGGGTCCCACTCCGCTGGTGGCGCATGTGGAGGAGCTGTGCGCGCAGCTGAATGGGGTGTGGGGCAGGGCGGGCCGAGCGTACCTGCAGGTGAGGGCGCTCACACATGAGATGTGAGGGCAGCAGGCGCCAGGGTGTAACCGTCTGGTGATGGAACATGTTTGTGGGAGTAAGATGTCTGGTTGAACTGCAGTGTCATGCGCTTATAATGTGCTGCTCGTGACCCACATAGCAGCACTGCCGTCGCACGGACGCCGTGCTGTGCGCCGCCGGTGTGCCCTCCGGTGTTTGTTGTCAATTTCCCTTGCCGTACGTATTGCAGTAGTAAGCTGTAGTAGGCCACACTTGGCCAGGATTTGTGCAAAACCATGTGTGGACGACTCGCATCAATGCCGCTCTGTTGTTTCCATGTGTAGAGGCTCCATGCATGTATGGTTTGAGCAGCGCCGGGCGCAGGTGGAAAGGTACGCGCTGCACTGCACACGGTGTCGGGGGCGTTTCGCTGTTTCGTGTCGGCGTGCAGCGGGTGTACATATGTGAATTGTTAGCAAGGCTGGCTGCCAAACACCAATATTCATGCTAATCATGCATTGCCGTGGTGGAGTATACACGTATTGCGCGTTCGTGGTTCCCCGTGTCTATGGTCTGTTGGTTCGGTCGACCTACCTGTTGCGACTGCGTTATAACCCCGTGTGATTCTGCCCTTGAGTTGAGGTGCTGCAGCCCTTGTGTATGCGCTTGCGTAGCATTGAGCTATTGTTCAATTATTTATGTGAGGGGCGAAGGCGGATGTGCCATTCTCGTAGGTTGAATGGAAGGCAGACAACTACTAAAATGTGCGAGAGTGCGACACGTGTTCATAGTCCTTGTCCCCTGCCGTCGCCCACTCCGCCGTTGGCCAGTTTGTTTGGATGCTGGACCCTGTTACCTCGCTGGGATAGAATGCCTAGCTGGAAGCGTAGTACAGGCAAGGGGTTGGCTACCAGTCTTGTAATACCTGCCTTTCCGTCAACGATGTTTCTAGAATGACAGATTGGGTTTGTACCCGTTCCACATGGGTCAGTGCCCAGCTGGTGTCCTCGAGCAGCGCTGTGTTGCATCATTTTGGGTGCGCAGTCAACTTGGTTGCATGTATTTCGGCTGGGCCTCTGTCGGCCGGGGCGGTACTGCTGGGGGCTTATGAGCAGGCCGGGTATAGCTGTAACGTCATTAGCTGGACGTGGCCCTGCGCACGGTGCAGCAGGCCTCTGGCCAACTGGACGCGCCTCAGCCTGGCAGCGGACACTGCCTCGGGGGCCGCTGCCAGCATCTCACCCGACTGCAGCCTGCTCACACTCTCGCTCAAGTGCCAAATGGTGGGCGTTACGACAACGTCCGCGCGTATTTGGGGCTGGTAGCAGGTACAGCGAATCGGGTGCAGGAGGCGCCGACCCATGGGTCATCTACGCTAAATTTGTAAAGGATTCTTGCGGCATGGTGTGGCTCATTCAGGCCACCGTGGCAGTATCGGTGGCATGCCTTACTTGCAAGTCTTCTAGACTTCTTTACCTTGCCTTTCCCCGTGTAGGACATGGACAGGGTAGGCTCGGATGTGGTCTACCTCAATGTCCCTGCCGTAAGCTGGTGGCAGTAGCTTTTGGCGTGTGCGCAAAAGCGCGTGGTCGTGAAGTTTTGCGCACCTCCCCTCCTTCCTGATGATCTCCTTTTCCCGTCCCTTCTCTGAAGCAGGCGGTGAGAGCGTCGAACATAGCCTTGACACCCATGCGTTGCAACGCAATTGGTCCGGACTCAACCGACCCCTGCTGCCCGCAAGCTGCGCTTTGTGACTCATCGGTCTCTTAAATGAACGGAAGCACGGGTCTGGCCGTGACAGGTGCTGTCCAGGGTTTGGCAAGGCCAGCCCTCCTATATCGATACTACTTGCTGCCACCATGCATGCATATCTGCTTGCATATTCCCCAGATAATAACCCAGCAGCCCAATATAACGGCTGCATCCAAGCATCGTAAAGTTTCCTACCTCCCCACCTCCGAACCCTGCTTGCCATGCACCCTCAACCCCATCTGGGCCCCTGTCCTCCATACCAACCTCACTCGTCCCAACCTTCCTTATCCTACGTGCTCGCCCTCTTCACATAAAATGTGAACATACAGGTAGCGTGTGCATGCCTGGTTACCAACAAATACTCTTTACCCTGCCCAGCTTGATGCAGGGCTTTAACGTCCCCTGTACGCGCAGCCCCTGGGCCCTAGAGCCCTTCAGTCATCCTGGTCCACAACCACCCAGTTCCCGCCCTGGAAGTACATCTCTCGCTCTGTCACCTTGAGGCTTGCCATGCGATCTGTACCCTCCAGCGGGTTGCCGTACTCGTCCAGCTCCGGCCCAGGCGCTGGGAACCAATAGCGGTCGATGTGCGAGGCTCCTCCTGTCGTGATGCCACCTTCGCCGCCGCCGGCGCCGCCACCTTCGCCATCGGCGCCACCATCTGCACCACCGCCGGCGCCACCACCTTCGCCGCCGCCGGCGCCACCATCTGCACCGCCGCCGGCGCCACCACCTGCACCGCCGCCGGCGCCACCACCTGCCTCGCCGCCGGCGCCACCACCTGCACCGCCGCCGGCGCCACCATCTGCACCACCGCCGGCGCCACCACCTTCGCCGCCGCCGGCGCCACCATCTGCACCGCCGCCGGCGCCACCACCTGCACCGCCGCCGGCGCCACCACCTGCACCGCCGCCGGCGCCACCACCTGCACCGCCGCCGGCGCCACCATCTGCACCGCCGCCGGCGCCACCACCTGCACCGCCGCCGGCGCCACCACCTGCACCGCCGCCGGCGCCACCATCTGCACCGCCGCCGGCGCCACCACCTGCACCGCCGCCGGCGCCACCACCTGCACCGCCGCCGGCGCCACCACCTGCACCGCCACCGGCGCCACCACCTGCACCGCCGCCGGCGGCACCACCGGCTGATGGCACCGGCACCATGGCGCTGGCGTCCGCCCCCTCGCCGGCGTCATCATCGATGTCCGCCTGCGTTACAATCTTGGGCATCTGGAGCCGCCAGCGCTTGTAAACGCCGATGTTGTTAAAGCGTGAGTGCGTCAGGATGTGGCATACGTTGTCCGAGCGCTTAATCTCAATACCGTTGCCCACCATTTCCTGAGAGATGAAGCGGGATCCGCGCCCAGTGAACTGGCCGAAGATGAGCTCACGCGTGACATGGCGCAGCACAAGCATCAAGCTGACTGACTCACAGTCGAAGCCCTCGCCCAGGACACCCGCCTGGAACACCAGGTCGACGCTCGGGCTGCTGCTGGTGCCACGGTTGCGCAGCGCACTCATCGTTGCATCAAACCGGGCCTGGGTGTCGCTGTTCCGCCCACACCCCGCCGCTGCAATGGCTGCCGCGCGGAGGTAGGGCGCGCCTCCCTCAGGGTTCAGGGAGATCTGCGCCTCGTTCGCCCGGTTAGCCAGGTCGTGCGCCACTGAGAGGTTGGAGACCAGGGCGAGTGCAATGTGGCGGATACCGTGGCGCTTGTTCTTGAGGATGTGCGCGAGCACGTGCACAACCTGCATCTGCGCCACAACATCATGCTCCTCGCCTCTTGGCATGCGTGCAGTGACCTCGTCGATGACGTTTAGCAGGACGATGTCCTTGGCCGCCTGGTCTTTGATGCCTGTGGCAGGGTGGGCACGGGTGAAGAGCGAGGCACTGTTACTCCTGGTGTACCTGAATGAGGGGTTGCAGAACAGAAGGAGATTGCGCTCTAGGGTAAACCTATGCATGTCGAGTAGTGCCATAACAAACATCTGGTTACCAGAAACACAAGTGTGTGGAGCAGCCAAAGACATTTGAGGGATATGTATAGGCGCCATGAGTCAAGCACCGCCTGACGCTGCCTGAGCATTGCTTGCAACTCACTTTGGGGCAGGGTGTAGCGCGGTTGTACCACCCTGTCGTACATGTTGGCCATCCTGTACGGCGTGCCGGTCATGTAGATGCAGAAGGGCCTCACGCCCTTGATGTTGCCCTCATCATACGTGATGGCACCCAGGCGGTCGTTGATCAGGCGCCAGGTGGGCGCCAGGATGTGGTGACCTTCATCAAAGATGATACCTGGGAACAGCGGGCGCCCACTTTGGCCAACTGAGTAGTGTGAGGCCTCCTCAAGGCGCACGAGAATGTCAGACGGCTCATCCTTCTGGCGGGAGATGAGCGGCGCTGTGGCAATAACGGCGTCGAAGTCCTTCAGGGCCGCAAACAATGCTTCCGTGGTGTTGTTTCGCTGGAAGAACTTGCCCTCCAGCACGCAGACCTTGAGACCTCTAGAGTGCCTTAGCTGGTCCGCCTGAACAACAGGAAAGGGTTATGTGCAATACTATTAGTAACAATGTTTAAGCTTTAGGAAAGTAAGGGTTTGTCAATAGTTAGTTTAGAGAAGGATTCTTGCAGCTAGGGTAACTCACTTCCACTACATTGGTGGTCTTCCAGAAGGGTCGAAGTCCGGGGCCACCGTTGAACTTCTTGAAGAGTTCGTCCTTGTTCAGGTGGCCGCCCACAATGTACAAAATGCGTCAGCAACGAAGAGGGACATGCATCAGCGTGGCCAAGCCGGTCTTGCCGCTGCCTGTGGCGGCCTCTAGGAGGATGCGGCAGCCCTGCGTAAGTTGCCACGGTGCAGATCATACATTGTTGGCGTTGTGCGAGTTCCAAGGTCCCTGCTGGCAGCGTAGCTACCTGTGGCTTCTCCAGCCGGATGCGACGCAGGTCTGCGTAGATCTGCTGGTTGTGCGGCTTAACTAGCAAATTACCCATTACATGGTACTCAGGGAACAGCCTTCCATCTATTTCAACTAAGCCTGAAGGCACGCCTCCTACAGCCGCCATCGCCCTGGCCTAGCTAGGGGCAGTGGAATAGGTGACAGCCTTTATTATTGGGCTGCTGCTAGTATTATGTTTCGACAGGGCTGCAGAACAGAAGCAAGCTTGTAACCTTTTCGCATGCCAACCTCTTTCTGCCAAAATGATGCCTTGCCTTACCGGGGTGCAAGAGATCATGGGGACAGGTTGCCGTGCACAAATCTGTGAGCCACATGTAACTTTCCAGTCAAAATAGATACCGGCGCTACAATACAATTCCTTAGCGCCGTTATTGTTTACCACCCTGCTTATCATCCCGAATTCATGTCGGTCCCACGGGTCAGTCCAGACTCCAAAGCGGCGTGTTCACGGTGTGGCAACTTTCAGCATCATTCTTGTGCAATGCTGGTGCTGTAGCGTCATTCTTATGCGCGTGGTCATGAAGTTTTACACACCGCCCCTCTTTCCTGATGTTGATTTCCTTTCCCCGCCCCTTCTCATAACCAGGCGGCGAGAGCGCCAAACACAGCCTGAACACCCATGTGTTGGAACGCAAATGGTCTGGCCTCACGCCATGACCCCTGCTCCCCGCAAGCTGCGCTTTGTCAGATTGTAACTCATCGGTCTATCGAATGAACGGAAGCATGAATGGGTCTGGCCGTGACAGAAGCTGGCAAAAGGCCAGCATTCCTATCGATGCATGCTAGTTGCTGCCACCACGCATGATTACCTGCTTACATACCCACCAATCAATTCCCCAACAGCCCAATATACCATAGCTGCACTAATGTTTTTTCGTTTAAAGATAAACGAACAAAAAAAGAACAAAAATAGAAACATTTTAATTATATTTTAAACTAAAAGGTGTTTACTAAAGGCGCCGAGATTCTTTGGCCAATTCAACTTTTACCGGCTTGTTCAACCCCCCGCTTGTATAGCACAAGGGAGAGCTGTCAGCTACTTTTGCCTAAAATGGAGGAGTTCAAAAGCAGAATGGTTGTGGTCGGAGAAAGACGCTTTAGCGAACATGATTGTTTGATTGTTTTGCTGCTGCGAACATGTTTGTTACAATTCCTACTTAATGATTTGTATGCGTTTGATAGCTTTGCGGCCTACTTTAGAGGGTTTGACCCAAAGGTCGGTCGTTAGGCCTCCGAAACCCCGTACGGGAAGCTGTACGAAGGTGGTGGACGGCCTCTGGAATGTTCTAGAAGGTCTGGATTGTTCTAAAATTACGTTGGCAACTTCTGGCGGCTGCCGTAGTAGGATCTGGCAGGCCAATAGTAGGTTTACGTACAAATGCCGTACTCTTCCCATTAGTATAAAAG